AATGGAGGCAGAGTACATCGGGCTGGCCAACGCGACAAAGGAGCTCGAATGGGTCAAGATCATCATGCAACACCTACTGCATGGCTTCAAAGCCGCCGGTGCGCACTTAACATTCCACATCCATCGTGACAATCAGGATGCTATCGCCTTGGCAAATGATGCTCGCTTCCACACCCGCACCAAGCACATACGAACGAAATATCACTTTGTGCGAGACTGTGTACGGCGTGCTCGCATGTCACTCGAATACATGACCACTGAAGACATGATTGCAGATCTGACGAACAAAGCACTAGGTCGGCAGAAATTGCAAAAGTTCATGGCAATGCTCGGCCTTCGTCGCAAGACTTGCTAGCCTCATGGACGACAATGAGCTAGATGGAGTGTTGTGTTGAGACATTGATTGTTTCAGGAGCTCATTGATAATGCAACGGTCAGGGGCCCAAGCTGACACGCAAGCAGGTTGAGGACATAAATAAAGCGGCTGCGCTGCCCTTAGTCTAGCAGAGGACTAGTAAATCTTGAGTTTATTAGTCCTCCCTTCAATTCCTTGATGCCCTGCGAGGTATTGATGACGCAGCTCACGCACAAGGCTGCGTTCAATCGATCAACTGGGGTGGTAATCATCGATTCGCTGACCGTCTCAAACACCTAGTCAGCAAACGACGCGATGATTGCCCTTCGCGCCACCCTCTCCTTCTCCTCAAGAGGTAGTGAGAGCCTTGCACTACCGCGCGCAATCGAGCCAACAAAACGGGTCAAGGAGCACCATGTTTGAGGCGTTCAGCGGCATTAAGCTGATTTGGTACAACGGACTTTGCAAAATGGCGAGGCTCCAAAGTCAAGTTTGAGACTGGTGCACACTTGACTGGAGTGTTGGACCACTTGCAGAAGCCAAAGAAGGAGATCTCTGATTGGTCTGAGGAGAAGGAGGGGGTGGCGCTAAGGGCAATCATCACGTCGTTCGCTGACAAGGTGTTTGAGTCAATCAGCGAATCAATGGTTACCACCCCAGTTGATGAATTGTACGCAGCCTTGTGATTGACGGTAAGCGGATGACAGCTAACTGATTGCGATGGTACTTCAACTATGGGGTGTGCTGGCCTTTTAAGGCCTGCGTTGTCAACTCGTCAGCACAACTCTCACGCTCTAGAGTTGCCTGCGCACAACACTTCCCCTGCTTCTGTATCCCCTCCTTCAGTCTTCCCGATGCCAAGCAGCCTTTTGAAGTTTTCGAATTTGCTTCGGCCGAGAGCTTTTGTCAGCAGGTCCGCGAGCATTTGGCCAGTGGCAACATAGTCAAGATGCATACAGCCAAGTCGAAGACACTCGCGAACGTAGTGGAAGCGTGGCAAGATGTGCTTCGTGCGTGTGTGAAATTTGCTGTCCTTTGCCAGTGCGATAGCTCCTTGATTGTCGCCATGAAGCTCGACAATAAGTGCTGCATCTTTAGCAATAGATGAATATTGCGACGCCTTGCTCCGCCAAAGCCAAGTCTTGTGATGTCAGCCAACAGACTAGCCATGAATGCACCTAGAGACCTCGCAGTGATGATGTGCTACCGAGGCGACAGTGTGTGGCATACTGAATGGTTGTTGACACGACTGGCAGCCTTCTGCGGACGTTCCAGCGACACATTGAATAGCCATAAGGGATAAACACCATCAATGCACATAATGCATGTCGAGTCCATGCAAATGCCGATTCAAGAGAGCCAGCACAGGCCTTGTTGTTTTGGCAACGCCGACCACATTCCAATCAACACCAATCCTCATAAGAAGTCAGCCGCCCATGCGGCTTTATGTTTCCCGCATTCCAAGAGAGTACGCGACAGAGTTTGAGCGCGCCTCGATGTCTGTTGAGTTCAGCGCAAGATTGTCAAGATGAGCGTCTTTTTGGCTGATGGTGAAAAAGTGCCTGTGGCCCGAAAAAGTCTCGGAAACGAGAGAGAGGACGTCGCAAGGGATGTCAGAGGCGATGTAGACCGTGAACCAAACATCTACGCATCTCTTGAGATGCCTGTTTTGTGGTGAGGGCGGGCGAGCGATGGTCATGAAAGTTCAGATGAGCCATCAAATCGGCCAAGCAAACACCAGGGGAACCTGAGTGCTATCCTTGACCATTGTGACCAGCTTCAAGTCTCTGGCAAAGAAAGCAAAGAGCATCTGCGTAGCACACTCTCGTCAAATGAAATCTATTGGATACAAAATGTCATGATTCTCTATGCAAGTCGTGTCTTGAACTGCCTTAACTAAATACTTGGCAAGAGACTCAAGAGCAATTGCAGAAACATAAGGAAAGACGGAGGGACGGCCGCACACGGAGACCAAGTGATGATGAAGGAGATGATGGTTGTACTTGAAGCCAGAGCATCGCTGAGGATACCGCTCACAAAGATGGAGCTGCTGTCACAAGGCGTCTTGCTTGACTGCTAGTAAGTCGTGGTGAAGGTCATTCGCGGCGAAAGAGTCGATGACTGCAGAGGCTGTGCTTCGCGATGCAAGTCTTGTCTTGTCGCAATCCATGGCGAGGGCAACAGAGAGTCTGCAAGTCATCACAGCTTGAGCTAGCTTCCACGGGAGGCAAGCATGTGCGGCCTCAGTCACTGTGGAGGTAAACTGGCTTGCATGCTGATGAAGCAGCGGCGTTGCATGGTTGAGACTGGTGTGTTAGACTGGGCCAAGGAGTACTTTTTAATTTGAGTGAGTGCCAAATGAGCTGACCCATGCGCTAGATATCAACGGCGATTCCAATGGTAGAAACATCCATCGAGAACGCGGCGAGAAGAAATGGTGGCCGCACTTGGTGGCAATGGCAGCGGCACTGTCTAAGATGGAGTACCGGACGTACCTGAAGAGCGATAGCGGAAGCATAGACAAGGATGGTAGACGAACGTACAAGCGATGACGGAGCAAATGGTGGTCGCTTTGAGCTTGTCGCTTCAAGTGGGCAGGAGCTAGAGAACGGAGCAGCGAACGACTAGAGAGGTAGAAAATGCCGTGGATTCCGCTAGTACGTTTCGAAGGCATAAGCAACGGTAGACACTCCGTGAGCCATTTGCACCTCTGCCGATTCAATGTCGAATACCCTGCTTACAATTGACACAGTGTTAGACGCGCCCTGGCCGCCCTTGCAAGGTATAATGTAACCGACATTCTTCAGTGCGCATGAGTGTATTTGCAAGCGGTGCAGATGTATGCTGTCGCTGTATTCGGCTCAGGCAACCAGACCCGCGATGGGTGCGAAATGTCGCCGAAGCTCTAAACGTGCAGCTGCAGTAGGATCAAAGTCGAAGTGCTCGCGGCGAAAATATCGATGTCTGCAAAGGTCGCCGTCTTTTATGAATTTATGCAGGTGCTTGTGTCTTGGCAGTCTTTGGCGCGTTGAACAGTGACGCGGCGTGAAGAATTGGCGGCAGCACATGCTGGACAATGGCATACGGCCGTACATTGAGGCCAATTGATGGCGGACCAGATGGTGGTTGCTTTGACTGAGGCTAAGCGTTGCTGAAATTGCCGCGCTCAAAGACGGAACTTTGGTCACGAGGCGTCTTGGTTGGCTGCGAGGAGTCGTGGTGATGGCCCAATGACAGTAGCAAAACTGGCCCAATGACAGTAGCAAAACACAAGACGGCGTCCACAAAACGAAAGCATCTTGATCAGGCTGTGCGTTTGCCAAATCTTCTTCATGCAGAGCACTTGTTGCTTGAAAGAAGCCGCATGACCGCTCTACATACTGAACACGGTCGAGCCATGTCACAGCAAGTCAATCGTTCTTGTTTAGGCTGTATGGTCGTTGCATGAGCATTGCGACATCTGGCAAGCTTGTGCATGCTGAAAGATAGCAGGCTGTCTGGATGACATGACGTGTGATGACGGACGTATGTATGCTGCAGTATATAAGCATGCAGCACAAAAACAAGTGTAGCCTTGAAGCAATATAGCCGCAACATCAACGGTCTAGCAGTAGTCAGCGACATGTATCGCAAACTTTTGTTTTCCATGATGATGAAGACTTCGCAGAAGACTAGCGCTAAAAAGACACTGTGTACCCGGACGACAGGATGTGGTGGTGGTGGTGGAGCGCATTGCGAGCACGAAGTCAATACCACGCAGGAGAGCACATCGTTGCGAGACACTATATAGCGCAATGAACTCGAGCATGGAGGTCATCGAGGGTCTCGGCCATGTAGTGCGGTGGCAAAATGAGCTTAGTCCTGAAGACATGCAACATGAAATCCCTTGTATGTCAAACCCAGTCACAGGTGTGCAGCTGACGTGCCTTGCGAGTCGCAGTGCATAGTTAGATGGCACCAATCACGATTGCTGTAGGTGGGCAGTGCATCGCACAGTCAAATCGCAGCGAGTGAGCAAAGAAGTCCAAAGCGACGTAGCGCATAGTCAGGTTGCAGCAAGGGAGCAATGCATCAAATAATTAAGGTCCAGCACACAGCCAGGTCGTAGCAAGGGAGCGGTGAAATTCAGGGCAGTAGAACAAAGCGACGCCACGCAGAGCCGGTCGCAGCAGGTGAGCTAGATGCCACGGCCATGGTGCTTGATAGCAGTCGAACATGTTATCGATACGAGCCAGCAGAAGTCCTGAAGCGAGGCTGTGACTACCTCGCATCCCGCTCGGTGAGTTGATTGTTCGAGGCATACGTTCCACTGGCGAGTCGTTACGGCTTCAGGCTTATTTGACAAATCTTTGACAGTGATGACAGTGATGACAGTGCAGCAGCAAGTTCGTCCACTCAGCAACCTCACATCCTTGCGTAGCTTGTGGTCTGCTAGTCGGGTTGAGCCTGCGGCCAAGTCGAGGTCAGAGTCGCGGCAACTGCAGAAATTCAGCGAGCACAACAACCAACTGTTCATTGCTCGTCATGCTCTGTCTCAGGTGCTCCGGGGCACTGTCAGCTATCCTATTTCGTCAACTTATGTACGCAATCTAGCTGCCATATAGACGCCAGCTTGCTACTCAGAGAAACAAAGTCACCGGCCGCTGCACATGAAAACATCTACACAAGTTTCAATATGCTGACCGTCTCGCGCATCCTCATGACGCCCGACATCTCCTATTTCTTCATCCAGGTGTGGTCCAGGGGAAATTATCGCTTTGCTAGCCTTTGCTGGGATGACTGATCTGATCGACAGCTGCCTGGCATGCAAGTACAACATGGGCACTGTTGTTCGGTCTATCGTTGACCCATTGGCCGACAAGTTCGTCGCGATGACGCTTGTTAGCGCATTCGCCTATGTAGGCGGTATGTCGATGCTCATGGCCCTCATCATTCCCGGATGGGACTTTGCCCTTGGCCTCTCCGCGCTCTACTGGCGCTTGATCTCACCGCCGACGCCTTGCACCTTTACACGTTTCTGGGATCTCAGTCTGCCCTCTGCATCTGCACATCCTACATCCGTGTCCAAGATCCGGACGGGCCTGCAGATTGTGCTTGTAAGCGCGTGCATGGTTCAGCCGGTGTTGCCTGTCGAGATTGCGCTCCCGCTATGAGTAAATGATCGCTTCAATCTACTCTTGTCTGGAGTACACCTGTACAGGACACAGTCATGATCTTCAAGCAGTGACAAGTGTGCTGCCGTGACTGCCTCTTCTTCAGTCGCGAGCATCGGGCCGGAGCAGAGATGGTCGAGATCACAGCTCGTCGACGGCTTCTTCAGCTACATACACCAGCAGACGAAGGCCAATACGCAGAAGAAACTCGCGCTCATCGATGAAATCAAGTCGTGGAACAAAGTCCCAGAGAGCGAGCAGGCAGAGCTCATGATCTCAGGTGTGCCCCACAGCTACGGCGATGCGGGCCATGTGTGTATGTGTATGCCTAATGCACAGCTAGGCAGTTGCGTGCGTCCTGGCGTGATTGAGGGTCGCGCTATCCGCGCTGCACTAGCGCCACATCCACCCTGACCACCGAGGGTCTACAGAGTGTCCTTTCTAGTCAACGCGACGCAGATGAGCAATCTCAAGACGCTAGTGTATGAAGAACCCGCCAACTGTGATCATTACGAGCTAGGTGCGCTTCAAATTGCAATCACAAAGGCCGCCGACGTCGTCAAGATCGATGATGTTTCGACCATCTCCGCCGCCTCCGTGTGCCAATGACAAGGTCTCGACGTCCGAATATCTTTCGATCAATCATCAAGAGCGCCGTGTGAGCGTAACACTGGAGCAACACATCAAACTACGCAGTTTTGTGCTAGCTGAACGCGACAACGCGCCCTCAGGCTGAATGAAGTCGCGCCAAGCGGGTGAAAGGATGTCGCATGAGATGCTGCACGCGTTGCGCATTGTAAAAGATCATCCATTGCATGTCTTGACCATTGCAAGGCCTGTGATTTGATTAAGGGTGTCATTCTGGGGAGTCGTATGTATATGTTGGATCATCTCTCTACCTTTTCTGTTGTCCAGGGTCTTTGGCGTAGACTCGCTCAGCTCTGCCTCATCACTTCCCGGCCCAGACAACACGCACAGCATGACTTGAACTGCAAAGCACATGCCAATTGGGGCAGAACCTTATCTCTGCCATGTGTTGCCATATGAAGCTGCAAGCTTGTGCACTTTGTCAGTGATAGCGGTAGTTGGAGGTATAGAAGACAACTATGGTCTTTCAAAGAAGGATAGTTCTACAAACTACCAGCTGCGTATGGCATTGTGGCTGCATCAAATCGAGCCTACAGTGGTTCTGCCTGCAAGCATGTTCGCTAGACTTGGCTGTGCCTACTTTGTGTCTGCTTTCATGTGGAAGTCTGGGAAGTCCTCGACGCCTTTGCAGTCCAGCATCGGGCCTTCTCGGTTGAACTTGCATCTAGTAGGGTAATCCGTTCGGAAATAGTTGCACACCAATACATCCCAATTATGGTTGCGATGAAATGAGTTCAAATTGATACCTGGATAATTCTTTTCCACTTGTTGCCTATCATCTTTTGAGAATGCGGTAACATCGCAGCCAAATCCTTCGTTAACAAGCTTTGTTCGGTCATCTGCAACGCTTGGTTGCACGCAAATTGGCTGGTACTCAAGGGCTTCGCTGCCGATAAAGAAGCAATACTGCACCGTATCCTTATTCGATGCAGAGACTGTTGAAGGCCAGGGGAATGGCAGCAAAGTACAAAGCGTCTTGTATTAGTGCCAGTACTAACAAATGTTTACTTACGAATGCAGTGGTGCGCATCTTGGAGCTCTTGAAGGCGGCTGGAAACTGATTTTTGGACGTCAGATGAGGCGGGAGGGCGTCTGCCAGCTTTATGGCCAAAAAGTGAAAGAGAACACGTTTTTCAGGCGCATGCGACCCTACATCAGGGTCAGAGGCTGTGACAAAACTGTAGTGTCGTAACTTCAGGGGGTGCGCGCAATCGTAAGGGCTCGTTCGCATCATCGGTTGCAAAGACGAGGACTGAATTGTAGACACATCTTAGCCATAATCGCGTCCAAAGTCATTCCTAGTGCGCGGTTTCCGTCCCTGCAACATATCGCTTGTCGCTATGCTTCTTGCTTCAGTGGATAAAGCTGATTTGGGAGCAAGCAAACTTGTTTTTCCTTCGCGTGTGCAGACATGTCACCTCATTTCAGCACAGGCTCGCAGACCCCTGGCAATAATGACAACCCAAGAATGCGAGTGCATACTAGACTATTGTTTTCTTGAGCGTTCAGAATACAAATGCGGTCCTGTGAGTTGCTTTTGCGATGAAGCTTTCCGTAGTCTCATTGATGCATGCGACGAATGTCGATTAAAGCATACGGCAAAGATGTGTGAGAACGCTGCAGCGAAGAAGAATGCACATACGCTCAGTTGCAACATTGCAATGTCGCTTTTGGTCACGCGACGGGAAATTAGACAGTCAGGAGATGCACAGAGGCTCCTTGTCAAGACATAAAAGGCTGACGTGGCCAACATGCTGAAACGACACTTCCAACAGGATGGTGCCTCAGAGCTTGGCCATCTTGAGCTTCATCGCGGCTTCCATCCTAGCCGCATACCCAGACATTTGCGCACACCCGACATTGCAGTTCAAGGCCGTTGTCGCCAATGCGATTGATTGCTCCGCGGCCTGCTCTAATTCCGCCGCTGGGCTCGTGAAGCAAATCAGCGACAACAACGAGGTGTGTATTGCTCAGAGTGGCGTTTGCATCAGTAATACAAATGGTACAGAAATCTTCCCCTGTTTGAACAAGGTTTGTGGTTCACATGTCGACCATTCCTGTAAGTGCGTCGTCGACTTGTTCTTTGTGCGTCACCTCATGCGCGGAGTGATCCTGTACAAAAATGGCATCGAGCAGCCTTGTACATGGGACGACGTACCCGGCAGCGTCTTGCATCGTTACTCGGTGGCCGGATTCAAGGGTACCTCTTGGGTCAGAGGTGGACTGCAGACAACAGTGAGCTGCCATGCTCCTGACGACAAGAAGGGCTGCTACTGCGACAGCGCTGGTAAGGCGCAGGGTTGCCACCAGGATGCAATCGTCTCCTCGGGTGACTGAAGAGCTGCGAAGAGACAAGAGCCGTCCCATGGCTGCGAGAAGTAAATGAAGTAGACTTATTCTTTCAAGCTTTGCTCTGCAAACGAGCCCATCCCGCAGATACCTCCTTGCCCTCGACGTGATGATTACCTTGCAGTACGAGCATCGTCTCCGTCAGTCTGCCCTCTGTGGCATCTATATAATCAGAATTAGGAAGGCTCTTGTCGCGTCGGCCCGTCCTCGAGTGTCGTCACCGATGCGGCGACCAGATGCGGAAGCTTAACATTCAGAGAAAGGCCGCCGAGGTCGCCAAGGTCAACAGTATATGAAGACCTTGCCGGCCTATCCGTTCCCAGGATGTCTAACTCTTTCCTGCCATAAGGGTAGCAGAGGTCTCACCAGAGTCACCACCGTCGAGAAGCCATGGCCGGGCCTACACGCTGTCGACCTAGCCAAAGTCCCTTCAGCTATAGGCCTTCGCTGGACGCCGGCATCGCGTTCAGCGTCCTTTTTGGCTTAACCTTGCTAGTTTCCATCTACTTCACGGCTCGGCGCAGACTCTGGTTCCTTTCATTCACGCTCGGCGCTGCCCTTGAGTTTGCCGGCTGGATCTCGCGAGCACTGGCGTATGGGAAGCCATGCTCCAAGGACATCTTCATTGCACAGACAGTCTGTCTCATCCTCGCACCAGCCTTGTACAGCGCAGCCTTGTACATCTTGCTCGGTGTGCTAGTCCAACGCGCTCCTACTGCCTCTTCAATCAGTCCGAGGACGTATCTCATCATCTTTTGCACCGCAGACTTTATTTCGCTTCTCCTGCAGGCTATCGGCGGTGGCATGGCCAGCGGCGCGGAGACCAAGCCTCTCTTGGATACTGGCACCAACATCATCATCGGCGGCATTTTTGCCCAGCTTGCTGCGATGGTGGGGTTCACGGTCCTTGCCGTCATCTTTCTTTGGCACGCCAAGAAGCTCAATGTGGTTTTTGACAAGACCGTCTTGCTCCTTGCTCTATTCGCAACCGTGCTCATCTTTGTTCGCAACGTCTTTCGCGCGATTGAGCTGCTTGGCGGATGGAATGGTTATTTGGCTACGACGGAGCGCTTCTTGATTGGCCTCGATGCTGCCCCGATGCTCCTTTGCCAGACTTGCTTCTGCCTACTTGGTCTGTTTGACACTTTTGCGCGTGACTCTTCGCTGCTGCATCGTCAGCGCCGGAAGGAGGTGCAAGAAAAGGATGCATTACGCAGCAGCGAGCACAGCAGCCAGACATCCCTCCGGGCGGGTGCTTGATCCAAGCTTGGTTGATTCAGCGTATTTGGTACAAAGCTCTAGATAATTGTACAGCAGATCTGGCCATGCTTAGAAGCATATGCGCAAACAATACTCTCCATGAGTCCATGAGTCCATGAGTCCATGATCACTCGATAGGTCAGTGTCATTGACTCAGTGAGCAAGTTGACTCTCGGCCGTGCGACGCGTGAAAAATAAATATTTGGGCGGCGACTCGAACAGAAGGCAACGCATGCTCAGACGCTCCATCCTCAGCATCATCATGAAGGTAGAAGGCAGAGGCAGAGGTGCAGCACGCTCAGCGCGTGGAAGAGGTGCAGGCAAACCATTCGGCGCACGTCCAAGCAGTAGCAGCAGCCAAGGCGCCAATGGTCACCAGCAATCGGCGACAGGCATGCATGCCCCGATCGTGCCTTCTGTTCCACTCGAGACGGAGCTCTCTTCGCGTTCATTTGCATCTGCGCCCATCAGTCCTATCTTGATGCGTACGATTCTAGACAATCTCAAATTTGACAAGATGACGCCTGTCCAGGCAGCAACGCTCGATGATCTCCTACAAAAGCAAGACTGCCTCGTTCAAGCCAAGACAGGCACGGGCAAGACACTTGCTTTCCTCATCCCAGCTATTGAAGAAATGATCAAATCGCCAGTGCGCGGTATCTCGCTGCTCGTTATTACACCAACGCGCGAGCTTGCCCAGCAAATCGCAAAGGAAGCCGCAGGACTGCTCCAAAACTTGCCAAAGTATAGGATCGGTATCGCCATTGGCGGCACCAACAAGGACAAAGAGCAGCGTGTCATTCGCGGTGGCCGTGATATCTTGATTGCCACCCCTGGTCGTCTCATTGATCACTTGGACGAAGAGACCGTTGTTGACCAATTTCAACAACTCAAAACACTCGTACTGGACGAGGCAGATCGCCTCCTCGATATGGGCTTCATGCCATCACTACAGCAGATTGTTCGTGCTCTCCCAGACAAGCAAAAGACTGGCCGTCAAGGTATGCTCTTCTCTGCGACCATTGCTGCGCATGTTCAAAAGGTCGCTGGCCTCGTACTTTCCCCTGGCTACAAATTTATTAGTACCATCCCTGAAGGTGAGAGTAATACACACGAGCGTGTTCCACAGATGCTCGTTACTGTGCCGCTCTTTACAGATGTTGCTCCTGCAATGATTGCTGCGCTTCACCACGAGTGCACAGATGATACATTCAAGGCGATTGTCTTTGCACCTACAGCCGCCATGGCGGACTGGTATGGTGCTATTATCGAACGCTTCAAGACTCTGCCCCCTGTTTCCGTATTGCACTCGCGCATTTCCCAAAGCAAACGCACGAGCATCACAAATGCTTTCCGTGGTTGCAAGGCCGGTATTCTCGTTGCGACAGATGTGATTGCTCGCGGCATTGACTTTCCCGATGTTTCTGATGTCTTTCAGGTCGGTATTCCAGCAGCGAGGGAAGACTACATTCATCGACTCGGGCGTACAGCACGAGCTGGCAAGGAAGGTCGTGGTATTCTCATTGTTGCTGAGCCGGAGACTTTCTTCCCGCGCTTTACACTGAAGGATATCCAGTTCCAACAGATGCCTGTCGATAGCGTCAAGTTTCGACGCGAGGTGGATCAGCAAGCGCAATCGATCGGCGGCTTTGAGAAACCATACCAGGCGTGGATGGGCTACTACAAGAATCACCTGCGTGCCATGAAGTGGGATACGGCAGAGTTGGTGCGGCAGGCCAATACATTCGCGATTGAAGCTCTCAAGGCACCTGAAGTACCGAGCCTGCAGCGCAAGATCATTGGCAAGATGGGTCTAAAGGGTGTCCCTGGACTCAATATTCGACCCAACGACAGCATGCCATCTGGTGCACGCGGCGGCGGTGAGGGTCGCAGTGGTGGCTCTGGTGGACGTGGAGGGCGTCGATAGATGCTTTGCGATGACAACGACGATGTGGACGTGATAGACTATAGACCGGCATAGTAAGTAATGTGACTGTTTCTACGATGGCCAAGTTGCCAGCAGCGAGAGACGACAAGACCGAGTCTCGAGACTCTACCCATCGACGAGCCCTCTTGCAGCTGCCAGAGAGCATAGCCAGCATCATGACACCGCTTGCCATCTCTGCTGCGAGTATTGCATTCAACCCAATCTTCTGGAATGTCGTTGCACGCGCCGAGCACAAGCTCAAGCTCATGACACGCATATTGGGACCCTACAACGGCTGCTACCTGCTAGCCCTCACCATCTTCTCGCTGGGTCTCATCCGGGATCACTTTTACTTGGAGGCTCTCAAAGTAGCACCCACCAGCCCGCTCTTGCTGAGTCTGCCGCACAAAGCCATCGGTGCTGTCTTCTTTGGCCTCGGCAACCTGCTTGTGGTGTCTTCCATGTGGGCACTCGGCGTAACGGGGACGTATCTTGGCGACTACTTTGGCATTCTCATGAAGGATCGCGTCACGTCGTTTCCATTCAACGTCACGGATAACCCAATGTACTACGGATCGGTTCTGTCCTTTGTGGGCACTGCGTTTTGGTATGCGAAACCCCTTGGGTTTGTGCTTTCGGCGGAAGTCTTGATTATGTATGTGATTGCTCTACGCTTCGAAGAGCCGTACACAGCTGCCATCTATGCCAAGCGCGACAGGGACCAAAAGAAGAAGTAGACGAAACAAGCACATGTAGAGCATACTTTAGAATGCATCTTAGAGATTAGACATTGGCACAACGCCTACTTTGTCGTGTGTGCCTATCGCAAGGACTTTACCCGTAGTCTCCGATGTCACGTCGCAGGTGATGCAAGCAGACCGTTTGCCAAGGGAGACGACTTTGCATGTGAAGAGCACATAGCTATCGCAGGCTGCAGGGCGGAGGTAGGTGACGGAGAGTGTACGCGAGACGCCTGCACCAGACTCCCAAGCGCCTTCACGCGGCATGGCCATGATAGCGCAGCTCTGTCTCTGTTAGTCCTCGTCACGATACCAGGGGGAGTGATACAGTGAGCAAGTCAATGGCAGTGGCCAAGGCGCCTCCGTGCATCGAGCCCAGGGAGTTGCATTGCTCCGGCAAGACTTTGACGCGGAATACAGTCTTGTCCAGGCCGGCCGACACGACCTCGGTGCTTTTGAGAATGGCCTGGTCAAAGGCTGGTGTTAGAACGGGCTTTCTTCGAAGCAGAGCATACTGTCGGTCTCTCCAATCATCCTGATGAACCATTTGATGGCCTCGATGCCGTGAGCCTGTGCCATGGTCTTGCAATTGACCTCGGTGTCCTGAGCTGATGCTGAGCTGATGCCTGAGCTGATGACTGAGCTGATGCTGAGCTGGTTTGAGCTGAAGTCTGCGGGGAAGTTTCACAAGCAAGAGACTCGGACTCTGCTAGCAAGTGGCCCAGGACACTCGAGTAGCTGTAGTGCCGGTGCGTAGGTCTGCAATCTCTGGCGATCCTGTTGCAATGCTCCGCGTCTGTGGTATATCCTCTGATGTTTGTGACTGCTCTTTAGCTTTCCCGTCGCGTCGCGTCGAGTCAACCAGCACCCAGCACCCAGCACCAGCACAAACATCCTCCATCGTCTCCAGAGGCCCATGTCAGCAGGCCCTTCACCAAAGAGACAAAAGACAGACATGGCAAGTCCATACCTTCAAGTTAAGCTTCTCTCAGACACAGCCAGAGCACCCACGCGCGGCTCTTCCCATGCAGCGGGGTATGACCTCTATGCCTCTGCAGAAGCGAGCATCCCTGCAGGCGGCAGAGCACTTGTTCCTCTGGGCATTTCTGTTGCCGTTCCAGAAGACTGCTACGCTAGGATCGCACCTCGTTCAGGACTGGCCGTCAAAGCAGGCATCAGTACGGGTGCCGGTGTTGTGGACTGCGATTACCGAGGAGAAGTACGTGTCTTGCTCTTCAACCACGGCTCGGAGACCTTCAAGGTTGCAGTGGGTGACCGTATTGCACAGATGATCCTGGAGAAGGTGTGGACGCCCGAGGTGGAGGTGGTGGAGACATTGGCAGAAACTGTGCGTGGTGCCGGTGGATTTGGCAGTACGGGGCAGTAGTTCATGATGAAGAGAAGTGGTAGATGGCCTGTTGATCCATGCCTCTTGTCCTAATCAGAAGCAGTAGATGCACAATCTGTTCCTGGATCTTTCTTTCCATCTGAAGCCTCATCGCGTCAAAATGGCCGTCGAGACTCAACTTCATCGCGCTATCAACCCGGATCTCGCTAGCATATAAGTACAAATACAGCTGGCTCTGCTCTGCTCAAGTATCTCTAATATCTTCTCATTCCACATATGAGCACCCCTTTGGGTCATGCCCGTCTCGCAGACTTTGATCTGAAGGAAGGCTATGTCAACCTCAATGCCGGCTCCTTCGGAGTATGTCCCAAGCGTGTCCGTGAGGCATATAATCGTCATTCTCTGGCTATCGAAGCCAATCCAGATCTGTTCCTTCGCTTCAACTATGCAGATTCGCTGGCCCATGTCAGACGGCAAATCGCAGATCTGATTCGCAGCGATGCTGGCGAGCTAGCTTTTGTCACAAACGCTACAGTTGGCGTCAATACCATCTTACGCTCTTTGGCCTCCACAAAGGTTGCAGACAAGATGGGTATGGCTTACTTCTCTACAATCTACGGAGCATGCGGCAACACAGTGGAGTACCTCGTCGACCACACTAAGCACATCTATTCTCAGGAAATACCCCTCGCCTACCCAATTTCCCATGCGGACATCTTGCAAAAGGCTGAAGCTCTCCTTCAATCAGACAAGGACATCAATGTATTTGTCTTTGACCTAATTTCATCCCTGCCAGGAGTCAAGATGCCCTGGGTTGAGTTGATCCAGCTGTGTCGCAAGCACGATGTCTACTCTGTGGTCGATGCAGCCCATGGTATTGGACATGTTCCACTCGATTTACAGGCTGCAAACCCAGACTTTCTTGTTTCCAACTGGTACGTTTCCCATTCTTTGATCTACAGAACTAACGCGTAGCCACAAATGGCTCTATGGGTACAGGTCAACGGCCATTTTACATGTACCGAGCCGTAATCAGCATCTCATCCATGCTTTGCCAACAGGACACGGGTACTTGACCGACAAGAAGAAGAAGGCCGGTCTCGGGAAGCTCATCGGTATCGCCACATCAGAGGGCGCCAATGCATTCATTGCTGAATTTGAGTACCCTGGCACCGTCGACATGGCCGGATTCTTGGCCTTGGAAGAGTCTATTGCGTATCGCGCCTCTCTTGGAGGCGAGGCCTGCATCAGGGAATACTGCCAGAAGCTTGTCCAGGACGGGGCAGAAAAGGTGGCACAGATGCTCGGTACTAGCGTCTTGCAAACAGAAGAAGGCTGCAGCATGGCTCAAGTAGTGTTGCCCATTGATTGGGAAGCTGACCAGCAAAAGATGACGCCGAACGAACGCAGTATCTGGCTCATCAAAACGGCCATGGACGATTACAACTGCTGCTTTTCGCCGTTTGTGCACAATCGAATGTGGTATGCTCGTTTGTCTGCGCAAATCTTCAACGAGTTGAAGGACTTTGAGTATGTTGGAACAGTCTTGACAAAGCTGCTCAAAGAGATGTAGCCTCACTTTCGCCGTGCTCTGGCCGGGGCTTTGCCTTTTCCTTTGCTTTTAATCTTGCTGGTTTCTGCGCGCTGCTGAGAATCTTCTTCCGTAGCTTCTTCTTTAGCAGGCGGTGGCTCATCTGTCGCTCGAGCATCGATCTTGACAATCTCCTCGTCGTCGTCATCCTCATCACCTTCATCCCAGCCTTTCAACTTGCGAAGTAACCTGGGTTCTGTGGTCGCTTTGTTCGAACTTGAGCCTTCCTCGACACAGGCAACCTCAGTCTCACTGTCACCACTTGCTGCATCGTCCGCGTACGCTTCTTCAAGTGCATAGCCGATTCCCTCTAGCAAGCTTTCGCTCACTTCGAGATAATCCTCGTCATCGAATTTGATCCTCCGACCAGCCCGGCCCTCTGCATCCGCAATACACTTCTCAAGCTGTGCGCGCTTGGCTTCTCGCTGAAGTGCCTCACGTTCTGGCAAATCGCGTAGCGCTTCCGCAAGTTGTTTTGCTTGTTTGAGGGTAGCGATGCGACGACCCGAGGCATCCTTGGCGGCATCGTTGTTGTGCTTCTTGCGCTTCATGCGCGACCCGGCTGTGCGTAGCTGTGAGCCAAAGCCGCCCTTGCCGCCAAGTACATGCGGATGCAGCGTGTAGCGTGTAGCGCTGTGCCGTATAAGCGGGCATTGCTGGAGAATTGTAGATGGTAGATGATGTTGAAGCGTTATCCCCAGTATCTCCTCGTCACAGGCAATAGTCAAGCGCCCATAGGGCCACGGCGCATCGACGCAAATGTGCATTCAAGATGACGGTGTGGTCAAAGTTCAAAATTTAGGAAGACTTGTACTTATACTTGTACCATACTTGTACTTATACTTATCCTTGTACTTGTTTCTACGGCTACCTCTGAAGTAGACTGGCCAAATCACCTTGGAGCTCCTGTACGCTGCGTGTGCGGAACATTCTTCATCGTAGGAGGGGTGATGGTGCCGGTGTAGCCCATAGCACGAACCTCCTGCACCAGCTGGTTGTACTGCTGATGCGTTCTCAGATCCTCCTGCTTCGTCTGACTCAGCTGCGCGTCATCCTTACCTCGGGTGAGCGGGTCCGAGTCAAATCGTTGCTCACGATTATCAATCTTGCGGTGCTCGTTGAGTGTCCGTTCGTACAAGGTCTTTAGATGCTGCAACTTCTTGTCAATCTCGCGGTTGTTGATCTGCGGGTTGGGATTGGGTCCTGTTGTCACTTGACCGTTTCTGCCACTGCCGTAGGTGCCAAGGTTACGATTGCCGCCAGTCTGAGGCGGTACTCGACCTGGTGCGCCAAACACTTGAGGCTCCGCAGCAGGCAACGCGAGCACTGATAAGACAAAGGCTATGGTTAGCAAGACCCAGCCAGTCAGGAGTCTGTACCTGAACCAGAGAGTAGAAGTGCGATCTGCATACTGATCAGAGTCAGTCGTTCAGCGTCATCTTATATGCATTGCTTGAAACCGTTGCACCAGCAAGGACAAACAGATTGACAAGCGGATCAAAGTTTCGCTTTGATGGCGGCCGGTCCCTTTGCCGCTGGGCCGGCCACATGCTCAATGTGAGACTGATGTCCGCTCTGATGATTTGTCGAGTCGTCCGCAAGACCGCGGCCATGCCAAAGATCACGCTGCAGAGCGCGTTTCAAGCTGGCTGTGAGAACGGCTGCTTCATCGTCGTCGAGATCCTCTCCGCGGATGTGTCCTCCGCCAGTCTTGTACGCAGTACTACGCCCAAACATGTCCCAATTGGCTCCTTCAATGCGTGGGACAATGTGAAAGTGCAGGTGCTCGACCGTCTGTCCAGCACGCTCGCCGTTGTTATTGAGCACATTGAAGTTTCTCCCACCGAGCACTTGTGTCAGTGCGCGAGAGACAGCGGGCAAGGCTCCTCCAATCTCACGAGCCAGCTCAGCAGGAAAGGAAAGCAAGTCTGGGAAGTGTTGCCTGGGAATGACGAGGATGTGCCCTTTTGTGATGGGCATGACATCGAGCAAGACCATGAGCGAGCTATTTTCATAGATGATGTAGGCATCTGACTTGCCTTGAGCAATAGAACAGAATGGACAAGACATGATGCAGCGAGATTGGGCAGTAGCAGCAGAGATGTGTTGGTCGTGGTGGATGAGGAGCGAGTGCGTGTTTGGCTGCCCCGCCCCCAGACCGCAAGACGGCAGCCGAGATCAAGGAAGGCCATCTACTCACTGGAGGGCATCTACTCACTGGAGGGCATCTACTCACTGGAGGGCCGATATCAGTGTCCAAGTGTCTGTGATAACTACTGAGCTCTCAAACCTGAAGATACTTGCTGAATCTGCTGAAGCTTGTAGACGGTCCAGACTGCAGCCAGAGCTTAAATGGCCCTACTACACAGTGGCAAGACCTCTCTCTGGATGCAGCATCTCTTTTCATATACAACGCCTACGAAGCTACGGCCAACAGCTTGGCTCGATGGACTTCGAGGAGTGGCTGCGTTCGAGGTCACCCTCTTCCACTATGCCGATGTGTGGACACTCACAGACATGGCATATGGTGTCGAGGGATCGCGTGGACAATGGCTTCGCTTGCCAATGATTCGCAGCTTCTACAACTCTGGAAGAGCCATGGTCTGTGTTTTCTTTGTCATTTCTGGCATCGTCTTGACACAGCGGACACTCATGCTTCTTCGAAGGCACGACATGGAAGCAGCCTATAGTTCTCTGACATCCTCCGTTTTTCGTCGGGCGCTGCGTCTCTTTCCTTCACCAGTCATCTCCACCTTCATGGCACTTCTTCTGTTTCGCATCTTTCGCATCCAGCCTTTTGGCTCGAATGAAGAGACTGTGCCTTACTTCCCCAGCATACTCGACCAAATAGCACACTGGACCAAAGACACAGTTCGCTATTTGAACCTATTTGAGCCCAACCTCAAGAGTGCCATTGTCGAGGGGCAATTCATTGGCCACGCTTATGCCAACATCGTATGGACCATCCCCATGGAGTTTGCTGGTTCCCTTGCCTGCTACATCCAAGTGCTGGGTACGGCAAAACTGCAGCCACGCGTCAGAAACGCGGTTCTCCTTGGTACGGCCCTCTGGGCTATCATGACTTATCGCTGGGCGCTCTTCAACTTCAACATTGGCATCATTCTTGGTGATGTGATGCTGGCAGAATCCCTCGAGTCGACACAATCCGCTTCGCATCATTCGAAGCTAGGGTACATCCTTTTGTTTCTAGCGGGTATCTACATGGCTGGCATGCCGATGCGCGGGCCGCTCGACAGCCACGAGCCAGCATTTGGCTACAACACAATATGGCGTCTCACACCAGAACGGCTGCTCAACTTCAACTTCAACTTTACATGGTGGTCCTTGGCAGGCATCGCCATTCTTTGGTCTTGCTATCGATTGGCCTTTTTGCGACGCATTTTGGAAGGCGGCTTTTGTCAATACCTCGGCAAGCTTTCCTTTGCCATCTACTTGACACACATCATGGTGCGCGATTGCATAGGCCAGCAGCTCAAGACGATCTTGTTGTATCAGTTTGGTTGCGACGAGGCTTCGTCTGCGATTCGGCAAACGATTCCTCTCCTGCTTTGGTATGCAGTCCTGCTCGTGGTCACCTTTTTCGTCTCGGGGCTATTTGAGAAGCACATTGACGTTCATGTCATCCAATTCGCCAAATATGTCGAGGAACGCATGACGGCTCTCGATAAAGCTCCAGCGGATGTGCCACTGCAGACGTTGCCTACAGCCTCGGTTTGAGCATGTTGACATTCCATGCTCCCGCATCCCCTGGATCAGCCTTGCCGCCGATTTTGTAAAAGGCCTTCTTCCACGTCTCATATGCGGGGTGGCCGTCGTCGAGCTTGTGCGCACACTGTTCCCAAACAAGCAGTTGCTCCCAGAAGCCAGGATTGGGCTTGACGTGCGAGCGAACGCGCTTGATCATCTCAAAGGCTTCATCCCGCGGTATGTTCTGGGAGGCCATGATGTACGCGCACAGAATGGTGGAGGAGCGGGAGATGCCTGCTTGGCAGTGAATCAGGACGCGGCCACCTCCCTTGATGGCTTCGTCGATCCACTGCCGCGAGCTCTCGAATTCCTGTAGGATGTTTTCGTCGTCGTAGTCAAGGACGTCGAGCTTGAGATGCTTGACATGCGGCGGGACCAGGATGCTCGAGTAGGAGAGCAGGGAGATGATATGTGTAATGTCGTACTCGTCGAGCTTCTTTGCGCTCTGTGCCGCGTAGATGTCGCTGATGAAGAGGTTGTCTGTAACTTGGTGTATCTGCGGCCACGCCGTCTTCGTCTTGCCGTTGTCCTTCATCCTCTGATGCTCCCCCCGGGTCCCTGAGTATGTCGTCTTGGTCGTGGTTCTTCGTGTAACGCGACAGTCAAGACACCAACCCTCACACACAGCAGCTGGATCGCCTGCAGACCTCCGGACTGAAGCGCAGAGCAAGGGCCGTCTCTCTCTATCATGCGGCCCGCGGTCCAGAAGCAGCTGCGGCCCATTACCTATGTCCTGGGAGCCATCATCGGCCTCACCTACCTCTACTTCTTCACCTTGACGCCGAGTAAAGTAGCTACAAGCCGTCGTGCAGGGTATACACACGGCAGCAGACCCCTCAGCACGACCATCAAACGCTACAACCTTGCGCATGTGGATGCGACCGCGGATCCAGGGGCACATCTCGAGCGCGTCTTGATCTTAACGCCCATGGCGACCTTCCTGCCTGCGTATTGGCAGAACCTGCTGGCTCTGTCCTATCCGCATGAACTCATAGACTTGGGCTATATCGTGCCTCGCGGGGATCGCTACGACGTGATGCTACAGGACCTGGAAAAGGCAGTACGGCAAGTGCAAACAGGACCCAAGGCACAGCGTTTTGGGAGTATCGAGATTCTGCGACAAGACTTTGAGACGTCCACGGGGCAGTCGGAGAAGGAGAGGCACGCGCTCCATGCACAGAAGCAGCGGCGTGCAGCCTTGGCCACTGCAAGGAACGAGCTGCTCTTTGCAACACTTGGGCCGCGCACAAGCTGGGTCTTGCACCTCGACTCGGATATCGTCGAGACGCCCAAGACGCTGATTCAAGACCTGGCGAAACACGATAAGGATGTCATTGTTGCGAACTGCTATCAGCGCTACAAGAACGATGCTGGTGAAGATGCCATCAGGTCTTATGACTACAATACCTGGCACGAGTCGCAAACTGCTCTGGATCTGGGTAAGACCATGTCTGAGGAAGATTTGCTGCTTGAGGGCTATGCAGAGATTCCAACGTATCGCCAACTGATGGCGTACGAGTATTTGCCTGAGAATGCTCCCAACGAACGCGTACTAGAAGTGGATGGCGTAGGAGGCACGGCATTGCTGGTCAAGGCACATGTCCACCGCGACGGAGCCATGTTTCCGCCTTTCAGCTTCTACCATCTCATTGAAACAGAGGGCTTTGCGAAGATGGCTCAACGGCTAGGGTACAAGTGCTGGGGTCTGCCAGATTACTTGGTCTACCACGTTAATGAGTAGCGACGATGCAACGACACTAGACAGCATGATATAGAGCCTTAATTTGCATCTTTAGCATCGACCTGGAGATCCTTGTGCTTGAATGTAGCACTACCACCAGCGCCATACCGCGCTACATCGTGTCCTTGGCCGTCGAGGAGCCATTTGTAGGTCATGAGGCCCTCGAGGCCGACAGGTCCACGGGCATGGATTTTGCCAGTCGCAATACCCACTTCTGTGCCCAAGCCAAATCGCATACCATCGGCAAAACGCGTTGAGCAATTCACGAAAACGCAGGCAGAGTCGACGCCGCGTTGGAAGGTTTGAGCGTGAATGGGGGTATTTGTCAGGATGGTATCTGTGTGGTGCGAAGAGTGTGCATTGATAAAGGCAATGGCCTCTGTGACAGAGTCAGCACTGCGGACTGATACTGTCAGATCGAGCCACTCCACGCCAAAGTCTGCGTCCGAGGCTTCTTGCACCGTGTCAGGATTTGTTGTATAAGAAAACAAGTCCTTGGTCATCTTGATGGTGACTTGAGCCTCTTGAAGGGCTTGTAGGAGGCTGTCCAGATGCGCTGCAGCCCAGTCCTTGTGCAGGATGATTGTCTCGAGGGCATTACACGCTGCGGGGTAGTCTGTCTTTGCATCGATGAGTAACCGAGCAACGGTTGCTGGATCTGCATCTGCATCGACAAAGGCATGACACACGCCATCTGCATGACCCATGACGGCAATCTTTGTGGTATTCTGGACCTGCTTGACGAGTGCATTCGATCCGCGTGGAATAACCAAATCGATGAAGGTATCGTGATTGAGCAAGTCTGCGACATCATTGCGCGATTCAACAAGGGAAATGGCAGCTTGAGGGATCTGATGCTGCTGGAGGGCTCGCTCGACAATCGAAGCGAGACACTTGAAGGAGTGCAGACTCTCCTTGCCGCCCTTGAGGATGGCTGCATTGCCAGACTTGAGAGCAAGAGCCGTGATGTTGACGACCACCTCGGGTCTCGCTTCAAAGATAACCAACAAGACGCCGATAGGGCAGAGTACACGCCGTAGAACAAGGCCATCGCTGTCGAGTTGCCGCTTCTGTGTGCAAGTACCGACCAAGTCAGACAATGCAGCGACATCCAACACACCTTGTCGCATGGCTTCAAATTTGCCGGGCTTGTTGAGATCCAGTCGACTGATGAGACTACCGGCAAGACCAGCCTTGCGCGCTGCATCCACATCCCGCGCATTCTCTTGTAGAATCAGGGCTTGCTCTTGGCCGAGCAGGGTATAGAGGGTTTGTAAAGTATCACTTCGTGTGGATGCGGGTAATGTAGCGAGAATATGCGAGGCCTCTCTTGCGCCCTTTGCAATACGATAGGATACGGAGTCTTCCATGTCTTCTGCTGATCGTGTCGCCATCTGTGTCTCTTGCCTGCCAACAGATCAGTTCAATGCACTTAGTTCTAGTCTTGGTCTTGGTTTAAAGTGAGGATTCAACCAGATGGAATTCAAGATTTGATCAAGTACAACGAGAAGTAGAAGTAGAGAAAGAGAGGCCTAGGAGCCCCGAGCAAGGCCTACAAGACTCAATGCACATTCTTCAAGCGACATTGCATGATCCATCACTTCGCCTTCCTCGTCATCCACACACGTCTCCTGCGACGCACCTGGCAGGCCCTCTTCTTGTCTATTTGGCTGTATCTTGCACGGCGATACAGCCGTCGCCGGTGCAGACACAACACGTCTGCCTTGACCGTTGCCATGCGTATTGTCACGCGAAGCACTCGGTGGCAGATCCCGCAGATGCGACGGAGAGGCCGGGAGGTAACGCGCAGAGGTAGCCAGTAGTAATCCCTGCCAACCTTGCACCTGTGCCGTTCCTGCAAATTCGTGGGCATCGGCCATCTCTTGAGCAGATAACGTCGTGTGTGGATCCACATTTTCTTTACCTGCAGCAGCCATGGAGGTAGATTTGGCAAGCTTTGTTCGTGCGGCTGATTGTTTACTGACAGATGCAGAGTGAGGCGCTCGCTCGCCCAACAATGCCGGACTACTGACACTGCGTGCAGCTACCAGTTGTCGACGTTTCTTGTCTGCACGCAATTCTTGCTGCTGTAGCCGTTGGAATTTACGTGTAAGGAGAGCAGCACCGGGTATACGCGGTGGTGAGACGGGTGACGGTGCACAGGGCGGTTGGAAACGCAGCTCAGCATGACCATCGAGGTCTTGCAGTTGCAGGGATGCAAGTCTGCGTGGTCTTTTAGTTTGTGCTGTGGCTGACAAGCCTGTTGTATCTGGGCGTTTCGCGAGGTGGATGTAGCCTGTGCCGCGTCCGCCCTTGTTGACGGCCTGAACCTGCGGCCATACCGTCTTTTCTAGATCTGACGAGGAGGATGAGAGGGACGTGGTGGATGTCGAAGCAGACAAGGCAGGCACGTCGCCTGCCGTGACAACAAGCAAGGACGCGTCACTGCCACGCGCTTTCCTCACAGCTTGCCGTTTATTCTGAAACCACACTTGAATCTCGCGTCCATTCATGCCCGGGCCCTCCACCAAACCTATGCGTTTGGAGATGCGTTCGCGTGCCAGGGGATCTGGCTTGTCACATTGCGCGAATTCATCTTCGAGGATGGCGAGTTCTGCACCTGTTGTGCGTCTTCGTTTTGCTCGAGCAGCAGCTGCATCCGCTGCAGCAGTGGCCGTGGCATCCGCCTTGCCAGCCTGTTCTGCAGGAAGCAAGACGTGTTGATGCAGGGTGGGTGCAGCAGGGTGGCCGTCGTGCTGTGAGAATGGCTCGAGTTGTGTGCTGCTTCCTGGGTCCATGTCGCGTGCTGCCTTGCACTCTCAGTCCTTGCAGCTGCCTGGGCCGCTTGTCCGAAGCAGAAGTAGTCAGTAGCAAGCAGTAGTCAGTGAGTTGTTTTTGTTGTTGGAATGCGAAATTCAATTTGGACGCGACGGAATTGAGATATATGCTCTAGTATATATAGGAGTGTAGAGAAAAGAGAGTATCTAGATCAGTCGCATGATATCCATGGCAAGGCCAAGTGCATCTACGAGTACATCAAGCAGTGGCATGGCTTGCTTGCCTAGTGCCGGCGCCTGAGTCAGTAAGACCCAAGAGACAATCGATGCCGGCAGATAGAAGAAGGATGAGGAGCATTAGCATGAGCATGGGCCAGAGAAAGTCTGCTCTTCGTCCATCCCGGTGAGCTGTTTCTTGTCTTCAGGAAATAGACATGGTCATGAGCATCTATTGAGCACTATTGACACAAGATGAGGCCCAGTCCAGCAAATAGAGTCGATGAGCAGGATGAAGAGAGCATTGACTGATCCACAGACAGAGAAGCAGCCTGCATCCCCTCTCTGATGCCTGCTGCCTGTTGCTGGTCTCTGTCAGTCTCTGTGCTGCTTCGTGCGAGAATTTGACGACGACTGATACTGCTACTACTGATACTGCTACTATACTACTGCTACTACTGATACTCTTCTATACTGCTACTGCTACTGGTCTAGTACTGTAGTCTACGGATGCTCACATCCCTCCGCTCAAGTCTCAGAGCACGCCGCCCATTCTGCTCAGCGGCACCCATCCTCACCCAGCGATGGAGCAGACCATCCTCAAACGCAAAGCCGCCCGCACACAACAGCACAGCGGCCATGGCAGGCTCCTCCTCAACCAGCACTGCAGGTACAAGCACTGCTGCACTCAGCAATAGCACATCCTCTCTATTTGGCCTCTCGCAACCAGCACCCAACACCTCCTCCATCCCGCCCGCCGACATCTCCTACTCGCGCTTCATTTCACGGCATGGACCCCTCGAGGTCGCCAACAGGCTCCTCCATCCATACTCCCAAAACTCAAATCGAGCCATCAGCCTGCGTCAACGGCAACTCGCAGCATCCAAGCATCAACAACGCCAACACGCCGCACAGAACGGTGAACGCATGCAGGATCTAGGGGAGAGTATCATTTGGCAATCTGCAACAGGTGCAGAACTCGAACTGGCACGGATCCCTCATGCTGCACTCAGAGCATTGCATGCAGCCTCAACAAAGATGGGGAGCGGGCAGACAGGCAGTAGGGCAGACCGCACCTCTGCTAAATTGTGGCCGCGTGGACAGCAGGAATCTTCAGAGCACGCCGTTCAGTCTACACAATCACGCTTCTCCAGTGCTGTGCAGCGTGCCATGGAACAGCAGGAACAGCAGGAAGAGCAAGAGCAGGACCAAGAAGAGGAAGGAGCGCTGGAGAATGATGCATCGGAACAGCGCAGCATGAGCAACACAGGAAACAACATGAACCGCGTCGTCGTCGTACCCTTCTCCCCGGGCTCAGGTACATCGTCACAGGAGTTTTACGAAAACTTGATGCATGCCGTCGAGTCCGGTCTTCGCCGTGTCGAATCCTACAGCATGACCTCAACAAAACGCAAACGCAGGCTCAAGATGAACAAGCACAAGTTCAAGAAGCGGAGAAAGGAGCAAGAGTCGATGCGAAAGAAGTTGGGTAAGTGAGTCTAGTAGTACATGTCTCGAATAGTCATATCCGTCGTTTGAGCGGCACCTCCAGTCCTCCCTTTGGATGCAGTCGTCGGTCTTTTCGTTGCTCGCTGTGTCTGTGATCGTTGGTGATGCTGCTGCTGCTGCTGCTGCTGCTGCACAGGCCGCTGCCTCTCGCCGTGACTCGACAATGTCTCGATGGGCATCGACCGCGCCGTCTTCAACTGACCTGGTCGAGGCTCGCTTTTTCCCTTTACACTCTCTACACGCACAGCACCTGAATCACCACCTCCCTTTGTCTGTGAACTTGATCGAAATTGCAACAATCGTCGCACAGGATCCTTGGTCGCGTGTCTCGCTGCTGTGTCCTGCTTCTCAAGCGGTAGCTGCGTAGACTGATTGCTGCTTGCTTGCTGCTTGATACCCGGTCGCACAACAGGCACCTCTTTTGCCGTTTGAATGGGCCAATCTTGCTCGGTATCCGTCCCAATTGACCCAGTCGACTGTGGACTCGCCTCTGTTGGTGTATCCTTGATCTTCAATGTCGCAACGCGCAACGGTGCCGTCAATCCAGTAGCAATCGCTTGTGCTCCACCCGATGCATGCACAGATGTGCGATTACTCGACGGCGAACAAACCGGTGTCGCCATTGCGTGTGTCGAAACCAATGAACCACTGCGTGATCGACCAGGCGAGCTATAGGCACCCAAGATATCGATCGTCCAATCAAACGTCCCATCATCACCAGACGACCGTTGTGTCTCTGAGTGGTCGGTCGGGCGTGCATCATTGGTAGGCTGAGCACCCTGCTGATGGACTGTCGTCGCTCGTGGCAAGCTCGCTGGTGTCAGGAGTCCGTGCTGTTCGAGCATCACGGCCTGTGCAGCACCATGCATCGCCGCTGCTGCATCCGCACTCACATCGCGCTCCTCCGCTGCGTGGCCACCGGATATACGCTGCCGCGACAATGAAGCAGGCGGTGTAAAGAGTGCCTTGAGGGTCGGTGTGCGTTTCGGTACACCACGTCCCTTGAGCAAGAGTCGCGATACCAAGAGATCCAAGTCGCCCGCATCCAAGATGTGTGGATCCTGCTTCACCTGCTGCCGAACGCCTTTACTCAATGCTGCAACATCCATACAATATGCGAGCTGAAGGAGTGGTCCACATGCTTGCAACGTCGTAGAGGAGACTTGACTTGCACCTGTCAGTAGTTGCTTTGCACGCTCCATATGCTTTTCTTCCTTGATGTCGAGATCATTGCGTGTATGCAGTAAGTCTGTGAGTGCGTCGACTGTCTGCTTCATCTGCTTTGACCGAGCCAGCACGGTCGCGAGGATCCCCGTAGCTTGCTGCTGCTGAGACGCTGTCAACACCGCTGCCATTGTCAACGTATCAGTCGATCCGGTACCTGGAGCTGGACGCCCGAGACCATCACGGAACAGTAGCAAAGCGACGCCTGTAGCAGCCAGAGACAGCACGAGCGGATGTGCGCTATCGGGAAGCATGCCACTCTGTCGCTTAAGAAAGCGTTGAGCAAGCGGTGTCTTGAGCTTGATGAGACTAGAGATGACCTGGTCGGCGCTGCTGCTGCTCGTCTGAGCGAGGATGTCCAGCTTGGAGGACATGCTTCAATGGACACGAGTGACGGATGAGAGATGGCAGCAAAGCACAGAAGAAGTCTGAGGATCAAGAGAGAGGATGTGGATGGTCTACCACTGCGTCTCATAGCGCAGCTTCTCGTCGTGGCCAGCCTCAAGACGTCGACGGTCCAGCAGGCTCGTTCCCCTGGCTACAGCGGGCATTCTGCGTACCCGTCGCAGTATATCGCCAAGCAGACGGTGGACCATCTCCGTGCTCACGACGATGCCTGATAGCACACCCAGCAGCCGGACGAGGAACTTCCTGAAGGGCATCCGTGCATCGCGAATCATCAACGAGACAGGCTCAATCTCGTACTTGATGAAAATGCCGGGGAAGAAGTCGCCTATTGACTCGGCGGTGGATAGGGAGGATTCTGTCACCGCGTACTGGTTCGTCTCAATCCGTCTACCGCGGCTCTCGTACGTCGTGGGCACGATATTGACAAAGTATTGGAAGCGATGAAAGGCATGCGCTGCATCGGCATGTGTCCCATCCAGCGGATTCTTCAGCTTCGGGTAGTACGGACCAAATGACAGCTCGTCAATGCGGTGCGTAAAGTTGAGCTCTTCAAAAGCAACTCGACGGTTCGACATGTATCCAATCCCTTCAGCGGTGATGTGCAAGTCACCAGCAACATGGTTCACCTGCATGGTTCCATACAAGCGGCAGGCCTTGCCATCCTTCCTCTCCCTCACCCGTCGCCAAGGATGTGATCGAGCAGCACTCATTGCATTCTGCAAGTCGTACGCCTCATGACTCTCCTCCTGCCTGGCCTGATCCAAGTGCTGCGTCTTGTCCTCATCCCAATCCACCTTCACTTTCCGCAGTGCATCAGCAGCCAAAATGCGGTCTCCTGAGGCATCCTGCACATTGATGGTCACCATATCGCAAGGCATCGCAACGGTCAAGTCTGCATTGACATACAAGTGTTCCTTGATCTCCTGCTCCACAGAGAAGGAATGGTGTTCATACCCGCCCAGGTACCAGGTAAACTCTGCGACAAAGAGGTAGAAGAGCGCAAGAAGCAGCACAACAGTCAATACGGCACCCCGCACCGTCCGCTCTGCACGGTAGCTGCTTTCTACCTTGGGGAAGGCGTCAAATGCCTTGAGACCAGAGACTGGTTCAAAGGCCTCCATCTCTGGGCTGCTTAGGCTAGTTGATGGTCTTGTTCGTGAGTCGCAACTTGACAGCGCGTCAAAATTGGGCGACATCTGCAGATGGAAACACCCAGCAGGCCGCTTTCGTTGACCTTCACTTGAGTTGCTCTCCTTACTAAAACACTTCTACAAAGTAGGGAATTGAGACCCCGCTTCACAAGATATTACTGCATGAGAGCAAGCAGAATGTCCTTGTCCTTGCTCTTCATGACCATATCTTGAAACAAACCCTCTTCCTTGACCAACACCCGGGGCGAGTCAAACTGTACGACCCGTCCCTTGTCCAGCACAAGAATCTTGTCATAGTCTGCAATGGTATTGAGACGATGCGCAATAGTCAGGATCGATGCACCGGAGAATTGTGTTTGCAGTGCAGCTTGAATGCGCTGGTCCGTCTCAAAGTCCACAGAAGCAGTCGCTTCATCTAGAATGATGACCTTGCTGCGACGCACAATGGCCCGAGCCAGAGCCAGGATCTGACGTTGTCCCTGACTAAAGTTGTCGCCATTGGACTTGACCACCGTGTCCAAAGTAATGCGGCGGACGCCTTCAGTCTGCACGGGTGTTGTGGTACCACTCTCGCTTGGGTTGATACCACAGTGCTGTAAAGCCTCAGTCAGAGTCTCATCCTGCATCTCTCCAAAAGGATCGAGATTGCTGCGCACGGTACCTGAAAACAAGATTGGATCTTGCGGGATGATGGTGACACGCTTTCGTAGCGTCTCGAGGTTGACATCGCTAATGTCGACACCATCCAGCACGATACTGCCGCCAACCAAATGTGTGAAGCGAAGCAAAGTCAAACCAAACGTACTCTTGCCAGAACCTGTTCGGCCAACAATTCCCACCTTTTCTCCCCCACGAATACTCACCGAGACGTCCTTCAGTACAAGCGGACCGTCGAGGCTGTAACTGACACGCACTTTGTTGAGCTCGATTGCGCCAGTCTTGGGCCACGCAGCATTGGGCTCCTTCTCCTCGGTGTAGGGCTCTTCTTGTTCTAGCTGCGTGTAATCTTTGACACGCTGGAAGGAGTTGAGTTCAATCTCGAGCTCATTGAGTGTACGCACGAGATACAAGACGGACGTGCTGAAATCGTTCGCCATAGACAGCGAAAAGCCAACGAGTCCAGGAGCGATATTGCCTTGCCGCAAGGCAAGTATAGAAGCACTGAACGTGATGAAAGAACCCAAAAAGTCTGCACGTACTTGCACCCTATCGTTAGTTGGTTTTATCTCAGGACCGCATACCATCTGTTTAGACTGTACAGTGTCTCGAGTGGCCGTGTGTGTACATCAATGCGTTTCTCAACTTCTTTCGTGAAGCGCTTCTCGTAGCCAAACGCACGGATTGTGACAATGCCTGAAATGGCATCTCCAAAGTGACTTAGCAGCGGCGACTCGGTTGTTGATACCAGCCGCTTGCAGCTGATGCTTGCTTTGGTATAAGCCTCACCAATAAGCAGACCACCAACGGAAACAATCATGGCAGGAATATAGAATAAGGGCATGACTGCGCCAATTGAGAAGATCTTGAAGAGTACATTGAGTGCATAGTTAGAGACCATGCGCAGCCAAGAGACAATGGCACTGTCGAGCGAGCGAACGTCCTTGGCAAACCGATTGACAATGCGTCCCACGGGCGTCCGATCGTACCAAGAAAGAGGAGCATAGAAGACAGCATGTAATAAATTGCTGTGCAACTTGCCAGCAGCGACCCAAATACCATGATAGAAGAAGCAATTGGTGATGGCGTTCGCAATGGCAATACTCGTAACCACAATTGCATACACAGTCAGGTAGTAGTCAACATGAACCGATCCGTCCGACTTAAAGACCAGCGCTCTGACGCGTTCCGAGTAAGCATCAGACCAGCGCCCGAGCCAGTAATTTTTGGCCACATCCGTACCTTGGTAAGCAAAGGTTGCAACAACCATGGCAGCAATGAAAATTGGCGAGCCAAACAGCTTGACGAGCCTAAAGGACTCAAGTCGCGAGATGCGGCCACTGGCACGTTCTTCATCTTGCACAAGTTTAACAGGTGCCAAACGTACCGTTTTGCCCATGTCAGTGTGTGGTTTGAGTTGTGGCTCAGCTTCCGGTGCTTCTTGCTGCGGCAAGCTTGCGAGATTCGTCATAGACTGTACTGTCTTGAGGCGTGCCTGACCGTCTTGCAATTGAACAATCTGAGTTGCTTTTTCTGTGCAAAGCGCCACGTTGTGTGTGACGAGGATCAAGGTGCGGTCTTTTGCCAAGGGTCCACAGATGGCCTTCTCGAAACAATGCTTCCCGGTACCGCCATCCAATGCACTCAACACATCATCCAGCAAGACAATCTGTGTCGAAGCGTAAAGTGCGCGCGCTAAAGCAAGTCTCTGTTTTTGTCCTCCAGAAAGCGTTACACCTGCTTCGCCCACTTCTGTGTCATCGCCATGGTCAAGCAATGCGAGATCTGATAGTAACGCGCACGCTTCAAGTGTTTGACGATAGCGTTTCGGGTCAAAGGAACTGCCAAAGAGGATGTTGTTTCTGATAGTTGCATTTTGGAGCCATGCCGTCTGACTGACGTAGCTGACGCCTCCTTGTCTAGGGAGATGCACATCGCCAGTCGTTATGTCCATCTCACCGAGTAATGCTGCAAGCAGAGAACTCTTGCCAGACCCCGTAGGTCCAACAATCAGGTTGAGACCTGGTGGGAAGGTCAAATTGAGGTTCTTGAGCTCAAAGGTATCTTTGCCCCATGACACTGTTGCATTGAGAAACTTGGGCGTTGTTGAGACCTGCGAGGCTGCGGACGCCGGTGGACGTTCAGGCGCTTCATTGAGAAATGTGTCGATACGCCGCATAGAAACAACTGCTTGAATCACGAGTCGTGACATGAAGCCGATCCAAATGAAGGACGAAGAAGTAATGGCAAAGAAGCCAATTGCCGTGAATGCAATACTTGCCGTCAATGGCTTCTTGAGCACTTTGGTATACAATAGGAACGTGATAAGCATGTTGGCGTTTGGCAGCAAGTCTGTGACGATGGAAATGAGAATGGAATAGAAGTTGCGTTGCCAAAGCTTACGCTGCTCTGCATCACGCAGCTCTGTGATTCGCTGGATCTGCGCACGCTCAGAGCCAAACATCTTGGTGATGCGGATGTTGGCAAGACTTTCATTGACTAGCGTCAAGCGTGCATCCGTTGCTTCACTCGCCTCCTTTTGCAAGACTGCGAGGCGCTTTGCTAGCAGACCAGGAATGGGCAAAGTCACAACAAGCCACGCAAAACCAGCAAAGGCCGGCCAGCCGAGCAAGTTGTAGAGCAAAACGACACTCAGTATTGAAGAAATTGGCAATGCGACAATGCATAGAAAGAAATCGCGCGCACTGGTGATTTGCTCAATGTCGGAGGAGAGCAAGTTGGAGACTTTGCCTGTGCTGTGTTCGCTCTCTTCGCCCTTTGCATTGAATGACGATTTGCCAGGTCGCATGACCATGACCTTTGTAAAGATGAGTTGCGTCATGGCACTCTTGACGCGTACAATGGCGCGTGTTGAGAGGAGAATATAAGCCTGGAACAGGACAGAGTCCAGGATCGGGGCAATCAAAAGAGCCAACGACCAGGCATACGGGCTGACGGTTGCCTTTTCCGGTTCTTCGAGGTATTGCAGTACGTTTCGCATTGCGATAGGCGGAATAAAGAGAACGAATGATTGTAGTGATGCCAAAAGCATCATCTTCGCGAGATGCCAACGAAAGAGCACAAGCAGAGTTCGTAATACGGTCGAGCGGCGTGCATGCAAGATCTTCTCCTTCATGTACGCGGCGCGGTCATAGTCAGGCAGAGGAGGTAGATCTTCTAGCTCGAGGTCTCTGCGGCCTCCTTTGCGGACAACAGGGTCAACCCATTGGTAGCTTGCAAAGTAGCTGAATGGGGTACATGTCTGCTCAGGAGCAGCAACATCTTCCTCGTTCGCTGGGTCCACTGGGCGCCATATGCGCGGCGTAGACAGCGGAAGAAGGATTAGTAGAAACTGGATGCCAGCTGACAGGTAGCTGTCCAAAGCGACATGCTCTCTCGGAATGTACAAAAGTGGAAGCAGTGTCGTGATGAGACTTGCAGAGAATGCGCAAACAGATAGTATGGTCGTGTGCACATAGAGTCGCTCGTCTGACGGCCGCATACACGCCAGAACGAGTGTGTATAGCCAGAAGACTGGAATGAGCCAGGTAGACTTATCTTTTACTTCGCTTCTTTCGATAGCACCCCATACCGCACAGACCAGCTGCAAAAGAAGCAATCCAATGGTTGCATAGCCAAAGACACGTCGCAGCCCGATGAGTTCTACGATACCTTTCCGTCTTTTTGTGAAGAGGAATGCGACCAGCGATAAGGCCAATGGTGCTGCGTACAACACGAGCCGGACAGTCTCTCCATGAACACGATGCCGCCCAGTCATACCTGTGCTGGGCCGATGCGTGCTGCTTTCCTGAGGATGATGGCTCTCTGTCGCGTCTGTCTCGTCTATATCTGCTGCTGCTGCCTTTCCTCTTTCGGGTGGGTCAGCAACGGGCCGCCCGCATCTACCGGCCAGCAGGCGAAGCCAGCATGAAAGTGCAGCTGATAGACGGCCATGGTGGTAGTGGCCGAAGCGTAGATTGACGCCTGCTGGCCGATTCAATGTCTATAAAAACCCTTTGCATTCGAGTATTTGTGACGGTGCTTTGTACAGCACTCAAAGTCTTCAGCATCCTCCACCACAAACCTTCATTACGTGAATAGTCGCTGCATGAACCGCTGAGATGGATGCAGATCTAGCATACGAGAGAAAGCTCATTCAGCTTGAACAAGACAGACTTCGCTCGTTCACAGATAAATCCGCTTTCAATGCACCTGCTCTCGAGGCCCTTCCCAATCGGATCGTGCTTCGCAACCATGCCTTCCCAGAGGCACTCCCCTCCGCTGCTCTTATCTACTTTTCTGATTTGACTTTCGAGGAGGTTGCTGCAGGCAAATACTGCTCGGCCATGGTCAAAGCTGCGCCGAAGCGCTCAGTAGCCTTGTCTACTGATCAAATTGCGCTACCCTACATATTGATGCAGATCGAGGTGGCCGACAAGGGTGAGCCGGGTTCTCAGGAGGTCTCCCTTGAGCTTCAAAACTGCTTTGATGGCCTGACAGAAGCGCAACTGTCTGATGCATTACCTCTTGGAAGCTTTCTCTCAATCAAGTCACCCTATCTGACCTTGTCCTCAAGACATCAATCTCAAGTCTTGCGCATCGATCATCCTTCCGATATTGAAGTGAGACCACCGGAACTGGCCCGTGACCATGAGGCTATGAAACAAATCGGCAATCAGGCATTCCGTCAGAAACGCTACAACAGCGCACTGCGAGCATGGCAATCCATTCGATCAAAAAATCAAGACTTTCAAGCATCGCTATGGCTCAATATTGCTGCTGTCTTGATTGAGCTGCATCGCTATGAAGAGGCAATACACTATTGCGACCAAGTCCTCGGCATCAGCAAATTCAACGCAAAAGCACGGTACCGAAAAGCAGTAGCCATGTACGGATTGCGCGATTTCACAAACCCTTATCTGGAAACATTCCTGCGCGATGAGTCCATGAGATTGACAGAATCGTCGCCTCAAGCCCTGCGAGGTCTGCTCGATCGCCTCACGCTACGACTCAGAGAAGCGCGCGGTCAATTCACCTGGCGGGATTGGCATCGATTACATGAATTTGCCAAGCAAGGTCTGCGCGTTGATTTTGCCAATTACAACAGCCCATACATCGAGAGGCGAGAAGTGTCTGGTGCTGGCATTGGTCTGTTTGCGAGACGATCCTTGCGTGTTGGTGATTTGATTATGGTGGCAAAAGCAGCAGCGTTGCAGCTACCGAGCGAGGCTCGCTTGACGGACGTGCCCATTATCGACTTGGTCGACGAGACTGTGCATACCACACAATCCCCGAACCTACTCGATGCTCTCGCTCAGAGTGCGCATATATCAAACACCATGTGTGAGCAATGGTCACAGCTGTATGCCGGTGAGGAATATTCACGCACACCAAAGACCAAGCTTTCCTCTCACCAACTCCGCAAAATGATTCAGTACAATTCATTTGCCTTGGAGGATAGCGAAGTTGAGCTACCGACACTCTTCCAGCGACAAGACCTCCCACCGCAAGAAGAAGGTGCGCGTGGGTTTTGGCACATGCCGAGTTACTTCAATCACAGCTGCCTTAACAATTGCTCCAGGATGTTCATGGGAGACATTATGATCATCAAAGCGAACAGGGATATTGACAAGGATGAGGAACTGACACTTGGTTATGTGCACCGCTTTCAGCTATTCAAGGAGAGACAGGAGGCATGCCAAGATTTTGGCTTCACTTGTGCTTGTGAGTTGTGCATGGTTGAAAAGGAGGAACTCGACAAGTTCCCCAGTATTGTGGATGAGCGCCGAGTCTTGCAAGCTCAGTGGCGAGCCAAGGTTGAGCATTTGAGAGATGACCTGCCCAAGCTCGTTGGCGAGACTGAGGCATTTTTGGAACAACTGCGAGCGACCTATGAAAAGACACAGCGCACACAATACCATTTCGCGACAATCGTGCCACTCGATGTGCTTGTATTGAGCAATAAAGCACTCGGTCAGTTCCCTCAGGCGTACGCAGCTGCGATGGACATGGCTGCTTTGGGTTGTGGTCTCTTCGATGACTACACCCTTGGTATTAACCTGCATATTGCTCTCATCCGCCAAGCCATGTCTGACGTGTCACCACCACTCGGCGATCGAATTGCGCAGTATATTGCAGCAACAATGGAGTCTCTAGTTGCCATTGCAAAGGGATGGCGTTGTCGCGGACTCGTGGCAGGCTTGCCTGGGTTTATTCGTGGCTTCAAGCAAGTGTATGATGGCGATGCTATCAAGAGAGGTGAGGCGATTGGCTTTGGCATCATCCGCGGGTTCCTCATGCTAGAGCAGGATTTGCAGCGAGGAGTGCTGGACTTTGATCTATCGATGAATGAAACTTCAAAAGCTTCTGAGTGAGTCACCCTTCATCTTTGTTGTTTGGCGAATAAATTTCAAACTATAGTTCTAGCTACATGACCACCACTTCATGATCAATGCTTCCACGAGATGCTCATCTGTCCTTCCATCTGCTGCCATCGGCTGGCTCGTCTACGCACCGTATAGCTGCGCTCGTCACAGTGATTGATGAGATTGCCATCATGCGCACCTTTGATCCAGAGCGAGACCATTTTGTCTCCTTTGCTCGTATCCTCTACCTAGCAGGACAAACAATCGTCAGCGGTCTCTTGAGCTGTGCGCTCGAACGTGGCATCGACTTCTTTCTATCACTTGGAGTGTCTGGACCTGAGGTCGTCGAGCTCTGGGTACCCGTACCAAAGGCACGCTCTCTCTTGCCACAACTCTTCCGTAAAGTTCCCTCTGCGTTGGCAGCGCTACTGGAAGAGAAGCTAGATAAATGCTTCACTCTGCATGATGCAACTCGCTCCTCGTTGATGCATAACTGGGCGTTGCGCACTCTACCGAGAGAAGACTATTCAACTAGGCTGCTGCAAGCTGCCATGTTTTCATGCAGTGATGTCGAGCGCATCATTAACAAGAGCGACTGGATACGCACGAGTGTAACGACGTCAATGAAGTCTGCCGAAGGTGTGTCACAGAGCTCTGTAGATCGAGATATGATATTATGGAGTGCCTCTGCAGTCGAGAATCTGCAACACGGCTCCGTGCCCGATGACCAACACTGGCGAGGCATCTTGAAGCATCTGGATGGATTTCTTGAGGGTAAGGCCTGCCAGCAATCAAGCAAGGAAGTGGCCCTGGTGGAAACATGCGAGCGTATGCTTCATCACTTTAGCACCTCACCTACAGCGTTGCTACGTCGGATCCCTCCCACGCAACAGGATCCAAAGATCAAGGTGAAACACGCTGCCACGCAAACTTGTCAGCTACTGGCACCTGGGACACACAGTATCTCCACGCAGTGCGATATATTGGTGGAGCGTCCTGAGATGGACATCTCACCGCGGATCAGCCTGATGTCTACGCTTTTTTCCATTCCTCTTCTACTCATCATCTGGGTCGTGGCGAAGTGGTACACATGACTGGTCACTCTTTCGCATTGTTGCCGTGACAGCTGAGTGCACGACACTGATGGACTGCTGAGACCGGCATGGCTTTCAGTACTGAAGACCACTGTCAATATGCAGTTTTAGCCTGCTGAGGAAAATTTGCCACAATATTTGTGACTGCCCTGTGACGTCCCTCGTCACTCCCCGCGATTCAATCGCAGCCAAAGACCACGACCAGGACCACACATCAAATCATGACTCTCTCCGTTGGATCTACCGTGCCTACCTCCTCAAAGCTTGCTGAAGGAGCTCCAGACAAGACTGTCACTCTGCCTACATCTGGCAAGTATGTTCTTGTCGCCGTGCCTGCAGCCTTTTCGCCCTCTTGGTACGTCCATTCATCATTGCTAATCATTGACTAATAAACAGCTCGAACCAGGTCCCTGGTTATCTTGAGAAGGCCGAGACGTTCAAGGAGAAGGGCTACGAGATCTACGTGGTCTCGGTGAATGACACCTTCGTGATGGAAGCCTGGAAGGAGAAGCTTGGCGGAGGCAAATCTGGCGTCCACTTTGTCGCTGACGCAACCGGTGACTTCACCAAGCAGACTGGTTTGCTCTTTGATGCTTCTGGTTTGCTTGGCAACCACCGATCTAACCGATACGTGGCTGTTGTGGAAGATGATAAGGTCAAGCACTTTGCCGTTGAGGCTAGCCCTCCTGATGTCAAGGAGACTTCCGTGGAGAAGACGCTTGCTGCCCTTTAAATTGCCAAATCAAGTATCTCATAGCATCTAAATGTATGACTTTGACTCAAAGCGTATACCTGAATGTTTCTTCACTGCCTTCCTTCAATTGCCCACGAGCCACAGCCTCGTCAATCTGCCGATTGCTCCTCGCCAAGACAACCCAGATAGCTGAAGTGGAGAGGAGGGCTAGGCACAGAAACCCCAAGGCAGTAGCATGCCCCGTTCTATACCGTGGTGCATCTGTTCTTGGATAAATGTACGCCGCGGCCACACCACCTAGTTGTCCTACAGACAATTGGAATCCTGCGCCAGCTGCTCGTTTCGATGCATTGGGGATTTGATTGGAAAGCCAGCCAATGTTGAGCGCTGATGCGGTGAAAATGCCTGTTGCACACAGAAAGACACTAAAGTACTGCACTGCTGGTTGAGTCTTGGTGTTGGTTGCCAGGAGGATGATGTAGCCAACCATGGCAACCGCTGTCCAGAACAAGATGAAGGGTGCTCGACGCTGAGTTCGATCAGAGAGGTAGGATGTGCCTATGCAGCTGAAGAATGCACAGGCATACGGCGGAACAGTGAGTGCCTGTGCCAAAATGGCGGAGAAGCCCATGGCAGAGATGATGGAGGGCAGGAAGAGTGCAAAGGAAAATGTAGGCAGGGCGATACCAATGCAGAGCAAGCCAAATAGATAGACTCGATAATCTTTGAATGCCTTGCGGACTTGATGCCAGTCCAAGCCACCTTCAAGTTTGTGCCCAGACCAATCCTTCTCCAGCGTTTGTACGACCCGAAGACGTTCGTCGGGTGACAGGAACTTGGCAGTCGCTGGGAAGTCTGCAAGGAAGAAGAAGGCAACGATAGCTCCGGCAATAGTCATAAGTCCCTCGATTGCAAAGAGCCACCGCCAGCCTTCCAGACCGCCGCGTTTATTGAGCTTGGTGAGACCAGTTGCCAAGAGGCCACTGAACGCTCCTGCCAAAGTTGCCGAGGAGAAGAAGATGGCAACGCGCAGCAATAAATGACGACGTTGATACCAGAGGGAGAGGTAGAAGATGGCGCCTGGAAATAGGCCGGCCTCTGTGAAGCCTAGAAAGACACGGCAAGCGACCAGGCCAGCAAAATTTTGCACAAGACAAGTCAGCGTGGTGATAATGCCCCAGGCTAGCACAATGCTTGGAAGGTACAGACTTGGCCGACTGAATCGTTTGAGCAACAAATTGCTTGGGATTTCCCATGAGACATAGCTGACGAAGAGCACAGACAGCGCTATGTTGTACTGCGTGTTGGAGAGCTTCAAATCAGTTTGCAAGCCGGCGACTCGCGCATTACTGATGGATGTTCGATCCAAGAAAGAGAAAAAATAGAGCATGGTGATCATTGGAACCACACGCAAATCAATTTTCCGTAACAATGCGCTATCGATACCATCAATCTCGAATGTTGCGTTTTGGATAATCTACTGTTAGCTTATTGTCGAAGCAAAAAGAAGACTTGCCTGCTTTTGAGACATCTACCGTTAGCACATATCAGGAGGATCGTTCAACAAAGCGTCGCTTCTTTCGCAAGTATTATCTTGAACAAATCAAGTTCGGCGGTGTAATCTCAGCCTGGAGCATAACGCTCCGAGCACCCGCGGACAAGTATGTTGACGATAGACTTACCAGAGACGCAATGTCTCGACATGATGGAACTACATTGGCTCTCGTACAGCTGGTCAGGTGGTGGACAAGTGTTGCCACTGTGTTGGATTGATTAGATCTCGAAGTTGGTCGTGGTGTCCCATCTGATTTCCCCTTTCGGTTGCTGCCGACGACCCCGCAAACTCAGCTGCAGGTAGTGACTAAGTAGTCCAGTACTCATCTGACCGTCATCTGCTCATTGACGCGTCCATGTCGACTCAGAAGATCGTCAAGGCTATCCGGCCGTCTGCTTGCTTGATCATTGTCTCGCCGCTCGCAAAGCGCGTTCAGGGCTATGATTACCGCATCGTTCTCGTCAGGCGCAATGACAAGGCCAGCTTCGCCAGTGCCGGTGTCTTTCCCGGTGGTCTCTTGGAGCCTATTGACAAGGTCGGCACCAGCTCCAGTGATCCTGCGGCACAGATGGTAGGTGCATCGACGACCGCGGTTGATGCAGCCTCGCTCGCACCTAATCAACCCAACTCTATCGACAACCCGTCTCTCGAGGCATTCAAGCGATGTGCCTTTCGTGAGACCTTCGAAGAGACGGGTATTTTGCATACAACGCCGCCTATTGACTTCTCAAAGTCTGGGTCACGCAAACAGGCCCGTCAGCGTGCCAATAAGAGTGCCACCGAGTTCTACAAGATGTTGGAACAAGGCAAAGCGGCATTACCACTGAACGATGTTGTCTACTTTTCTCGCTGGATTACACCCGTGATGCTACCAAAGCGGTTCGATGCGCACTTCTTCTTGCACGAGGTTCCAAGTGCGCAGACACTCCCTGCAAGGCAAGACAATTCAGAAACGCTTGAAATTTCGCACTTCACCCCAGATGAAGCAATTGCGGCGTACCGTGCGGGAAAGATTATCTTGTTCTTGCCGCAGCTGTACATCCTGCATGACTTGGCACTCTTCAAGAACCGCAAAGACTTGTTCTCTGCTGACGTTCGCAGCCGCAAAGTCGAGGCTTTCCTGCCAGACATGTCTAAGCAGAAAGGCTACGTCGTGTTGCCTGGAGACGAGCTGTCTGGTGGTGAACCAGGCACCTTGAACAGGGTTGCCGTTGAGAAGATTGGCGATGTCATCAAGCCATCGCTTATCACAAGAAAGAACTACCCTGGTCTGCCGAATTTGGATGGTAAACAGACGGCTGAGAGCATCGCCAAGCTCTAATAGACATAACTCATATCATGAAGACGGTGTAGAAACAGTGACGACTGGCATTCGGATCAGCAATTGCTTACGTAAGCAAAATCTGCAAATTTGCGTTTGCTTTCATGATGCACCTAGGCAATGCGTCACCTTGGCGAGCCTTTGGCGGAATCGGTATACGCGGCTGATTTAAGTTTTGACGTCCTCAGCTTTCGAAAGAAGTGCGGGTTCAAGTCCCGCAGGGCTCATTTTTTTATTTCCGCAATATATACTTCGTGTCAACTAAGGCACCTGTACAAATAGCTTGACAATACTAGTGACATTTGGTCTGCCTACCCGTCATTTTGAGACCCTCAATGCTCCATTTTCCTTCTTGAAGCTGGTAACTGCAGTGTAAGTTACTGTGTATTGTCCTGTCGTGAACTTCCCCTCACGTGTCTCAGCTGTAAATTCGCGTTGTGAAGGTTAAAGACGCGACCAAGAGCTCCATCGACACGCTACACATGAGCTCTCCAGCTGCTTCAGAGCCGCAAGAGCGAGCACCTGCAGCAAATGGCACACCTGCTCGCTCTGCACGAAATGGCAACAACTCACCTCTCTTCTTCCCGTCCTCTGCTGTTTCGCAGCGCATTCTCGGTAGTGATGCCGCAACACCGCGGCCAGCACCCAGCTCAGCGCGCGCCCGGGGTTCATCGCCTCTTCGCTATGGTTCCGCTGCCTTGCGCAGTGATTTGACGGCTGTGACGGCCGGTACACCGCGTTCACGTCGCGGTGACATCAATGCTGCACAAACCCCGTCGCGTCGCTCAGTCTTGTCTGCCATGCAGCAATCTGACCAGGCTGAACCTGAAGAAGGCGTGCGCGTTATTTGGGGAACGAATGTTTCCATTGCAGAAAGTATACAGAGTTTCCGCACATTCTTGACCTCCTTTAAGCCAAAGTATCGCATGATCGCGCAAGGGGAAGTTCCTGAAGCTGGAGAAGGCGACGAGACCATTTACTTTGACAAGGTCAATCAGATGCGTCAACTGGGCTTGGCAAATCTCAACCTCGATGTTCAGGATCTGGCCGCGTACCCAATCACCAAAAAGCTCGCCAATCAACTCAAAAATTATCCTCAAGAAATCATACCTATCTTTGATCAGACGCTCAAGGACGTAATTCTCGAGATCCTCGTGGAAGAGAATGCCTCTGCCGAAGAAATTGGCGATGTGGAACGTCAGATCTACAAGATTCGTCCATTCAATCTCGGTACGAGTCTGAACATGCGCGAACTCAACCCCGGAGATATTGATAAGCTTGTTTGTGTCAAGGGTCTCGTCATCCGCTCAACACCCATCATCCCGGATATGAAGGTCGCCTTTTTCAAGTGTGACATCTGCAACCATACCACCAACGTCGAAATTGATCGCGGTCGCATCATGGAACCCACCGTCTGTCCACGTCGTCAATGTGGTCAATCCGAGTGCATGGTCTTGATTCACAATCGCAGCGAATTTAGCGACAAGCAACTCGTCAAGCTGCAAGAGACTCCCGATGCCATTCCCGATGGTCAAACACCCCATGCCGTTAGCTTGTGCGTGTATGATGAAATCGTTGATGTTTGCAAAGCGGGTGATCGTGTTGAGGTGACGGGCATCTTTCGGTCTGTGCCAGTACGACTCAACCCGCGTCTGCGTGCCGTCAAGACGCTCTTCAAGACGTATGTCGACGTTGTGCACATTTCCAAGACGGACCGCAAGCGACTCGGCCAGGACATCTCTACACTGACGGACGAGTTGATGCAAGAAGACACAACTGAGCAGATTCGCAAGATTTCAACAGATGAAATTGAGAAGATCAAGGAGATTGCTGAGCGCGACGACTGCTATGAAGTGCTGGCTCGTTCATTAGCGCCTAGCATTTGGGAAATGGAAGACGTCAAGAAGGGTATTCTGCTGCAAATGTTTGGCGGTACCAACAAGGTCTTCACCCGTGGCGCTGCTCCACGGTACAGAGGCGACATCAATGTCTTGCTATGTGGCGACCCTAGTACCTCAAAGTCGCAAATCCTACAATATGTACACAAGATTGCACCGCGTGGTGTCTATACCTCTGGCAAGGGATCTTCTGCCGTAGGTCTCACTGCCTATGTCACGCGCGACGCAGACACAAAACAGCTCGTGCTTGAATCTGGTGCACTCGTTCTTTCTGATGGCGGTGTCTGCTGCATCGACGAGTTTGACAAGATGTCTGAATCGACGCGTTCAGTGCTGCATGAAGTGATGGAACAGCAGACTGTCTCAGTGGCGAAAGCTGGTATCATCACAACACTCAATGCCCGTACAAGTATCCTGGCCTCTGCCAATCCAATCGGCAGCAAATACAACCCGAACTTGCCAGTCCCACAAAACATTGACTTGCCACCTACGCTCCTCTCGCGGTTCGATTTGGTCTACCTCGTGCTCGATAAGATTGACGAGACCGCAGATCGAAGGCTTGCCAAGCATTTGGTAGGCATGTACCTCGCCGACCGTACACAATCTGCAGCGACAGGCTTCACTATCCCAGTGGACCTTCTTACCAGCTACATTTCCTATGCTCGCAATGAAATCAAGCCACAAATGACTGCTGAAGCAGGTGATGAGCTGGTACGCGCCTATGTCGAGATGCGCAAGCTTGGTCAAGATGTGCGTGCAGCGGAGAAGCGTATCACTGCCACAACGCGTCAACTCGAGAGTATGATTCGATTGTCTGAGGCACACGCAAAGATGCGATTGTCCAGTGAAGTCGTATTGGCTGATGTTCAAGAAGCCACGCGACTCATCAAGGCCGCCATCAAGGAATACGCAACAGACAAGGCAACGGGCCGTATCGACCTCGATTTAATCAATGTCGGTACCTCTGCTGCGCAACGTCGTGCAAAGGTTGACTTGCAGCGAGAAGTCAAGCGTCTTATTGGAGTGGCGCGTGAAGTTCGCTTTTCAGACTTGCTCAAGAGCGTCAATGACCAGTCTAACGCTACTGTTGAAGCACATGAGATCAACGAGTGCTTGCGTGCCCTCGAAGCGGAAGGAGGCGTTCGCGTTCAGGGACAAGGCAGCAGTCGCATGATTCGTGTGGTTGGACCAGCTTCTTAGAGCTATGTGTATAGACAATAAACTTTTTAAACTTGGAAGAACTAACGAAAGACAATGTACATACACAGGTGACAGAGGCCTAGATGTTGAAGGAGTTGACGTTGTTGCGCAGGACAGCAGCGCTTGCAGGTCGGAAGGTGTCTGGGATGAGCTTGCTCGAGAAGGCTTCAATGTTGAGCAGCTGCTGGGTCTTGGTCCACGAAGGCCATTGCAACGCGGGCGTAGCACCGACATTGGGGTCGAGGTTGTTGATGAAGTTGATGTAGTAGCGTTGAATGGTCGCTTGTGGGTAGCCAGGCGCGTAGAACAAGGCAAGGATGTCACTTGCGTGGAATGTGCCCAAGAGAGGAGTGCCATAGAAGTAAGAAGAAAGATAACTCCAAGTGTTGGGCACAGTCTTCGAGGTGTACTCTAAGAATACTCGTCGAGTGAGCGTAAAGACGGCATCACCAAGCAAAGCAGCGAGCCGCTTGTACTGTGGGTAGAAGTTGTTGAGAGGCCCAGTGCGGAAGGGCGAGCCAGCGGAAGGGTCATCTGGGTAGGAAGCCACAAGTGCATCGATCGTCGAGCGAGGAGCATCGAGGAAGAAGTACTTTTGCAGGTAATCCGAAATTTGCTCCGATGTCGTGATGTTGTTTTGCACAAGAGAGAAGAGTGTACCTTCATCCTCCTGGTCGCCAATGATCAGTGGCACCTTGGCGTAACGTCCTCGTTGAGCAAGTTTGGCAGGTGAATCTGGCAATACGACGCCATCAGGCCTGGGGAGGTAGCTGAGTGCCACAGATTGGTAATCGAATATACCAGGCACTGATGACGCCGCACGCAAGAACGTATCATAGGGCACCTCACGCAAGCACTGCAAGGTGTTTGACGCCCCAGCGCAGCCAGCTGCATTGACAACTTGAGAGTAGATGGATTGACCCTTGACACCATCAACGGGATCCGTCGGAACAACGGAGCCGGAATCCATGATCGCTCCACGGAAAAGAGCCTTGCCCTTGTACGTGTTGTTTCCACCATACAGAGCCATCTGGTCAAATACGCTGATAGCACCTGCAGATTCACCTCCGATAGTGACCTTTGAAGGATCGCCACCAAATTTGGCAATGTTGTCTGCAACCCATTGAAGCGCAAGCCGCTGGTCGAGCAGACCCAAATTGGAGGCACCGTCCCTGAGTACCTCTTTGCCTGCCAAAAAGCCCCAAGCGTCGAGTCTATAGTTGGCAGCGACAAAGATCACTGGACCCGATGGCAAGGAGGCCCTGATGATGCCGGACGCGTCGTATGTGTTTGTGCCTGGTTGTGTGTTAGCATCTTTCAGATGGACAAGCTTCATCGTCAATAGAGAGGAACAGGCATAGAGATGCTGTTGCTGCCGCTGACGCTGCTGCTGCTTGTTGCCAAGCTGTCTTGATCTTACCTCCGAATCCGAAGCCACCCCCGTAGATGAAAAAGAAGACCGGAAGTTTGTCGCCTGCTTTGGTACCAGAAGGCCTTTGGATATTCAATGTCAGACAATCTTCAGACTGTTGGGAAGCGGCGTTCACAAGTGGCGTATTGATCAGCGTCTGGACAACACCAGGAGGCAGCTTGTTCAGATCGCTACTCTGGAATACTTGAGGGCAAGATTTGGCAATGCCCACGGCTGCAACGGCGCCCAAATTGCGGGCAATGGGCTGAGGTGGGCGCAGGCGGAGGTTACCAACAGGAGGTTGAGCTGCGGTCAGTGATGTCCGTGGTACACAGGAAACATACCGAACGGAATGCCATTGAATGAGTCAATGCCGAGAAGCGTCGACCCAGTCACGGTTGCTGTGTCGAGCTGGACTACAGGGGCGCCAATGAGCTGGCGCTTTTCATTCACTGCCGCAGAAGCAGCAAGCCCAAGGAGAGTGACGGTGAAGAGCATAGGTGACAGTCTGGCAAGGTAAAGAGTACAGACTGCTGCGACGGAGACGCATCTTTTGTATTGGCCTCGGAAGAAATTGAACTGTCGTGATGCTTGCAGTCCCCAGCAGTTCCGCGGAACCGCTACGGCGAAAGTGACGACACAGACAAGACAAATCTGCATGTGCGGCACCTGTCAGAAATTCTAGCACGTCCGGCCTTCCCCACAATTCTCCCCAGATCTAAAATCCACGAATCAGACGATGGGCAACTTTGGACGATGCTCGCATTGGCGGCATTGGCTCGGACACAAGTTGTGCAACCGTGCAAGGCCCTGCAAGCTGCACGATGATCACACCATTTAAAGTTCGATGATCGGCAGATTGTTCTGCCACAGTCTGCTAGTCTGCCTCAGTGCCACAGGCGCAGGACGCAACGTTTCCAACAGTCATAAAAGATGGTAACTGTGTCACACAGTCTGTGTGACAGGTAACATGTGATCTTGAGCAAACTTGTCAAGTTCCGGAAGCCGACTCGTTTGCCACTATGTGTGCTGCGCACGTAGCCATCCAATTTGATGTAAACCCTTGAAGTCTAGATCGGTACATACTTTACAATTGCGCAATCCACTTTCGAACAAGGTTACAGGACTTACGAGCGGCTAGCATAGGGCCAAATGTTCTCACTACCGTAGGAGCCGGTCAGTGATTGCGCACTGTAATCACAAAGGCTGCAAGCATATAGACAGACATTGGCATGATCAGATCACAAGCACCTTGACATGATTTCGCTGTCGAAGATGGTTGGCCAGTTACCTGATCGACAGCAGCCAGACCGTTGACACAGACAGCATGAGAGAGCCCGCAAAGCATGTTTCGAGATCCTCTCTGACTTGTCCTTCGCACACGGATGACGCACGCGATACATCCGCAGTACATTATCTTGTGCCGGCCTGTTGTGTCATCAATTCGAAAGGAAAGGCTTGGATTAAGCCGATTCTTGAATCACCAGACCGAGCAGATGCTTTGCATAACTTGGTGCATCCAAGAATCGAGGGGAAGGAGGAAAGTCATTGACTAGTGGGAGACGAGCAATTGAGGTCCATGATCGTGTACCGAGAGCATAGACGTGGGTCCAGCTGCATGCATATTGACTTTGCAGGAACGCTGCCCATGCGGTTTTCGAGCATTCTTATGCAATGAGAAGGGAAGAGGTAGCCGAAGCTTCCACGCTGTGACAGCGCCGAACATGAATCGACCTCGACAAACGTCGCATGGTGTGCTGAGACAAGCCCTGCTCTCAAAGTGACGAGGTAGTAGAAAGGGGGTCAGAGTTAGTGCTAAACAAAGAGGACCAAGTCGTGATGGCTCTTGCTAGATGCAGTGTCTGCTGTAAAGCTATCGTATGAATTAGAAGCGCCGATGTGAAGACTTGCAGACAGCAGACGCTTTTCATTGACTGCCGCAGAAGCAGCGAGCTCAAACAGATTCGTAATGAAGAGCATGAAAAGCAAGCTTGTTGTACATCCAAGCAGGCAGACTCAGCCAACTTATATATCGACCAATTCCTCGAACGGAAGAACCAAGCGTTGACCGGCAAAAATGTCCATCACTCTGGGAGCTACCGGCTTGCGAGCATTTGCGAGGGTCCGTCGCCTACGTTGTACCTGTCGTGTGCACAGTGCTCATTCTGAGAGGTCCGAGCACCGAATTTTCTGTGACTGTAGATCTACAGTCCTTCCCGTTATGAGATCAAGGAGACCTCGACAGCTATGCTGTTGCAAATTGCTGACAGCTCCAAAAGCTCGGCCACAGTAGACGAGCTACTAGCGCACTTGCAAGGCTCTTTTGCATCTGGCAGCACATTCAGATTCTGTGGGCCACACAGAGTCAAAGTATGCGAGCTACACATTAGAATTTGTGGAAAGTGTCCCTCTGATAAGCTGTGACACCTGAATCACCTGTGTGAGCTGATAACTGGATGCGTGATGCAAGCTCCAGAGAGTCATACCCACATCAGACACAAATACATATGATCGAGCGGGCCTGGGATAGGCAGCCGAAATAAGGTGACCGAATGTTTACATCAGGCCTCACAGAAGTCCGGCACCACAATATTGATCCGTGTTGTCCACCAGGCCAAGCTGCCATTTTGGCTCTGACGCCACGCATTTCGTCTAGCTAGAAGTCCAGAATACCAAAGTGGCAAGCATATGGACGAAACTAAGCATATGGACGAAACTATGCGTACCGATGCATTGCAGACCAGCTGCAGCTTGTAGGAAAGAAGTACAGACTTGTGAAAATTAACTCATCGTCTAAACATTGAACGAGAGAGGATTATTGCGTAGCACAGCAGCGCTAGCAGATCTGAAGGTGTCCGGGATAAGCTTGCTCGAGAAGCCTTCAATGTTGAGCAATTTCTGGGTCTTGGTCCATGATGGCCACTGCATTGAGGGCGTTGCACCGACATTGGGGTCGAGGTTGTTGATGAAATTGATGTAGTAGCGCCGAATTGTCGCTTGTGGGTAACCAGGCGCGTAGAACAAGGTGATCACATCACTTATGTGGAATGTACCCAAGTAGGGAGTGCCATGAAAGTAAGATGATAGGTAACTCCATGTGTTGGGCACATTTTTCGAAGTGTACTCAAGAAAGACGCGTCGAGTGAGCGTGAACACGGTATCGCCAAGCAAAGCAGCCAGTCGCTTGTACTGTGGATAGAAATTGTATTGAGATCCAGTGCGGAAGGGCGAGCCAGCGGAAGGGTCATCTGGGTAGGAAGCCACAAGTGCATCGATCGTAGCGCGAGGAGCATCGAGGAAGAAGTACTTTTGCAGGTAATCCGAAATTTCCTCCGATGTCGTGATGTTTTTTTGCACAAGAGAGAAGATTGTACCTTCATCCTCCTGGTCCCCGATAATGAGTGGCACCTTGGCATAACGTCCTAAGGCAAGAAGAATAGCTGGCGAAGCGGTCAGAATAGCGCCATCAGGCCGGGGCAGGTAGCTGAGTGCCACGGACGAATAATCGAATATACCAGGCACTGATGATGCCGCATGCAAGAATGTATCATAGGGTACCTCGCGCAAACATTGCAAGGTGTTTGATGCGCCTGCGCAGCCAGCTGCGTTGACAACTTGAGAGTAGATGGCTTGACCCTTGACACCATCAACGGGATCCGCCGGAACCACAGAGCCAGAGTCCATGATAGCTCCGCGGAAGAGAGGCTTACCTTTGTACGTGTTGTCTCCATCATAGAGAGCCATCTGATCAAACACACTGATGGCACCGGCAGATTCACCTCCAATGGTGACCTTTGAAGGGTCGCCGCCAAACTTGGCAATGTTGTCTGCGACCCATTCAAGGGCTAGACGCTGATCGAGAAGACCCAAGTTGGAAGCACCATCCTGCAATACTTCTTTGCCTGCCAAGAAGCCCCAAGCGTCAAGTCTGTAGTTGGCAGCGACGAAAATTATAGGACCTGACGGCAAGGAGGCTCTGATAATTCCAGCTGCATCATATGTGTTCGTAGCTGGTTGGATTGTTAGTTCTTTCATATCCTTTATGAACTAGCAGCAGATTGAAGCAGACAGCCGTAGCTGCTGCTCGTCCGACTAGCTTGTGCTTGAGCTTACCTCCGAAGCCAAAGCCGCCACCGTAGATGAAGAAGAAGACCGGGAGTTTGTCACCTGCCTTAGTACCGGAAGGTCTCTGAATATCCAAGGTCAGGCAATCTTCAGATTGCTGCGTAGCCTTGTTGATCAGTGGCGTATTGAGCAATGTCTGGAGGATGCCAGAGGGCAGATTATCGAGATTGCTGCTCAACAGCACCTGAGGGCAAGACTTGGCGATGCCGACAGCCGACACCGCGCCTAAATGAGAAGTAATCGATTGTGGCGGGCGCAGGCGGAGATCGCCGACAGGAGGTTGAGCTATCGTCAGTGATGTCCCTGGCCTGGTAAGAACAAACCGAAAGGAATGCCATTAAATGTGTCTACGCCGAGAAACGAATATCCCGTCACGGTCGCTGTTTCTAGCTTAACGACAGGGCCCCCAAACAGCCAACGTTTTTCATCGACAGCTGCCGCCGAAGCAACCAGCCCCAAGAGGGTAACTGTGAGGAGCATGAATGACAAAATTAGGCAACCAATCTGCTTTGGCGAAGACAGATCTTTTGTAGTACTTTTTGAAAGCGATGCAATAAGGAAGGACTGTCTTTCGCAAGTCAATTCTCGCAGTCCGTGCCAGTCGCCCCTCATTGCGGAACCGCTATTGCGACGATAAGGCCCCGAGGATACGAGCATGTATGTGAGCTTCGTGTGGCCAGTGTGGCATTTGTCAAAGCACCGATTGACTTGTTCCGTTTTCCTGTCATTTCTCCTCAGATCTTCAAGCCACGAATGAGACTGAAAGCATCTTTAGACGATGGTCGATGGACCCGAATGCTTCATATACTCGATGCTGTGCTGCAAGATGCAAGGCACACAAACATTGTATTAGCACGATAAGTACCATGTGAATCTGAGCAGAGGGGTACAGCCTAGCAATACATCGTCCCAATCGTGCCATTATGCGTTTGTTGCCGCACGGTCACGTATGCAACCTGTCAAGCGAGTGCCTATACGCTATAAGCTAGATCTGCGTGTACTGCTAGCTGCGCGATGAGCTTTAAAGTCAAGCGCTCGGGCCCCATTTGCATCAAGCATAGAATTGCGGATCCCAGGCTGTGGAAATTGAGGGCTGATCAGTCAATGCGCAGTGCAAGCCTTTGAAGACTCAATGGAGAGGTTCAAATCATAGGCACGTCGCCGTGACCGCGCTGTCGAAGAGACGAGCGGCGCGAGCCCAGTTAATTTTATCTCATCGGAGCAGTCACTTTGTTGGTACAACCACTCTTCCAAAGCCAAGCCCGCGGAGCAGAGCTGCTCATTGCTCATCCTCTGACCTCTTGTTTGTGCAGCTGCTAGAGACTGCTGCGGTTGCGTGGCGCAGATCATTCTTCGCAAAGAATCAGGCGAGTCCTTTCGTGGTCCCATCATCATGGTCAAATGTCTCTCTTTCTTCGAGTCTGCATGCCAGACTATCACATACATACGGACAAGTGAAACGCTAATCATATCAATTTCAGTCTAGATCTTGAAAGACCCGATATTGTCGCGCAGCACAGCGGCACTGTCGGATCTAAAGGTGTCCGGGATTAGCTTGCTCGAGAAGGCTTCGATATTGAGTAACTGCTGAGTTTGGGTCCAAGATGGCCACTGCATGCTGGGTGAAGAACCAACATTCGGGTCAAGATTGTTGATGAAGTTGATGTAGTAGCGCTGAAGCGTTGATTGAGCGTAGCCATGCGTGTAAAAGAGTGCAATGCTGTCACTCACATGGAAGGTGCCCAGGATTGGAATGCCATAAAAATAAGAAGACAGGAAGCTCCAAGTTTCGGGCACCTCCTTTGAGTAATTCTCCAAGAAGACGCGACGTGTGAGCGTGAACACAATGTCCCCAAGCAATGCCGCAAGTCGTTTGAACTGAGGATAAAAATTGTTGAAGTATCCAGTGCGGAATGGCGAACCGGCAGTAGGGTCATCTGGGTAAGTGGCAACAAGGGCATCGATTGTTTCGCGACGAGCATTGATGAAGAAGTACTTTTGAAGGTAGTCTGACAACTCCTCCGTTGTAGTGAGGTTTTGCTGCATAAGGGAGAAGAGCGTCCCTTCATCTTCCTGATCGCCGATGATGAGTGGGACTTTTGCATACTGTCCTTGCTGGAGAAGCTTGTCAGGCGAATCCGGCAAAACCTTACCATCAGGTCTAGGAAGGAAACTGAGTGCCACAGACGAGTAGTCAAAGATACTAGGCACCGACGACGCCGCATGCAGGAAGGCGTCATACGGGACTTCGCGCAAGCACTGTAGCGTATCTGAAGCATCGGCACACCCAGCTGCGTTCACGACTCGATTGTAAATGTCTTGGGCCTTGGAGCCGTCGATAGGATCTGCTGGGATGACCGATCCAGAATCCATGATGGCGCCACGAAACAAGGGATTGCCCTTGTATGTGTTATCTCCGCCGTACAGAGCCATTTGGTCAAAACAACTAATGGCGCCAGAAGACACGCCTCCAATCGTCACCTTTGATGGATCACCACCGAATTTGGCGATATTATCTGCGACCCATTCAAGGGCAAGACGCTGGTCAAGCAGACCCAGATTGGCAGCACCATCTTTGAGTACTTCCTTGCCTGCCAAAAAGCCCCAAGCACTATTCCTGTGGTTCGCAGCAACGAAAATTACTGGACCTGCTGGCATAGATGCCCTGATGATGCTGGATGCGTCGTATGTATTTGTGCCTGGTCATGTGTTAGCATTTCTTCAGATGAACAAGCTTTGTCCTTGATAAACGGCAACAGACATAGCGATGCAGCCGTTGCCACTCGTCAAGCTGTCTTGGGATTGATCTTACCGCCCAGTGTAAATCCTCCGCCGAAAAGCCAAAAAAAGACCGGAAGTTTGTCACCTGGCTTGGTCCCGGAAGGTCGTTGAATGTTCAGGGTGAGACAATCTTCAGATTGCTGCGTAGCCTTGTTTATCAATGGTGTATTGAGCAATGTCTGAAGAATGCCAGGAGGCATGATATTGAGATTACTGCTCAAGAGTACTTGAGGGCATGACTTGGCGATGCCGACAGCCGACACAGCGCCCAAGTTACTGGTTATTGGCTGTGGTGGACGAAGGCGAAGGTTACCGACAGGAGGTTGAGCTGCCATCAGTATTGTGCATACTTCACGAGATTCATACCGTAGGGAATGCCATTGAAAGTGTCAATACCGAGCAGTTCAGACCCAGTCACGGTGGCCGTATCGAGTTCGACAACGGGTCCACCGCTGGAGCCGCGTTTCTCGTTCACTATCGCCGAAGCAGCGAGCCCGAAAAGAGTGACAGTGAAGAGCATGAGAATAAGAATGGGCCGTACTTTGGGGAAGACAAGCACTTCGCCTTATATATTGGCGGTTGGAAGTGATGAAAGACAACGTATCTGCTTGCATGGCTATTCTTCACGCCTGCAAACCTCAATATAGTCGTACTCGCAAACATTTGGTTTGCATCTAGTTGTGTGTGCTGTGACTCCCTATCCGCGAGGCATATGCGAGTGCATGCTCATTCATTCCAAGCGGGCTCTGCATTGCCAAAGTCATGTAGCCATCAGTCGTTGACAGTGGATGTTGCTGACCGGAACGTCACGCATGCGCACAGCGTCACGGCCAGAGCTTCGTCTTCAAGTACCTGACCTTGAATACATTGAACAATTCCGGCTGAGGGAACAAAAATGGGCAAAGAAAGCAATGAAGCTCAAGAGCCTCATCTCCAATAATAGCGGCTGAGCGGACAAGCGCGTTGTTTGCATGTTTGCTTGCCAAATTGGGCCGGGTGAGTTGCAAACATATCATCAAAATTGCCGCACATACATGAGTTGCTCAAGTGTCGATGAATCAGTGCACATCTTGCTTGTCTCGTGGTCAACCCTTTTCCAATTGTCTGAGTTAGAATCAGTGGTTTAGTGCCTTCCGGGTCATAAGCCTTCAAATGAGCCAGTCGTGTAAAGCAAATCGTCATTCGCGCCGGCAACTATATGCCTTCAGTCTTCTGTCTCTTCTTGGATCCCTCCAGGTCATCAAGTCCATGTAGGTCACCTGAAATTGAGTTCTGTATCATGCGCCGACGTAGCTCGTCAAAGATTTGTGTGTCGAGATAGCCACCTTTGTCATCATCTGGAGGGTAGAACCAGTAATTGAGCGCCATGTGAAAGTCTTCTTTGCCTGAATGAGAAATGACTTCATGAAACCAAGACGCCGGTAGGTAGAGCATCTCGCCGCGCTCCAGCGAGATTGTCTCGCCGTACTTGCCAACTAGCTTTTGCACTTGGTCGGAGCTCAGCGTAGAAAATGAAGGTGGCGGACAATCGTCATTCGTCAGATCACCTTGTTCGTCCTCAGACGTGTCCTCGTTGGACGATGGCTCTTGAATGGACCCGTCATCCTCATAGTCATCTTCCTCTGCCGACACGCCCGCTTCGAGTTGGCAATTGAGCATATCGTCTTCTGCTGCTTCTAAAGCTTCTCGAGCGTCCTCAAACGCTTTTCCGGTCACATTTGTGAGTGTACTCATGTTCTGCTCGCATAGCTCAAGCCGAATGGTTGCCTTGGCTAGCCCAGTCAAGCCATCACTGCCCAGCAGTTCATCGTATGCCACCAAGCCGTTGGTAAACCGTCGCACGATCTGACCATGGAGTTGAAGGCGCTCAGTGTTCTCCTTTGTAGATGCAAAGAGTCGAAATGTCTTGCTACCGGAGAGCAGGCAGTAGAAGTTGTCGTGAAAGTCATGGTGGCAGCCGCTACTGCGTTCTTCTTTTGACGCACCGAGCCATAGATTGACCTTGGCAATCATAAGATCACCTGCAGCCACTGGTTGTACAGGAAAGCCGATTTTGTACTGGATTGTTTCCAGAGGTTCAGCTAGAATGGAGTCTTCGTCATGGTCTTTGTACTGTGCAGTCAAGTAGAGCTGCTCGCCGCGCTGTAGATCTTGTAAGAGCGAAGCGAATTCCATCTTCTTCTTGCTTGCTCCAGTGCCAAATCGTCCATCTGCCGACATGGGTTCTACAGCGATTTTGACATTTCCAGCAAGCTCATTCAGCCTTTCAAAGTTGGTCAGCTCATGGAGGCAAGCAAGTTCTTCTGGCAGCTGCTTGAGAATACAGGGCTGTCTAGTTTTAATATGCTGCTCGAGCTTTGCAAGGTCTGAACCCTGTATCCGCTCAATCATCTTCAGCTAAGCTAGTCATGAAGGGACTTTTCACGTTGTGACTTTGCGTCTCCAGCCACATGGGCTGAGGCAGGCATCCAGACACCATATTCAGATGCCAACTTTGAAAGTCACGCCGCTGAATGCTGTGCTTGCCGGCTTAAGCTTCTTGCTTGCTTCAAGCCCTTCTCCGGTCTCCATTGCACTAGCTAAATGATGGCAAGGATGGCTCATTAGATGTCTACGTCTTCAGGAGCTGCGTTTACGCCTGAATTGAATACACTTTCAAACAACCACGTACAATTCAAGCAGCCAAAAGAGAAGAAGGGAATTATAGAATTAGAGTACAAGCATCCATATAACACCTAGAGTCTAGATGGCAGTTGAGTTCCTGTTTTGGAATGGCGAAGCTCGATTGGCAGCAACAGCCGTTGTGTTCTTGATGGCACCATAAGGCAATGTAGCATTGTTGTTACTTGGCAAGACACGCTGCAATGCATTGCCATCCTTCTGGAATGCCAAGACAGGTCCAGCAATTTCCTTTGTGTTGCGAGACATCAAATCAGGTGCAGCAAAGAATTGCACTGTCATGTTTGAGCGGGTCAATTGCATGGAGAAATAGCCACGGTAACCAGTATCGGCATACACGAGACGTCTGTTGAGACCGACAAGACCTTCGCTAATGTTTCGGAGTGTACCCTGTGACGCTGTACGGCCGAACGGTGTTGGCGATGAGATGGCGGTTCCTGCAATTTCAACACCGAGGTCGCTGTATGAGGCATTGAAATTGCCGTCCTTCGAGGCACCCTTTTCGAACGTCAGGTCAAAGGCCCAATTGACGTGAGAGTCACCAGCAAGGATGATGTTGTTGCTCGTGTTGAGCGATGCAAGAGTCGAGAGCATTCTGTTCCGGTTGCTAGTGTAACCATCCCACGCATCCACATTCTGGTTGTTTGCGGAGTAGTTGAGGTGAGAGAAGACGACTTGCTGGCCAATGACTCGCCAGGTGGCATTGCGAACACTGGCTGATCGCATGTGGTCGTTGAACCAGGTCTCTTGCTCGAGACCCATCATGGAACGCTTCTCATCATCCTTGATACTGGTGACATATGCAGTATTGGTGTACAAGTCAGTCAAGTCACGGTCGCGCTGACGCGTGTCGAGCATAGACAAGTCCGCCAACTGACCAATCTGGAACGAACGGTATAAACGAAGGTTGTTGGTGAGAAGGTGAGGACGAATCGGCATGTATTCGTAGTACGCTCGAACGGCCGCTGCCTTTCTTGCATCGAAAGAGACACCATCCACTGTGACATTGGTGTTGGAAGACTCTGCCGAGCTCTCCCTCCAGCTGTTGTCGGCCACCTCGTGGTCATCCCAAGTCAAGAACCAACCGAATAGACGGTGGTTCTCTGCGAGATCAGGGTCGGCGCGATAATGCTTGTAACGCGTGCGGTAGTCGTTCAGGGAAGTGATGGCTTTTGCAGGCTTGTCCGTGCGTCCAATGGTATCGGTAGTGTTGCCAAGGTCATACTCGCCCGGTGGGTATTCGTATAGGTAATCTCCAAGGTGAACTGAGAAGTCGACGTCCTTCTTTGCTGCATTGCCGTAGGCGTTGAAGTGGCCGAACGGGTAATTTGAGCAGGAGAAGACATTCAACTTTAGAGAATCTCCCTCACCAGTCCAATTGGCTGCAGGCAGAGTCTTGGAGCGACCAATGGGCGATGTGGCATTACCAGACTTGAAACGGTAGTAGTACCATGTCCAAGGCTTTAAGCTTTTCGCAAGGACTTTTGCAGTATAGTCGACCTCCCGTGTTGTGTAGATGCTTCCGTTCGTGGCAATCGACGTGAAATTTGGGCTCGTTGAGACTTCATACCGCAAGGCGATTGGAGCATCGGTATCATTAACGCTTGGTGCAATACGAGTCCAAAAGATGATTGAATTGCTGTCGGGATCACCTGAAGCGACACCATGGGTAAAGTTGACGGCATCTGTGTAATTGACGTTGCCATTCAACAAAGTTGGCAAGTAGCTATCACCATTCTCGTCCAAGGTGCGCTTGACCAGACGCTCGTGAAGGGCTTCAACATCATGGCCAAGACCAGGATGGAGCAATGATGGCGAATGGAACGCAAGGTTGTCCAGCAGGCTGACTGCAACGGCAGTACCAGCCAAGAGAGCGAACTTCATGATCTGGTACGGTGGACTGAATGGCGATGCCTGCACTTAAATAGGCAAAGTGAGCTTCCATTGACCTCCATGGCCATCATGACGATCCGTGTGTCTCGACGCACGGCCTCGTACCTGGCTGAATTGCCAGCTTCGGATGTAGCGAATGAGACTTGTGTACGCCGCATGCAAGCGTTCATTGGCCTGCCCTGGTCCGTGAGAGGAAGCTTTTAAGTTGTCTTGGGTCGTGTCGTCGGTCCGGCTCCACAATCTGCCGGCGAGAAACGTGCGACAGAGATCTGGCAGCCCAACGGACAGCGCGCAGACAGCCAATCACAGCAGCCACATACAACACACACTGCGCTCATTTTAAGTGCCGGCCGCTTACCTCGCGAACCAAGCTCGAAGCGGCAAATAGGCATCTGGTCAGTGGTCAGTGCAGACGACTGCCGTGTGTGTATATCATCATCGTATGTAAAAGTCTATAGCAAAGTACTGTACAAACGAAGTCGTCAAAAAGTCATCATGCCAGTACGCTTATTGTTCCCCCAACAAACAGGCACGTAGACAACGAGTGCCGATGCAGCAAGACCCACACACAAGCCCACAGCAATCTGAATCATAGCATAACCAAACTGCAATGCACCTGCACCGCTCGCCCCAATAGTATCCCCACCGTAGGTACTATTAGCCGTGTTATTCAAAATGGAATTGGCCAATTCGAGGCCGCTGACGAGTGAGGATGAACTGGCGAGACCAGAGGGCACCTGCACGAAGATAGACGGCAATACCGCCGTAAATGACAAACCATGCCCAATGCGCGAGTAGAGATTGCCCAGTGTTCCAATGGCAAAAGCTGCAAGTGCATTGCTGACTTGTGCAGCACCAAACTTCTGTAGTGTAAAGTAATTGGTCAAGTAACCAATACCAGCAATGAAAATAGCAATGGGCATTTGTTTTGGTCGAGCTTGGTTGACAATCAGTAAACAAAGCGTGAAGCCTGGTACAAATAGGAATCGCCACCATGGAGAAATGTTGCTGCTACATGTGGTTGAGGTTGTTGCACCGCTGTCGAACCAGCCATAGAGGACACTGCCAATTGTAACTCCGAAAGAAAGAAAAAGAGAGTAGACAATGGCGTAAAACAAACGCGTTGAGCCGGCAACGATGCTTTTTGACTGCAACTCAAGTGCACCACACAACACCATGTATCCCGGCAAGATGAGTGCAATAGAGCTCTGGGCCAGTGCTGCAAAGCAAAAGAGCGTTTCGCCGGGATGGCCTGGTTTTGGGATGGAACCAAAGCCTCGTCCAAGGAAACTCACCACGACGGTGGCGAGAATCTCAAAGACATTGGCATACAGGGGTGAGCGTGGTGCAACCACCATTTGAAGTACACCAACAATGAGCCCAAGCAGAAATTGTATAGGCAAATCAATAAAACTTGAACCGAATCCAAAGGGTCCAACGCAGACGGCAGCTAGTCCATAAGCAAACAAGACAAAACCAAGCTTGTAGAGCTGTGGGCATTCCATTTGCGTATCAAGTTGAGCGATACCGTGCTCGACATCAACAATCCCATGCACCACGTTCTTGTACACGAGGTGCACGCGCTCCAGCTTGCCAATATCAATTCCCTGATCCACACGGATGATTTTGACATCACTCGTATGCGTTGCTCGGTCTTCAAAGGCAACGACCATACATCCAGGGATATACAGAAACTGCGCATCAATCTCAAGTGCACGCGCCGTCATCTTGAGATATGCTTCAAGCCGATGCGTCGGTGCACCAAACAGCATGAGCGCTTTACACAACTTGACGACAAACTGCTGACGATGCAAGACATCAGCAATAGCCATTGTAACGCGCAGCTCTGCATCCAGCCGGGCAGCATGACCACGTGTGTTTCCCAAGTGAGACTTGACGGCAAAGGCAAGACCGCCAGAGTGCTTGCGTTTCGGTGTTGGAGGTCTGACAGCATGTGCCGCATCAGACACTGCATCGGGTAAGCTCGTCATGCTACCGTTGCGTGAATGAGCAAGTGGTAGGTGTTGATTTGCTGCCAGACTACCCAGTGCATGACCTGCTCCTAGCAATGCAGCAATGGATGTCTGTGATTGAGAGTGTTTTTGATGCCATTTGGGCGTTTGAGCACCGGATGGCAGGGCACTCTTGCCGGGATCACGCGAACCTGTGGGCTGCTGATACACGGTACTATTGTACAGTTGCATGAGATTGGACAAGACGCCACCTCGTACGCGTTTCGGAGCAGGGATATAGCCTTCTTCGATATCATACGGTGTTGTCGTGCCTGAATTATTGGTGGATTGAAACGAGCTGCGTCGCGAAGAAGGGCCCGGCTCGTCGCGTTTTGCGAGGATGGTGTGTGCTCGAACAAGCTTATACGCTTCCAAGTTGAGTTTGCGATGTGCTTCATCTTCTGCAGTAGCACTTGCTGCAGGCGCCGTCGTCTCTGTGGGTTCAGTGGGTGGCGCTGAAGTAGGCCGTGACAAATCCGACATGAGAAAAACTTGTTCCTTGTCACCAAGCAGATCAGCGTCCGACTTGTTTTTGAAGTAACTGCTACCCATCATGGTGTTGTCGCCTGCGCCAGGTGTGCTGTACAGGGAGTAGGCGCCTGGTGTTTGACGGTCAGAAGTACCTGCATCAGGCAGATCAATACGCGGCATGTCAGGTCCGCCTTGTCTTCGATCCGCGAGACGCACCCTGCTACTTCCGTTCGACGGCGTCTTGGGCGCATCCAGATCCACATCCTGCATCGTAGCCATTTCATCCGCTTGAGGTCTCAGCACAGGCGAAACAGGCGCACTCCGCGACAATCCCATTTTGATGCCCGTCTTCTTGAAGGGTGCTTTTGGCGTTACTTTGCCTTTGCCAGCACTGTCTACTTCATCGTCTTCCGACTCTTCCTGCAGGAAGAAGAGGCCCTTGTTGGAGATGGGCGCCGCTTGACCAAGTGATTTTGCCAATGCCGCATTAATACTCTCGTTGGAGTACGGCTGTTTCAATGCGCCTTTTCTGCCAGTAGGCGTCGATGCATCCTTAGAAGGCGATCCTTCTGTCTGTGTCATCACGGCACCAGCAGCATCCTCAGTTCCTCTAGGTCCGTCAAAATGGACATTTTTACGCGTATTCTTGGCACCACCTGCTGTGCTCAAATCCGTGGTACTTCCTTCGCGCGACGGACCAGCAGACATGACTTGGTACCCTCACTCTCACTCTTGAGCTAGATTATAGATGTGAAGATGCATATAGATGAATAATATGAATAATGCGGTGTGTGTCATCCCACGCAATTTCGTCGTCGCGATTCTTTTTACTCAGCCAAACAGTGGCAAACACCTGAGACGGTGAGTAATGAGCAGAAAGCAGTAGCAGTGAGTGAACAGATTCAGTACAATCAAACATAATTTGCATAGACGCTATGAACTGGATGTCCGAATCGAGTGTGCTAAAAAAGAGAAGCGATGAATGCTGCGTGAGGATGCCATGAGTGAATGTGAAAGTGTGCAAAATGAGACCTGTAGACGACAAAGTTTGGTGTGAAGAGCGGATCATGAAGAATAAAAGAAAAGACATGAGCTCATGCAAGGGCACGCGCACCAGGGACCCATCCGGAAGCCACAACCCCAGCCTGTCTAGCAGACAGTCCCGCACTGGCTCCATGACGCCGTGCTGTGCCAGCTTCCAGAAACTTGGTCGCGCCCCGACGTGCGCGTTTTGCAAAGTTTAGATGTGGTTGTGCGGTGAGCACATCTAGTTCAAGTGGACCAGCGGGTTGTCGGCGGGGTTGTCCTGCTTCTTGGCGATTATGCTTGCGTGCGCTCGTCGGAGGTGTCGTAGGTGATGCATGACGCTGCTGCTGCTGCACAATGGCAGTCAATGGAGAGACCTGCTGTACACTAGGCCCGACGACCTGCGGTGTACCTGGTGGCGAACCATACCCACCACCCACAGACAATCCATTCATCTGCTGCTGCAACAACATCCATTGTTCCCGCTGCTGCATCTCCTCCAATTGTTCCTGCTGCCGCATTTGCTGGATGAGAGCAAGTTTTTGCTGCTGTTGAAGCATATAGCGACGTCGTTCCTCTTGTAGGTACAAGTCATCGTAGCTCAATTGTCCTCTAGCTTCCTGCATCATGCGCGGATCAGTCATGCCGTTCGTTGGCAAGTACAGCGACGCATCTTGTAGTCCAGGATAGTGAGTGGGCTCAGGACTGTACATGGGTTGCAAGTAGCTCGTTTGCATGGCCGGCACAGATGCATGACGCGCATGCGTTCTCAACCGATCCAAGAGCTGCGAACGTGGACTATTCATCCCAGCTGCATAGTGATCCTGTTGCTGCTGCTGTCGTTGAGCAGCATACAGATCCTGTTCATAGACAAGCTGTTGCTGTTGCTGTTGCTGTTGCTGTTGCTGCGGGTATGGTTGTTGTGGATACGCTGCTTCTTGTTGCGCGTAATGCATGGGATCTAACGCGTGTTGTCTGGCTTGTGTATAACGCTGTGCATATCTGCCATGACTGCCGTGTCCATTGGATGTATAGTCCGCGCTTGCCTGTTGCATTGACGCAAATAAGACCAGTCGTGGCGACGCGTGTATGGTGCGTTGTATGTGCACGACAAGCGCAATAGACACGATACGCGGTGTCTATGCTTGTTTTCTCAAGTGCGCTTCCCTTCAGTCCAGCTGGTAGGAGACGGCTCTTGCGCTTAGGAGGGGAAGCTGGAGGAAGGAGCGGGACTTGGTCGCGGTGACGGCTGGAAAGCGATGAAATTTATGAGAAAAAAGAAATCAGGAGACAAGAAAGAGAGAGAGAGGATGAGGCAGGAGCAGAGGTCATGATAGATGCAGAGTATGAAGAGACGAACAGACAAGGTGGCAGAGAGATGCATTGCCCAGACAGCGGGTGAAATCCAACAAAAGAAAAGAACCAAGAAAGCCAAGCGCCCGTGCACATGAGGGAGAAGATCAAAAAGACTGCCTGCAGCGGTGATGATCAGAAGGCGGCCGGAACATTGCTAGAGCCTGCATTGCTGTGTGCAATCATGGCCTCACTTGCGTCCATGACGCTGCAGCAACCACAGAATTCGGAGTGACCGTCGTCGGTGTCAATGAATCAGGACTCATCGACGTACTCGGAGCAGTCGTCGCACTACTCGCATTCGACAGGGCTCGCGCGTCACTCTCAGCACTCGCCTGCGTTTGTGCCTGTGCCTGTGCTTGAGCAGCAGCAGCCGCCGCCGCCGCAGCAGCAGCCTTCTTCTTGGTCAATTTCGCATAATGCAGCCCACAAGCATTACACAATGTTCGTGCGCCATCCGGCCCACGTCGCCACTCTGGTGTCTCTGAGATGTTGCAAGAATGACATCTCCCAGGTGGTGCAACTCTCCCCGTCGATGCTTGACCTGTCACAGCAGCAGCAGCAGCAGCAGCAGCAGCAGCACTAGCTGCAGTCGTATGCCCAGCACCCACAACAGGTCTTCCGAGTGCCGCTCTTGCATGCGTCGCTTCAGTTATATTGTAAGATGCAAAAGATTCAGGCAGACTACCCGGCCGTAGTGCACCATGACTACTTGTCCGCCGACGTTCTTTTGAAGTGTTGTTACTGCTCATCACAGATGCACCCTCGACAGACGAAAATGAATCTGCATGACCAAGCGCAATGGATCCATTCCGTGAGTAATCACTGAGCACACCAGAATCCTGCGTATAGAAACTCGGTGGTCCACGCGTATACCCGGCAACATGAGGTGGTCCAATCATTTCCCTATCCAACGACGACCCTCTCCGCTTCTCACTCTGTAGCTTGACAGCCGCTGCACGACCCGGAAACTCAGCTTCTCGCCAATGCGTCAAAAGATGCGCCATTTCTTGTGCGTGTGCAACAGCCTCATCAAAACCAAACATACTCGGCATCCGGACAGGTTTCGGCGCAGTGGGCATACTCGGTGCATCGGTACCAGTACCGGGCGCTGAATGCACAGCGAAATAGTAGAGGCGTGAACTTAGATCCTCGAGTCGTTCCATGTCTCTACGAAATGCATTCGCACGCAGAGCATCGGCGATGGTTGGATCTTCCATCCGTGGCGGCGCTCGTAAAAGACTGTCTGAATGGGTGAATCGATCAGGCCGTGCTGGACGATGTGTTGACTCCGTGACTTCATAATGCGGTGAACGCGCTTGCCAGGATGTCGGTGAAGGTTGCTTCGTTGTGGCAAGAGGCGATGTTGCTCTTGTCAGTGTTGTAATGGGCGGTAGACGAACAGGTGCTTCATCCATGTGGTCACTCGTCCTACTGATACGCTGGCCCTTGTAGTCACGTTTAGCGGGTGTTTGGTGAATCAAGCCGCTTGCGCCCGTGACATATGGACCTGGCTGCATACTGCGTTGTGCTTGTATTGCAATATCAGCGAGTTGATCTAGGCTTCGTGCGTGGTCGATGGAACCGCCTCCTCCTACTACAGCTGCTGCTTTGCCAGCGTGGTCACTCGTGTACATTCCACTGAGCGTGTCTGGCCCTTCTGGAAGATGCGGAACGTCGGTCTCTGCTCAAGGTAGACAAGTCTAGCGAGAAGCCCCTATGGGGAAAGGAGAGATCTTGACGGGCTCTAGATGTGCCGTCCTTTGTGATCTGCAAGGCCGCAAGTGGAAGCTAGGTGTCGTCGATGCTAGAGAGTCGTTGCGGTCGACTAGGTTGCAGGTTGTTGAGGGCAACAGGTACCAGATAAGCGTAACGCCACGTCAAGATGATGACCGCACTTTCGCTCTGGCCGCCTTGTCAATCTGCTCCGATCGATCGATGTTGGGCTCGTGCAGTGCTTTGTCAGGATGAAAAAAGGGTGCACACGACCTGCACGTACTCCTATTTCCGTGGTTCTTTTCGGGGCGAAAGAAGCAGAACGGAGCCTGGAGAAGAAGGGAGTCTTCCGCGCGGGACAAAGAAAGGGGGTGGCAGAAGATGTGGATACTTCTGTCGCAATGCTACCTTGTGACAAGTCTTTTTCTTGCTGCTGATGCGCTGCCTGTCGAGACTGGCAAATTGCACAAGGTGAAGAAGCAAAGTGAGCTCCCTGATTGCTGTAAGAGGTAGCCAATGCGCACAATGTCGCAGCCCGGTGCCTCGTTTGTTTGGTGGTCAGTGTGGTGGTCAGGAGGAGGGAAGGATGCTTTTCATCGCGGGCGACATTGGACCCGCACTCGAGGTGTCAATCTGCTCGAATCTGCAGAGATCTCTCTCTCATCATGCGAGATCACACGCAGCCCGCCCTTGCCTTGCCCTGCTCAGGCTGCTCTGTAGACTGTCGCTGCTGCTAGACGGCGGCAGCGGAGCGACGGACAGGCCGCAGCGAGATTATCAATATTCAGGGCGGAAGACCATCGTGCAAAAGGGGCCCAGGCCGATGACTGGTCTTGGGCCGTGCACAGCTACTTCTTTTACTACTGCTTGCGAAGTGCGGATGTAAAGGCAGGGATTAGACTGCAATTTGACAGTCAGGGTCTCTGCTGTTTCAAGGCTGGCATCACAGACCAGCTGCAGTGGATGGTAGGATGATATCGTCTCTTTGCATTGAGCATGACATTGCACCTTGTCGCACATGTGCTCTGATCATGGCCAAGAGGCCTGTCAAAATTGGGCATGTCCTTCTAGATTACTCTTGCATAGTTTTATACAAGGCCCCCTCTGCGCGTGTCTTACTATACGACTTCCGGGTCAACCTGGAGGCTACAAGTCATCACCGTCACCGGATGCGCTTCTTCTTCGCTTCTTCGCGCGTAGATGACGTCAAAGGGATCTGAGCCCGCATTTTCGTTCATCGACGCTGCATCTAGATCTCGCATCTTGATCCAGATGTTGATTCCGGGTGGGACCAGTCACCAGTCACTTGGTAGCTGTAGACGGTAGACTTACTAGACTAGCAGACTACAGTGTTCGTAGAGTCCTTGAGGCCAGACAGCCGTCGGCCAGCAAGTCTGAAGCGCACTGTCGCAGCAAAAATGACAGGCATCGCAGCAGGCATCCTTGCTAGGCCCATAGCTAGAGCGCACCAGGATCTATCGACTGGAAGCAGAGATGCCGCGTTCATAAATAAGAGAAGGAGCACGATTGTGGGTGGGCTTTGACCGGTTTGAACTTTTCGCGCGACCACAACACGAGAGCCGCGTCACCCTGCAATCCCTATCTAAGCTTTCTCTCTCTCCAGTTGGCCCTGCTTCCGCAGCTGCACCTGCTTCTACTGCTATTCATCATGTACACAGCACCGCATCAAGCTCAAAAATCATACGTACTCTCCAATATTCCGCCATCCCGAGAAAAAACCAAACCACGCAGCCCACGATGCTGCATTTTGCTTGCTTCTACAAAGCTGTCACCGCCAGACATACTTGAGCCCTGGGACTATCTCACACGGCATGGCTTCTTTGTTGAATTTGCTACATGGGATGGAAATATGGCGATTGCGGATGAAGCACTCCTCAATCATGCGCTTTGGGGAGTCAAGGCAAGTGCACACGCTCGCTGGCAAGACTTGACGTCCCTTGAAGAGTGGAAACAGCCGCATGCTTGGGCGACGAGTGACGGTGCTTCAACGACGACGTGGTCACTTGAATCATACGATTTGACCTTCATCCCCGGCGGCGCTGCACAGCGATCACAATTGCAAGGCGATACAGCACTCCAAGCGCTCTTAACGAAGCAAGCATTGTTCTTGGATCGTCAACTCGGTGCAAAAGTCATTGCTGTTGTGGGCGAGGGGTTTGCACCACTCTTAACAGTTTCGCATCCCCTCACCCAGCAACCACTATTGCAATCACTCATCACAACAGGCCCCTTGTATGAATCTTGGACGGGTGCCTTGTCGGCTACCAAGCAAGATGTCTCCGTAATGGTTCCTAAACTGGCAAAGGAATTCAAGAATCGTCAAGTGGTGGTTGATCCACTACACTGGTTCATCAGTAGCCCATCACATGCTTGGCATGCAGAGTCTTTGCCTGTTTGTGTTTCATTGACACGCGCGGCTATTGAAGTGGATGAATTGAGAAAGCTCGAACAGCAAGGCACAGACAAGGCGAAGCGTTTGACAACAGCACAACGGGATCGACAAGCAACGGCACTCAAGTTTGATGGATTGACAACAAGGCAGAAGGAGCGCCTGAACAGTGAAGGTATCGGCAAGCGAGAGACTGGCTTTGTTTTGTCACAGTGGAGTTGGGGTTGGCGAAAGGACATTGAATGAGCAAAGGAAAGTCAGTAGTCTGACGAACAAAAGAAAAGCATTCCCCTCTCTCACTTGAGCCAAAAGTCTGCCAATGTCGCTTGTGTTGGTACTTGACCAGCATCACCCACTGCTGAGATAGAACGACTCGAGTGCTCGCTCTGGACATACGGTCCTTCCACCATTGGTTGTGGTACAGGTTGCTGACGACGCTGTCGTTGTTGTCGCATCTGCTGCTCAAGCATACGCTGCGTTTGCTGTTGCTGATGAAACCACTGCGCTTGCTGTTGCCACTGCCGACCTTGTCGTTGCAGTTGCTGATTCATCTGCCATGAAATGGCTGCTTCTTCCGCTGCCCTCACGCGTAAGTAGCGATGACTCATTTGCATTTGCAACGCACTCATTTGTCGCTGCACATCCTCAACACTCACGCCTGGGAGTTGAGTCATGTTGCGTTGCATCTCTTCCATACTCAAACCTGGGACGGCTGGCAAGTCGGGTTGGTTGTATGGGAAGCGCATGTTTGGTGGTGGCGCATTGACAAAATTGTGAGCAGAGGGAGAGTCATGTCGATACTCTAATGGAGGAGGATGGAATCCATGAGCAGGTGTGCTATGCTGGAAGCCTGGCGGCGTATCATTCAAGAAGTTTCGTCCAAGAGTGGCATCGATGTGGAAGCCTGGTGGAGGACGTATGTCGGTACAAAAACCTTGCGCAGTAGGAGAAGGCACATGGAAGCCTTGCCTCATAGGCGATGCGACATGAAAGCTCTGTACACTTGGCGAAGCAACCTGGAAGCTCTGTCCACTGGGTGACGCAAGGTGAGACTCAGTTGCTGGCGGCGTAGGCATATGAAAGGTTGGTCTTGCTGGCGATGGTGACTCAAACGATACCCAAGTCGGTGACGGCATAGGCACTGGACTCGTTGCAACAGGTGGCAACATTCTCGATGGACTCGGTAGTGCTCGTCGCCGCACTGGTACTGGTTGCGCCTGGACTGTGACGATCTTCTTTGTGTGGCCAATGATGAGCTGGACAGGATGTGTGACGTCCTCTGCTGGCCAGGTCAAGTTTTGACGCAAACGACGCTCAAGCGGCGTGTCTGTCCGCAATCAGTGTCTAGAACAGGCATCGTGGACCATGTGGTACCTTTTTTGAAACCAGGCAGTCGCTTACGAGGCGAAGACTGGTGCGAAGACTGTCGCACAGGGGAGGAGAGCGGTGTTGCCGCGCCCTCATCCACGGCACTGGCTTCGTGAGTGCAGAAAGCAGGACAAGATCCGCACGAGCGCACTGGACTTGTCTGACTCATCATTGCCAGTGGCAGCAGGCGAGAGAGGACGCTTGGGCGCGACTGTGTGCTTGAGCCTGGTCGCTGTGTCGTTGCGCGTTGCCTGCTGCGACTTTAGCACTCAACGCGCAAGAGAACGCAACCAACTCAACCAGCTACTGCTTGTACTGTCTACTGCTGCTTGAACTCCTACTGCTGCTTGTATTGTCTACTGCCGTACTGCCTGCTGCTGCTATTGCTCGCTTCTACTCGACTGCGCCGCCCTTGACATCCTGGTCACTGTGCGTCACTGGCTGAGACACCGCCACGGCGACAACAGCAGACTCATCTACTTCCTTTTGACTCATTCGCGCTGCATCCCTGCCTTAAAGCGCCTGTGTGCTGCTTGTCTATCGCTGCTCATCGCTCATTCAAGGTCATTCATTACCTCCGATTCAAGTCTACCCTAGAGGCAGCCAGGCCGTTTCTTGTACAGTCTCGCTCTCTTGTATAAGAGATCCCTGCTCGTTCATTCCCTCTTCACACTCAAGACACCCTCAGATCCACGTTCTCTACTTTCGCATTCAGCATCAGCATGTCACTGCCCCCATCTTCGCATTTCCCAGGCCTGAACTCGCATCCAGTCATCACCACGGAGCAGGATGCACCCTCGCCAGCCTCAGGCACCATCGCAGGGCCACTCACACTCGCAGAAGCCTGCCAGCGCTACTCAGAGATGGCCAACGCCGACCCTCTGACTGTTCATGACTCACGACCCATCTCCAGTGTGCGCGACGACCCACTGCCTGCCCATCTCGACATCGCACACCAATACGCTGTCCTTGGCTTGTTTGAGCTTCACGAGCGCGCGCGCGTCTTCCCACCTCCTGGTCCTCATGTCGCTGCACTCCGTGACGGCGCTCTTACTACTGCGGGCTCCACTGCTGCTACTCGAGACGCCATTGACTACACATCCCACAACAGCACTGATGATGCGGCGGCTCCAGAGCACACCGTCACCGACACCTCTGCCACATCGCCTTCTCCTACAACCCCTCCTTTGCCAGCAGGCTATTCTGCAGACAGGTACAAATGGATGAGCGCCTACAACTTTGGTCCATGTCCAAGTGAGCGCAAGCTAGGATCTCAAGCTTCAAAGAAGGTCGCAACATGGCCAAACTGGCCATCCACCAAGCAAGTTGATGATGCCTTGAAGTGCAACTCTCCCGAAGTGGTTGAAGCCGCTGTTCTCTTGCAGAAGTACTCCCGCCAGGCCTTTGTGGAAGAAGAGCACGAGACCGAGAAGAAACGTCGTCTACAAGCAGCTTGGCAGCTCTTGACAAGTGACGGAGAGCAAACAGGTACGCAGACTCACAAGCGTCCTCTTGACTCTTCTGAAGCTGACCCTCCTGCAAAGATGATGACTCGAGTCTATGATGAGGCCTGCTTGCCAGAGCCCATCTTGCCCCTCCCCATCCTTCCAGACATTGGGCCCAGCAAGTCTCGTGCAGTCACAACTTATTCCACCACGGCTACTGCACGACCTGTGGCCTCGACTCCTTACTCCAAGGCTGCTCATCCACGACCTTCGGCTTCTTACTCCAGGGCTGCCGCTACTCGACCTGTGGCTTCGGCTGTCTCCTCTACAGTTGTCACTACACGACCTGCACCTTCGGCTCCCTCTTCCACGCCCCCTCGCAAGCGTCAACGACAAGGTCCACGTCAACCTGCAGCAAGTCGTTTGAGCAAGCCTCCACTACAACAAGGCGCCGTGCTACCAGAGAATTTGGTTGTTGGCAACGCCTGGCAAACGACACCCCAGGGCCTCGGCATGCCACCACGCGAGCGCTTCTGCAACGGCACAGCCTTTGACATGCTCACAGGTCCCGACACTACCACCGGTGTTTGCAGCCTTCACAACATTCTGCACATCCAGAGCGAGCCTGATTTTGGCTTGTTGACGCGCGATGAAGTCATTCTCTGCATGTACATGCGTGTGCGACCACAAGTCTACTTCGAGGTGCGACGTTTGCTGTTCATTGCATTCCACAAGGTTTGCGACTTTGATGCTGCTGGCAAGACCATCAACAAGACCATGTGGACCAAGAGCAAAGCACAGCAAGTCAAGATTATTGATGTCAACAAGTTGAGCTTCTTGCACAAGTTCTATGGCTCTCTTGGTCTCTGGGATCAGACCTGGGAGTAACCTGGACGTCCTCATCGCCAACGAAAACTAACTAACACCAATACCAATACTAATACTAATACCAATACTAATACTTGTACAAATACTTCTGTTCAATAAGCTCACAAAATTACTAATACTCATACTTGTACTTCTGTCCGATAAGCCATTAAGACTCAATGGTCTCCTTTATGATACACCCCGTCATGGTCGCACCAGCCATTGCCAGGCTGGTTGTCACAAGAAACTTCCTTCCCATCAACATATGGCGGCACACCAGTTGTGCCCCATCCAGACTTGCTGTGAATTCTCTGCAAGACATTTGATGGGCTACATGCGTGGTCTTCATCAAGACCTTCGTCGTCATTCGAAATCGCCTGTGGGTATGTCTTAAGGGGATGGTAAAAACGCATGAAGTGCACCACAGTCTGACAGACGCATTCAGTCGTAAATGGATTCATATTCATGGCAATCGGGCTCAAGCAGACTCCAGAGCCACCTTGACACTCGTCTGGCTTTTTGTTGATGGTCTTTGTGAGATTGTGGAGTCGCTTCTGGCACAGTGATGCACAATTGTTGTCATCGTCCGCTTCCGTCCATTGAACATAGAAGTCTGCCCTTCTGCAGTCTTTGCCGTGACTATCGACACTCCAACCTGATCCCTTGAAACTTCTTGACCTGACGCAAGTCAGGAGAGCCAAGACTGACAGTAAGATTATACGCATTTGTGAATGGTGCTCGAGCAAGTAGGCTTGGGGCACGGTGGTGGGCATTATATATGAGCCGTCTCCTTATCAGCATGATTCAGCATCTTGGCATTTTTAGTCTGCTGACCATGCTCGTATTCGGTTTGGTTCCAGAACTCCAGACTCAAGCCATTGCGATGTCGTATTTTGCGAGGACTTTTTCAGGGGTAAGCGACTGCACCAATAGAAATATGGGATGACCGCATGTTTCGCAATAAAGAACAAGGATGTCACTGTCCATAGCAAAGCACCATCTAGGGACACAACAAGGCCGGCGGACATGTCACCCATAAGAGACAATGCAGAGATGCATACCTGATGGCAGCTGCAGGAGGAACATCTTGCATGCATTTGTCTCTTGTTGCAGGACCCCGGCTGCGGCATCCGGTTTGTTTGTCGCTCTTCATGGGGTCGAATCATACCGAAATCAATGTCAAGCCTTCAAAGCAATGTTTGTTCATTAGCCAAACTCGATATCAAGAGTTCTCTGTAGCTGATGAGATAAGGCTATTTAAGTAGTCATCTTGCGGCCGCTGCACCAAGCGCTGAACCTCCAAATTGCCTCTTGTGCCATGACCACCCATGAATGTCACTCATCTGATGAAGAACCAGAAGAAGGACTCTTGATAGCTGGAACGGGATCCGTACACTTGACCTGCTTCTTACTGAATACAGGAGGCAGTCCAGTCTGTCCCCATCCATGCTTCGTGGACATGCGATTGAGGACATTGCGTGTCGAGCAGGTATCATTGAGCTTCGCTAAAAAAATGGTTGGATTCCCAACCTCGTCGAGAGTACCCGAGTAATCAGTTGGCTTCGAGAAGCGCATGAATCGGATTGTCGCCTGGCAGACACACTCTGTTGTAAAAGGATCCATCATCATGGCCATCAAGCTGTGATATGCGCCATTCCCACGCTGACACGGATCAGGATCTTTCTTGTAGGCTGCCGCAAATTCTTTGAGCCTGGTCTTGCACCTCGCTGCGCAGTCATTGTCGTCATCTGATTCGATTCGCTGTAGGTAGAAATCGGCTTTCACGCAGCTCTTGTCGGCTTGAACTGGTGAGATCTTCAACATGATGACTGTTATGAAGACAAAGATTGGACACATCGGGCAGTGCATTGCTGAGTGTGCGTGAGGGACGTGTACAATTGGGTTCAAAGGGCGGGCAACCACGTCTTGAAGTTTTCTGTGGAATTTTGATGGACATAAGGGTAGCATCTGTTTGAGATTGCTAAAATGGATACCCACCGCCAAAATACGTGAACCCCCTGAGATTTGCTCCTAGATGGTATCATTCGAAGGCAAAACTTCGATAAATTTACCTTTCTTCTGTCATTTGTATGGACACCACTGATGAAGAGTGTGTAGTTCACCGAAGCTTGCAGTCTGCTCGGCATACCACAAGTCCTCAGCTTGCCGTTTCGAAAATCAAAAGTGGCCCGCATCACGACCCCTGAGAATGAGTAGATACGAGTCTGCTATCTCACAACCACGGGCCGATCATCCCAACACTTGGATGGTGCAATTTGACAAACAAGAAAGCTCCTTTGTGCTTTCCAACTTGTAAGGAGAAATTGAATGGCCTTTCGCTCTACCAATACCATATCTGCAAGCAACATGCTGAGATGTGTCGTCTGGGATTTGGCCTCTTTCGTGGTACTTTCAGTCTTATCTAGCTTATCAAGGGCGACTCATACATCAGCAATGCCACAATCGTGTCGAATTGACACAATACCCTATCGTTTCAATGGTGTCGACAATTCAAACTTTGCAAGAGACGGTTGGTCAAAGGTTGCAGAAGACGCTTGCTATGTCATGATCTTCAAGCCTGATCAAAAAGTATGGCAGCTGGAGAAATGTACCTTGTGGGTGGACGTCAATTGCTGGATTGTGGATGTTGATGCAACTGGTTGGACCGACTTGATCCAAGCTGCAGAGCAATCCAACGCTATCACCCCATTTGATGGTATTCGAGCAATCCACGTCTGTTCACTCAACAACCTCGACAGCAAAGTTCCGACACAAAAGCCTCCTCGTGAGACGAAGCTTGCTACTGGCGCGCTAAGTTTTGGACGCAGGAGCACAGGGTTGACCACTGAGCGCGTTTTTGACCATTGCATCTTCCGCAGGCCAGGAGGAACAGAGGCCAACTATATCCAGGCTTATTGTCAGAGACTATGCTACAAGGTATGAGTTCGTGTTGAGCTTCAAAATGCTTTATACTTTCAATAATTACCCCTGAACCAAAATCTGACTGCACGTGATTCTTGAGTTGCCGCGACGTCACGAAACGAAAGAAGGAAGCGACAGCCAGACTCCACTTAAACCATCATGTCTACTGAAGGAAAGCCCATCACCTGCAAGGTACCCACAGGCCCTCCAATCTTTGCAATCCGCCTTGCTAACACTACTCTAGGCAGCTGTCGCCTGGGAAGCCGGCAAAGACCTTGTGATTGAAGAAATCGAGGTTGCTGCTCCCAAAGCCAATGAAGTCCGCATCAAGATTGAATGGTCTGCGCTCTGCCACACAGATGCTTATACCCTCTCCGGCAAAGATCCAGAGGGTAACTTCCCATGTATCCTTGGACACGAGGGTGGTGGCGTGGTTGAGTCGATTGGCGAGGGCGTGACGAACGTTCAAGTTGGAGACCATGTGATTCCGTTGTATACTGCAGAATGCAAAGAATGCAAGATGTGCAAGTCCGGCAAGACCAATCTTTGTGGTAAAGTACGGACCACGCAAGGTAAAGGTGTCATGCCCGATGGGTCGTCTCGTTTTACATGCAAGGGCAAGGATTTGCTTCACTTTATGGGAACCTCGACATTCTCGCAGTATACAGTAGTTGCCGATGTCAGTGTTGTTGCAATTGCCAAGTCTGCACCATTGGAGAAGGCTTGTTTATTGGGATGTGGTATCACAACCGGTTATGGCGCTGCAACACGTACCGCAAAAGTCGAAAAAGGCAGTACCGTGTGTGTGTTTGGCGTCGGATGTGTTGGCTTGAGCGTCATTCAAGGCGCAAAAGCCCAAGGTGCCTCAGAGATTTGCGCAGTCGATACCAATCCAGGCAAAAAAGCATGGTCTGAGCAAATGGGTGCCACGCAATTCGTCAACCCCAAGGAACTCGACAAGCCGGTGGATGAGCATCTCGTTGAAATCATGGATGGTGGATTCGACTATGTATTTGATTGTACGGGCAACACCGCAGTCATGCTACAAGGTCTCAAGTCTTGCCACAAAGGGTGGGGAAAATTGATCATTATTGGTGTTGCTGCTGCTGGTGCAGAACTCAAAGTTCGTCCATTCCTGTGCGTCACGGGTCGTCAAATTACTGGATCTGCATTCGGTGGTGTCAAGGGCCGTACCGAGCTGCCTGGTCTTGTGGATCAAGCGCTTCGTGGTGAGATTGACATTGAGACGTACGTGACGCATCGCAAGACGCTGACGAGTATCAATGAGGGCTTTGAAGCAATGAAGGAAGGCGATTGCCTGCGTTGTGTGGTTGACATGAGCAAGTAATAAAGAGTTTCAAGGTAGTATAGATTCGATCGTACCTGCTTTACCATCAAACAAGTCAATGACTGATTGGAGATCGCTCAGACCGTCGCTCTGTACGCTCAGCTGGTCGAGAATGCGTTCCAGCATGCCATTGCCGCCAGACTCTTGTATCGTCATGCGACAAAATGCGTCAAATTGCGCAAGGACCTGAATTGTATGTTGCATTGCACCTGTTTGTTGAAGTAACCGACATGCTTCCAGCTTGAGCGACACGGACGTTGTCTTTGCAGCAAGAATATCACGTATACGCGATACGTTGCATTGTTGAACTTCTTGCCGAATCCCACAGATGACTGGGAAGCTGAACTTGCCTTCCGTCAAGTCTTCGCAGAATCCCTTTTCGCTTGCGTACTGTAATGATGCGAGGTTCATATAGTCGTCTCGTATCTGAAAGAGAATGCCAATTAAATTGGCAAGCGGGACATAGTCTGTTCTGTTATGGGACAGGGCTTGCATGAGCCGAATAGCGAGGCGTAGCAGACCACCCGTCTTGTCATTGACCATAGCAATGTACTCTTCCTCGGTCGGACACATTGACGATAAGTCTGTGCCATCTCTCCAAAAGAGTTCGAGTCCTTGCCCTCGGTGTAGATTGAGCAGCTCCTCCTCGTAGATGGGCACAATGAGCGCATCTTGCTTCAAGGTGCGCAACCGCTGTAACGCGGAAAAGTAGATGTAATTGGCAGCATTGATGGTGCGTGCAGCGCCATACCTCAGATGCGCTGCCTGTTGACCTCTCCGCAATTCGGACCCATCTTCAACATCATCGATGAGGAGTGATGCCGTATGCAGCATCTCAACAACATCGAGAATAACTTGCAGGTCTTCTGTTGATATCTGCAGCCATTTATTGAAAGCCTGTAGTAAGGTTGAACGGATGTCTTTGCCGCGATTATGTAGGAGGTAAGTGTATGGCTCTGTGATGGCTTGTTCGTGATGTGATGTCCAAGTCGACGCGGCGCCTTGTTTGTAGCTGTCGCGGAGGGCATACAGTGTTCTCTCGTCCATTCAAATACACCGTCAATGCTGATACTAGCTGCGCGTATACTTCTCGTCTCTCGTGCTCCGTTCCGGGTGGCTACTAGCTCATGGCCTCGGTCCCATACGGTTGCTGTGTTGCACTGAACTCGTCGTTGCGGTGAATGTGCATTGTCCTCGTCCGTGCACCGAGACCACACACTCATTACAAGGAAAGCATCAGCTTGGCACGAGTATCTAGCTCATTAAGGACATCTCATAGCTGCGGCCGAATGCAGCTCTATGTCTATAGAGTCATCCTTGCTCCCAGCTCTCGATTTGCTCGTATTCCCACGTCTTGCTGATGCCAAACAAGGTCTCGATGCCATAGAACGGCTGTTTGCTCTGGTGACGCTCAGGGCGGGTGTCCCGCATACCTTTCCAGGTCCTATAGATGAAGCTTATTGCTCATTTACTGCAGTACAAGATGGCTTCCAGGGCAATGTCGCTGGGCATCTATGTCATTTACTCAGACGACTCTTGCAGGAAGAGCCGGCATCTCGTGAGAATGCGACCCTGATTGATGATATGACGCGGCAGGTGCTCATCCTACTACAAGGCAGCGTTTTGCTCCATCCACCGAGCCAGGCCCTCTTTGCTCGGCCTGCGAACCTGCATCTCTTGCTGAATCTGGTAACACTTGAGTCTACTTCGGTAGAGACGACTATTGCAGCATTAACAACACTTGTCTGCTGTCTTGTGGATCGGCCAGCATCTCTGCGTGTCTTTGAGGGATGCGGTGGGCTGGCAAGTCTCTGTGATGCCTTTAAAGCAGAAAAGACACCGCACAAGGTCAAGATCAAGATGCTTGAATTTTTCTACTTCTATCTGATTCGGGAGCAGCAAGAGGACGACGGCGAGATCAAGACGGTCAAGATGAATGAGCAGAAGCAGAAGGAATCGATGGGGCACTGGCCGATCCCGAGGGATTTGGTGGGTGTTACGATTGATGATGAAGAAGGCACAGTGAGGCCCGGAAAACCTGCTCAGCGGCAGCAGCAGCAGCAGCCTGACACGCAGCTACGGACACGCCTCGAGAAGAAGCGGCTGCTGGGCGAGCACCTGCAGAACATTGATGCGCTGGTTGCTTCCTTCGACGAACTTGCTCCATTCTGAAATTTGAAAAACGTAATCAACCAGACCACTTAGACCAACTCCATATATACAGCATGGCCCGTGTCCTCGACGGCCTCTCGCGCCTCGCCATTCCTCTTGCGATCGGCGCAGGACTCCTTCAGTCCTCGCTCTACGATGTCAAGGGTGGAAACCGCGCCGTCATTTTTGATCGCCTCCAGGGAGTCCTCCCCGATACCCGCGAAGAAGGCACACATTTCCTCGTTCCATGGCTTCAACGCGCCATCATCTACGATGTCCGTACAAAGCCCCGCAACATCTCAACTACGACGGGCTCCAAAGATTTGCAAATGGTCTCGTTGACGCTGCGTGTCCTTCACCGCCCCGATGTCAAGAATCTGCCGAAAATCTATCAGAATCTCGGACCAGACTACGATGAGCGTGTCTTGCCATCCATTGGTAATGAGGTCCTCAAATCGATTGTTGCGCAGTTCGATGCCGCTGAACTCATCACACAGCGAGAAGTGGTGTCCTCACGTATCCGTGAAGACCTCGTGAAGCGTGCAACAGAGTTCAACATTCACCTCGAGGATGTCTCCATCACGCACATGACGTTTGGCCGCGAATTCACCAAGGCTGTCGAGCAAAAACAGATTGCACAGCAAGAAGCAGAGCGTGCTCGATTCACGGTTGAGAAGGCAGAGCAAGAACGGCAAGCTTCCGTTATTCGTGCAGAGGGAGAAGCAGAGGCGGCAGATATGATGTCCAAGGCGCTTGACAAGGCAGGAAATGGTCTCTTGGAGATTCGAAGGATTGAAGCATCAAGGGAAATTGCAGCAACATTGGCAGGAAGCCGGAATGTCACCTTTGTGCCAGGCGGTGGCAGCAATATGCTTCTCAACCTTGGACAGCAGTAGGCTGCTTTGTGTAGCAGCTGGCTATTGCCAGTGAGCCTAGATACCTAGCTAGTTGCCGTACACCGTAACGACTTTCTCTCCTCAAACTTCAAATTTGGTTTCTTTCTCTAGACCAACCCTCGCAGATAAACGCCCAAGCTCAAGCTCAGCTTATCATGGCTACAGCTGCTCCTCGCATCGTCAAGCAAGTCTTTGATCAATTCCCGCTGAAGCAACTTCCTCCGCTGTATGCAGGACCTGCTCCTTCTACTCGGCCAACACTATTCATGCTGAAGGACCATGCAAAATCTTGCGCTGTTGTCGCTTTCATCAAGCTGCTTGGTCTTGACTTGGACGTACAACAGACAAACAAGCATAGTCACACTTCACATCCCTACTTACTTGTGGGGAACCGCATCTTGGCGGGTGAGCCTCTCCATGAGCGACTCTTACAACTTGCCGAAGAAGAGCCTCCTGCTCCGAGCCTCAAAAGTGCAGGTCTCGCGTTGTTTGCTGCTTTAGAGGATGCTTTGGTTCTCGCAGATTATATGGATCAGACCTCTCCACTAGCTTGGCGGAGCAAAGAGGCAGGACTCCTGCAAATTGCTGCTTCCCAAATGCAATCAATGTCATTGCAACTTGCGAAAGAACCGCCCGCAGTGGCTGCCATTCACAAGCGCTACATCTCTGAAGAAGACACCTGGACGACATTGCTCGTCACATGTCGTCGAAACCTAGAGGCGCTGCAAGAGCTTGCTCCAAAGACATTGCAGGATCTAGAGGACAAGGAAATGGCCGCCATGATTGTTGGCTATATCAGCACAATCACGAATTACACCGGAAACGGCCGTGCACGCAAGGAAGTCCAACAAACAACAGCTCGTTATGCAGACCTTGTACGACAGTCTCAATACTATGCCAGTCTATAAGCACTACACTGCGCCTTCCTCAAAATTCAACGGCTGTCCACCAATGCTCATTTCCACCCGTCCATGTGAGGAGACACTCGTCACGTATCCACGCACACCCGTTTGCTGCTTCTCACCCGTCACAAGTGTCAAAATCTCATAACCCCAACCTCCAAACCCATTCGCATGGCGTGTTGGACGGAGTGGCAATCGACGCAGCTCAAACATATTGCTGCTACTCATTACACGACGGACACGAGCGGCTTCTGCATCACTCTTGGCGCCAAGATCAAAGACATCCGCGTGCTCAAGCGCAGCAAGGACAGCCTCACTGCTACTCATGCTAAGGTCCGTCGTTTTATTCAACAAAGCGGCATACTTGCCGCGTTGGTGAAACGCTAGCCGCTGTGTGACTTGAGCGACGTTTCGTGGCAAGACAAGCTTTTCTTGGCCAGTGGCGAGACCTTCGAGTCCTAGGACTTCTGACAATTTTGCATCCACCTTGCATGCGCCCTTCAAGCGGAGTATCTCTTCTGAAACAGGAGGCGGGCGTGTTCCTTGATTTGCCAAGAACCACTCGAAAAGCTTCTGTCCGAGACGATGCCGGTGGATTGCACTGGGTGCTTTCTTACCCTTCATCAACTTCCGCAGCAAGAAGTAACTGCCAGCTTGTCTTGCTTGCGCCACATAAGCTTCCAATGGATGCAGTGTGACACCATCTGTACACTGCAAGGTTTTAAAATCCAATGAAGCAAGGTCATGCTGCTGCTTCCTCTTTTCATAAGCATTGCGAAAGCGTTTCGACCAGGTACGCGAGGTCAACAAGTACAGCGCACGTGTGATGGGTTCACGATACACGACCGACACATGGCTCGACAAACTCCCACTCATGTCCTGTACGTACAATGAGCGTGCCTTGTTGTAACTTCCCTCGAGCAAAATATCGCCAGATTCTGCACTGGCAAACAAGTCGGGTTGTTTTATGCGCAAGAGACGTTCGAGTGGCAGTGGTGGCATACCAATAAAGTTACCCTTTGACTGAACCACAAAGGCGCTCCATTGCTCTTTGACGTTCTTTTTATGCTTGGTTTGCTTGATGGCTGTTGTTGGTACCTGCCTCACTTCAGGCTCATCTACAACCGGCACTGTTGAAATCCGTACAACAAGAGGCGACTGGTGCACGAACCCATGAAACTCCTCCACTATTGAAACAAATCCCTCAGCACGCGACGAAACGGCCAAAGCGTGCGATGAACAGCCTGCGCGCACAGAAGCAGTATGCTGGTTGATCTCCGCCAAGGCGACCGTGTCCTGTGGCGCGAAAAGGTATTTGCCACCACGACGCGTTTCGCGACGATCAGCCTCATAGTGTGGGGTATCAACTGTACTGCGACCAGTCAAGAGTTGTTGCTGGTGTTCTCGACGCTGTTGCTGGGCTTCTAGGCGATGTAAGCCAATCGCTTCGACGGTATTTGTGTCGAGTACGCAAATTCCGGATGATTCGAGAAAGTTGCGGCGAGATTGGGCAAGGATTTCGGCTGATGGTTGGAAGGATGTCTCAGGCGTCTCATTAATCGCTGAGTATGCAGGCGGAGGGGCTTCTATCGGAGATGTGCGTTCCGCTCGCCGCCGAAATAGACGCGTCGTTGACGACGGACGGCTTGTCAGTGTCAGACTCCTGAAAGTTGTTGCGAGGTGATGCGCTGGTGACGCTTCGTTCGATTCAGATACCACGCTACTACTTGTACTGCGCGTACTTGTTCGCGAGCTACCGCGCAGAGAGCCGCTGTTGTGTCCATCTAGCACATCTCTAAGCGCTACTGCCAAGTTATTGCCAAACATCGCAGCGATGCCTTGTCGAAGCCTGGATCTCCTCAATCTTGTCGCCTCCATGTCTCTCTCATATATCAATGAAGCAATAGAACGAGACGCTCTATCTGCGGCGGACATGACGTTAGGCCATCAACATCAAACGGCAACCGACCCAGTTTTGTTTGCTTGCGAGGGCGGTCCAAGCTCGTCGGACCATGCGGTAGACCTCGTGCATTGAAACGTTTCAAATTGTGGTGGGTCTGCAAGTATCAAGCGAGATCTGTTTGTGCACATCAACATGATTGTCGTCCCTTACTACTGGGTGATTGTACGGTAGCATGATTGCGTCACCTATTGCTGGCTACAGCTGCTGAAAGTGTCGTGCTGGACCTGATGTACTGCGGGAGGTCCTTCATTACATCTACGAAGGGGATCTTGATCTACAGTCATTTGACTTAGACGTATTCATGTGTTGAGACCCTGAACAAGCAAACCGACGATCCAGAAGGCTTACACCACGCGAAGTGTCTCTCATCGTCTATCATTTGGCAAGCCCGATCAACTGCGGCTGAGCACGCCTGTATCTGAAACGCTCGTGCAGCTTGAGTGACACTGAAGTGATGATCATGATGCGCACGACGATGTCGATAGGCCGCACACATTGATTGTCAAAGACTATTCTTTTGCAAAGGCGCTAGGCCACGATACACGATCGTCATGCAAATATGACACTGATCAGCTATGCTTCTTTTCTTCTTAGCTTCATATCGGAAGATAGGCATTCAGCACAAGTCAGATCTGCCGAGTCTCTACAGCCCCTAGATTTCCTTGCAGCAGCGAAAAGTCAATGTTCGGGTGTCTTTCAGGGGATGAATGTTCAAATGGTTGTGATCTCAGCGCAAATCAGAAGCTGTTACAGTACACTTGGAGGATATAGCTACTTAGGTATGGAATGATAAGGATACTGATTAAATTCGAGCAAAGCTCATGTTTACAACCCGCAGCTCAATTGTCCCTTGTCGTCCCAGTACATTTTGCACTGAAGAAGGTCGTTTGCAGGTCGCCAGAACTTCGTTGGAATAGGTTGACGGACAGGATCGGGCAGACACAACACACCATCATCTTCGCGAGTTGCGAAAAATATCGTAAACCTTGTCGTGAACCAGCTGCTGTCGCAACCGGGATACCTTGGTGCGCCGCTTTTGCCTTGGTTGCTGATGAGCATACAGTTTCCCTGTTTGTCACGGGTAGACGGAATTATGCTGTCCAGATCGTCTCCTTGCTTGAATGACTTTGAGATGATGGTGAATGGACATCCCCTTGGCTGCGTGGTGGAGTATGGTTTAATGAGTGTAAGCCACGAGACTGAGCCATGAGTAGTAGCTAGGGACTGCGCTGAAGCCTGGAAGCCAGTGTTATGCAACGGCTCAAGGGCCAAGAGGATCGAACAGAAGATTGCTTTCACATGGCTAGGCTTTTGCAAAGAAGTCTGAGGCGTCATTTAGTTCTGATGTTGTTCGGTGTCCAATAGGTCGCAGAATAGGTACAGAGCTCAAGATGATGGCGCAATGAAGGGCCTTTATACATGGTGAGTGACGGTCAAAGTCGCAGGGAACTCCATGTGCTCGCGCTGTGGAGAGTGTAGCATCCCGCGCGTTAAGAAGATGACACATCGGAACGGATGTTGTGAATCCCGGCAGCATTCGGCCACGTTCGGCAAGAAGCCACCGGCAAGAAGCAAAGACGAGGTAGCGGGTCGATCTGGTAGCCTGGATTTGGACTGCAACATCGTCCGTGAAGACGAATTGGTTTGCTATTCTGGCGTCAAACACGCCTGCATCACCGTTGGTCATTGACTGAGGAGGTGGTCAAGATGGCATACGAAACTTTGCCCCGCGTAGCGCGTAGCGTGCCAAAGCTGAAGTCTAAGAGCTGTTTCTATGCCAAAGCATATATGTACATGTAAGAGTAACAGTACTTGTAGGCCTGGCCCTGCACGTGTTTCTGATCTAAATTCTCCGCAAATTCGAAGCGACAATCAAGCGACTTGAAGCGACTTCCCATCAGCTGAGCAGCCTGAGCTACACTCTCTTCACCAGTGTTCTTAGTAGTATGTCCGCATTTGCCAACGTCGGGGCTCCTCGCTCGATCCCAGCCTTCAATCCGCACCGTCAATCGCAGAACCACGCAGACGATGCAGAATACGACCGCCTCCGCGACGCTGCTTCCCACGAAGCAGATCTGCGCGGCCGTTGCTTCGAAGCCTCTAAAAAGGCTTACAACGAGGGCAATGGTGCACTTGCTCATGAGAAATCAGAAGAGGCCAAAGAGCATGGTAAGAAGATGGAGCAATTCAACGAACAGGCTGCGTTGTATGTCTTTCGCGCCAACAACGCTTCGTGCCAGCCAGATGAGCTGGATCTGCATGGACTCCATGTTGATGAAGCCAAGCTGTACACGGAGCAACGCGTCATGGCATGCAAGCAGCGTCGGGAGGACCACTTGCACATTATTGTCGGCAGAGGCAACCACTCTGTCAACCACATCCAAAAGTTGAAGCCTGCGATTGAGGAGCTCTGTCAGCGTTATGGATTCGAGTACTCGACTGAGCAAAATGAGGGTCGCATCTTTGTCAAATTTCCAGTCGATGGTGGCTTCCCTGCCCCAGGAGGTGTGCCCAACTACCCGCAGCAGCCTCAGCCAACCTACCAGCAACCTCAGCAGGCATATCAGCAGCAAGGCCAACAGGGCCAGCAAGGCGGTGCTGGTGCAGCTGGCGGCTGGAGCCAGTACAATACTCCTCAAAATCAAAAGATGGCCATGGGCATCTTCAAGAAGCTCTACAGGATGTTTTGCAGGTAAGAAGGACCCGTGCTGTACTTATCCTTTCTTTTGTAAACCATTTCTTTTGTAATTTTGAGAGATGGCTCAATTAACGCTACTTTTCCTTCTCCTTGTCATCTTGCGCAGGCGCCAGGACGAGAACGAGCAAGAATGGAATGATGTAGATCCAATACTTTTGCAAAAAGCTCTTTGGCACCACTTCCTCCTCCACCTCTTCCACTTTTAGATCCTCAGCAACTTCTGGTGAGTCTGTTGTAGCTGCTTGTTCTACAGCCTTCTTGACGACGTGCTTGAGGTGCGGTCCAAGCTCAGGGTCAGGCTTCAGTCGAGCAACAACTTGGATGTGTAGTGATGCCTCTTGTGCCTTCTCAACCGGCAAAACATGCAAGCTGACATGATACACTTGGCCCTTCGAATCCAAATGTAGTGTCAGCTTCTCTGCATATGTCTGCATAGCGTCAAGTCCTTCTAGCCTCACAATTCCCAGCAATGCCTTGTCGCCGACTTCAACGCCAAGTCGGTACACTTCGGCACCAGACTTCAGCGCATCATTCACGCTATAATCCTGTGATTCTGATTGCAATTGGAGCGTTGCTGTATCCAGCGTAGTCTGCCCGTGCGCCTCCAAAACATACGGGAGGTTCAGCGATGTAGAATGGATGAGCGGCAGCGTCATTGATTCAGCACGACATGTCCAGCTTGTGAAAGCAGTGATTGCTGCTAGCCAAGCTTTGAGCTGCATGTCAAGAGTCTTTGAGCTGCTTAATGAGAACTTGCAATATTTGCAAGGGATAGATAAAGACTGTCGGGACTGCTGTAGTCGCGTTGCAATTGAAGTCGTTGTCCGGCTGGACGTCACTCGAACTTCCCAGCTGATGAACGACGACCACCAATTTGGTACTACACCAACATGCAGCTGTGAGTCCGATGACTTAGCTCACAACAAAAAGGGAATATCACAGCAGCTTCAAGTCATTCGCATGGCTTCCGTGTATCACTGCTCGTGCGATTGTGCTAGTGTCAAGGCAAGCCGAGTTTTGACTACCCTCCCCTGCGCCATCACTTATTGAATGCAGCTCTGCAGCGTCTGATTCTTGTGTTGATCAAGCTATCGCGCCATCGACGCCTGATTGTCTGGTACTGCTGTTATGACCCTGGCGCCCAGAGTTGTCTTACATGCCCATGGTCTGCAATATTCCTGATCATCTCGCCGCGAGGATGCTTGATTGCAGGGCTCCCAGGTCACAAAGTAGGCACGTTGTAGCCGGGCAGCTGTCGTTGAGACTCGTTGCAGGGAAGTACCTGTATCCTGCTCAGTCAGAAGAAGCAAGCAATGCGTGCTAGTGTCACAGTTGTCCAAGTTGACGGACTCATCAGCAGCAAGGCGCACATGTTTGTCTCTACGTCACCTGCCTTATCACGCCTCATGTCGCTGACAACTTCTGCGGCCTCGTAGCAGCAGCTCCATCCGTTCTTCTGTCCACTTCTGCCCAAAGACTCACAGTGACTTGCAACAACTTCCGCTAAAGTCAGAGTCATGCGCGTCAAAGAGCCAGCTACTTTGTGAGCTGCTCCTAGCAAAGGTCGACTCCTTTACGTACCAGCTTGCTTGTCATTCTGCGAGTCCACGTCCTAAATTGCGATTGGCAATGGCGATCAGGTCGTTGTGAAAGCAAGCTCCCTGCTTCGCATCATCGGTCTCAGTAAGACGCTAGCTGCAAGGCTACTTGGCTTCTGAGCGCAGACCACACAGCGCTGTACTAAGTTCACTCATCTGAAGCTCCTCACAGTCACGTATGGGATCTCTCCTATGGAATCAGGATCAAATGCGCATGAGCGGCCGACAATGCGACAGTAAAAAGTGCAAGAGCAAGGCTCAGGGGTGAGTCTTTGACCTGACATCTTCGCAAATTCGCTTGGACGCAACCTGATTTTCCCTTCTTTCACATGCGGTCTAGACTTGCTTGAAGACCGAGCAAGTGTCGCGATACTTAGTATTGCCACATTTGATCACGTTTGGCAAAGTGTTCAACTGGGCTACGATGTCACGTTGTACAGGCACATTGCTTAGATGTGCAGCTTGTCATTCGCGACTGCAACCTGTCTCAGAAAGACTCTGGAAGGACTCTGCTCTATGTGACCAATTGGACAAGATGCGTGCCAGCAAGTGTACCGCGGCGGCAGAGAGATGATTTCAGCCGCAGGAGCGAAGCTCAGGGAGTCAGGGGTCAAGCACCCATTCCATATGATACCACCTCATTTCGCGGACACATCAATAAGGCACCACGAGTGCAGCTTTTCATGCAGCTCATGTAGCTTACATGCCGCTCTTTTCAAATCTCCTGACTTGATCCAGCATGGCGACATCTGCCTGCGAGTGCATAAAAGGGCGCTCGTGTCCCACTATTGTCCCTTATAATGACAGCATTCAGAGTCAGTCAACCACGCACAAGTCAGCTCAGAACGATCGGCAGTCTGGCATGCGCTCGTCATCTTGGGTTCGCGACGTCACCGTGACTGCAGCTTTCAGTAGTATTGGTCTGCTTGCTGGAAATGTCCCTGGAACAGCCGCAGGTCAATACGCTGCCAACAACCAAGCCTGTTGGCTAAAGTTGCTCGATCTTGACATGAAGTCTGACGTGGAGCCAGTCGGGTGTCCATACACCATTCAGTGTGTTCCTCCTGGCTCGCTTAAGAATGTACCTTCGTTAGATCGAAAGATCGGGGATGCCGGGGTTTGTTATGCCATTCAACCGGATGAAAAATGCGACAAGACATGGTTCACAGCTGAGATCTACATCCCCGAAAAACGCAACCCTCATCTCAGCAAGGAAAAGGGTCTTTTCTGTTTGGACAAAACGGAGGGCAAGAAGGAGGGCAAGAAGGAGGGCTTCCCTAACTTCCATGACCGGGATCCTCAGAAGCCTTGGCGACCTCAAAGCGCCTTTGCTAATGCTAAACACGATTGCCATCTCTTTTGGAACCAAAATGAGTTTGGTGTCATTTATTATGACTGCGCTTGGTGGCCCAATCCAAAACGTTAGAACATGCCCATATGCGTGTCGTCCTGTTCAGAACCAGCGTTGTCCAGATGACATGGGCAGGATGGCTCGGGCCAGCAAGCATCTACCACAGGAGATCCAACAATTCTATAGTCTTGAAGACACTTTTACTCTACGTGTCCTTTCTTCTCCTAGCCTCTTTTTCGTCGCAGTCTGGCAGAAATGGCCGATGCCAGAAATGCAACTCGCGCCTGCTGAAACAACCGTCACCTCATCTCCTGTACACTTTGCCGTCTGCTCTTATCTACAGGAGGCTTCCACATACTCGTGTCTGATAAGCACTCTTGCTGAATCGTAGACTCTCTCCAAAGACCAGTCATCATGCTCGCTCGCCGTACATTGCCCGGGCTCAAGCCAACCTTCTCAAAGGCACGCCTACTTGCTACAACGCCAACAGCTCCATTGAAACGCACTCCGCTCTATGATTTACACGTCGAGCATGGTGGTAAGATGGTGCCATTTGCAGGGTTCAGCATGCCTGTCTTGTACGCCGCGCAATCCCTCACCGATTCGCATCTTTGGACACGCACGAAAGCTGGATTGTTCGATGTGTCCCATATGGTTCAGTTCCACGTCCGCGGTAAAGGTGCCGTTGGCTTTCTCGAATCTGTTGTGCCTGCTGGCTTGCAAGAGTTGCAAGGATTCAGTGGCACGTTGACGGTGATGATGAATGAACAAGGTGGTATTCGGGATGACTTGATCATCACGAAACACACTGATGAAGATTTCTACGTCGTTACAAATGCTGCGTGCAGGGAGAAGGACTTGACATATCTCAATGATGCTTTGCGTGCTTGGAATAAGCAGCATGATCAGCACGTCAGTATTGATTTGATGGACAATCACGCGCTTGTGGCATTGCAAGGTCCACAAGCAGCTGAAGCACTGCAAGATCACACCGATACTCCTCTCGCTTCTCTCAAGTTTGGCAATAGCGGTAACGCTTCCATTGATGGTGTCCCATGCCATGTCAGTCGTGGCGGATACACCGGTGAAGATGGTTTTGAAATCAGCATTCCCAACACGTATGCTGCTCAAATCACCGCCTCTCTCCTCGCCGATGGTGGTCAAGCGCGCGTTGCACTAGCCGGTCTCGGTGCTCGTGATTCGCTACGCTTGGAAGCTGGAATGTGCTTGTATGGTAGTGATCTGGATGACACCACTACACCCAACGAAGCAGGTCTTCTCTGGACCATTCCTAAGCGAAGGCGACAAGAAGCAAACTTCCCAGGCGCATCAGTTGTATTGCAGCAATTGGACAAAGCGACTGGTGGACCGGCTCGGAAGCGTGTTGGATTATTGATTGGCGCTGGTGGTGCTCCTGCTCGTGCCGGGGCACTCATCATTCACCCGGAAACAGGTCAGCAGGTGGGTACGGTCACGAGTGGTTGTCCTTCACCTAGTCTCGGCACGAATATCGCAATGGGCTATGTTGAGAGTGCGTTTAGCAAAGTGGGTACGGCGTTGGGTGTCAAGGTACGCAAGAATGTGGGTGCTGCGACGATTGCCAAGATGCCATTTGTACCAACGCGATATTACAAGTAGTACAGTATTGATGCCAATATCTGGATTAAGTAATATGAAGTAGAATGCCATGCATCATGCTATGAGCGGTCATTGTGCAATGAACCAAAAAGATGAAATGAAAACAGGAACTAACGAGCTGAGCCAAACCAGCTCAAGTTGGGTGTCGACATGGCTCCACTAGCATTACCATAAAATGACCCTTGTTGATGCGGATTAAAACCTGGTGATGGCCGATAACCTTGGTATGGCTGTTGCAGTTGCGCAGAATGCATGGCACGTCCTTGCATCTGTGCTTGTTGTTGCATAGTCAGTTGCTGCTGTTGATGCCGGTTGGCGTGAAACTGCTGTTCACTAGTCGTTGGTGAGTCCCCATCAAATCCAGCCTCTAATACAATCCCCAGACCTGGCGCGTTCGCACCACTCCCTGTTGGCGGTGCATGTAGATTGGTGAGGGAAGGATTTGCAGAGTAGTCGTAAAACGCCGGCGTCGAAGCTTGCGTCATGGACGGGTCTGCATCTTCCTCCATATACTCAAATCCCTCGAAATCTTCCAGTTTGGCATTATGTCCATTTCCTTGTTGCTGCTGTGGATAACCCTGTGGAAATCGCGGTTGCTGTATCGGTGGTCTTGGCGGATCTTGTGGGAAGACTGCATCGAAATCAGAGAGACCCGGTGATCTGCCAAAATACACTTGTTGTCCATTTGAGTTGAATGTAGCTTGAGGAGCAGTTTGAGGCGTGCCCATTGCGTGCGCCAAATCAATTTGTGAGACGGTTGAGGCAGAGGAGAGTCGATGCGCGTGATGCGCATGATTGCCTGGTGTCGCTGCACTAGTTGGTGTTGACAACGCTGCAGGCACAGTGTGCATGCCTGTATACGCCGTAAAATCCAAACTTTGCGGCCGATGCGCGGTTTGCTGTTGCGTTGAAGAGGATGATGCCGTCATGGTAGGCGTTGAGGGTACTTTCGGAGACCGCGGATACGGATGTCCATTGGGCCTTGCCTTGGATATGGCCGAGTTGGGCTGATTGGGACTGAGATGCAGTGTACTGCTTTGCGTGCGGCGATGTCCTGGTCTCGCAGGTTGCGCAGTGATGGCCTGAAGAGGCCGCCCTTGTATCTGCTGCTGCTGCTGCTGCTGCTGCTGCTGAGTTGATGTATCCGCATCCATGCTTACACCCTGCATGACGGCCATGAATTGATGTTGTCCCATCTGTTGCTGTGTCTGTTGCTGTCCCATGGCCACATCCTCGCCCTCGTCCTCTTCATCCTCCTCATCCGAGTCAAACGCTTCATCCGCAACTGCTCCACCGGCATTGGCAGACTTGTAGTCGAAATGCCGTTCCTTAATGTCTTCCACATGGACCGTGACTTTTGCGCCCGTCAGGATACTCAGTTCATGGGCTTTTTTGAAGAGTCCGTTTTTGCGCTTGATGAAAGTGACGCTGCGGTTCCGATCATCGCTGATATACTGTCGATGCTGTTAGTCCTGCACATATCATACAAGAAGAGAGAGAGCACAAGAGGCGCAGGATCGAGAATGACTTACTTTAATTTCAATCTTGCGCCTGCCCATCGCCCGTCCGGGATACGTTGTGTGGTGGATGCGCGTGTCTCTGTCTGCGTGCTGTGACCTGGCCGTGCTGTGTAGATGAGTGGATGAGTAGATACTGCCGTTGTGCACTTGGCTGGTGTGTTGCTGTGTGGTCTCGAAATCTGGGGCAAATCTACTTCAAGATCTCATACAACACAGATGGAGCAGGGAAGCAGCTGAGTAGCAGGTACGAGCAGGTACGAGCTGGGCCAGGTAGCTGCTGAGCAGGTAGATCAAGCATACAACAAGGCCTTGCTCGTCTGCAGCTTCATCCGACACAGCGCAAGCAGCTGTTCATACCCAGCAGCAACACCATCCACCACAGGCACCCCCGGCCCAACTGCCTCTGTCACGGCTCGCTCCAGCCCCGTCATCCCTGCACAACCCAATGCAATCACCTCACACCCATCCCGTACAAGTTCCAAAGCACGCGCTGCAACGAGCGCATGCACTTCTGTCTGTGGTTTCGCATGGAGATCCAGGACACCGAGACCTGTTGTGCTGACTTGCACGCGCGCCGTGTCGAATCCTAGACTTGCGACGGCATTGGTCAGGAGTGGTTGCCACTAGATAGCGTGTAAGTCCTTGAACTGCCGTAGCGGATGATCTCTGTGAGTACTTACGCGTTCTGCCGTGGTGACGATACCGACTTTATTGCCCAGCTGCAGGCCAGTGACGAGACTTGCTTGCATGATGCCAACAACGGGCGCAGTGGTCGATTCCCTCAGCATCTCAACGAGCGGGTGCGCGCTATAGCAACAGACCAGAAACCCATCATACTCTGCGAGGGTCGGTAGGATGGCTTTGAAGGAGTAGAAGGCACTCGCAATAGAAGTCACGGCCGACTGAATCGCTGCAGGTGCAGGGACGGGCGCGTCGAGGGTGTGCAGGAGGACGCCTTCGTAGCGCGGGAGGGCCGCAACAAGGGTGCGGGTGATGTCCTTGGTTGAATTTGGGTTGATGATGAGTATCCGCATGTCTTGGTCTGTGTCTAGCAGGGTCCAGGCTGCGTAGGCCTTGTTGGGTATCTGTCAATATTGATGTTGACAAGATCATGCACTATGGACCAAGGTATATCGACGCACATCCACCTATATCTCAGCATCCATCACCTCCGTCGCTTGGCCCTCGACTGCAAGCTGCGTCTATATCCACGCTGCAGCTCAGCCCAGTCCAGCTCAGGATCACACCCAGGCTGTGTCCGTGTCCAACCACCCTCGTCTTCCTCTTGACACAGCAACAGACCCATCGGTCGCGCCATCGCAACCGCAGAGCACGTCTCATACCGTATACCCGTGACCCTCTCTCCATCCGCGTCTCCTAAGATGCCCCGAGACACACAAGCATGCCCCTGTCCATCCATAGGCCGCACAAACCGTGCTTGTTCCCGATGCACCGTTTGTCGAGCAGCATACTCCTGTCGTGTCAGATACACCTGACAACTCAACCAAGCCAGTAAGATCTGCTCGCCATCCGCTCGACCGGCACGTCGTAGCATCGACCCGTTCAAGGTCATGCACGTTTCTTGTGAACGTGCAGAATCAGTACTCGCCGTATCCTCTCGACCAACACGCCCAATAGCGTGACGCTGCTGCTGCTGCTGCTCGGTTGTACGAGTCATAGGCGGTACAGCAGCAGTAGCACCAGCGAGATCTGCCTCAAACGCATCAAAGTACTCACTCAACCCATCCCGCGTCGCCGTCTCCGTTTCTGACTCTGCTGTTCCTTGTCGCTGCAGTGCGCCCGTCTCATGCCCTGATCGTCCTCGTCGACGACCGGGGGCGGTTATGGTCGCTGAAGCCCGATGCTGCGTCTTGCGACTTAGAAACTCGAGGAAGCCCATCGCAGGCCTTCTTCTGGCTTTACACACACAGAGGAATCTGTTAGACTGGATGCCTACTGCCGGATAGCAAACATCGAGAAGAGGGGACCTGGCAGAGGATGAGCTCAAAGGAAGGAAGGCCTGGCTCTTTTATCAAATTGTATGGGGGCTGCGGATAACTTTGGCCCAATCGCACACTTCCAATCTAGCAGCGACTTAGCCGGGATCTGGGCCCGGGCAAATATGAATCAGAAATAGTAAGAGTATGTGTCAAAATGTCATCGATCAGAGATGGAGTAGAATGCTAGAACGTGCTCAGACAGACCAAGAAGCATATGATTATATCCTGGTCATCAAAGGGAGGTAGAAACTGGTGAAGAATATAAAGACAAAAAAATGTCGAAGACTGCAGGACTCGAACCTACGCTCACGAATGAACCACCTTTCGAAAGTGGCGCCTTAACCGCTCGGCCAAATCTCCATTGATCGTAAGCAGCACAGAAACTAGAAACAATATAATCGCAACGAAAAAAATAGAGAAATTTAGCAGTCACAAGGCCGACTCTCTATTAGACAGCTGTTCGACATCATATTGGAAGCAGCAAATATTCGAGGGCTTTGGACACTTGTGATGGTAGTCAGCTTTTTGCGGTGTGATGAGAAGCTAAGATGCTATTTACTGATGCGCTATCAACCCGCAATTGAAGGTCGTATTGATGCACATGTTAGTTTAATGAGTATTTCGCATCCCGACTCCTGACTCCAGTCGTCAATGCATGCGAAAGAGGATATGCTGAATCTCGCGAGTCCAGACACCACTAGCCGAACATTGACTTGCGCTTGCAGACATGACCGTTTGCGTCGTCGCTTGACCCCTGATGTGCTTGCCAGCTGTGTCCAGACAACATTAAATTATAGTCATCGCAATTGGCATAGACAGATAATTCAAGTTCTCACTGTCCTCGCAAGCTTCAAGCAGACCGAGAACAGAGAGCCTTATCAGACTTACAGACACAAGCTTCTCGCAGTTGTGTGAAATCGCGTCCACGGTCAGGCCACACAAGTAGGGGGCTTTTAGGCAGGACTCCTTTGGGTGCTTCAAAATATGAGCTGTCGCATATAGTCTCAGCTCGCGTGGTACCCAGGTGATTAAGCAGCAGGCCGTAGGACTCCTTTGTTTGCTTCACAAAATGTGCTGTCGTATGCAGTCTCGCCTCGCGTGGTTTGTTTTCCCCTTGAAGTTCTATCCCTCGTCTCTAAAAGGGCGCCAATGCCCACTGATCGCCTAGATCTGTACTTCTCAAGACATACTCAGTCGGCTTGGCTGCAGTAGAAGGTATTATCTCAGAGTACTGTCCAGTCTGTTCTAACCATCTCAGCACCGATGTTTGGGCGATCAATCAGCACAATCTTGGTCCTTGCTCAGATCTCCTCCTTTCTCCTGCATTCGGTCTTCCTCACTGGACTTGTCAATACTGGCATCGCACTTGTTTCCGCAAAGCCCTGCACGGCATATTGGCTCGAGTTTAAAGATGGAGTACAGGACTATTCGACGGCGACAGAGTGTCCATACACTCTCAAACATTCAGACACGGTGTTTCCAGCTACCAGTGCCCCTGCAAATGACAATGACACTGTCTGTTACTATGTCCCGCACAACGACCAATGTCCTCATGAAGGAGACGAGAGCTACTTTAAAGAGAAGTTAGAGAGAAGTTTAAAAGAACCGACACTACGACTGCAATGACTGGGGTTGGCATTTTTTGTGGGCCAAAGTCATTGCGAACGCAGTCCTGGAAGCTCCCTGAAAATCTGTTCCAGGAAGAAGGTCGTCAAGTGTACTGGAGCCTCGACAAACACAAACATGGGATTTGTCGGCCTCAGTATGCTGATATTCGTCAAGAACCCGCCTATTGGCTATCGATTGAGGAGCCTTATATGGGTACGAGCGACGACTGCCCCCTCTACCTTAATACCTTGAAGGGACAGAACCCCTGTGGCATTGAAAATGCCCAGCTTGACTCGTGGCCCTTCTGTCTTTCACAGTACCTGGGTTGTCGCTTCATCCGGCCTTAAAAAAAGTGTCCACACTCTGACAAGCCTGATAATAACTATTTTCAGGTTACACTTAAAGATGCCAAAGGGGATTTTGGGGTTTATTGCGAGAAAAAGAATGATGATAGGGCACAACCCCCCCTCGCTAACACGAAATACAGACCGACTTGGTCGTATGACAAGTCTACAGGCTCTTGGCACTTCAAGGCGGTTCGCTGAGGAGGCCTTCCTTTGCATATGGCTCCATCGCAGATGGCAAAAGTGTCTTCCTTCGATATGCCTTTTCTACTTTGCTATACTTTCTAAATTGCGAGAGACTTAGCTATAGACATTGAATTGATCGTTCCTCGCTCTCTTCTGCGTGTGTACGAGCTTAATTTCGCTATCCACATATAATGGCGCTGAGGCTTTCCATCAGCGATGGTGTCTGCTCATCATGATGCTGTGTTCATCTTGCTTCAGCTGTGCTGTGCGGGCCACGGCTTTCTTCTGACTGGAGCACTGCCATAGGCATATGCGCATCGACATACAAGTTGAGCTCAGCTGGTTCAAGACTGCTTATGCACACTATACCTAGCGTCTACGGGAGCCCAAGTCTCATGAAAGTTTCAAGGTTCTGCAGCTTAACATGTACGCTTCAGATGGCCTGCGACCCCTAACATATTCATCTGATTTAGCGCATGCTTATGCTCAAGCTCAGTGTCTCATCAACCCTGCGGGAAAATTCCGGGGCTTGAAACTGGTGCTGAACAGAAGACCGACGCGGTGAGATGAGCGGGCGACAACGATCGATTATGGCGCTCGTGACAAACAGGCGTTGATGACGCGTAGTAAACTGGTGATCAGCGATCAATGACCGGCGATCGCTGATGACCAGCATGCAGCAGGCTGCATATGGCGAGCCTGGATTTTGAATGCATTAGTAAAACCTCTCGAGCAAGGAAGGCTTACTATGTACTCCCTTCAATTGTTGTGCATGGTACCTTGCACGCTTGCTACGCTTCCATGCTTGTTCCAACTCGCCAGAAGTGGCGGCGCAGTAGTCTTTGTCATTTGCTGCAGTCTGTAGTAGCTGAGCTTTGGCCGTCATTGGCTGGCTGCGTTTGCCCTGAAGAAATCAGTAGGGTTCAAGACAAGCGAAGGCAGAAGTAGTGTACCGTACGGCGTGGTTGGGCGGGTTCTGTATCATTATTGTCGTCTTGCTCCTTGTTTGACGCCGTGTTTTGTGCTGTGCGTCGTGCTTGCCGTGCCTGCTTGTCGTTCTCGTCGTCGGTCCCCTGCCGAGCCTCTGCCAGATGCTCCTTGTGCCTCGACTGCTGTAGTCAGTAAGGAATCATTGAGGAGATTATTGGGCGTCATCACTTACGAAGACTTGCATATTCTTGGCACCATGCTGAAAGATGGCCATGGAGATGCAGATCGCCTGCGGCCTGGCAAGCGACGGGAAGTCGCATTTAAGATGACGGACTGTCCTTTTTAGCTCGGCAACGCTTTGCGAATGGATTCGATGACCTGGATCTCAGTACGTTTGGCACCATCTGTGGTGCAATGCATATCTTTGCTTGCTGAGAGACTTTGCGCCGCACGACAATATGGTCTTTAAGATCTTGACGATCGCAAAATGCCTGCCGTCATGTTCAAATAGATAGAGAACTTCCACATAGCTCACTATTGCATTGTCGTCGACCTCAGACGCTTCATGCGTCTGCTCACTGAACGCGACCTTGCTTCGTGAACGGAGGCCACTCGCAGCACACTTCACAACAAAGATATTTGTGGTGCCGTAACGACTAGCCACTTCGCATCTTGGCCAAGATCACAAGTAGGCGTTTGTAGGCTGAAGACCGCAAAAGAATAGCGCTAGCGAATCTTGAGTATCGTCGACTTTGGCGTTTTGCTTCAGTCTTGTCTTGTCTCTCAGGACGAGATGGGATGACCAGCACACGCATCTGCCCTACACCGTCTTGCTGCTTGTAGACAACACCTCGCTGTCCTTGAGCTTACACATTCGAGCCTGTGGCATGTCAAGCTGCTCCATCACTCTTCTCAAGACATGTTCTCCTCTACTCGCGTGAGCAGCGCACGCTGCAAGCTCGATACCTTCGACTGATTTAGATAGGAAGAGGAGTCTTCCACAGACATTCTGGACGACTACAACAGGCTCGCAGGATCTATTGGGCGTCTCGAGATATCATTAAGATCCAAGCGCACGTCGCATGGCGTCTCTAGAACTGATAATCCCTCTACAAAGACACTACGACTCGCAATGGGACTCTGGCCTTGAACGCCATTGCGCGACGCCACATGGAACGACATCACGGCACATGCACGGTACCTGATGGAAACTCACCAGATTGTGGTCGATGCGCAAGGCAGCACGGTCACATGGCGTCACCGCAACGTTGGGAAGCTCCAGACGGTCATTCACAAGTTGGAAGGGCTTTTCCTGTGCTGGGACGAGCTCATGGACATTGGATTGCCTTCTCTATCTGCCAGCACCACGCGAAGGTGGTGAATAAAGCGGTGAGAGTGTCTCTGTACCTTGTCAGCTCCTGAAATGACTGACGTGCCCACAGAAGCGCAAAGCAAGAGTCTACAAAGAGACTACCACTGCCGATGCTTGCCAGGACAATGACCTCAGCGACGCACTCCACCATCCCCATGGAGATTCATCTGCTCGCGTCGATGACGAGACCACCCGCCGCGAGAGACCTGATTCCGTCCTCTCTGAAGACGATGGTATCGACGAGGCTGAGTCGAGAGTTGTGGGTTCCTCCTTCTGCCTGATATACCTCACTAACGTGTCCAGTTGCAGCTAGCTTCGTCACTGCACGATGTGAGCCTATCACGCGGAGGAGACATTGGCTAAGAAGAGAGCGTCAAGGCAAACAAGGATTTTCGTGTTTCCAAGGCAAGTCTGTCTTATCTTTGCTGTTATAAGACCGACCAGAGGCCAGAAGTTAAACAAAGGACGATCTGTCTTCTCGTCTCGCAAGGTATACACTTCTGCTGCTCCTACCATGACATGCTAACGATGCATTTTTAGTCTGGAAGAACATCAAAGCTATCATGCAGAGCACAGGACGCTGAGCAAGGCAGCGCAACTATGACCAAGGCCAATATTGCAGCATCACAAGTAAAGAAGGCGCGCAAGTCTGCCAAGAAGGCCAAGAAAGCGGCAGCACGTCTGTAGTGTGTCGTAGATGGGCTAGTTGCTACACCTACTGCCGCTACGCCATCTATTGAGCTTCACCTGTGGCAGATGGTATCCTCTGGTAGTCGTCCGGTTGCCTCTTGTAAAGGCTTGCTTGTTTCCGCCGGTAGTCTGCTGGTAGTCTGCTGGTATTACTCCGCCTGCAAAATGAAGCATTTTCCGCCGGTATTGACTCTTGAGCCGGTATTCTTCCGGTAAATCCCGCCGGCAATCTGCCGGTCTAAGTTCCCCGTAGGGGTGTATCAGGAAAGATGAGGACGTTTTCAGATGAGCCATGGCGTCGCCCTTGGCTGTACCTGCTGCGATGCCAGCTCGAAGCAGCGGAGCTGGTTCCGTGAACGACGGAGGAACGACGCTTGATCAAAGGCATTGAGCAAGATTCTACCACCCTGATCATCTGTTGCAAGAGCTGGTAAGTGCGCTACTCGTTCTGCTCTGGTAGAGTCGAGGGTGAGGATCTTGGCTGTTCACTTGCTTGGCAGATTGAACTCTGCCCCGCTACGAAGAACAGCGTTGATCTGACTTGCTTGTCAGACATACATGAGCGACAGCCCTACGGAAAATTTGGACCGGCATATTACCGGCGGAAATTACCAGATGGATACCGGCGGAATACCGGCGGAAAATCCCTAACTCTGCAGGCGCAGTAATACCAGCAGACTACCGGCAGACTACCGCCAGACTACCGGCGGAAATAAGCACGCCTTTACCAGAGCCAACCGGAGGATTACCAGAGGATACCACCTGCCAACGGGTGAGCTCAATAGATGCTGTAACGACAATAGGTGTAGCAACTAGACCATCTACGACACACTACAGACGTGCTGCCGCTTTCTTGGCCTTCTTGGCAGACTTGCGCGCCTTGTTTGCTTGAGTCTTGGCCTTGGTCATAGTAGCGCTGCCTTGCTCAGCGTCCTGTGCTGTGCGTGATAGCTTTGATGTTCTTCCAGACTAGAAATGCATCATTAGTACGTCATGGTAGGAGCAGCAGAAGTCCGTACCTTGCGAGACGAGGAGGCAGATCGATCTTTGCTTGACTTCTGGCCACTGGTCAGTCTTATAACATCAAAGATGGGACGGACTTGCCCTGGAAACATGAGAGCTCTTGTTTGCTTGACGCTACATCTTGTTAGCCAATGTTTGCTCCGCATGATAGGCTCACATTGTGCTGAGACGAACTTGGCTGCAACTGAATATGTTAGTGAGGTACATCGGGCAGAAGGAGGAGCCCACAACTCTCGATGCAGCCTAGTCAATACCATTGTCTTCAGAGAAGATGGAAGCGGGTGTCTCGCAGTGGGTATTCTCGTTATCGACGCGAGCAGATGACACTCCGTGGGCAACGTCATGCTCGTGGCTGATATTATCGTCCCGGGAAGAAGCAGCAGTAGTAGTCTCTCTGTAGACTTTCGCTTTGCGCGTCTGTGGCTGCGTCAGCCAGGAGCTTGCAAGGTACAGAGACACTCTCACCGCTTCATTCATCACCTTCGTGTGGTGCTGGCAGATAGTCAAGGCAATCCAATGTCCATGAGCTCGTCCCAGCACAGAGACAGCCTTTTCCAAGTTGTGAATGACCGTCTAGAGCTTCCCAACGTTGTGGTGACGCCATGTGATCGTCCTATCTTGCGCATCGACCACAATCTGGTGAGTGTCTATCAGTTACCGTGCATGTGCAGTGATGTTGTCCCATGTGGCATCGCGTAATGGCGTTCGTGGCCAGATTCCCATTGCGAGTTGTAGTGTCTTTGTAGAGGGACTGTCGGTTCTAGAGAAGCCATGCGACGTGCGCTTGGATCTTGATGGTATATCGATACGCTCAATAGATCCTGCAAGCCTGTTGTAGTCGTCGAGACTGTCTGTGGGAGACTCCTCTTCCTATCTAGGTCAGTCGAAGGTATCGAGCTTGTAGCGTGCACTGCTCACGCGAGTAGAGGACGACATGTCTTGAGAAGAGTGATCGAGCACCTTCAAATGCCACAGGCTCGGATGTGTAAGCTCAAGGACAGCGAGGTGTTGTCTACAAGCAGCAAGACGGTGCAGAGCAGATGCGTGTGCTGGTCATCCCATCTCGTCCTGAGAGACAAGACAAGACTGAAGCAAAACGCCAAAGTCGACGATTCTCAAGATTCGCTAGCGCTACACTCATCCAGTTTTCAGCTTACAAACGCCAATTTGTGATCGTGGCCAAGATATCAAGTGGCTAGTCGTCAGAGCACCACAAAGACCTTCGTTGTAAAGTGTGCTGCGAATGACCTCCATTCACGAAGCAAGGTCGCGTTCAGTGAGCAGACGCATGAAGCGCCCGATGTTGACGACAATGCAATAGTGAGCTATGGGGAAGTTTTCTATCTGTTTGAACACGATAGCAGGCATTTTGCGATCATCAAGGTCTCGAAGAGCAAGTTGTCGTGCGGCGCAAAGTCTCTCAGCAAGCAAGGACACATATTGCAGGTCATCGCGCGAGTTTTCCGTCTTCTTGAATCAACTGGCCAATTTGAGAGAACAGGGCTCGACAAGAAAAGAGCAGCAGGCAAGCTGCTTAAGCAAAAACGGCGCGTACGAGGGCAGAAGCACTCTTCATGGGTAGCTGAGGGCTATCGAATCCAGTATAGATAGCTTCTAGATTTGATTATGAGCGGATGTCGGCCTCTGTTCACTTGATAACAGTGATTGACTTGTGTGTTGTCTGCCTTTTGGCGTGGCTCAGTGATCCGCCTCTTCATATCCGCTGGTTTTCCTCCGGTGTGCAAGTTTGGAAGTCGGTTGGCTCCGGTAATCCGCTGTGCTTGGAAAATTTCTCACGGTAATCCGCCGGTTGGCTCTGGTACACTCCGGTAAGTTTTCCGTAGGGATGCGATGCGAACTCCTAATAGGTCTGACAGGTTATGAGCCTTGCGCTGGCGTTGCGTAGTGATGGCAGAACACGAACTTATGGGAAAGGCTTCGAAGCACAGTATCACCGCACAAGGAGGTTGCAGGATAGCTGTTGCGGGAATTCGAAGCTGGGTGAAGTGTTAGATATAAAATGAGCTTCGAGATTCTGCGGGATTCGAAGTTGGGTCCAGGAGGTGTCTCCTGATGAGCACTGACTCCTGGATGAGGCCTTGGATTCGGGGTTTAAAGAGCTGCAGCGGTGTCCTCTAGGGACTAGTCACTTTTGGCTCAACGGGAATGCGATGCGAACTCCGAATAGGTCTGACATATCTTTCCCCTGAAGTTGCATCACTCGTCTTCAAACAGGCGCCAATGCCCATTGACCACCTAGATCTACATTCCTCCAAGCACACTCAGTCAACTTGGCTGCAGTAGAAGGCATCATCTCAGAGCAATTTTCATTCTGTCCTGACCATCTCAGCAACGATGTTTGAACAATCTACCAACACACTCTTCGTCCTTGCTCAGACGTTCGCTTTTCTCCAGATGCACTTTGTCTTTTTCACTGGACTTGTCAATACTGCAGCTGGCATCTCAATTGATCCCGCAAATTCTTGCACGGCATATTGGCTCGAGCTTGCAATTGATCTGCCGGCATATTCCTGGTGCAAGAACTGCGCATACAATCTTCATTCAGGATCTGGAAACGAGATTCCGGCTACCAGTAACCATAAAGACGCTGGCGACATTGAGCATCACGGTGATTACAATGCCTGTTATTATGTCGCGATTGACGATCGATGCCACCAAACAGACCACGAGAGTTACTTTCAAGAGCGTGTTGCCGATGACAAGGGGAAGTTTGGCATTTTCTGTCAGTCAAAATCATTGCAAAAGCATCCTTCGTTACTCCCTATGAATGCGTTCCTGTCGCTGGGCCGGCAAGTGCACTGGAACCTCAAGACGCCCAAAGATGGGATCTGTCAAGTTCAGTATGCTGATATTCCCCCAGAACCCGCCTATTGGCTCGCCTATGGCAAGGACCGTAAATTGACGGACGACACCTGCCCCTTTGTTCTACAGACCCAGCAGGGAATCAACGATCGCAACAAACAGAGTGGTATTCTCTATGGCTATGATCGTGACGACTCCGTATTTGAGACGCCTTGGACTATCGAATCATACGAGCCTTGCTATTTTATCCTTCCACCTGCAGTTCCTCACGCAAGCTGTCCAAACTCTGGCAATTATGTTGATGATTTCTTTCAAGTCACGCTTAATGATGTCGCAGGGGAGGTTGAGATTGTTTGCCCGCAAGTGAATGATAATCGGACATATCGTGAGCCTGTTGCGACGCATTTCAGACCTTCTTGGAGAATTAACATGTTTACAGGCTCTTGGGAGTTTGAGGCGGCTGACATATGAGGCCGTCCTTTGCAAGGAACTATATCGCAGATTGCAAAAGTGTCTTCCATCGACGTGCCTTCTCTACTTTGCTTTTCTTTCTAAATTCCGAGAGACTCAGCTATAGACATTGAATTGATAATTACTCGCTCTCTTCTACGTTTCTCCGGGCTCAGATTTGCTATACTGTAATGACCACGCAGATCTGACCACCTTAGCCCGCAGCTGTTACACTGCCTGGTTCGGTCTCGCTGGCAGTTCCCTGTTTCTTTGTTCTCTTTGTTCTCGCTCGTACTCTCAAGACGAACATCTCATCTCAACCTATCAGCTACGCTGCTCACATCTCGACCTATCAGCTACGCTGCCCACACGTCATTCAACCTGGTTTCATGCAGAGTTCTCTTGCTCTCGCTCTGCCCTCGTCATCTCGCTCCTCTTGCAATCCGCTCTCCCGCATGAGCCTGATGGATATAAGAGGACAGCCTTCTGCTGTCTTCTGCTCTTTAGTTTACAATTCATTATCTACCCTTAGTCCTTGTCAAAGTCCTGTCCTCAGCGCAAGCCATCTTCGTCCCTCATCACCTAGATCCTTACATATACACATGTCCCAGCGTTGATACTGTTCATCGGCGATGGTGTGCGCCTATCTTGTTGCTTGCCTCATCTTGCTGTAGCTGGTTGTGCGAACCATGACCTTCTCTTGACCGAGACACTCTCATATGCGCCTCCACATACAACTAGAGCTCTACTCGCAGGGGAACGCGCACGCTTTTGTTGCTTGCTATTGTTAGCCTTGGCCTGCGCTGCGGCTGCGTTCTAAGTGAGCTTTCCCATTTCCGCCGCGAGTCTCAAGGTCAGCGGATAAGAAAGCAGAGCTTCACTTACAGGTTGAGCATCAGCTCATGCTCGTTGCCATTAGCATCGTCTGCGGCAATCGGCTAGGTAGGTGATTTGTTGCGCGGTAATCGGCCGTAGGTACGCTGATTTGCAACAGCCACCTCTATTGGGTCTCCAGCTAAAGACTTAGCAACAGCTGCCTCCGCCGGGTCACTGGCGAGAGACTCAGCGGCGTCTTTTGGCAGCAACAACATCTGCCTTCCTTTTTTTCTGATATCTCTTGTTTGCAGAGACCTGTAGTATGAGCATGGAGGGTCGATCAGTTGTGCCACTCACAGATTCATGCATATTCTTCAGAAGGTCATTGAAAAGATACGACCATACAGGCGAGGCAGGCGCCACATCTGTCTCCATCGTCTCGCAAAGGAGCTGGACAGCGCCTTGGCGACGAACACCAAGCAGAATGTGCCAGCGTATGGATTTGGCAACAAGATCCATACTGCAGTGCTTCAGGACGCCATGTACAAGTCCCTTGACGAGACCTCGAATGCGGCGCCATTCGTGCTCGTGCTCAGGCACCTTCTTGCTCAGATCAAAGGCGTTCAGCATGTACTCTTCTGACTCGTTGGGAAGACCATTCGCTGTTGCTGTCACTGCTGCTACAGACTGATGCCCAGCCGCATGAGAGGAGTAATGGTGCCTGGTTGAAGCTGCTGGTGTAGGAGGCCCAAAGGTGTGCTGAGCCTCCAGGAAGAGGTCTTCAAGCAGCTCGGTATGGCACAGATTAGTGTGCTTGGGAATGGCGAGGATTGTCCCGCGCTCTGTGGCTTGAAATGCGGATGCCTCGAGAGCCAGATGGTGAGGCATGCCACGCTCGCGCATTGCTTGAACTGACTGTATTGTAGAAATGATGGTCGTTCTGTCGGGAGTGAGTGTAGCTAGGCAGTCTACGACAGTGTCGGGTGAGTTGAGTCTCGAGAGTCATGCTTTGCCACCTGCAGGTACTCATCATGACAGTGGTATTCCGATCAGCAGTCGGCGCAGAAGCCTCTAGGTTCAAGTACAAGGCGAGAGTCAACTGGACGAATGCCACAACAGAGAGCCGTGGTAGCTCAGATACATCACGAACTAGCGGTTGCGATAGTTGACAGCTTCACTACTGAGCAGAGAGTCTCTCTTTTGAAGGAAGCTTGAGGACTACAATGCAGGAGATGGTGCATCTGTATGCTTCCAATGAGCTTGAGCTACCCGAACTTTGTACATGGAGTGCTGGTGCTGCAGCTGCGACTCTGCGTTTGTCATGAAGACTCGAAGTTCGTCGCGAACTCACCTCAGAGATCTGGCATGGCGACGACGACGATACGACCCCCGCAGACGAAATTAACCAAGGCGTACTGACACGGTCATGGTGCAATGGCTCACCAGCCAGGTCGCCAGCTCCGCTGCTCCACTCAATGTATCGTGCTCCCGAAACGACTAAGGGGCACACACGCGATCCGCCAGCGGCATGCGCTAGCTGACGACGCTCGTCGACGACACCTTGAGAACGTTCCACGTGGACAGTCGAAGTCTGGGAATTCTACGATCCCTTTACGGTTCAATTCAAGTACCTCGATTGCTCTCTGGCTGCTGACCAGGACCAGCAGGTAGACATCACCGCCATTGCTTCAGCGGCACCGTGTAGCGACCACAATGGAGAGCCGAGACCTCTATGAACTACATCATGAGACCATCCAGCGAACATACTTCGATGATCAGGCGTTTGCGGCCGGTCTCACGGTAGGACCCAGACTGAAGCGCATGTAAATGGCCAGGGGCAGCGCATCTTGAGCGCACAGCATGTCGAGCAAATTGCCTTAATGATATCAGTCTTGAATGAAGCAGAATGCTTGTTGGTATCCCGAGGGCGCCGCGCAAGTCATCATTGAGTTTTGCGCTTGAATCGCGAGGTCTGCATGCCTCTGCTTCGCATACTGACGCCTCGTCAGTCGGAAATGCGAATTGTCAGTCTCTATCGCTACGGTACAACCATTCTCTTCCTCGTCAAGCTGCGCATCGTGGCGTAGCAGTCTGGTGTGATGGGGTTGTCAAGCGACACTTCATCCAACCAAGCTTTGCTGCATGAAACGACATTCCAAACTGTTTTGATCTCGCCGGTATTGTCTGAAATTACCCGACATTCATATAAATACCTCACTCTGATGCCATGCTGAGCCTGTCCATCGTTCGCAGTCGTTGCCACATCTTCGCACTCATAAACTTGGCCTCATGAGCTTGCACCCGCTCCATTGCCGTGCGTCTCCCCAAATTCATGCGTACTCACTGGTAGAAGAGTGTCTCGAGCATTACGATCCAAAGAATATAGGTTGCCTACTCACCTGAGCTTCCACAAACCGACCCAGACTCTTGGCTTAGTCAGCAAAATCGTTTTTTGCGGATATAAATTTGCAAGGCACACCTCCTGCACGACGGAGATTTGGCCGAGCGGTTAAGGCGAGTGATTAGAAATCACTTTCATTCGTGAGCGTAGGTTCGAGTCCTGCAGTCTTCGATATCTTTTTGGCTTTTTCGACTGCAAGCTGTCTGATCAGATGACACCTATTGCGGCGAGAAGAGCATATAAGATTAGGCATTGTTCGATATGATCGTCCCTAGGATTGAGGAATTATGAAAAGAGCAAGCCAGTAGAACCCTTTTTAAGCGACACGGGCTATGAAGCTCGTGAGCCCAATTTCATCGATTTGCAATGACGACTAATTGACAGGAGCGAGTCCTTCGAGGGGATGTTGGCAAACATACTGCCTGAACTTCTTCATTGCAAAGGGTTTGCATAATTGCACAATAGCTTCCAGAATCTTCATTTCTGTACGGCCAGGTCACCATCTCGCTCACAACAAGACTCCCTTGAGATTGTTCTGCAAGATAATATCCGTGACACTCGCCATGACACTTCTCAACAAAGTAGTATCTGTTGCATTGGTGAAATGGCTGTAAATGACACGCTCCGTCCGTTTTTTCGGATCTGCAAACTTGTGCTGCAAAAAGAGCATGCCCTCATCCGCCACTCTGCCATGCGATTGCGGTTTCCAGTCTGGAAACCACTTTTGAAACGACACACCACCATCACCATCGAGCTTGTCGCGGAAGAGATCCATCTTGTTGAGAAAAAGAATCATGCTCGTCTTGACGAACCACTGACTGCCGCATATCGCATCAAATAGCATCAGCGCTTCGCTCACTTGATTGGCACTGCGATCCTCCACAAGACACTGATCATAGCCGCTGAGGGAGGCAAGGAACAAAACTGCAGTCACTTGTTCAAAGCAATGGATCCACTTTTTCCGTTCTGAACGCTGACCACCGACGTCAAACATGCGATAGGATAATTCATGCAACTCAAACAACGTCTCCGTGATACCTGTTGTTTTGAGTCGGCAATGCAGAATGTCTTGGTCGCTGGGTATATAATCTGGTGCAAAGAGAGCGTCGAGCTGGTTGTAGAAATAGTAGACATTGTCGTGTAGTGCGTATTCGTTGCCACGTAGAGCAACTTCTTGGATACCTTCATCTTGCCACATGCGCGTCATGGCGCCATAGAATGCTGCCGGAAGAGGTTCATTGCGCTCAATTTCATAGTCGCGCAAGAACAAGTCAATATAGTCTTCGTTCTCTTGCCGTAGCTCAACCTCAAGCAACTCCATTGCTTCTAGCATTGTTCTCATGGACACGAGCAGATTTTGAAAGACAACTGTCCGCCAATGTTGCCGCTCTTGTACGGAAAAGCCAGATGCATGGATGAGCCGCATCTGCTTCAGCACTGTTGTTTTACCAGATTCACCAGCACCCAGTAGCAGGATCTTGACTTCACGATGGAGTTTGCGCTCCGCCAAGGCGAGTTCCTTGTTGATTTGACGGTTGTATTCAGCTTCTCCTGCAATAGGCGCCGGTAGCGGATCAAGCGCGACCTGCGCAATTCGTGAACGATGCGCATCTTTTGGCGGCGGCGCTGGCGGTGAAGAGACGCAGCTTCCCATACCGTGGAATGTGCGTCGTTACTGTCGATTGCTGAGTGTTGCGGCCGTTGCAGGTAATAACAGTCCGCATCACGGTGTCGCTGTGTCTTGCTTGTTGTGCACAAAGACCCCCTCTTGACGTCCAAGGTGGGTAATTTTTGACAACCAAAAAAGTTCACGAAATGGAGTGAAATGCATCAATGTGGTGCAAGCTGCGTTCGTGTTTCTCATTGAGAAAGAGCCAGTCTTGTAGCGTATTGACAAAGGAGTCCTTGTCTGACTTCTTTGCCGGCACGGCTTCCTCACCCGTGGAAGTCAAGTACGGCGCGTACAGGTATGGGATGAGCAGTGCCATTTCATTGCTTGACTGAGTAAAGGCCAAGACATGCACGTACTCATACCCTTCCTTGAAAGGATAGGGCAATGGTTCGGACAGCATGATTTGCGAGACGCGATTGAAGTCCATGCCGCTGGCAATCTCGAGCCTGTTGATGACTTTGAGCTTGCGCTTCTTTGTGCGACCAGACTTGTTGGTGTCCTTGCCATCTAGCTCTTCAAGCACGACACCACAGTTCTTGAGAGGCAGAGGGATAGCTCGTGATCCAGCTTCCTTGATACGGGCACATTCAGCATCGACAGTCTCCTTGATCCACTGCTTTGCCTGAGAAGAGGCAAGTTCAGAGCCATGGTCAGCAGTGTCGGTGTGCCCGTCTACTAGTTTGGGAGCCGCCATAGTGCTTAGACTATAGCTTGTATATGAGCTACAGATTACAGGCACCGGCAAGCTGGTTGAGTACTCTGTGACTTTGGCATGTGCACGCGGTATTTAGCTTTTGCATTCCGCGCCCAATTTCTCACACTCAACAACTTCCCCTTCCTGGACTGAACGGCAACTCCGTGAGCCTGATTAGCTCGACAAACGACAGAGCCAGGGAGCCTAGAACTAGAAGCAAAAGCACAGGGCGACGACGATCATACTGCTAGCTACTCTGTCAATGCCATTTGTACCCGCATGCTTGTGATCTGCTACGGAGTCTGTTCTGCACTGCTAATGATGCTATTACTCTCACAGACTACAGCTGTGTATACTTGTAGGCGTGACGGTCAACAACTGCACCCCACTTCTTGTCCTGACTGGGCCATCCTGGCTTGTTTCAGCCCGCGCTTTTCCAAGTTAAGCTTTCCCTCAAAGCTTTGCCTATCTTGAATCTTGATTCCCGGTTCAATCATCAATCGTCAATGAAAACAAACCGCCAGATTCTCACTGGACTCGTCACTCGCGGCCGGAGATCCATTTTACAAAGAAGCTTAAGCTGAATCTTGCCTGTCTGGCTTTGTGGCAAGTTTGTGCTGATCGCAGATGGCTGCGCAAGACACATGCAGCCGTGCCTGATTCCTAGAGGCCGCTACAGATAAAGACCTCTTGGCTCGCCATTCTACGCCCGACAACCGCATATACTTTTAAGATCGCAGCGAATCTACCCTACTGCTCATCAAGAGGCTCGGTGAACCAGCTATCCGCTACACCTGCCTCGTCTGCATCGCAAGAGTCTCAAGCGTGGCCGTGACGACTGGCAACCACACTGAGCGGCCGCATGCAAACATGACCTCTCAAGCAACACCGCACCATACCTATGCCCTCCGGTCCGTTACCACATTACCAGACCTCGCAACAGACGAACATCGTCAACCGCGTCGCAAAACCAGTATGTGGAATCTGTTCAAACGGCGTGGCCCTGTAGAAGATCAACAACAACCACTTCCCTCGCCGCGAGACGCATTCCGGTCAGGTAGTGGTAGTAGTGGGCGGGCATCGCCTTCGCCATCCCTTGCATCTACCATTCAAACACCCTCCAGTCAAGCAAGTCTGCAGAACACTGCTTCGCATCAGCCGGGTGATTTGTTCAACGAGATACCAAGGATGAGTGGTGAAGTAAGGCCGGCGCGTGTCTTGCGCAGTACCAAGTCGCACTACAACTTACGCACGAATCGTTCCGTGTTTGCCCTGGAAAGCTGGGAGGCTGCTGAATTTGAGACATCAAGTCATGTCTCGTGGGTCACGTCAACTGGACGCCGACAGATTGGCTTGTGCGATTGAATTTCTTGAACAAAGCAATGTTTTTGAAAGTCATTTGAATACATTAAAGAATGCTCGCTGGCTCGAGCTGTTGCAATTCTAACAAGAAAACAAGCAAGATGTATACCCCCATTTCCCCTTGTTCATACAGTCAAGATACAATACAGTTGTAATTAACTCGTTGATGGACGAAGCCTGGGCCGTTGTGCTTGACTGAAGCTCTGCTTCCTGCGTTCCTCGTCGCGTTTCGCGATAAAGTAAGAGAGAAGAGGGCCACCAGTCGGTGTACCGTGATGTTGAGGCATGTAAGAAGATGAACGCTTCGTTGCCAGCAACGGTGTCGATTCTGTCAATGCAGAGATGGTGCGTCTCAGTTGTTGTACTTTTGTGGTGGGCTCCGGTTCTGAGATGGGTTCTGGTGTTGAAGCTTCTGCGTCACGGCTACTGGGTACGCTTCGACCAGATGAGATGAGCCAAACGCCGAGAAAGGTGAGCAGACAGCCACCGATGAGTGTAGCGATGGTCTTGGTAGACATACGAGCAAAATCCTGATACAAGATGGCGGATCCCAGAATTGTCGATATTGTAAAGAGGACGAATTGAGTGGGAATGACTTGTGTAGAATCGAAGCGTGCGAGGGCCCGGTTGAGGTATGTCACTTGAAGTACGGCTGTAGCAATCAAGACGGCCGCCATGATGTAAAAGATGGGATACTTGAATGCGTTGACCAGCAAGATGGACAGCAGCGAGCTGACACCTTTTGTAGAGAGCGCAGTGAACCCACCAAGGAGGGCAACAAGGCCAAGATCAATCAAGATATTTTGCTCGCCCCGGGTCCTGGATAGTCGTGCAAGGACAAGCATGAGGCAAACTGAGATGACGAGGTAGATTTGGAATGGCAGCTGCCCGACAGCCTTCCAGATCTGCTTTGGCTTGAGCTCAGGCTGGTCGGGCGGTACTGAAGAGACGACTGTAACGGCACCACCAATGGCGATAGCGACGCCTAAGAGATCAATCCGTCGAAAGCGCTCCTTGAGCAAAAGAGGTGCAAGGAACACATTCGCAATGAGGGCCGTTGTGCCGAGTCTAGTATTAGCTTGTAGCCAGAACAACAGTCATCTCATACGGCGCGACAATGGAAGCCCTAGCATTAGCGATCATCCTTGTGGACAGAGAAGTCTTACGGTGCGAATGCATACGCCAAGAAGTTGCCCGTTTCTCCAATAACCATGAGTATCATACCGGCCCACCACCATCCACTGCGGAGATACGAAGATCCCTTCTCTGACGCGCCATCCGGATCCCGACTATCCTGACTTCCCAGCCCAGCTGCGGTGTCCAGCTTCTTATGCGCCAGTCTTTGTACATTGAGGGAGAGAGAGACGACTACATTACCACAGATACTGAGAAGAGGCCCGAGCCACGGCCGATCTGTTTTCATTGACCCCCAGGCGTCTGGCAGACTGATGCTGCTGGTAGAGACTGCGCTCATCTGCTCGAAATTTAAAGTTCACTTTTATCGGCCACAGGAAGCAGGACGACGACCAAATACGACCAGCTGCAGAGGGGTGCTTGCTAGATATACACAGGCTACTCTCTCCAGGGTGTAAGTTTGGAACTGCCGGCACTCTGCTTGACTGCGAAACGGCACGCGTTGCGTATTCGCACATCCAATGCTTGCCATCGCTTGCCAATGTTGCTCTCTTTGTCGCCTCCTTGACTATCCATTCCGAGATGTCCGACGGTGACCTTGCTCAATGCCTGTGCCCAAGCAGGCATGAAAGTCTTGCCTCAGTGAACGCTCACGTCGACCGATTCTACACTCATTGCAAGGACACGAGTGGTGTGTCAATTCTTCCCTTTTCTTCGTCGATTCATGGAATCTTCTTTTTAGGAAGTAAAGTGTCACTCCTGAGCTTTGTTTCATGGGCTCACTGACACTGAGCCTCACTCATATGCCACGTTCTCTGTGTGCGCATAAAACCCCTTATTGGCGGGAGCGAATGTCCCACTCTTGTTTCCCATTCATTACAAGTCTTCTTCCCAGCTACCACTTGGCAGTGTACCTATACCTGTGACCGTTTCCCTCACAGATCCCAAACCAAGCACTACACACTCATCCCACACCAGAAGTCACTCCTATCACTTCTGATGTGGAAGGCCGAATCGCCATTATCAATGCGAACGGTCATGGCTTTGACCTGCATGCTGGTCAACATGGTCCCTGAAGCCATCGCAGCAGATCAAGCATGCTGGCTGGCGATGGTGGAAAGCGGATTCGACATCGACCTCACGAAACCGGGCTTTCTCCGCGCTCCTTCCTGCCCACTCATGCTGCAGTGCTCCAACGACGCTGCAGAGGTCCCCTGCGTCACGAATTCAGCAAGGCACGCCGACTGCAGGCTGATTGATAAGCCTGACGATATTCTCAACCAAGGACTCTGCAATCCGGACTGGTTCACGACTCCTGATGGTCCTTATCGTCAGACTGGTATTCTTTGTGCTTATCGAGGCCTATCAAGGGGACGCAATCATTGGTACAAATGGTTTCCCACACTCGTTAAGCATTCATACCTCTGTTTCAATGATGTGGGCGAACCCGGGAAGCCCGATTGGCAAACCAAGTTTATCGGCAGACCTCAAGAATAAGTGTCGTCTCTGTCTGCGTTTGCCTTCTCTTCCTCGTTACCTGGTGCCTTTGGATGCGCTTCTCTGCAGTGCCTTTAGGTATTATAGTAACTTTTGTTTTCAAAGGTGTGAGCTACGCACAAGCGAACAGAGGATCAACGCCACCCACAAAAGTCAAGTGCAATTCATTGATCATGATTGTATTGCTACGGATTGAAGGTCATGTGTGCTAGTTTCTGCAGAGACGAAAAGAAAGAGCCGCTCCAGTGAAGCAATCAAGAGTTTGTGAGCCTCTTGAGGGACTTCTCCAACTCTTCGAGATTGTCTGTCTTGCACTGTGTGATGGGCGTCATGAGAGAATCCGAGATGGACTTCATCTCATTGAAAGAGCGATCATCATGCACAAAACAGATACTCCATCCCAAACGGCCAAAGCGTCCAGTCCTCCCAATTCGGTGCAGATAGGTTTCAGGATCCGGTGTACCATCTTGTGTGGTGGGTAGATCGTAATTCACCACCATGTTCACTTGTAGAACATCAATACCACGAGCAATGACATTTGTCGTGATAAGGACTTTCTTTTCACCCTCCCTGAACTGTCTCATAATGTCATCTCTCTCTGCGCCTTCTTTTGCACCATGCAAGGAAATGACTTGATGGCCATCATCAGTCATTCGCTGAGCAATCTCATCGGCCGTATCACGCCTGCGAACGAAGATGATGGATTGACCCACCGTCAACAGTCCATACAAATCTGATAGCACCTGGTACTTTTGCGACTCTGATGCACAATCCATCCAGAGTTGCTTGATACCCTCAACAGAAAGCTCTTCCGTCTTCAAGCGAATTTGATTTGCACCAGGAGCGAATCGTTCAGCAAAGACCATGACGTCCTCGGGGAATGTTGCTGAGAAGAGAACGCGCTGTGCCGTGCTCGGAACAAGCGATTTGATTTTCAGGGATTGAGAGCCTAGTCCCTCTTGATCCAGCATATTGTCCGCTTCATCCAGTACCAGAACTTTCACATCTCGAGTCGACAAGGCATTACGCTTGATCACATCCATCACCGTACCGGGGGTGCCCACCACGATTTGTGCGTTAATGCGCTCGCCACGCTGCAACGTATCTTTTAGTGCCATGGCTGTGGTGACACCACGATACTTCCCCATCTCCGTAACAGAGTCCATAATTTGACGTGCGAGTTCCCGTGACGGTGCCACACAAATCGCTTGTACGGCGTGCTGTGTCACATCTACACGGGAGAGCATCGTCAAAACGAATGCAGCAGTCTTACCTGTACCAGACTGCGACTGACCAATCATGTTTTTTGGCGGGTCTGCAAGAAGGAGCGGCAGAGCTCGCTCTTGGATCTTGGAGGGTTTGAGAAATCCCATTGCGTAGATACCCTTCAACAACTCTGGAGCAAGTGGGAGCTGCTCAAATGTTTTAACGGAGTAGAGTGGTGAGTCTGGATCACCTTGGATATCGGCGAGTTTGACCTTGACATCGTGTTTGGGTTCAATGAGGTCTGCCTTGTGCTCGATGCCCATGTTGACGCCGCCATTAGCAGTCGGTGTTTTGCCATCAGATGTGCCATTGGGGGCAGGTGCCTTTTCATCTGCTTTCTTCTTGGTGAGGGATGTGGCTGCGACGCCGGAAGAGAGCTTGAGAACACCGTCATCCTCGTCGTCGTCCATCTGGTCGGCCCAGGATTTGCTGGTCTCTGCGGTGGTTGGCCTTGGGTCCGCCATATGCGCAGTGGCTGTACTTGTGTCTGCCTTGAGTGTGCTTGTGTCTGCTATGCCTGTAGCTGCTCCTGGACGCCTTGAGGGGATGGACCACTTGGTTCAAGTTGGTTGATGTGGTGGTGGTTGAGTTGAGTTTCTCTCGCCCACAACAAGAAACAAGAAAGACGCAGCAGCAGACGAGAGAGCAAGAGACCAAGAGGGCAGAGAGACCCTCCAGCATGAGGGAAATCATCGTACGGCGCTCTTACATATCCTGCATATCCAACTGACCATCCAGACAATCCAGGCCGGGCAATGCGGCAACCAAATCGGCTCACAGTTCTGGCAACAACTCTGTCTCGAGCATGGCATCAGTCAGGACGGCAACTTACAAGACTTTGCAACCGAGATTGGTGATCGCAAGGATGTCTTCTTCTATCAGGTACGCGACGATTCCCTTTTCAAGCTTAAAAGTCGCGTATATTGACTATAACCCAGGCAGACGATACGCGCTATGTCCCGCGCGCGCTTTTGATTGACTTGGAACCACGCGTCCTCGATACAATCCGTCAAGGACCCTTTGGCGGCATCTACAATGCAGAAAACATCTTCACCACACGCGACGGCGGTGGTGCGGGTAATATCTGGGCGAATGGCTACGCGCAAGGAGAAACGGTCGCTGAGGATATCATGGAGATGATTGACCGTGAGGCAGAGGGGAGTGACTCGTTGGAAGGTTACTCTTTGCTTCACTCCATTGCTGGTGGTACAGGCTCTGGCTTGGGTTCCTTTCTGCTGGAGCGTCTCAATGATCGATACCCAAAGAAACTCATTCAGACATACAGCGTGTTTCCAGCCAACGAGGCAGGTCAGTCGGATGTCGTGGTACAACCCTACAACTCTATCCTTGCACTCAAGCGGCTCACGCAAAACGCAGACAGTGTCGTGGTCCTGGACAATAGCGCCTTGACCAAAATTGCTTCTGACCGTCTCCATGTCTCGCAGCCAAGCTTTGAACAAACCAATCAACTCGTTTCAACAGTCATGGCAGCATCGACACAGACGCTGCGATACCCAGGATACATGAATAACGACATGGTGGGCATGATTGCTTCATTGGTGCCGACCCCAAGGCTACACTACCTCGCAACGAGCTATACGCCTTTCATGGATGAATCCACTGAGGCTGGCAAATTGGTGCGTAAAACAACCGTACTCGATGTCATGCGACGCCTGCTCAAACCACAATCACGCATGATTACGGTGGCGAAACCCTCTAAAAAGGCATGCTTCATTTCATGCTTCAATGTGATACAAGGTGAGGCAGACCCAGCTGACGTTCACAAATCACTGTTGCGCATCAGAGAAGCAAAGATGGCGACGTTCATTCCATGGGGTCCAGCAAGTATTCAGGTGGCTTTGACAAAGAAGTCACCGTATGTCAAGACGCAACATCGCGTCAGTGGTCTCATGCTGTCCAATCATACCCACATGGCAAGTGTCTTCAAGACAACCTTGGATCAATACAATCAGCTTCGCAAACGTGGTGCCTTCTTGGACGCGTATCGCAAGTTCCCCATGTTCTCTGATACGCTTGAAGAGTTTGACGATGCAAAAGAGGTCTTGGTGAGGCAGATTGAGGAGTACGAGTCGGCAGAAACGAAGAATTACCTTGAACGCTAGACACGACTCAATCAGCCATGCCATGTACATGTACACTATGTAAAATAGGGCGAGACGAGTATCGCCAAGTCTTCCACTTCGACCTCCTCCTTGACCTCTTCCTTTTGCAAAACATCACCAGCCTCTGTCTTGACTTCAGTTTTGATCTCCGTCTTGACCACCACTTTCCGCTTCTTACCAGGCCGGTCAGCAATTTCACTCGGACACCGCCCGGTCCCACTCAACGTACACGCGCTGCACCGCCGTCCTCGTGGTAAACATACCATCTGGCCAAATCCGACCAGCATGTGATTCACTTCACTCCAGAGTTCCCTCGGTAACCACCCTTCCATCTGCATCCGCGTCTCTTGTGGATCACCATCCGTTGTGACGCCTGCAATGGTATTATCCGGTGATGCCGTATTTGCCCAGCCTAATCGATTTGCAATACGATGAACATGCACATCAACTCCAATACCTGTGACAATTCCCCAAGCGGAACGCATTGCTAAAGGTGCCATTTTGGGGCCAACGCCAGGTAAGGCCTTGATCATCTCTTCCTCGGTCTTTGGGATATCACCAGCAAAATCATCACGCAAGATTTGAGCAACGCGTTTCAGGTTCTTTGCCTTTGTATTGTGGAAGCCAACAGCCCAGATGAGTTGATTGAGGACTTGCTCATCCACCTCCAGCAACGACTCCAACGTCAGCCCACCCGGTAAATTCTCCTTGAGTTTCGTCATGGCTGCGAAATTCACCGTATCTTTCGTTTGACTTGATAAGATAAGTGAAACGAGACAATGGAGCCGCCGTGTACGTGCGTCCAAGTGGTCATGACCGTCGCAACCTTGTGTATCCACGGGTGCTTCTAGACCTGCACGTTGCTGCTTAATCAGTGCATACGTCGTTTGCCAATCTGCAGGGGGTGTAAATTCTGCTAGTGACGCTGCTTTCAATGCTGCTGCTTCGGCACGAGACCGTTTCGGTGAAGGAGAGATGCCTTGTTCGAGCTTTGGACGAACGGGCGTTGTTGTCTTTCTGGGAGAGATGCGTTTCGAGGGAGTCGTCTTGGGAGGTGCTTCATCGTAGCTTGATTCAGAGCCACTGGACGCTGCACTGTAGGCTTGTTCTGTGTGATTCGAGCCCTCTGATGCGGTAGATTCTTGTTTGATCAGAGCAATAGCAGCTTGAGCAGATTTACGCCTCGACATGGTCAGACAGCAACGAGAAAGTAGCAGAAACAGATTAACAGAGCTGGTCAAAGGAGACTTCAACTTTTGTGTTTTAAATTTGAACTCTCGCCGCCCCTGTAGGACGCGACACCCAATCCACCATGACGCAGTATCAAGTCCCCAGGCGCCGTATCCTCTCGGATCAGGACCTGCAGCTCTTCCAAGACTCACCAGCGTATACCTCCCTTACTGACTTCATCGAGCAACTCAACACCGCCGTGGTTGGTAAACCGAATACCGCATCCTGCACTCTCTCACCAGCCGTTCAAGCCATCCTCGACCTCCTAGATGGCCTGCAACGACTCATTGAAGCGCATCCGCCCGTTGACAACGACAAGTCTCGGTTCGGCAACCCTGCATTTCGCGATTTCTACGACGCCGTACAAGAATGCGCTCCACGCCTACACACGGCCGTACCAGGGCTCGAGCCAGCGGCTGTTGAAGAAGTCGCTGGGTACCTCGGTGAGTCCTTTGGCAACAGGACACGTATCGACTATGGATCGGGCCATGAATTGAATTTCCTCTGCTATCTGCTATGTCTTCAGAAATTGGGTGTTGTGGGCGAGCAAGATAGTCAAGCTCTTGTTTTGCATGTCCTTTGGCGATATATGGCGCTTATGCGTAAGATCCAGCAAGCGTACTGGCTCGAACCCGCTGGTTCTCATGGGGTATGGGGATTGGATGACTATCACTTCCTACCATTCCTATTTGGTGCAGCTCAGCTCAGGAACCATAAACACCTTCGACCAAAGTCCATCCACGACGCAGACCTCTTGAGCATGTACAAGGACGAGTACATGTATTTTGCGTGTATTGCCTTCATCAACAGTATCAAGACTGCGAGTCTACGTTGGCATTCACCCATGCTCGATGACATCTCCTCTGCCAAGACGTGGGAGAAGATCAACCTCGGCATGATCAAGATGTACAAGGCAGAAGTTCTTGCGAAGCTACCCATCATGCAGCACTTTTTATTTGGTAGCTTGATACAAGCTGCAGAGGGCATGACGCCGCCCGCAGCCGTCGATGAGGCAGGCAATGAGCATATCCACAATACTTGGGCAGACTGCTGCGGTATCAAAGTACCGAGTGCCATTGCTGCAAAGAACGCAGATGGCAGTGAACAGAAAATCAGACGCATGGATTGGGGCTAGTCATAGCTACATTCTGCATAGCATATACCACGAAGCATTGATCACGAAACCAAGTCTATAACGCCTCAATCAACTGCTTCATCTCCTTGACCCGCCCAGCCACCTGCTCTTGCGCCTCTTCGGTATTCGGCCGTACCATTGCTGCTGTCGTCTTGGGATGACTCGTGAGGTATTCGAGCCGCGCAACCAACTTCGTCTTGGACTCTGCAAACGCACCATTCGGCGTCACCATCATGCGATTCAACGCCTCAATCAATAAGACGCTCAACAGCAACTCATCACACGTCTCTGCATCCAATTGCTGCTTCGTGTGTGTCTCCTGCCATAACCCCAGACAACTTTCCAATTGTGGCGAGTACGCTTCCACCAACGTCGACAAGTCTGAACGCATCCGTACACCCAGCTCACGCACCAAACTGAGAGACAACGGCAAGATATGATGACTCCAAAGACGATGTAAGCGTGCTTGTGAGCCAAACCGAACATCACCTGCACGAATGGTCATACTCACGCGTGCATCGAGTAGTGCAGGTAGCAAACCTGCCGCCAAGACGAGTTCTGCAGCTGCGGGACAGACTTCTAGGATTTGTTCAAGAATACTGAGCGTTCCACACGCCAATTGTAAGGAAACGTCATCCTCTGGATCTGTTGCTGCAAAGACATGGATGGCGCGCGACAAGACCTCAGAACGAACCAATTCTTGCGCAAACGGTACACGGCTCAATTCGTATCGTTCTAGCAAGATCGCCATGGCAGCGCATAAAGCAGCAACGAGAGACAAATCTTCCAACGCAGGATGCATCAACACAGCAGGTGCAAAGACACCGACGGAAGTCTGGAAAACGGAATGTAGCACGCGGTGCAGCTGCGCAGGTTGTGCAGATTGGTCAGGTGCACCGGCGAGTAGCGTGACGAGCTCGCAACAAGACTGCAGGATGGGTCTTGCTTGCGCCAGTTGCATCGCATTAAGTTGCTGTGTGCCAGACGGTACAAGATTACCTGCAAGCGGTGCTGCATCATTGAGCAACTGAAGCCAGTCGCCTTGCATCTTGCTCGCTGCGAGTGCCTTGATGATGAGACCGGCTGTGACGCATCGCTCGACTTGCAGACCATGTAGCATGGGCATGTCAAAAGACTCACGTACCTGGAGCAGCGTTTGTGAGACGGCAAAAGCAAGCTTGAAATGCCGATCATCAAAAATGCGTGGCTCGATGGTCGCTGACAAGAGTAGATGCAGACCATGCGTACGCTGGAGTTGCGCCTCCAACAGCGACAAGTTGAAATTGGCAATGCGCACCTCTCGCACGAATGCATTCGTCTTGATTATGGGCTCAGCAAGAGACAAGTCATACAAGAAGCTCTCGCCATATGTTTGACGCCGCCAAGTCGCCTTTGATAAGGCTTGTAATTTGAAATCTGGATACTTTTGTGAAATGTTGCGACCGAGATTGCCATGCAGCGACGCACGATAGTGATCAACCATGAAGACAGATCGAGGGAGCGCATCAATGAGCTCCAGCAATTGCAAAGTCGTCGAAATGCGTTTCTCAGATTCCATGGCATTGAGATGCGCTGCTAGGATTTGTGCAATGTAGCCAGCACATTGTAAGCGATAGGCATTGCGCACGGTGACGACTTCATCGGACTGATTACTTGCATCTGCATTGGCCAACTTCAGTAACGCTTGAAGGGATGTCCAGAATTGCGTCTCTCCCTTGAGCTGATTAAAGACAATACTTGGCCAGGTCTGCGCAGCAGCGAGCACGGCTAGCACGCCACTCGTCAATTTCGGCGACCAAGTCTCCTCTCGAACAGTCTCAATGTGTTTCTGAATAGGACGCAGCAATGACCGATCTTTCGGCTGGTCCTTGTCGTCCGTCAACAAGTACAATGCAACACCTTCTTGTTCAGGTTGCATGAAGCGTACCAAGAAACCCCATAAAAGCTGTGAAGAAGCTTCAGTCATTCTACTCTCATCTTCCAGCATGGCCCACAGCGCACTGCGAAGAAGTTGCTTTTCCGACCCGAGATGGGCAAGGATAGACGGCGTTTGCGCATGCCAAGCGCGATCAATCAATGCTGTGAGAAGTCTGAGAATGGCGTCTTGTCGACCCGTCGAGAGCAGCCGTGCGAGTTGTGGCAGTCTCGCATATAATGATTTGTGTAACGCTGAGGGATTATCGTCAGGCGCTGTTTGTAGCAATATGCCAGCCATATTCAGCACAGCAGAATTGAAGTCCTCTGGTGTTTCTGCCTGTAGCGCTTCCTCGAGATTGGAGAGCGCTCCACGCGAAGCTTTGGTGCAATAAGTCTGTAAAATCATAGTGGCTGCTGGCTCAAGCGTCGCAACAAACCCTGTAAGCCGCCCAGCTAGCCGTAGATGTGTGCCGTACGTCAGCTGCAAGATACGACTGAACAGCTTCGCAGTGTCGGTACCCAGATCATGCTGTCTCGTTGCGTCAGCGTGCGGCCAGCTGAGATATGACTGAAAGACATGCGAAGCCATTTTCACTGCACCCAGAAGAAACTGCTGCTTGGCTTCTTGCAGGCGACTATCACTCGTCAGTGCGTGCTGAACGAGACAGGTAATGCTTGTATTGAACAATTTGAGCATGGCTCGTAGCATGGTATAATCGCCGTGTGCATATTCAGCAGAAGTGACCATATCCATAAGAAGTCCAGATTGACCATCCTTGCCAAATAATGGCAATTTGCCTACAAATGCCCAGACACTTTCAGGTAAGACTGGAAACACGGCACCGAAGAAGTGAGCACACTCGGTAGTGAGTGCCGTGTCAGTCTTTGAGATGAGCGCTTGCTCAAAGATTTCATAAACAGTCTGTTCTAAATCCTCTTGAGTCTCCTCAGCAATAGTCTGCAGGAATGCCTCTGCATCGTCACAACTCGCAACAATGTGGGAAAAGACGACGAGAACATCCATGATGAGATCACGGTGCTGCAAGACTGTTCTATTTTTCGCTGCAGCGTGCAGAATGCGTGCCAGGAAGAAGAGACAACTATACTCGTATTGCCAGAGAACAATGATTTTCGCACCTGAGGAGATGAGGAGACCACGGGTACCTAGTTCCAGTAAAATTTTGCCATGTCGTGTCCGTGGCGCAAACAAGACAAGGGGTTCAGTCAGCTGAATGACAGTTTGTGGGCCATCCTCGCCTGTTGTCGTGTATCCCTGGAATCCTGTCGGCAGCGTCTGTGTAAATGTATTGAAGCGTTCCAAATAAGCAATGGTCTTGCTACCACTCATTGAGAGCGCTTTTAGTATTTGAAGGAGAGGCTTGTGGTCATAAGGGAAATGCTGTCGTGCTGCATCAAGCATGCGCATCGTGGATGCTTCTTGCCATGCAATCTGAGCAAGCGCGCGCGATTTGACAAGCAGCCCAAATAGAGAAGCACTCGCACTGGATAGTTGGATATAAGGCACTGTTGCATGGAAGAAATCGAGCAAGACGACACGATACTTTTCGTCATACCGGCTCGTTGGCAGGGCTTCACAGATTTCAACGACATTTTCATAGACGTTCGCTTCGACTGACAGCTCAATGAGGTACCGATAGGAGTCTGAGCTGTCGCTGGCAAAGAGCGTGTCGAGGGCTGATTGATAGGTTGGGTCATGCTGTTCGCCATCTTCGATGCGTTGCAAATAGTGGTGGAGATACATGCCCCAAGCCATACTGACTGTCAGTCCTATCCGTTTTGTGGACATATCCAGCACTGTCTTGTGAATCTCAGCGAGCAGCTTGGGTGATGCGAGAAAGAAGCGCGAGTCGAGGGTCGATGCGTCCAGCTTGACGTTCCGCGCAGACGCAATGATTTCGAGAAAAATGAGTAGTGCTTGAGAGGTGCATTGCGCAATATACGCTGGCTTTGCATGTCGATAGTGCGCTGTAGAGAGGTACGTCGTCGAGTGCATCAACTTGATGAAACGTGCCACAAACGCTGACGTGGTCGGGACTTGGCTGTACAAGGCAAAGAAGAGGATGTCTAGTAGAATGGTCGCTTCAATATCCAGCTCGCCTTCGAGACACGCTAAGCATTGATCAAGTAGCGGCTCATATGCGCGCAGATGCAGACACAGCTCTTCGTCTTCTGCAGATTGGCCAGCAAGAGCATCTCTCGCGCGAGTAAGTAATGCCGGACTTAGATGTCGCGTCTCAAGGGCCTCTGCAAAGCGCTTGATGAAGAGAGAGCCCATGCCCTGTAGGCCTGTCGCTGTCCTCTCTTCTTGTATGTCGAGTCGCTTCTTCTTTCTCGTGGTCGCGACGCGATAAAGGCAGTCACATAAAACATCAGGCACCTGCTATCTATCTAATCTACTCATTGGGATTGTCAAAGAATTTGGTGAAACTGTGCTGGCTGCCGAGCTCGTCAATCCTGGCCACATCAGCAGCATCCAGCTCAAAGTCAGCAACCGTCAATTGCTCCTTCATGCGGTCTCTTTTGGAGGATGTGGTGATGATAATGTTGCCCTTCTGGATATTCCATCGCAGTACTCTTGTTAGCATAAGTATACTGCAATAAAGGTACTTACAGATGAGGCCTTCTGATCTGCTGTACTTCTTTGCCAATTCAGAAATGTATGGCGACAGGGGTCCATCCTTGGCATGTAGCATGGGCACAAGTGGCCCGTAAGATTCACCGCGGATGCCATGCTGCTTCATCAAATCATGCAGTCCAGGCGTGGCATGATACGGGTGACACTCGACCTGGTTGGCAAAGACGGGCTTTGTGGCGACTTTGAGGACACGTTGGATGTCCTTGACCCGGAAGTTGGACACACCAATGTGCTTGGCAAGTTTGAGGTCGACACACTGCTCCATTGCCTGCCAGACATCCTCAATCTTTCCTTCACCCTTGTCATCGAAGTACGGCATGTGAATTAGATAGAGATCCACAAACAACGTCTGCAGCTTCTCGAGGGATGCCTTGAGTGCACCGACAGCGTCTGCCACGCCCATGTGCACTTTGGTCGTGATCCAAAGGTCTTCTCGATTGATGCCATGCTCCGTCCAAGCAACGCCGAAGTCCCGCTCATTTCTGTAGACTTCGGCATTGTCAAAGTGACGGTAACCAACATCGATGGCGATCTTGACTGCGTCGACGAGGGCCCTGTCGACGTCGCCCTCTTCCTTCTTGAACCATGCAGTCCCGATGCCGTAGCCGATCTGGGGGATGTCCTGTACCATATCCTATAGATCTATCCAAGATACACGCTAGATGTAGTCCTGGTCCTCTTGACCTCTTGACTTGTTTGGTTGTTGCCCCGCCTTCATGTGAGCTCCTCCCTCCCGTCACTTGGCAACAGAACGCGACGACCAGTGACCGCACCACCTCCGGCTCCAGCTCCTGCTCACCGGGCCTAGTACGGGCCATGGTCCTTACAAAGCTCAAGAATATAGGCAGAGGCTTCTCCTCTCAGGGAAAAGAGCCACAACAGCCTGCACTCGTGGTCAAGGCCAATATCATACAAGCCAAAGACCTCACTGCCAAAGATAGATCAGGCAAGAGCGACCCATACCTCGTCCTTGTGAGTCTTCCGCTCTGTTTTTATATACAATGTTCTAACACCTGCTAGCGACTCAATAATGCGAAATACACGACAAAAGTCATCAGCTCAAATTTGGATCCAATTTGGAACGAAGAAGCCGATCTCAGCATCAGCCATAATGCACGCGCCTATTTAATCGAGGCAACCTGCTGGGATAGAGATCGCTTCACACGCAAAGACTACCTCGGTGAATTCTCAGTCAACTTGAAGCACCACTTTGAATCCATGTCTGTTGCGAAATTAGAAACACATGCGCGATGGTATCCATTGAGTTCGTTTCGTCATGGTAGGCGTTCTAAGACTGTTTCTGGATCAGTCGAAGTAGCAATCTGGCTTGAAGATCCAAGCAATCCAGAAGCCACACCTGAAGAGCTTCGCGCGCTATGGCTCGCATTGACACGAGAAATCGAGGGACAAGTGGGTGCTGCGATTGCCAACGCACCACCGGATGAACCAGTGGGTATGCGTATGGCTGAAGATGAAGATTCGTCAGATGAGCCATTCCTTTCTGCGGACGAAGGAGTCGATGAAGGCTTCGATGATGTGGCGAGCTTGGCTTCTGATGTTTCACAACTCGAGGTCCTTGATTCAGATCTCGACAATGCCTCTGAGCTAGACTTGACACAGCCCAATGTCAAGGCTACCAAGACTTCTCGTCGCAAGAAACGCCGATTACGGCGTGCAAAAAGCAAAAAGCCATTCCATTTCAAAACCTCAGCAGATGGCGACGTGCTTGGTGTTGTCTTTCTTGAAATTGAATCTGCCAAGGACCTACCAAAAGAGCGCAACCTCACCAAAACAGGCTTTGACATGGATCCATTCGTCATTACCAGCTTTAGCAAAAAGACCTTTCGGACGCGCGTTGTACGACACTCGTTGAATCCAGTGTTTGGCGACAAACTCCTCTTTCAGGTGCACAAACACGAAGCGGGATACAACCTCAAGTTTACCATTGTCGATCGAGACAAGTTTAGTGGCAACGACCTCGTTGGTGAAGCAGTGATGAATGTGCAAGAGCTGATGGAGATTGGTCCTCACAAGGATGCAGTCACTGGACTTTACAGGCTGCCTAAAACTGCTGCAGTCAGCGTCTCTGATGCACCAGAGAAACGCCGTCTGCTTGGCCTGCGACGTCCAAAGCAAAAGCAGGCGTCTCAGGATGAGGAGGATGATGAAGAAGCAGTTGACAATATGGCACCTTTCGATCTGCCGCTGACGCTTGCTCGCAAGGACTTTTGGCAAGACAGGCACAAGCCAACGCTCCAAGTCAAGGCGAAGTTCATGCCATACCCTGCTTTGCGACAGCAGTTTTGGCGCGTCATGCTCAAGCATTTCGATTCAGATGAATCTAACAGCATCTCCAAGATTGAATTGACCACAATGCTTGATTCGTTGGGCGCAACGCTCAAAGATAGCACCGTGCAGTCCTTCTTTGATCGTTTCTCGCCCGTGCGCAGTATCGACAATGACGCTAACGCTATTGACGGGCAGACACTGACTGTCGATCAATGTGTTATCTGCCTCGAGGACATCCTGAACCACATGACTGCAAAGGGTGACAGTATTGCCAACAAGACACATTCCTCGTCTTCATCCTTTGTCAGTCGCACTTCTATGCCATTGCCTAAACGCCAATCATCACGAGACACAACACGGCCTGCATCGCCTGCACTCAGTAAATCATCATCACGACCGCCAAGCATCAAGACGAGCGACAAGCCTCCCTCGGAAGATACGCTCGCAGAGGTGGATGGACAAGATGAATACCTCATTTCTCTTACCCAATGTCCGCTTTGTCAACGCGCCAATATAGATCGCAAGAGTGCAGTCGATATTGTCACCCATCTTGCTACCTGTGCTAGTCAAGATTGGCGCAAAGTCGATCACCTCGTCATGGGCGACTTCATTACACCCTCCCAAGCACAGCGGAAATGGTACACAAAGATCATTTCAAAAGTCAGTTATGGCGGATACAAACTTGGTGCTAATTCAGCCAATATTCTGGTTCAAGACCGCATTACGGGTCAGGTACAGGAAGAGCGTATGTCTGTGTATGTACGTCTCGGTATTCGCTTGCTCTACAAAGGCATGAAGAGCAGTCGTATGGAGAGTAACCGTATTCGACGCATGCTCAAAACAATGAGTATCAAGCAGGGCATCAAGTACGACAGTCCGAGCTCTGCCAAGGATATCAAACCTTTCATTGCATTTCATCGACTCAACATGGATGAGGTGCTGGACCCTGTTGACTCGTTCAAAAGCTTCAATGAGTTCTTTTACCGCAAGCTGAAACCAGATGCACGACCTTGTACCGCACCAAATGATCCACGTATCGCTGTATCGCCTGCAGACTGTCGCTCTGTCGTCTTCAATACGCTGACCTCGGCCACTGAAATCTGGGTCAAGGGTCAACAATTCTCCATTGCAAGACTCTTTGGTGATGCATACCCGGAAGACGTCGCTCGATTTGAGAATGGCTCGTTCGGCATCTTTAGGCTTGCTCCACAAGACTACCATCGCTTCCACATTCCTGTCGACGGTACGCTTGGTATACCAAAGACCATCGAGGGACAATACTACACGGTCAATCCTATGGCCATTCGATCCAATTTGGACGTCTACGGCGAGAATGTACGCGTCTTGATACCAGTCGATACCAAGGAATTCGGTCGTGTCATGATCGTTTGTATTGGCGCCATGATGGTAGGCAGTACAGTCATCACTGCAGAACCTGGACCCGTCTCAAGAACAGACGAGCTTGGCTACTTCAAATTTGGTGGTTCCACCATCTTGCTCATCTTTGAGCCTGGTCGGTTTGAATTCGATACAGATCTGGTGCAGAATGCAACGGCGTCGCTGGAGACACTGTTGCGTATGGGCAGTTCAATTGGACACCCACCGGGTGTAGCTGATGCCCAACCTGAGAAGAAGGATAGTGTGACGATGGCAGAGAAGGAAGAGGCGAGTCGGCAGATTGCAGGCAGTATGCCCATGCCTGGCACTAAGGGCGAAGATGGCGTGTGGGCGGCGTTGAAAGATCCTGTGGAAGCGGCACGGAAGGCCAAAGAGGTTGTGTTGCCGCAGGCACATCACGTATCTTGAGATTTGAACAGGATGAAGTCTGCCTTATTTTTTGAAACACGAAGATGCTCAGCAGCACAATGTAGGTTGTGCCTTAGTGCAGACCAAGATCTTTCATGGCATTGATATTCGTTGAAAATCCGTTGTCAAGGACTGCAGGCTAAAGTCTTGGTGATATCGAAAGAGACGAGGTGTTAAGCTGTTTGTAAACTATCATCGCGATCGACAAAGTCCACTATTCAACCCAGGCCACCCTACACGCCTTTGTCACACCTTTGTGTGTCTCCTTAATAAACGCATATTGACCAAACGGATTTCCGACGTGCAGAGTCGTCCAACGAAGCGTTTCGTTTCCCTTTGTAGCGCAGGCTACGCCACCTTTATACCACGGCCCATTCCGCTCTATTTGGAAATCCTGTTGAAACCAATCCTCACCCGGTATCCTCCATCCATTTTTCTTACCATGTGGACAGTTCGCATTCCTTCGATTGACTAAATAGCAAATCATATCCTCCGTCTTGGGATCGTCTTTGATGTCGCCAATCTTGCCACCCGCCCTACGGGAAAATCGCTGGTGAAGACGAGTGCACACTGGTGACTCGCGGATGACTCGCGGGTGATAAACCGGTAACGCTGGTGAAATACTGGAGCAAACCGGAACACCACTTCCAGACGCTGGTGAAAAACCGGCGACCGACGGAAGACAAACAGCAGACGCTGGTGACTGCTGTTGCCTGCACTATAGCTACGCCTGTAGATAGCACGTGCGAGTAGACACATACGCTAGCATTCGTCCAGCTCATGCACAACTATTGAGACGGAAGCAATTCTACCTACGACGTGTCCAAACCACATGATTCCCCGATCTGCACGGCATGACTACCTGCAAATGCAACCATCGCTCGATGCAGATCGTAGAATCATGTGTTTTGCTAGACGTTAGCTATCCTACGAGAGCGGCTTTGTTCCCAAGGCTTCAAGAAGCAAGGAAGTGGAGTCGTCGGTGTGATGTGCTCGTTGTGAAGTTGGAGTTTGTTGGTTTTGAACTTTGGCCACTCTGCACGTCGGAAGCTCACGCTACTCGCGACCACAGTACGCAAGCGCTCCACTCTAGACGCGCATCTCTGCAGTCTCTCTTCCTTCGATTCTGTCTCTCAAGCGCGTCTGACCAGCAAAGTCAGATCAATGCTGTCCTGCGTGGCGCGGTAGAGTCCGACCTGCCAAGCAGAATGGACAGCCAACATCCTCAACCTTGACTCTGCAAGAGCGAAACAAGCAGCGCGTCTACTAGCTCTTGCTACAGATAATGAGCATGCTAGAGTCTTGCTCATTACCCTTGATCCAAGCGTCTTCCCCGCGTCGTTCACGGAACCAGCTCAGCAGCCTCAAGCTGGCATCGCAGCAGGTACTGCCGACAACGAACCCATGGCCTTATCAGACAGCTTCTCTATCTCTTCTGATACACCGCGCTGAGCCTAACGCATTCAGGAGGACGATCTAGACCGATCTGAATGCCTTGCACACGATACACGCATGACAAAGGATCCAGCACGACTACGACGCGTGTCAAGGGATAATTCCAAGCGCACTGAGATCCAGGCCGTCGAATCCAATCGCAAAGCGTCGCCGAGCTAAGGAAGGCAGTCCGTCATCTTGAACGCAACTTCACGTCGCTTGCCAGGGCACAAGCGAATTGGATCTCCATGGCCATTTTTCAGCATGGTGCCAAGAACTCGCCGTACGTGATGACGTCCAACAATCTACGCAACGTTCCCTACTGACAACAGCAATTGAGGCACAACAAGCGTTCGGCTGAGGCAGAGGCTGAGCAGCAGGAGATCGACGACGACAACGACGTGCAGACACATCAAGGACCACGGACCACGGACCACACGGAACATCGCGTCACGCCATGGGCAAGACGACGACAGCGATGTAGAAGCCCCACAACCACGTCGTACGGTACATTCATTCTTTCGCTGGTCTTGATTCATACTGACTACAACAGGGAAAACGCAACCGGCCGATGACGGCGAAAGTTCAGTTTCTCCAGGCTGCAGCGAATGACAGGAATGACCGCGCCGCCGCTGCCAGCGAGGTGGAACAAGCGCGGGAGCGTAGCAAGCGTGCAAGGCACCTTGCATGACAGTTGTAGGGTGGACGTAGTAAGCCTTCGTTGCTCTAGAGCTATCCCAGAACTATGTAAAGCCCTGGCTCGCCACCTGCAGCTCGCTGCGTACTAGTCACCAGCGATCGCCGGTTCTCACCCGTAAATCACCGGTTTACTACGCGTCAATCATCGCCTGTTTGTCACCAGCGCCATATTCTACCGTTTGTCGCCCGTTTATCACCCAGCGACAGTCTTCCGTTTATCACCGGTTTACCACCCGTGGAAATTTCCCGTAGGGCCGTTTCTCCAACCCCAGCGCGGACTTCTTGCGGGATGTAACCCTCATCCTTCGAGTTCTTTAGCTGAAATGGGCAAGTTATGGGCCAGTCGGCCTCCGGTATCGATGGATCCGCCTTGAGCCACCAGGCAGTACAGTCGTAATGTTTATTGTCACCATTGAAAATGCGGGAAATGGACCAGCTGCTGACATTTGCTACAAGCAAAAGCAGCAACGGGAGCTTCATGCCCAACAAAACCACAACCGCTGCTCGAATATTCAGCATAGTGACGGATAGACCAAGAGGGAAGACTTTGGTTTGTGAGAGAAGTTGTTGGTTGGGCCGTAAGAGAGGTCTGGGACTTGACGTGTTCAAATACTCCTGGTGCAGCGACTACTTTCAGGGGTAAAAAAATCCTGCCATGCGACCAGCCCGCTCGAACGGCGACAAACACGAAGCAAATATTCCGGATGTATGGGTTTCGTATATCTCTCGTAAACTGAAAAGCTGCTGCATCAGCGACATTTCAAGGGCTACAAGCTCGACAGAGTTGGCAACGGTTCAGCAAAACTGCCACTGCCACTGCCAGTCTAGCTTGGCAAAGTTGGCGTTGGTCTAGCGGCATTGCCACTGCTACTGCCACTAGCCTCGGCCTCGGCCCAGTCTGGTGCAGCAAATTTGCTCAGGAGTAACCAAATCTCATGATGCGAGCATCATGCGGCCGGCCAGTCAACTCGAGCGGAGACAAACATGAGGCAAATATGAGGCAAATATAAAGCAAATGCGAGGCAAATATGAGGCAAATATACCAGATGTGAATGTCGCATACTTCACATCCGAACAGTAAAGCGGCTGCATGATGCATCATGAGCTTGCACCAGCAGGACCTCGGACAGCAGGCTCGGCAGAGTCGGCACTGACTATCAAGGACTGACCTCTACGCTCACTCGTCTTGTCTCCCTCTCTTCTCGGCTATTGCTACCTCTCCTGAGGTCCTAGTACCCCTACAGTCTGGACCTTCTCTATTACGATGGTTCACTCAATCTCTCAGCACTATCACTGTAATACATGGCCCGGCGTATCTCCCTTCCTGAGGCGGCCTCTGTCGGCATCACACTCACCTCGCCTCATGGGCCACGCTATAGCGTGACGCTCGCAGGCGTCGAACTCCTCTTGGTTCTCGCACAAACACATCACGCACGCAAGCGTCAATGTGACAATAGCTTTTTCAACACAGCCCCAGCGTCAATTGTCGATGAAGGCGATAACGATAATGATAATGACAACGACGCACGACTTGTAAGCGTCGCATGAGCGATGTGCAGCTGCAGGGGAGGACAAGACGCTCGACGCCCGAAAGCATGGACGCGATACCCTCGCACAACAGCTAGCGACAACTTGACAGCCGCTCGTCACTTGAAAACAATCAAAACTCTTCGACACACAGGTGGTTCCTTGAACCAACTCTGATGATAATTACGCCACGCCACCTGCACCTTGGCCGTATGTGGCGCTCGATGGGGCGTGTGGGCCCTGTCTTTGCTGCAAGCAACACCATACTTTGCTCCATTGTACTGAACATGGAACCAGTTCTGCCCCCAGCCGCCGCCATTGGGACATAATTGCGTCATTGGGACAAGGTAGCATATCTCGTAGCCGCCGTGACCTTTGATGTCCTTCAAGTGAAGAACCTTTGGTGCAGCGGGATAGAGTTCTTGAGGGAGAACATCGAACTTTCTGTTCCGTTGTTTGCAATCATAGGGACAAGCTTCCGGGTCCGTTGGCGGAGGATCCTTGACAACGAGCCACCACATAGTACAATGCCGCCTGAATGTATCTTTGAGAGTGTCCCTTTTGACAAGAGAATTGTTGAGCACGGGAGCGCCTGCAGCTGCATCTGTGTCGGCACCGATGACAAATGCCCAGAGCAGCCTCGAAACTAGAGCGAAACAGACGACTCCTTTCATACTGAAATACTGAAGAGTGTGTGTAACGATGAGAGTGTGCGGGAGTCGTGATAGTCACGGCGAGTTTTGAGGATGGTTCTGGTTATGCTATGAAAACTTGCTTTCCTAAGTCCTTCATCCTGATCATCTCATACCAGTTCAGGAGGTGCACTCCTGAAGCACGAGACTACTGCCAAGACAAAGGCTCTGCCAAGACACAGGCTCTGCCAAGACACAGGCTCTATTAAACTGGTAACATGAAATGTCCTGAATTGCCTCAGACCGGCTCGATGCCCCGGACATGGTACTTGATTTGCGGGCAGATAGCCACCGCTACGCGCAGATAAGTTTGATGGGAGAGGATTCTTGAGTTTGTTCTGTTGAAGCTGCAACACACAATGCATATGGTCCACATTTGCCAGGTCGAGATTGTAGCGCGCCTTGATCATTTTGAAATACCCCTGAAAATTTTGACCCTCGTAGCTGCTGCTGACCATCTCGAAACGAATTCACGGTAGTCTTAAGCTTATCTAGACTGCAAGATTTGCAAAGAACGCAGGTCATCAGTTGCAAAGGCATAGAGAACGTGAAGAGAGGCATTCTATTATCAATGACAGCAATTGTTGTCTAGACTGCTGTGGCTGGCTTATAACTTTCGCAACACAAAGACCATAACTTTGGAGGATGTCAAATTTGGCAATGTCAGAGCTCGTAGAGATGCACCACCTGCAGCAGTGCAACAACTTGGTTTTACAGCTCGCATGCTTGCACATATGCACATGGCCATTTGTGTTGAGGTGATGCATGTGCACGATGGCTTCTGGCCCAATTGGAAGCAAGTTCGTACATCTGTACAAGATCTACAAGATATCGTAGCTAGGCTCAGACGAAAACGATGAGACTTGAGTAGGATGACGGTTGATTTCTCAAATAGCCAAGATCTTTTCAAATTGAACGTTCACTACAGTAGACCGAGAAGCCTGCTGCTGTAGCAGTAGCCTGCTACTACACCGGCGTAAGAGAGGAAGACTGAAAGGCGATAACGCTAACGACAACGACGCACAACTTGTAAGCGTCGCATGAGCAATGGGCAGCTGCAGGGGAGGACAAGACGCTCGACGCCCGGAAGCATGGACGCGATACCCTCGCACAACAGCTAGCGACAACTTGACAGCCGCTCCTCACTTGAAAACAATCAAAACCCTTCGACACACAGGTGGTTGCTTGAACCAAATCTGATGATAATTACGCCAGGCCACCTGCACCTTGGCCGTATGTGGCGCTCGATGGGGAGTGTGGGCCCTGTCTTTGCTGCAAGCAACACCATACATTGCTCCATTGTATTGAACTTTGAACCAGTCCTTTCCCCAGGCGCCGCCACTTGGACAATTTTGAGTCTTTGGGACAAGATAGCATATCTTGTAGCCGCCGTGACCTTTGATATCGTTCAAGTGAAGGACCTTTGGCGCATTGGGATAAAGTTCTTGAGGGAGGAAGTTGGAGCCTGCAACTGCCTGCCGTTTTTTTTGACTATAGGGACAAGCTTTCGGGTCCGTTGGCGCGGGATCCTTGACTACGAGCCACGACATAGTACAATGCTGCATGAATGCATTTTTGTATGCATCTTTGAAAAAATCGCTCCTTTTGACGATTGAGGTGCTGAGTACGGGAGGGCCAGCTGCAATTGTGTCGGCACCAATGACCAGTGTCCATAAAAGCCTCAAAGCTAGAGCTAGATAGATAAATCTCTTCATACTGGACGGTGTTCGTGTCGATGAGAATGTGAGGTAGTCGTGATAGTCACGGACTTGCTGAAGATAGATGTTCTGGTTGTGATATCAAGACTCGATATCCTTGCTCCTGCATCCTCATCTTCTTATACTTTTCACCCCTGGCACACGTGGCTCTTGCCGATACACAGGCTGGTAGCATGAAGTATCCTGACAGTCTTTGAACCCGACGCTTAAATGATTGATCAGCTGAAAATGTGGCCCCGACCACACAGCACCATCGCATGCGACTGGGCTCAGTGAAAGCAGAACGTGGTGACCCAACAGCTAGTATAATATTATTTGTTTGTCAAAACATCTCGCATTGGAGTAACTACTGCGATACCCCTTGAATTGCCTCAGACCGGCTCGATGCCTAGATGTAACGTACATTCATGATAGAGATATTCATTGTCTACCCGACTTTGACGCTATAGAGCAGCAGATCAGCGCGAAGGATGCGGGCAATGTTCTTGCGCCTGCAGAGACTGAGCAATCTCCTGGATCAGCCGTGGCTGCCCATAAGACGTTCGAGACTTGCGAGCAATGCGAGGTCAATGTTTGTTCTGTGCAGTGTGCAGTTCCTTGTCCATCGCATTTGTGCAGTCGGCCGCCCCGAGGAACTTGCCGACTTTTATCAGGCTCCACATCCAGATCTCACTATCGCAAACTACAACACATAGCAGATGTGCATCTTGTACCAGTATCTTCATGTTTAGCTAGGGCGAATGCTAGGATAATACATCACGGGCCTTCTCAGAGTCCATCAGACAGATACATCTCGCCATGAGCCGCGACGAGCTCGCGACGAGCGCGCCTTTGACGGTCGGCAATGAGACTCTCGCTGATCTCGAGATGATTGAGCGTACAGGCTCTCCAACGCAACAAGAACACGAGCTTCTCAAGTTACAACACGCTCCCCCGCTACAGGACGCCGCGAGACCATCGAGCGCAAGCACGCTACAAAGCACAGCGCAACCGTCACACAGTAAAGCCGAATCGCTCAATCTCATCTACGTCGAATGGGCAGAAGGTGACCCAGAAAACCCATACAATTGGCCCAAATGGAAGAAGGCAATGGTGGCCTTTGTTGGCGTCTTTTTGACCTTTCATAGCGCCATTGGCGCAGTCTGTTATGCTTGGGGCGCAGATGATATTGCGCGCGAATTTGGCGTGTCCCCAACACTCTCACTACTCGGTGTGTCCTTATTCACACTGGCTTTTGGCCTGGCTCCCATGGCATTGGCACCACTCAGCGAGGTATATGGACGTTGGCCCGTGTATATGGGCAGTTATGCCGTCTTTTGCATCGTTCAGCTACCGAATGCGCTGACGCCGACATTTGCAGGAGTGCTCATTTGTCGATTCATTGCAGGTGTTGGGGCATCCACTGGTAGTGCTATGGTGGGCGGCACTCTTGCTGATATGTACAAGGCGAATGAGCGCGGTATGCCGATGGCTTTCTTCACATCTGCGACTCTATTTGGCACCGCAGCTGGCAGTATGTATGCTGCGTATGTCGTTGCAAACCGCTCGCTCGGCTGGAGATGGATCTTTTGGGTTGAGCTCATCATTAATGGCGCTTCTGCAGTGTTTATGGTTCTCGCCCTCAGAGAATCGCGTGGCAGCGTGCTGCTCTCTCGCAGAGCAAAGCGTCTACGCAAGGAAACAGGCGATGACCGGTATGTGTGTGCTGCGGACGCTGCGAGGGAATCTTTGCTTGTCTTGATTCGGTATTCGCTCACTCGCCCTTTCTTTTTACTGTTTTGCGAGCCGACCGTGGCGTTGTTTAGTATTTGGGTATGTCGTCTTGACCTGAGACGTTGCTAACATCAGGCTTCTTTTGCTTGGGGTCTTCTCTATCTCTTTCTTGTCGCTGTACCTATTGTCTACCGGGAAGCATTTGACTGGCAAGGTGGCAAAGCCTCTTTACCGTTTATCGCCATGATTATTGGTGCCTTGCTTGGCATTGCCTTGTCGCCCGTCCAAGATCGCTTATATTTACGCTCTGCAAGGAAACACAACGGTGTTGGTCGTCCTGAAGCGCGTCTCTATATGAGCATCATTGGCAGTCTTCTGCTCTCTTTTGGCATGTTCATTTTTGGCTGGTCTGCCTATGGCTCGCATGCGCACTGGTCTGGCTCGGCAGTTGGTATTCTATTGGGCACATTTGGCATCTTTACCATCTACAGCGCAGTCTTTTCATACATGTCGGATTGTTATGGACAATGGACGAGTTCTGCGTTGGCTGGGCAGAGTTTTTTACGGAATGTCTTTGCATCGGCCTTTCCACTTTTTGGTAGGCAAATGTACGCCAACTTGGGGAATCAATGGGCCTCTTCATTATTGGGGTTTTTGGCACTTGCGCTCACGGCTGTACCGATTGCATTGTTCATCTATGGTCCTCGCGTCCGACGGGCATCCAAATTTGCTGCGAGCGATGATTGAAAATGCGCCGTGCACTCAGAGCTTCTTCGCTGGCTTTGCTATTATGACTCACACCTCCAACACGGTATCGGTTGGCTCTCAGTTTTCGAAGAGAACGCGAGTCATTCAGCGTCAAAATCTAAAGCAATACCGCCGGAGGACAATACTCGAGACGTTTCTGGCTATACAACTGGATCAGCCTTAGAAGCAGCCTCTGTCATATCGCCGCAGACTTCTTTCGAGGCATCTCTGAGCCATGCACTTTTTCAGATGGTCAAAATTACCAGGACGAGCAGAGTGCTTTGAGCATGCGCGGTAGTGATTATGAGTCATCTAGCAGCCATATAAGCCCATCGCATCCATCTCCCTCCTGCAACTCAATCTCTCACAATCATGCGCATTTCCATCCTTCTTCAAACGCTCACGTTGGTGACATGCGCTCTTGCAATCGCCATCACGCCTGCACCTGGTGCAGTGAGCCTCGTCACACGCGGCAATGACCACATTCAGGAACTCTTCAAAGCAGGCCTCTTGCCAAGTCCAGGCGACGTCCTCTGGAAGCGACAACTATGCGCAGCACCCGTGGATAAGCATGGTCGGTACAAGTTATGCGTCACTTGCGTTCGTGATGGGATCCGATGTGCTTGGAATTCTACCGACAAGGATGAATTGGATTTATCTTGCTGGTGTGTACGATCACCTACTGGTCGGGCAAATCTTATCGATTTGAACAAGACTGGTTGTTGGGGTGGTGTCATGACGGATTCGCAAACGTGTGCGTATAACCCCCAACCAGGCGATGCACGAGCCGCCGCCAATTGCTACTTGCCAAGGGGTCTCCTGGAAACTGTGGAGATCTTGAGCAGTGTTGCTGATATGTTTATGACAAATGGCTTCAAGATGCCTCCTATCGACCAGTGTCCTTTACGCTCTTTGTCGGATCATTTTCGTTATCCGGGGCCTAGTGCTGGTGAGTCGGATGATGCGGAGGAGGTTGCCAGGCGCCGCGCTATTGTTGCTGCAAACAAGAAAGCCAACGAGGATGCAAAGAAGGCCAAAGCGGCGGCAAAGGCAGCAGAGAAGCAGGCAAAGGCTGATGCAAAGAAGCAAAAGAACGCTGCCAAGAAGGCAGAGAAGCAGAGGAAAGCGGAAGAGAAGAAGGCAGAGAAGCAGAGGAAAGAGGAAGAGAAGAAGGCCAAGAAGCAGAAGGGCAAGCGCGATGATATCGACAGCGCAGAGGATGATGATGACCTGGATGAGGATGAGCCCGACACAGTCTCCATGCCTGGACCCATCAACCGGAGCTTGCAGCTGACACGCGATGAGTTTGCCAAGCTTCGTGCAGACATGGCAGAGCAGATGAAGGGTGCGTTCATGTTGTTGCAACTCGATCAGGCGTCTCAAGAGTTCCAGCCCGTCTACACCGCCAATGCCACGTACAGGCCTCACTTCACCTTCAAAGCGAGCGACTCGCCAGTCGAGGTGTTGCTGAGCATTCGAGAGCAGCTACGGGAAGCCAACAAGACGGCTTCTGCAAGCAAGCAGGTTGTTGCAAGGCGTCAGCTCGTGGTGGCCGACATTGATGTGTCCACTATTCCAGACTTGCAATTCGACCATCTCTCACGCAAATGGCAGCGCATCAACTAGTGCTTCAACCACGCTTGACAGTCAACCTTGCAGCACGCTTGCGAATCTCCACGGCTGTTTGTTGCATTGGATTCACACGACGATCTCGTGCTGCCTTTTCATAATCATCTCCATACTTTTGTTGAATCTTTGCAAGCCATGCACGTTCACCATCGCTCGATACACGGACTTGTTCTTTTTGCTCATGCGCGCGTTGTTCTAGCGCTGCAATGACTTTTTGTCGCTCGTGCTCGTCTTCCCGCTCTTGTGCCGTCATGTGAATCACTGCTTCTTCTTGAGGGTCGCCATAAACGATACCCGTTACATTGCCTTGCGCATCACGTTGAATCAATGCTTCGCCCTTCTTCAAGCCATTCGCATCCATCGGCTCTTCCTTTTTTGCAACAGGATACAATTTTTCCGTACCACCTGCAGCAGGGTTGACATTTGGGTTGGTGACGAGTCCTAGTTTGGCATAGTTTTGACGCAGTGTCTTGGTCTTGTCCCAGTGTTGTGAGATGATGGCATTACTCTGGATATTGACTTTCTTCAACTTATCTGCGGTACGACGGGTGTTGGTCTTGCGGGAGGAGCGTTGCTTGTGTCGTTGTCTTGGGTTTGCCATGGCTGGATGCGGTCTATACCTTGTCTGTAGCTGTTGCTGTAGCTATACGTCTAGCAATGCGTTGTGCTCAAAAAAAGTGATTTGTCGCACGCTATGGGCCATGGCTACAACCAGCTCCACTCTCGATTCTTGATACATCATGTAGGCTCGATACTCCATTATGATGCAACTGTGAGTGCTACATCTTGAACTGCTAGCCGACTGTTGCCCGCACTGGCTCTGTCTATCCGATGTCGTGATGACAGCAAGGCTATTGAAGCTAGCATTGCGAGCTCAAAAGGCACATCATACAGGTGCTCAAAAGCTTCTGGTCTCAGGCGATAAGCGTGTGAACAAGGCATACCGATAGCTTATCCCTTTTCGTACCCTGCTATCATATTCATGGTACATTGTCTAGGTATCCAACCAAAAACGACATGTTGTACCGGCATGCTCGCATGTCTAGCTTGCGATGCTATCCCAGATGACTTTCCACTGCACTGGTCCGCCTGTTAGTCGTCACGAGCACGAGTTCTTTTTTTTTTCAGAACCGCAAAGAAACAACGAAGCTTCATCATACAAAGCCCCAAGGAGTGAGCACCTTATTGTTGCTGTCACGTCATTTGAGCTAGCACTGAGCTACACGATGACTTGACAGGTTATGGTCAGTAGCCGTGCAGTGGGTGTCTGTTGGTGTCAATGCCCATCCTGGTGAGCAGGTTGCTGGGGACCATCCAAAACAACCCGCTCGTGACTCTTTATTTCACTGCTTTCGCCATGTTTGTCTACTCCGACTCGTCTTCTAGTCTTGCTTTGCTTTGCTCGATCACTTGATCAATGGCAGGGCGTTGGACGTTGCACAGTCTAGTACATGATTTGGATTCGGCTGGACGGGTCTCTCCATGAAGCGAGGTTGTAACTTGTAACTTGCCACTTGTCAATCTGTCAGTGCCGAGTCTGCCGACTCAATGCCGACATCATATATGTCACAACATGTGGTGGCCCTGGTAAGGCCTCTATCAAGATTCAAGACGACGACCATACAATCGACAAGTCACAATTGCATGACGTTCAGTGGATCTCCGATTCTCCGACGTTACACGGTTACCCCGTTGCAGATCGTCATGAACCGTTGAGATTGCAAAAGGCAACGGCACTCCGTTTGATCTCAGCTGGCTGCTAGGCATGATGCACCCACTGCCATGATGCTCAAGTGAGGACATATACTGGTCAACGTCTGGCAGTGTCTGGTCAAGAAGTACTTTAGACCAGCACCATTCAATGCCATCGATAAACATTAGCTCGCTTGCAAGATTTTCAAATTGCCATTTCCTGAGGATGGGCAAAAGTTGACGGTGGACCGCCCAGCCACGTTGTCCACGAAACCGCCATCCATGAACTTTTTGTTGACAAGTTCGGGTTAACGCCTTAACGGCTAATAACGGGTAGCGTTGATTGAACCGTTGAGTCGTGGTCGCCGGTTGATAAGGGCGGACCTTGCGGGCTTCCGCGGCCAGTTACTACGATTCCTAGTTCTGATACATGGCTATGCTTACATCTACGCTTAAGGATGCTCTGTTCTTGTTTATTGTTGGTCCATGCATAGGAAGATGTATACGCCGGGGCCTGTAGGCTGTAGAGCAGGAGAGTCGCGTTTGTTTATGTTGACAACTTGACAATTCCTCCTTGGCGGCGGATCTGCAATCTGCACAGCCCATTGATGTCATGACTCATGGCTCTCCTCAAATCTCCGGGCAATTGTGTCTGTGTAACCGTACAACAGACTACTGGATGGTCATGTCAAGAGTCAAGACACATGGAGCATACTTCAGGTACGCATACAAAGAAGATGCGGATGACAAAGGGTGCAGAGTGGTTGCAGATTTCCCATTGGGTGGAAGGGAGGGGACCTGCCACCTCGACGCGAAATTTGGTGTTCCTCTTAACGCGCGCGCTTTGGGCGGAGGCCTGTGTGCTGCTGTCAGCTGATAACTTGCTATGACAAAGAGGAGTAGACAAGTGGTACGGATGTCTAGCGCGTGTGCGTATAGAGTAGAGTAGCTTGAGTCTGATGAAGTAGCTGATGGTAGGTATGAGAGAGGCAGGTGATCAAGTCTTATGGGATCCATGTGGTGATGCGCGGGGGTGAAAAAAGGGTGGGCGGCATGAGAGGAGAGCAAGGGATGTTTGGATCTGTGCTACAGTCTGTGCAGAGAGTAGCTGTAGAGGGGTGGTAGTATGGTGATTAGAGTAGATTGAGTAGACAGAGTAGACAGAGTAGAATAGAGAGTAGAATAGAGAGAGTAGACAAACTGAATAGCAGCTGTCTATTCTGCGTGATGGAGGCTGACTGCACAATTCAGATTTCCCCTTTCCCATTCCTCATTCTCCTCTTTCCCTTTCTTCACTTATACAGCAACACCACCACCCTTTCTCTCTCTCTCGCCATCGACTACTTCTCTGCCCACTGCTTCCTCTCTCTAGCAAGGCAGACCACTCTCTCTACACGAACAATGAAGGTCGCACTCCTCTCATCCTTCCTCCTCGGCGCATCTTTCGCAGCACCAGCACCAGACTCCCATCATCATCACCACCACCTCGCACGCAGGCATCAACATCAGCATGCAAAGCGAGACGTCGTATGTCCTCTTCTTCCATCCTACACCACTAACACATCTCCAGGTCATTGTCTATGAAACCGTCACAGTCGACAAGAATGGCAAGACACTAGGCACAGGCTCAGCGACCACCACTGCCCTCCAAGCACCCGTTGCGCCTGCCGCCGCGTCTCCCATCATCCCGGAAGATGCCGTACCTCTCCCGATTGTCAATGTCCCACAAGCATTCAAGCAAGCAGAGAATCTCATCACCGCTGCTAATGTCGCTGCACCCACTGCTGCTGCAGCGCCAGTCGTAGCGCCTACCAAAGACACACCCGTCGCTGCACCTGCTAAGGAGACACCTGTTGCTGCACCAGCCAAGGAAACACCCGTTGCTGCACCAACAACCAAAAAGGCAGAGACACCCGCACCTGCACCTGCCGCACCCGTCGATACACCCAGCACAGGCAACAGCGGTGTCGGTTCTCTTGCCATTGACGCCTCTTCCGGTGCATCTGTTGCTAAACCCCTCGGTGACTTTGTACCACCCACCACACAATTCCAAGATGGCAAGCTTGCATGTTCCACCTTCCCAGGCATGTACGACGGTGTCGTTGCACTCCCCAACCTGGGCAAGAATGGGTACAACTCCATTCAACTCGGTTCAGGAGATTACGAACAAACAGACTCGTGCAGACCTGGTTATTACTGCTCGTATGCCTGTCAACCAGGCATGTCCAAGACGCAATGGCCAGAAGATGGTCAACCTGCAAACGGCGTCTCACTCGGTGGTCTCAAGTGTGGCTCTGATGGTAAACTCTACCTCTCTCGACCTTCAGTCCCATACCTCTGTCAATGGGATCATCAAGCTGCTCTTGTTGAGAATCAAGCATCGCAGGCGATTGCTATTGGTCGTACAGTCTATCCGGGTAGTGAAAACATGGTTGACCCAACATTCCTCAAACCGGGTGCCATCTCGCCATTGTCTGTACCGGATCAGAATATCTTCAAGTGGCGCGGTAACCCAACCTCTGCTCAGTACTACGTCAACAACGCTGGTATCTCACAAGTCGATGGGTGTGCATGGGGTACACCGGGTTCGACGCTCGGTAATTGGGCACCTATGAATTTCGGCGCTGGATACGCTGATGGTATTGCATGGCTCGCATTGATTGGTAACCCAAACAACATGCAAGGCACAAACTTCAAAATCAAGATTGTCTCCGTGTCTGGTACAATGAATGGTGAGTGTGGGTATGATGGAAGGAAGTATACTGGATCTTCTGCAACAGGTAATGGATGTACCGTGGCGTGCAAAGGTGTTTGCAAGTTCGTCATGTACTAGATGTCGACACTCCATTTGGTTCTCTTTATGCCTTCTCTTTTTGACTAATTCAACTCGTCATTCTTGCTTTGTGCTTCACGCTATTCTGGAAATCGCAATTCCGCATGCTCACCAAGAAACGCCATCCATCGCGCCAAAAATCCTCGTCCTGCACCTACCGTCTCGCCATCCCCAACAACACATAAATGCCGACGTGCTCGCGTCATAGCAACATTCAAACGTCGCTCATCCTTGAGAAACCCAACCTGCGATGTCTCTTGATGCCGTGATGCACCAGCTTGTGACCGAACCAGTGTCAGCAGGATCGCTTCCTTCTCACGTCCCTGCATCCCATCCACCGTACCGATTTCAAGACCCATATACTCCCTCGTTGCATCTTCCGTGAAGAAGAAAGTTGCGAGTAATGCGACTTGTGCTGAATACGGCGTGAGAATGGCGATATCGGTTAGCTTGACACCAGCGTCGAGTAAGGCATCGAGATGATGTTTAATGAGCGTACATTCTGCCAGATTCGAACGACTACCGCCTTGCTCATCCATCACGTCTTCATACAACTCAAACCCTTGCGTATCAATAAAAACAAGCGGTGTCGTCGTATCGTCTGTTGAAGCGACACCAGGCAGGTCTTTGAGGAGATGCACACCGATATCACTCGTTGCCAAGTCAGGTGGTTGTAAACGCCCTCCATAGAGTTCCTGTGAGGGGAATTGACAGATTTGCGCATGCATGCGATACTGTACACTCAGAAAACACACCACATCATGACGCTTTTCACGTTCAAAACGAACGAGTAGGCGGTGAAAGAGCGTTGCTGCGGGGTTCTCCGTTGCTAGACTTCCTCGCACTGTATCCGTTGTAGGGGGTGTATAGGCTTTCAGCACAGCACCCACATCATCCGTCTTAATCACCGGTGGAAGTTGTAAATGATCACCTGCCAAGATGACTTTATCCACCTGCAACATGGCAATCCAGCATTGTGCTTCAAGCGCTTGTGCAGCTTCATCAATCACCACCACATCGAACCGCTCACCCCGCAACACACCACCACCACTCCCATGAAGCGTCGCAAGTACCACTTTTGATGATGCTAGAACTTGACCCGTACACACCCGTTCACGCTGTCGAAGTTCTTGCCGAAGTTGCTTATTCTCCAGGTACAAGCCACGTTTCTTTTCCTTTCCACCAGAAGCGGGTCCATTGACCGGTGCGCGTTTACCAGTCTTGACTTTCGACATGGTTGCTAAATTTCCATCGAGTTCTTGACGCATATCACGAATGAGTTGTGCTGAATCGGAATGAGCCACCAACACGTCCAGTGAATGTGCCATGACGCTCGGTAAGAGTCTTGCAGGGTGACCGATTCGAACCAGTGAGATACGAGTGGTGGTGAGTCGTTCAGCGAGGTTGTCAACGGCAATGTTGGACGGACTGCATACGAGGAGACGCAGGTTGCGGTGTGTGCATTGTCGAATGATTTCAACGAGTGTACTCGTCTTGCCAGTCTGATTGTTAGCTTCTTATTTAGTCCATTGGAATACGTACTCCTGGTGGACCGTGAATGATGCAAAGTTCTGGCGCAGCGAGCGCATGCCGTACTGCTTGTCGTTGTGGTACATTCAACCCAGTATCAAAGAACGTAACCTCTTCAGCAAGCTTATCCGAGTCCAGCAAAGACGGTGCTTCACCACCCAACAAGATATGCCGTAGTACTGCGCCTTGACTGCTCGACTCTTGATTTTGCTGTAGTAACCGCTTCACCTGCCGTCGCATGCGTTCATACGTCACAGTATTGGCAAGTTTGACACACCATACAGGAAGGCCCTGAGCCGGTGCTTCGTCTTCCTCACGTGTTAATGCGATAGTGAGTAGATCATCCTGCGCTTTCGTCACAACACCCTCGATACCTTGCGCTGCAGCGTCTGCACATGCTTTTTTACTCGCTGAACCGGCAAGTTGTTGTTCTAGCCGTACAAGATCGCCTGTGCGCATCACTTGACCCATCGGTACAGCATGACCCTTGCTACTAGCTGTGCCAGCCGCACGTTCAAGCTGGACGAGTGTCTTGCCGCCAAACCCAGTGGATGTACCGGCGACTTGGAGATGTGTCAATGCAAGGGATCGTCGTTCGAGTTCCTTCTTGCTGTATTGCTGGAGAGAAGCTGCTGAGCTCTCTGCATCGAGCTGTTGCTCAGAGTCAATCAAGGCGAGTTGAGCATGGCAGAAGCGTGTGATTGCGTCTATGTCTCTTGTGGTTGTCGTCATGGATGTGCAATAATTTTGGACCTTTCAAAATTCATATGCGAATGGCTTGTCAAGTATTTCATCAGTGTCTATGAGAAGGATGTCTAGGCAAAGGTAGCTAGGATGGGGATACCATACAACTCGGGCGAGTTGAACTTGAGGTGCTTGTCCAATCCAGTAAGCTGGTCAAGATCCTTCTGCTCCAAGTCGAATGAACACACATCCAAGTTTTGCTCAAGACGACCCTGGTTGTTGGATTTCGGAATCACTGCAACACCGCGCTGTGTGGCCCATCGCAACAAGACTTGCGAGTTGGTTTTGCCGTGCTTTTCTGCAATCTCCTTGACTAATGGGCGGTCGAGCAACGTGGGTGTGCCGTGTGCCAATTTCTGGTTGAGCTCCAAGTACGAGGTAGGACCAAACGACGAGTAGGCCGTTACTGCAATCTTATTTTCCTTGCAGAAATCAAGCAGCTGCTGCTGGACGTAGTACGGGTGGTGCTCAATCTGTAGCACAGCAGGGTGTACCTTAGCATAACGCAAAAGATCCATAATCAGCTGACCGTTGAAGTTGGAGATACCAATGTTCTTGGCACGACCAGAGGCAAAGACCTCCTCCATGCCTGCCCAAGTCTCATGCATTGGCGAATTCTCAAGCTTGAGCTCGCTTTTGCCATCATAAAAGAAGCCAGGTGGGTAGCGGGTTGCTGGGTCAACATAGGCGATTGCGATGGGGAAGTGGATGAGGTAGAGGTCAACGTAATCAAGACCCATATCGTTCAAACTGCGCTCAAAGGCTTCAGTGACATGCTCTTTGGCGTGGTTCGTGTTCCACAATTTTGTTGTGACGAATAGCTCTTCGCGTTTCACAAGGCCCTCATCAATCGCTTGACGAATACCTGCACCGACTTCACGCTCATTGCCGTAATCAGCCGCGCCGTCAAACAGTCTGTACCCCGTTTTGATGGCGTTGTAAACTGTCTCTTGACAAGTTGCATTGTCTACTTTCCAGCAGCCAAAGCCAACAAGAGGCATCTTGGATCCATTTTCGAGAGTTACGGTAGGGGTCGACATGTTTCTGGTCGTATGCTTGACTGTGAAGGGGTTGTTCCTGGTCTTTATATGTTTCGGGTTTTTGTGGTGTTGAGATTTCCATCTTTTTCGGTTTTAGCCGGGAGGAGCTCCGCCCAACACACGCTTCAATAGAAGGCCATGTACAGTTCCCTCGAAAGATGGCATATATGACTGGCCAGTACCTGTGCAGCTATTCATCTTGTACTTCGGCAGTCTACGATGCTTTGGAGCCGTGCATCTATTCGCAGAACGAAGCCTGCACCACTGGCTTGACTTCAAGTCGCTTCCATGACGTTCGTTCTCCGGGGTTGACTCGCGGCTAAATGGAGATCACCTTTTCTTGCCACCGGCCGCATGCTGAGCAGCCTGGTGTAGTTTGTCGCCCCTGTCTGCAACCTCGACATCGTATATTTACATGTGCATGTGTATATGCCCAGCGGCAGCAGTCTAGCCTACACTCTGCACCGTTCAGGCAAGTATCCAGTTTAGCAAATTGACGTAGCAAACGTCGCTTTTCCACAATGTCCAAGACGATAGGAACAGTCAAACCTTACCATCCAACCACGCGCGCCGCAAAGCAGGGCCCTGCGCTCGCAATGCGAAGCGCTCGCCAGTCCACTGGACAGGCATCAATGCACCTTCTATCACGGGTGTCGCTTCTGCACACAACTCTCGTAGTTCATCAATGTACTCACCATCCTCTGGATGTGCGCGTACCATGAAAGCCCTGCCATCGCCCTTGACTGCCACACGCGACGCTTCGTCGGCTTGCATTTCTGATAGCGGCGGAAGAGTCAAGCGGTCAGACCATATGCGGGCAATGTAGCAAGCTTGAGCCTCACTGTACGGGAACGGCACTATCGACATTTCCATACCTAAAAAGGCGAGCGATGGATCATCCTGGTAAAAGATTTGTTTGTAGAGATTCCGTAGCCGTAGACCATCCGTCACGATGCCAAGGCGCGGATCGAGAAATGGGAATGCATAGAGATAACCTGTGCAAAACAAGACCCGATCAACGTTTGTGATGCGTGAGCCGTCTTTGAGGAAGAGAGAGCAATCTTCTGCATTGAAAGATGCAATTTCTGCGACATCTTGTACTTGAACAGCACCAGCTGGTATTTTGGACGGCGATCTGATACTTCTGAGTATGGGCAATTGCGCACCAGGCGCCTGAGCCAGCTGAGAGACGATATCAATGCCGGAAGGACCATTACCAATCACAACAACCTTGAGTCCGGCAAATGATTCTGGCGAGCGATAATATTTGGAATGTCCAATCGCTTCCGGGTACTTCTTGTCGAATGCAACAATCCCTTCAATATCGGGCAGTAATGGCGTCTCGTAATGCCCTGAAGCAACAATGACACGATCAAATGTCTCCTCCTTGATCTCCCCTGCATGCTGAGTCGCAAGTCGCCAACCATGACCGCTCTTCTTCAACGACAAAACTTGCGTATCAAATTGAATATCGCGCATGAGGTCATGCTGTTTTGCAAAATCTTCCAGATACGACAAGACAGTCTGCCTCGTAGGATACATCGGCGTTTGCTCAGGAAATGGTCTATCACCATACGCCATGAGTCGTGCTGGGATATTTGTGACAAGCGCATTATACATGGGCGATGGCCAGCCATCACACGTTGGCGCGTCGACATGTGTCGGGTCCGTCGCTGGGATTTTCGAAGGTTTCCGTCTCGCAGGCTGAGGGTCATGGATCCAGACACCACCGCAATGCGACCGGCGCTCATATACCCGAAGATTGAAGCAGCCTTCCTGCCGAAGTGCCTGGTGTATGAGTTTAGCTGAAGGGAAGGAAGTCTTACGCGGAGAGCAGCGAGACCACTCGGGCCTGCTCCGATGATGGCGACCTTGAGCTTCGTCATAACAATTGCAAGGGACATTATGGCGAGTTTGACGATGTAAGATCTTGTTCAGATGCCATGGCTTTACAAAATAAGGGCCAATTTTCCGGGCAAACGGCACGCGAGCCATGAGGAGACATGACACAGTAGATGAGAGCCATGGTAGGCTCAAGACTACACAAGGAAGAATCTGAGGCAAGTCAAGTTCAATTGAAAAAGTTTGCAGCAGAAGCTTGTTGGCCAAGCATGCATAGCAACACAATTATTGGTGTCACTAGGAGCCTGCCAACGGCCCTCCTCAGGCATGGCGGCATGCATTATACTATGTGCACTGAAGCAAAGTTTTAATTCGATTGCTCCTGCGATAACACTGAATTCTGATGCGCTTCTTCAGCTGTGTGACCTAGCCAAGTTGTACTTTGACACACCGCGATTAGACGATACAGATTCTGTCAGTCGCTTTGGACGGCGTGGCAACAGATTTGCAAAACGACAAGACTACAATTGATGTTAACTTGAGGTATGTGTAGACTTTGGGGGCGTCTTTTTGCGCTCAACACAATATGGTGTTCCTCATTTAAAGCTAGTACAGTACATGGTCTTGGTGGCACAAATTTGACCGAAAGTCACACACCCGGTTGACTCAGCAAACTGACCATTCTCAGGCAACCAGTAGCCCAGCTGCCTGTAAGAATGGAGATTCTGATTGCCCTCACGTCCTTCCCTCATGGTTCTGGTCTTTCCTGGAAAGCACAAGATGCCCAAGTCCTTCTGCATAGCACCTGTTTTTGTTTTGTGCTGGCTTGTAAAAATTCTTGATCGCAATGCAAGTGAGAATTCTGAGGCCAGTTCTTTATGTAGTAGCAGGTGCCACCAACAGTTGTACTGCCGGTGCCGTAAACTGGGACATCATCCCAGCTTTTCACACATATGGGGGTGAGAGGACATTCCTGTGGATCGTGATCCTTAGGATCTTTAACTTGAAGCCAACAAGCTTGGCCGGATACTATCCGGGGTGCAGCATTGGACCCTTCCTCAGCATGCGGCAAATGAGTCGCCAAGAAAGAAGTCGCCAAGACCAATAGAGAAGAGTGCATATTGCTACGGGTTAGCTGCGGTAGGAAGTAAGATTCAATGGGACGAATGTCGTCTTGATCCTCTTTTCTGCGAGAAGAAAAGATCTGATGCAGAACAAAGACAAGAGCCTTTGCGCGCAGGCTCGCTCTTATGCTCTTTCAGGGTCTTCCTCTGCAGTCGAAACGGGAGCCTGCCCTGTCTGAGACGCAAATTGAGGCTTGGATTTTCAGGAGAGCGGGCCTGTCCGTATTCGTCCTGGCCCGTCTTGACTTGATACACAAAACATCTCGAGTGACCTAGGCTGAGCATCACTTGAAAGAGATTGATTGTCGTATTGGCCTGGCAGCAGCATGCATATGCGCCCGACAGGTGAGCCATAATTTTTGAATCTCTTGCAAGACACAAAATCCAATGCAGCTGCAACGGAGGTAGTTCCCTTCAGCTCTTTGAGCGATCAGTCACCTGCGAAGTTTGACAATTGTTGCATACAAGTAACATTTTAAGATTAGACTGCCCCTGGATTTTGACATGCGGACCTCGACTTTTTAACTTACGATTCAAGACAGTATCAATTTACCGAAGACCTCCCTGACACCCTGCCATTAGCTCATAGAGTGATTCTTCATGAATATTCAGGCAATTGGCAAGGCGCCAGCCGTATTGAAGGGTTCGAGCGCATTGCGAACAACTTCCACCGCCAGCAGGCAGACAATCAACGGGTGACCTCGTTTTCAACCGAGCAAAGAGATTACGCACATAATCGTGCCTCACAGCATGGGCGCTTCTGGAGAATCTAGATCATGTTGGCTGCATGTTATTTGATATCGGTTCGCAGGCTTACTTCTCTGTCGTTCCAGCTAGCCCGTGTCTTCTTGTAAGCGGACTTGGATTATCTGCGATACAAGACATGCCACTATGCTGCAGGGTGGCTGGCAAACCGAAAGCCGACGTGTAGAGTCTCTGGGTGCTTCCGCCGCCACTGCTAAAACATCGCTTGCGCAAGGTACTTTGGACTTTCTAGGCCCTCATTGACGAGCTGCAGAGTTGTCTGTCTGATACGACAGCCTTGCTCATAAGCTCCCAGACGCTTTAGTCAGCATGGAGCACTGTGAGCTCCAGAGATATCCAGAGCATAGGCATCATAGTTGAAGTTTGCTTCATGACTGCGTGACGCGTGTAACCACTGTAGTAGCAGGCAGCCTTGCAGCTTTGTTGCGGCTGGCTCGTCGTTACAGACCGTGGTCAGCTTCAAGCGGGCACCGAATTTGCACAAATGGCGAGCTCGAAGGGGATACTCCGATGCGCATGCCAGTTCACGACACAGCAACAACGAGCTGTGTGGCAGCTTGCCAGGTCACATCAAAATCTTGTGCCATTAGACACTTGGGTACTCTGAAGTAGCATGCGGCTTTGACTAATGTCGCCATCGGCTAGACAAGCTTGAATTGGGGTGCCAGGTTGCACAATTTAGCAGGCACACGACTTGTGCCAGACCATTTTGATCTAGTCCTCTTGAATTAACCGGATATTGTGTCATATCTCTGATTCTAGTGTCATTACTTTGCACACATAGATCTCTGGGTTCTACCCTCGATCTGCGGCCGAGCTTACTGATTGCCTGCCACAAAAACCATGTCAGTATGCTCATGAATAGCGATAACGACTCGAGAGACCGACGTGCAGCATATCTGAAAGGTTTTAAGGGTACAACCACATGACAAGATTCGTGGAGCCATTTGTCATGTGGTTGTGCCCTCAAAACCTCACAAGCTAGCTGATAAGCACAAGCTCGGATGGCAGGTCAGCCTGTACCTGTTGGAGCTCTTGTGGGTGCTCCTGGCCCTTGAAGTACAAGCATATTAGCTACCAAGACTGTGTTCATGTAGTAGTTGGTAAGGGTAAGAAGCCCGCCTTCGAGCTCGAGCTTCTGCTCCTTGCTGTACGTCGAGTCGTCGACGCAGTCCTTGCTATAGAACTAGGCCAACTCAACTACATGTACATTTCAGATGGGCGGCTCCTCCGCCTGCCGTCTGCCACAGCTCGTTCTGGACATCACGAAAAATCACCTCTACCCGGCTCCTTTGCAGTCATTCTAGCTCACACTTCTCATAACACCCTACATTTACAAGTAGGATAGTAGATCTATAAGGAATCAAGATTCAATCGAAACAGAACAGCAATCGAGGAGGTGGAAACGCTCACAGGCGATCCATTGAAGATCAAAAGAGCCATTGAAAGTGAATGCTTCGTCTCCAAATACAAGCAAATAACAGGCACAAAGCACAAAGTACGTAGTTGAAGAAGAGAATCGTGGGTTTCTATTGATTGATCATAGTGCTAACGATGATTGTGCCGCCTCAAGCAGGCTTCGCTCATTAAATGGGCTGGCACTTTTCAGTCTGCCATTCATAAGTAATAAGATCTTGGTCATAGTGAATGGCCTTATTCCAGAAGGTCACAACGCAACTCTTGTCTGGGAATCGAGACGTGTCAGGCGTCCAGAAGCCTTGTTTCATATAGGTGGCGAGATTCTGGTAACCGTAATATCCGGCGGGGTCGGTAGTGGAACCCATGAAACATAAGATACCTTTGTTGTGGTCCGTCGTACTCGTAAAGAACGACGGAGCACACTGCAGGCCAGACTCCCGAGACCAGTTGAGAATATAAACACAAGTGCCAGGAAGGCGATTAAATGAATCGGTTGCAGGAATAGTGGTTGGAGTGTTTCCACATTTCATAGTGAGAGGACATTGAGTTGGCTTCGGATGTTTAGGGTGCAGAAATTCATCTTTGATCTGCAGCCAGCAAATCTGGCCCTTGAAGGCCCATTGGCCAGCCACATGCGGCAAATGGCTTGCCAGGAACGTCGCAGAAAGGAGCAGAGAAGACTGCATGGTACTGTAGGTCAGCTGTCACATTGCGTGTGTGAAGCATTTGATGGGACGAACATTCTCTGGATACTTTTGTCAGAACAGTGCCTGATGAAGACGAGACACAGAGATTTCTGGGGTCAAGCTCCTTCTTATGTGCTTTCAGAGTCGTTTGCCATCAGGAGAAGTCCTTGACATTGACACGTATTTAACTCGTTTTTGTGATGCAAGATAAGGCAGTATCCAACTACATTGTGCAAGAGCAGGAGAGCAAGCTTTTACTCATCTTGGGTGATCAATTAGCTGCAAAATCCGACAAATATTGACTTGCAAGTAAGATTAGACTGCCCCTGTAATTTGACTTGCGAGGTTCGACTCTCAAAACTTACGATTCAGATGAAATCAAATTGACATAAATCTCCATGACACCCTGCAATTGACTCATAGAGTGCTGTTCATGAGTAATCAGGCAATTGAGAAAGCGCCAGTCGTATCGAAGGGTTCGAGCGCATTGCGACGCCAGCAGGCAAATAAACAACATGGATGACCCCGTTTTCAGTTGAGCAAAGAGATTGCGCAAATATTTCTGCCTCGTAGGCGCTTCGAAAGTCTAGACTCACGCTGGCTGCAGATCTGTTTGTCATTGACTCGCAAGCTCACTTCTCTGTGACTCTGTCGTTCCAGCTAGCCCGTGTCTTCATGTGAAAAGAATTGAGTTATCTGCGATACAAGACATGTCAGTACGCTGCCGGGTGACTGGCGATCCGAAAGGCGCTTCTGGGTGCTCCTGCAGATACTTCTAAATATCGCTGTCGCAAGGAATTATGGACTTTCCAGGCTCTCGTTGACGGGCTGCAAAGTTGTCCGTCTGAAACGACAGCCTAGCTTAGAAGCTCCACAGACGCTTTAGTCAGCATGGAAGACTGTGTGAGCGCAAGAGATATCCAAAGCATAGGCTAATAGATATATCCAAGTGCTCGAAAACGTGACGTGTCTAACGACTGTACTAGCATGCAGCCTTGCAGTTTTGTTGCGGCTGGGTCGTCGTTACAGACCATGGTCAGTCTCAGGCGGGCACCAAATTTGCACAAACGGCGAGCTCGAGGTGAAAGCGCCGATAAGCTGCTCGACCGAGCTGTGTGGCAGCTTGCCAGGGCACATCAAAATCTTGTGCCATTAGACACTTGGGCACTTTGTGATAGCATGCGGCTTTGACTGATGTCGCCATCGCCTAGACAAGCTTGAATTGGGGGTGCCAGTCTGCCAGATTGCACAATTTGGCAGGCACACGACTTGTGCCAGACCATTTTGATCTAGTCCTCTCGAATTAGTCGAATGGTGTGCTCATTTGTTCCGCTGTCAGTGCGCATGGTGTACGCACCGAGGTGCAGCTTTGCCTTGACAGCTGCCGGTCTTCAGAGGCTCGGCTCGAGGCATTGATGGTGCAATTTCACCAGAGAGCTTGCACGGTCAAGCTGTGTCACATTGCCAAGGCCAGACTACTCTAGACTGGCACCTCATGAGCCCGATCTCTCCGCAAGCACATATATGCGTGGACATGCGCATGGCTAGCTTGCTCGGTTGTCGTTGCAGCTGCTTCCGCCTCAGATCTCGCGGCCGGATCTCGGGGGACTAAATCTGCTGATGACACCATAGCAACGATGCCTACTCTGATGCAGCTGCAGAGACAATATATAGCCAGATGTAGGTTCATAGCACAGTAGGCCTTGATCGAATACACACTGGCCCTGCTCCGTCGCAAGACCAGCGAAATTCATCGACAAGCCTGCTCTGCATCGCCGATGATTATCAATCTGGCTCTGCACATCCCGCATGCTGATTGGCTGGTGATGGTGCAATTTGTCTGCAGATGACGGCGATGCGACGAGACGTAAAAGGCGACAGGCGACAGTTTACAGACACAAAAAAGACACACCAAGACAGACAGCGTAGTGCATCCTATATATTCAAGCACGCCCGCTCCCTCACGGCCTCCTCATCCTCATTCACGCGCCCCGACGATGATTGCAGAAAAGGCCAGAAGCCTCTTCCAAGACAAGGAAGGCGAAGCACGGCGGCAGCAGGTAGCCTCATCCTACCCAGAGAGCCTGCCGCCCTCCTACCTCGAGCCTGAGCCTACCGTCCCAGACTTCTTCAGGAGTGTTCTACCACACCCGGCAAAGCAGGCGAAAAGTTACCTGATCTCGCTCTTTCCCATCGCCACTTGGATTTACCGCTACAATGCACGCTGGTTCGCTGGCGACTTGGTTGCAGGTCTGACCGTCGGTGCAGTCGTTATTCCTCAAGGTATGGCGTATGCGAAAATTGCGACACTTGCGCCAGAATTTGGTCTTTACTCGTCCTTTGTCGGTGTGTCGCTTTACTTTATGTTTGCGACATCCAAGGACATTACCATTGGACCCGTCGCAGTCATGTCTGCACTTGTCGGCGACATCCTTGCTGAAGCCAAAAAGACGCATCCAGATGTCCCAGGCCATGTCATTGCGTCTGCCCTCGCCGTCATTTGTGGTGTGATTGTTACAGCCATGGGCCTGTTGCGTCTCGGTTTCATTGTCGACTTCATCCCTATTCCATCGATCGCTGCCTTCATGACAGGCTCGGCCATCAGTATCATTGCCGGTCAGGTGCCTGCGCTACTCGGCAACAACACCGCCAACAAGTTCAGCACCCGAGGCCCTGCCTACAGGGTCATCATCGACACGCTCAAGCACTTGCCAGATAGTACGCTCAATGCTGCCTTTGGTTTCTCTGCACTTGCTCTCCTCTATGCCATCAAGTGGGGTTTCGGCTACGCTGCGAAAAAGTACCCAAACCGCGCAAAGCTCTACTTCTTCCTCAATACTCTGCGAACGGCTTTTGTCTTGCTCTTGTTCACCATGATTTCATGGCTCGTCAACCGCAATCACAGGAAGAACCCGAAGATCTCCATCCTCAAGACTGTCCCTCGTGGTTTTCAAAACATTGGCGTGCCACAGGTGACGGGCGATATTGTCAGTTCCTTTGCAAGCAAGTTGCCATCTGCCGTCATTGTGCTTTTGATTGAGCACATTGCCATCAGTAAGTCATTCGGTCGCATCAACAACTATGTCATCAACCCAGACCAGGAGCTCATTGCCATTGGTATCACCAACTGCTTCGGTCCCTTCTTTGGCGCATATCCCGCAACTGGCTCCTTCTCACGTACAGCCATCAAGAGTAAAGCAGGTGTGCGAACACCGCTTGCTGGTGTCATCACAGCCATTCTCGTCGTTGTTGCCATTTACGCCCTCACCCCTGTCTTTTACTACATCTCCAACGCATCGCTTGCGGCAGTCATCATTCACGCTGTCGCTGATCTTGTCTCCACACCCAAGGCCATTCTCAACTTTTGGCAAGTCTCGCCCATTGAATTTGTCATCTTTTGGGCAGGTGTTCTCGTGACCATCTTTTCATCCATTGAAAATGGTATTTACGTGACAGTCGCCGTCTCTGCTGCCGTCTTGCTCTTCCGCATTGCCAAGTCTCGCGGTTCGTTTGTGGGCGCCGTCAAGATTGGTACCATCAAAGTACACGACTCGAAAGTGGGATACCCTCGCAACATTTACGTGCCGCTCGATCACTCGGATGGTCTCAATCCACTCGTCAAGCCAGTCTCGCCACCGGATGGTATCTTCATTTATCGCTTCAATGAGGGTTTCTTGTACCCCAACGCCAACCACTTTACAGACCACATGGTTGCTCAAATCAAGGAAGGCACACGACCTGGACAACTCAACCCATACGGCTCACTCGGTGATCGTCCCTGGAATGACCCTGGACCACGTCACCCTGATCGCAGCCTCATGGACAAAGATACCCGTCCTCTCCTACGCGCTGTGATTCTCGACTTTTCCGGTGTACCGCATTTGGATTTGACTGGTTTGCAGACACTCATTGATACACGCAATGTATTGGACAGACATGCCAGTCGTCCTGTACAGTGGCGATTTGTGGGCATCTCAAATCCTTGGATCAAGCGAGCGTTGGTGAAGGGCAATTTTGGCGTTGGTGAGGACCGTGACTTGTCAGTCTTCTCGGTTGCGCATATGGAGAATGCATCGGATCAATGGACGCAGGGTAAACCGCACGATACAGAATCTGGTATTGAGCAGGTCACGACGCAACGGTCATCAGCACGGCCGAGGGTGAGTTACTTGCCCTTGTTATCCATTGATCGGCCGTACTTTGCCGCTGATATCGATGAAGCCATTCGGGCGGTTGAAGAAACCAGTGTTGTGACGCATCCGTTGGATAAACGCACGAGCAGTGAAGCGAGTGATGAAAGGGATGCTGAAGCGAGTGGTTCGAGTTCATCGAAACGCACATCGCAGGATCAAGCTTACTTTGTTGCAAAGGAGTAATTCACATATGCATAGCCATTTCAAACATATCTTCACACATGTCTAGCAAATCTAACTCGAGCACGATTCGTTGCTAGCACTGACGCGAACCTGTCACTATAGAAGAGATTACACATCCTTGCCAGCATCATCGATGAAAAAAATGATGCACCAAAAATGAAAGAGCCTTACAACTCATCCTTGAGGTCTTCGCCGAGATCATCGCCATCACCGACAGCTTCAGCAACTTTTTCAACAACCTTGGCAGCCATCGATGCAGCCGCAGCAGCAACACCAGGAGTCTCGGATGGATCTTCAGCCTCGTCATCGTCACCAATGACACCTTCTACCTGATGGGTACCTTTGTTCTTGATGAATTCCCGGAGGGATTCAATGGATCGGTCACCTTCATACTCAATAGCCTTCTTGTCCTTGCCGGCAGGGTACAGACGAAGGGTTGGGAAACCCTTGATGTCCTCGCCGGGTGTGTCGTTGCTAGTGGCGTCAATCTTGGCAAGCAGGACCTTGTCAGCAGATCCCTTGTACTCGGCAGCCAGCTTCTCGTAGATCGGAGCGAGGTTCTTGCAGTGTCCGCACTATTATTAGTACTGTTATCAACAGTGTAGAAGGAAGGAACTTACCCAAGGAGCATAGTACTCAACAAGGACATCACGCTTCTCGTCGTGAACAATGTCGTTGAATGACTTTTGCACCAATGTGTAGACGTGATCGGGTTGCTCAGCAGGAATCTCCTCAGACTTGATGCTAGGCGAGAGTTTACCGGCCAAAAAGTCCTTGATATACTGACCGACACTCTCAGCCTTAATCTCATCGTCCTGTGGGAAGGGGAACTTCTCCTGGGTTTCGGTGTTTTGAATAGCAATAGCAGGCCAGGACTCCTTCAGGTTGAGGTTTGCGGCATGACCACCAAACTGCTTGGCATCAATGGTGGCAATGTTGAGCTTACCCTTCACTTCCTTTGCAATCTTGGAAAGCCATTCACCAATGGTTGTCTTGTGCTCATCTTCCTCAACAAAGAGGTAGAGCAGTGGGATACCAGATGACATGTAACCTTGGTACGTCTCGGGGCCAATTTCGCCCAACAAGGGAATTGCAGCAGACTTGACGAATCCAGCAATCGAGTCGGCGTCAAAGGCACCAGTGTAGAGATCCTTGCCATCATCGAAAGTCTTGAACACAGCAACACCAGGCATCTTGACACCGTGCTTCTCAGCGAGCTCGGCATCGTTGGAGGCACCAAAGAGGAAATCCTCACGGTGGATTCCGGCAACTTTGGTGAAGGTCTCGTTGGAGGCAGTGTCACTCTTGTCAAAGAAGGCGATAGCCACGACCTTGTCGCTCTTGGAGAAGTCATCAAAGGTCTCAGAGGTGAGGGTGGAGACGGCAGGCAAGAGTTGCTTGCTCATGTAGGAAATGATGGCATCTGCCGTTCGCTGACCATTGTAGGGAGTCTGAGAGCCTTCGGAACGGAAGAGGATGAGGGTAGGATAGCCCTTGACGTCGTACTTTGAACACAAGTCAGCTTCCTCCGTGCAGTCCACCTTGGCAATGGCAATGTCTTCCTTTTCCTTGAGGGTGGTAGCAACCGTCTCGTACTCGGGAGCAAGCTTCTTGCAGTGCCCGCACTAATATTAGAGAGTGATTGAAGAAGGGATAAGCCGTACCCAGGGTGCATAAAACTCGGCAAGAACAAGTGTTTTGTCGGCGAGGGTGTCGTCAAAGTCCTTTGCGGTTAATTTGAGCACATCGCTAGCGGCAGCCTGGTCGTCAGTCACAGTCTAGTCAATGGAACGAAGGGGCCTTTACCGTAGCAGCAAGCAGCAGAGGTGTCCACTTCATGGCAATACGGTCGATTGGGTTCTGGTCGTGAGTGGACAGCGCGGCGAGTTTAAGAGAGAGCGCGGGAAGGAGCACGTGTCGAGCTGTCTTACGCTGACAAACGGAAGGGAAGAGAGCCCCTGAGCCATCTACATGAAGAAAACCAGGGAAGTGAGACAAAGAGTCGTATATTTTCTGCCTGAGACTGATGCGAGCATCAGGAGAGCATTCTAGACTTTCTAGTGGGATTTCACCGGCAGCCCAGAAGCAAGGCGTCTGTGCTCAAACTTGCGAGGTGACCCAAGCCGCGAAGCCAAGGTTGGCGGCGGGAGCAAGGACACCGGCATTGCCTCGCCCGTCACAAAGGGATGTGCAAGTGCCGTGGTCGGTGTCAGCCTACTCTCTGGATTCCAACGCAAACAACGCGTCAAAAAATCAATAAATGCTTCATCTTGACATTTGAGTGCTTGCGATAGAGTCTTGCTCGACGGTCTCCGTTTGCGCCCGCGCGACGACACAACCTGTCTAGGTTTGCCAAACCCATCAAAGAAGAGCTTCTTCCTGGTGGAGTTTTCAATAAGGTGCTTTTCTGGCGGGCCAAACAGTTCCATAATACAGGAGAGTTGTTCTTGCTCATCTTCACCGGGGAAGATCGGATAGCCCGTGTACAACTCTGCTAGAATGCACGCCATGCTCCAAATGTCAATTGGTAGGCCATACGACATGCCTAGAATGACTTCTGGTGATCTGTAGAAGCGGGACTGAATGTAGGTATACACCTTTTGGTCCTCAAAGCAGCTCGAGCCAAAGTCAATAATCTTGATCTTGCTCTCCCAGATATTGACAAGCAGAATATTTTCCGGTTTCAGGTCGCAGTGAATGACGCGATGCCGACCAAGGAGCTCAAGACAGGACAAGATCTGCCGGGTAAAGCTGCGAATGACACCGATCGAACAACCACGAAACTCATTCGCCTTGATGTACTCATACAAGTTCATGCCGAGCAGGTTGGTGGCAATGCACAAGTGATGCCGAAAGTAAAAGTGGTCCGTGTACCGAATCATGCAATGCTTGTCTTCTGGATCCCATTCGCGAAGCCGCTGTAATATATTCACCTCAACAAGCGCCTGTGCATGGAAGCGCTTCTTGTTGCGAATCGTCTTGATGGCTACCAGACTACCAGTCTTGTAATCAATACAGCGCATCACCTGTCCAAACGAGCCTTTGCCCAGGATATCCACAATTTCGTAGCGATATGCGAAATGGTCCCCATGATGAATCAAATAATCGCCACGATCGTCGTCGTAACCAAAATTGACTTCATTGGGAGCACTCAAGCGGCCACCTTGCTTAACAAGGCCTTTGGCACCACAACAGTAAATCTTGCCATCATAATCCACCGCTTCGCCACGTTCATAGACATTGAGCGGCGCGTCATCCAACTCAGCGATCCGATCAAGTGATACAGGCGATCGTGCACTCGCGCGTTGTTGCAGTTCAAGCAAAGCCTGTTCCTCTTTTTGTAGATAATTCGCACCTCTGCGCCGTACAACCGTCTTGCGCATCTCGTCATCCGCTGGGTCTTGCTGCAAGTGCAATGGAATCTTTGGCGGTGGTGGCGCTAGTTCTGTTGCAGGCATATTGCCAAATGGTGACAGTCGACCTTTGAGAAATGACAGGGACAGTCTTCGCCTCGTGGATGAGCTTGTTCGTGGTGGCGTGGGCAACTCTTCCTCTTGCTTGTCACGCTTGGCTTTCGCTCTACTCCGTGACGATGACCGTGATAGCCTGCCTAAAAATGACTCGCGCTTGGGCTTCTCCACTAGTGTCGGTTGCATCTGCAATGATTGCAAACGCAAACTCATATCATTCACTCGATTCACAGTCGGCGTCGATAACGCCTGTAGATTCAATGGCGGCAATGAGATGGGCTGCAACTGACTCACTTTACGCGTCGATGTCGCTGTTGCCGGCGGCTTGATCTTTGCAGGTGATGTAAAAGAGGTTGACTTTTCGGCAATCGAGCCGGTTCGTTTATGTGTCAAAGTCACACTTCGATGTCGCGCTACGGGTCCCGAGACTGCGCGCGGCTTGACCGGTGATGGGCGTCGAAGGAGACTTGGTTGTGCGGGTATCGGTGGGATGGGTGGGACGGGCGATGGTCGTATGCGTTGCTTGATGGGACTTGGAATCTGTGTCTTGATGACACTGATGCGTTTACGGTTCTGTTGAACTTCAGTCGGCGAGACGGTACGTGCAGCAAGACCGCGTCGTGGTGAAGGGAGCGACGCGAGTGATCCATTCGAGGTAGATTTGGGCATTCTGGTAGACGTATTGGGTAAAGCATATTGTCCAGACGCGGCTTTATGCGTGCGGAGTGCATGCCGCGATGATTCAAAGGCACCAGGCGCATCATGTCGCCGTGTAATGAGACTGGGACTCGATCCCGCACGAGGACTCGGTGAACTAGAGCTAACATGTCGTTGCCGTTGACGGTTTTGCGAGGCCGCAGTCGGCGTTGCGTAATCCATGATAGTGGCTCTCTTTTGGCAAGGATGAGCTTACACCTGCATACGAGCCTGGTCTCCTGTAGCTCTTTGTTGTGGTGAGCGGCGCGTGGTGTCGTTGAGTGCTGTTTCCGCTCGGCTCAGGGAAAACTTGACGCAGTAGCTGTGCAACGACAATTATGACAAGGATTACATGAATGTCTACAGTAATACCCTGGCCTAACTCTCAGTGCATTCTGCTACATCTATACAAGAAAGACTGCGAGCATGATGACTGCTCATATTTTCCAGCATGGCCCTAGTCGGCCTTATAAGTGCCATGGTACAAGCTGAAGCACCACAGCAGAGTTGGCAATCGGGCTCGAAGCGAGTTTGATATGGCTGTCTTGTTAGCAATCAGGTGGGCTGTCGCATTTGAGTCGATGCCATGTCTTAGTCGACGTGGTATTGCCGGCGCAGAGCATAGTACACTTTGCGACGAGCCTTACAGCATTGTCGTATTTACATACTGCATTTGCTCTTGCTGTTTGGTCCTTGCAATCGCAGCAGAAGCAGACAAATTGTGCGTCTGAGCCTTCTGGTCGTCGTTGCTGAACAACTGGTCCTTACTCTGCTCCGTAAGCTGGGGCCTCCCACCGCCTGACTCCGGCTTGTCGTCGCCGCCAACTTCCTTTTCTGAAGATGTCGAAGGCCATGCTCGGGCTTCAACCAACTCTCGCATACCATTTGAAGAGACGGTACAACTCTGTTAGACAAATGTATGGTAGCTGTATAATAAGGAGATGCATCTCGACACACTTTCTTTAGGACACCCAAAATCCCGCTCCAGATAATGGAACACACACAGATAGCTGACAGATCGAACCAGGTCACTTGCAAAGCGAGACTGCATCATCCAGTGTAAACCAAAAAGTGCAAAAGAGAAACCCCAAGCGGGACTTGAACCCACAATCTTCCGGTTCGAAGCCGGACGCCTTAACCAATTGGGCCATCAGGGCTTGTGTTTCGAACTCTAGACCGACCTTTGCGGATGGCCGCTGCGCCAGGCAAGAGATATAGCTTGACATTCGAAAATTGCTTGATTGTACATGAAGGCAAAACACCGAAAATAATTTTTCAGATGCCACATCCTCTCTCCCTACTTGTCATTTAGACTCATTCTCTACTAGTCTTTCACAAGGTCGTCAAATTCAAGATACTCCAAACGGTAGATCTACAGCATCCCACCATCTGTGATCGAAAACTGCCTCACTTTGTGTTCCATCCCTACAAATTATTGTCGGGTGTAGTATCTCTACAGCAAAGCTTATTTCGCTGACATATAGTTCTCAAGATGCAGACGCGAGCTGATATCCTGATGGCTAAGCTAATGTGAAGTTTCTATCTGCTATGTCATCCTGATGGTCGCTAGGCACTCAACTTGAGGGCTACGCGATTGCCGCTGCAATCAAATCTTTGAGCCCTCGATGACTAGGGAGCCAAGAAGAGCTGGCTCTACATGTAGTATATGACACGACAGATGATCTCAAGGTTGAATCTCTGAGTTGTTTCTGTGTCACTGCGAGGATCAGTCTGGCTGACTCGTCGCAGATTTTGACCGCAAAACCGACCTTCCCCATGTTCGGCTAATCCCTTGGCACTCAAATATACGAGACCAAGGCAATCTTGCAGGTGCCATGGCATTGGCTACTCTATACAATCTACAAAACGTAGTTGGTATCTCATCCAAGTCACTCCTCATGATGACTTCCGAGCTCACTAGCACGTCAATCGAAAGAGCAGTAGAGATGTGATTTGCAAAGCGACAGGGGTAGAACAAAGAAACAATGAAAGGATGCTCAACCGACTAAACAGAGCAGCCGCAAAGGGTCTAATGCGGGAGAAGGACAAAAAACCCACAAATCAACACACCATACCTGACCATGCACCTAGTTGACTGCAATTGCCTCCATCGGGTCAGCCGTCACCTCAGCAGCAGGCGTCTTGCCGCTGTGTAGCGAACTTGTTGACTTCATGGCTTCCTTCATACTCGCCAAAGTGACCACACCATCATTACCGCCCTTGGACGACGCACGACGCCAAAAGTTGGCACGCGGGTTGAAGAACTTGGGAACACCGGTTTCCTCTGCTTGTTGTTTATCCTCCGATGCAAGCCGTTGAATCTCCTTCTTGATGGATTTGAAGGAGTCAAAGGGGATGTAGGTGATTTTGTTCTCCTGGCAGTACTCTTCGAGTCGCAAGCCGCGTCGTGCAAAGAGGATATCGGCTTCGCGCGCTGCAGGCAAGTCAGAGACGCCATCACCGATAAAGACAATGAGGGGTGGAAGTTCATCTTCTCCTAGGGTGGCGGAGTCTGTCTTGAAGGCTTGCACGGAAGCTGCCTTGTCGTGTCCGAGTGGTGTATCGTCTCGCCACACCACATTCCACGACTTGCCATCTTCTGAGAGTTGCAAGTCATTCGAGATGATGTCAATGTTACTCGCTGCTTGTGGTCCCAGATGATGCTCAAGCACTGCACGTAGCAATGGTTTCAATCCAGCAGAAATGACGTTGAAGGGAATACTGTTCTTGACGCAAAACGCATGGAAGTCCGAGAAATCTGGATCAAAGACGAGTTTCTCCTTCATGACTTCAAAGCCATCATCGAAGCCAACATTGAGAGATCCCCACATCTCTTCAGAGACATCACGGAAGGATCGCTCGCCAGTGTGGATTTGATTGTCTAGTTCTGCACGTCGCTCTGGGCCGCATCCGTGCTTGTCAAAGAGGAGGTGGCCTGTATCTTGCAGCGCAATGGTACCATCAAAGTCTGTGGTGAGCGACCGTCATTGACACCATGAGAAAGGACATACCTGAAAAAATGAGGATTTCACGCTTTGTATTGACCGAGTCGTCGAGTGTTGCCTGCCTTGTGGGGATCTGACTGTGAGCCGTGGAGATGCAATCTAGTAGCAAATACCTTTTTGAGCTTTGACTTGTCCATTGGAGTGTAGAGAGAAGAACTAGAGAGAGTAGATGGGAGTCTTGCTGCAGTTGACGTCTTCTTTTCTGCATTTCGTCGGCACACCCGCAGCCGCCGTCTCTGATTGGCTGGGTCTACGTCACTCAAGCGGGAAGCAGAACCGAGATGGGAAGGCACAGAAACATGCGAAGGGCTACACTGCTACAGGTTACAACGTACAAGCTGGGTACAGTACAAGTTGACGTACAGACAGCACAGGCTACAGGCGCTTCTGCTTGCCACTCGACTTGCGCACACCGCCGCCCACAGTCGAACTTGTCGAAACGCTACGCGGCGTCACTGCTACATCCCGTGATACCTTCCGTCGTGGTGACTCCCTCGATGCAATACGACCAGCAACGGCTTTCCCAAGCTCACCATACCGCCCTGAAGCTTGTCTCGGTGAAATTTTGTCTGTTGGCTCAGCTAGCTCATCCACCGTATTCTCATTGTTGACAACCTGCAAACTAGCAATGCGTGGTGGTTTTGAAACAGACCGGCCCATCGGTGCCTTTCTCGGTTGTCCAGGCGTCGGTGCAGGCAACATCTCTGCACGCTCGCCCTTTTCAAAGACACGTGCTTCAGTGGTATTGTCATCGAGTGAACCAAGTACAGGTCTCGGTGGTGTGCAAAACACAGCAGACTGCGGTTGTCGCTTCTTGATGGCACCCGTATAGGACCATTCTGTGAAATGATGCTGATTGATGTGAAGCCAGTGCTGTTGAGGACCAACAACCATACCGGGTCTCATGATGCGCATATACGCAATCACCTCATTGGCAGTGAACCGGTGCTTGTAAATGAGATACGCGCCAATCAAGCAGCCCGTGCGGCCGAGTCCCGCTTTACAGTGTACAGCAACCACTTTGTCTTGTTCCGCCATCTCCTCCGTCAGCCCAATGAATGTCTTGACAACATCAAGTTCAGGGCATGTACCATCTTCAAAGAACATGTCGATATGCTCAATTTCTTGCTTCTCAAAGTGACTCTTGTCATACAAGTGCGAGTTGAGCCGAAACACCATCCCTACGCTGTGTGAGGAGAAGTAATCCAGTACATGTTGAAACGTCGCCGACACAGCTTGTGCTTTTTTGAATGGGTTGGCTTTTGTGGTATACCCACTCTGCACAGGACTAGCAAATGCAATGAAGCGCGGACAGACCCAATTGAAGTCACCTTTATCCACAAGCTCGTAATACTCATACTCCTCCAAATCAAATGTCTTGATGTCAATAATCTCCGCTTCTTTTGCCCGCCAAAGACCATACACGAAATCTTGAATGGAGAGGCAGAAATCCGCTTGACTATAGCCTGCGTCGCGAAAGGCCATAAATGGTGGTTCGGATTGTGCTAGCGGCGCAATGGCTAGATGAGGGGGCCAGTTTTGTACAAGGACCATGTAGCAAGCTAGAAGACAGGCTGCATTCGCTCGTGACCGTGCATCTGTGCGGGAGTAAAAGACGATGGGTTTTGCAGACATGTCGGGGTCCTGTTGTTAGTCGTGTGCATGTCATTACAGATGACAAACAGATAGAATTTCATGCAGAATGATGGCGAAGCGATAGAGATGACCGATATGCAGCGGTCCAAAGTCCATGTGGAAGGCATGGTAAACAAGGAGGTCGTCTACCGTAAAGAAGCGCAAGTGCGGGTGTTTCTCCTTGGACGGCGGCGCATCAAAGGCGCTGAGATAGAGACGGTCTGATGTTAGCAGCGCAGGATTTTTGAATTGCCATACCCTGCAGGAACTCAATCATGGGCGGCGACATTGGGTATAAGTACAGGGATGGGTTTGATTGTCTGTTGTTGTGCTCGCTCGCTTTGTTTTGGTCAAGTCAGCCAGGGATTGAAGGGAGCGTGGGAGAAATGGGGGAATTGTGGCCTGACCTGCACACCAACAGGAACAGCTTACCATCAGACCACCCTGCTATTTGCCTTGCCTCTGCTATAATTACTGCTACTGCTACTACTGCTCCTATCTCTGCTGCTTCTCCTATTGCTTTAAGAGCAAAGCCTGCTTGGTCATGGCCGCGGACTTGGACCCAGACTACTATGCCTCCTTTATCGAGTCTATGCAAGACCACGCCACACCCAGTCTAACGGCCTCTTCCAACGGCAGTCCTCACTCTCTCGACTCACACGAGTTGTTTCCCGCTGAATGGCTCAATTGGCAGGATATCGCACAGCCAAACGCAGTCATCCAGCCGGAACTCCTTTCTCTTGGCAAGCGCAAGTTATCTGTGTCTGACTTGGATGCCCCAGAACAAGAGGGTCCAATCGAACAACCACGCGGTAAGCAAGGAAAGACATCACATAATGTCATTGAGAAGCGATACCGCAGTAACCTCAACGACAAGATCCTCGATCTACGCGATGCAGTACCGCATCTTCATCAAGAAGCGGTACAGGACCCAACCATCAAGCAGCCGAAAGGTCGAATCATTGCTTGTGCAACCGCCTACATCAAACAGCTCGAAGCAACCAACAAACAACTAGCAGAGCAAAACATACAATTGACTAAAGTCGTCACGCGCAGGCCATCGACAGGTGACAGGGTCGGCAAATTGGCATTGGGCGCACTAGCCGGGGTTGCTGCTCTGTCGGGGTTGCAAGAACATGATGGATCGAGCCGCACGACCCATGCACTCGGCGCCATTCCTATATTCGGACCAACCATGAAAGTGGCCCAAGTCATGCTACTGGCTGGAGCCCTCTGGTATATCCTCAGTGCCGTCTTGCCACAGCGCAGAAAACCAGTTGTGCAACACACGTCTCTGCGAGCTACTTTTACAAATGCGGAAGAAGCGCTTGGACTTGGTAACGGCCTTGCGCTCATGGCAGTACTCGTTGCCTGGGTGCAAGCACTCTTGAACTCTACATCGGTACACGTCAAAGCGCTCTGTGAGGCGCAAGTTCTCGGTGCTGATGTTCAAGTGTCAAGACTACGCATTCTGCTTTTCGCTATGCTTGGCAAGCAATCTGTCGAGGTGCGCATTATGCAACTCGTGTTGTTGACGCGGGGGATTCTCTCACCGACAACTGTGCGTCGCTTGGTTGGTCACTTGTACCCGGCTTCGCCAATTCTCTCTTACGACAAGTTGCTCAGTGATGCAATGCAAGGTGAAATAGCACGACTAGCCCACGGCTTACCAAGTGTCGGCTCGCGTGCAGTGTCACAAGCAGAGTGCTCTACCCCTGCGGAAGCGCTCATCACCATGTATGCCGCTTTAACACTTGATAAGGTTTGCAAGAAGTGTTTGCTGGAGCGAACCAATAAACTGCCAAAGGAAATCTCTGCACTGCTTGCGTTACCACAGCCTTCAGACTCCACCTTACGGTTACGCATCTTATTGCTACGAGCAATCCTTGACACAGACCATTTTGGAGAAGCAGCCGATGCTATACGTACTGCAACACAAGAAATGGCAGCCTCACAACTCAACCTCTTTCGATGCGCAACCATCCTCAAATTCAACAAGTCCAACCTGCTTCTTCAGCGTCAGACTGTTTCGACAGACTCCCTTGAGCTGCTCGCGTACTTCCGCGTCGCTGAACAAGTCTCAACTTGGTCGTGTGCGGACCGTCGACACAAGATTTACATGGTCGTTAGGATCTGGGCGCATCGTTGGGCAACTGAGGGAACGAATGAGGTCGAGGTGGATGCTGCAAAGGCTCTGGGCAAATTATGTGTGTCGCGCATTGCTGGGTTGTTTACAGCGGATGATAGTGCGTATGAGACGACGTGATGATTTGTAGCGAATGTAATGAATGAATATGGATCTCGAAACGAGAACAAAGCTAGTGCAAAGACATGGTATCATTGCATAATTATAATTGTATGTACATCTTCTATCCAAACCACTTCGAAAAAGCAGCCGTCGCCGTACCAGCATAATAATTGAGACTCTCCGTCACCTCACCCACCACTTTCTGCGCAGCAGGCCTAGCAGTCTCTTGCGACGCTTCACTACCAGAACGATCCAAGGCACTCATGAAATCAAAACTCCCATTCTGTCCATGCTTGTTGGTCGGTTGTTGCGGAAGCTGGTAGTCCACACGCGCAGGCGCAGCGCTCTCTGACGATGAAGACGAGATGTTGCGTCGCGAGCGTTCTTCAGCATTCAAATGTCTCGCTGCGTCCGATTGGGTCATTGTCATGATACGTGGTTGCTGACTACCTTGTTGCGAAGGCTGATGGTATTGTGGCTCAGTAGCAACATAGTCTGGCGAGTTGGAAGAGTGCTTGCTAGTGAAGGAAGGTCGTGAGCGAATGGGTGATGGCATGGCCACACCATGCGTAGGCATAGTCGCAGACTGTGGTCGACGCTCCTCAAATGGCGATCGAAATTGAACGGCCGAGCCAGGACTCGTGCTATCCTGAGAGATGAAGGATGGCGTTCCCAATTTCAGTGGTTCCGGCACATTCTTCCGTGGCATGCCATCTTGCGGTGGCGATTGATCCTCAAAACCAAACATGACAGTCTGGGGACTCGACTTGGCAGGAAGCTTCAAGTTGCGAAAGGGATCCGGTGTCGGCTCGCGCGACGAATTGGGTGAGGCAAGTCTGGCAGCCGGGTTACTGAATGGGCTCGTTGTTTGTGCACGATCCAGTGGTTCAAACTGCTGTTGCTTGCGCCTTGCAAGCGACTCCGCCAAGTTCGTCGGGAGAATGTCTGGTGAGCCATTTCGACTTTCCTTCGAGTGTGTATTGCGCTGTGCAAGATTGGGCCTGACTTGCATAGGTGAGATGTTGGACGAACCAGAGATACCAAGACCAGCAGGCGGTGCTGATGAAGGCGGTGTACTCGATTTTGCCAAGTTTGAGCGTGTCTGCGAACGAGAGCCACCACTCGCAGGACTATTGGTATCCGGTGAGGACTTATTCGTCTGTGGACTCTGCGCAATAGTCTCAAGCTGATGCACAGGCTTAAACCGATGCTTCTGCTGCTGTGCTTGTCGCTGAACAGGAGGTTGCGACTGCTGCATGGCAGGCGATGGCTCTGGCGAAAGGGTATAATCCCGGAAGATTTCCGACATGGGCGAGTCATTCATCTCTGGCGTTTGCAACTGAACAAACGTCGGCTTGACCTGGTCCATGTTGAAGAGCGTCTGTGCTGGGCTGTAGATGGAGGAAGCACGACGTTTTGCTTCCATACCAATCGGGATCACAGCCGTACCAGGCTCTGACTCTTGCGAGCTGCGCGTACCTGCATCACCCTTGAAAGGAGAGACGAGTGGGCGAGAGGCGGCAGAGATGCTGTCACGCTGCCAGAGCGGGCTATGCTGCGCCTCACGCTTATCACCCTCCCGCATGAATTGAGCAAGTGAGATTTGCTCAGGCGTCAATGCAACGGGCAACTCTGCAGGACGAGGCACTTCAATGAGATGCACCTCTTGTGACGATCGAGAGTGCTGCGACCCTTGTGAGCTCTGCGCCTTCATCTCTTGCTGCAACTCGAGTGGACCGGAAATATCATGCACTGAGATGCGTTGCTTTGAGTTTCGCTTCTCATCCATGACGCCTGCCTTGAACTTGACCTCGCGAGGCGACTTGTTGCGCAGCCCGAGGATCTTTTGCGCCTTGTTCGAGACTGCGCCAAACTTGGAAGACTTGCCACGCGGCATGCCTGTGATGAATTCGTCCAAGGAGCCATCACTCGTTGAGCTGAGTGCCGAGTTGGTGCGGTATGAACCTCGTTTCATCATGGCAGCAGGACTCTTTGGACCACTGACCAAGTCGTAACTTTTGTTGTGCTGAACAACAGACAAGTCTTGGTAGCTGGCAGATGTTGGAATCGGCGCAAGCTTCTGTGCAGCAGGTCGTTGCAGAGCCGTGAGCAGAGGAACACTGGCAGATGTGGGTAGTGTGGGCGCAACAGGCTGCGAAATTTCAGGAGAAGGCGCTTTGACAACCACAGACGGCACATCCAGCGCAGGCGACTCAAGAGATGCCATGGAAGCAGCAGATGATGCAACAGGCGACTCGTTCGACTTCATTGACCGCCGCAAATTAGAAGGCTGCTTCTTGTGCTTTGCAAATGGATCGTAAAACGTCATCTCATTGCTGTAAAGCTTGACACGATCCGCGTCCGCACTTACCACTTTGGACATGGCAGGTGGGTTTGTATCGCGTGGACCTGAGATTGAAACTCCCCGAGCAGGCTCAGACTCTGATTTGGCCAATTGAACGCTTTTGGGCAGTTTCTTGATTTCAGCTTGCACGGGCTGCTGCTGTGTCGTGGTTGACCATAATCGCTGCACAGGCTGTACTTCACCCTCTGACTCCGATACGGCTGGTTTGGGCGATGCGAGTGTTGGTGAACGCAAGACTGGCGATGTGATGGCGCGATAGGGGACTATCTCGCTACTCATCTGACGAGCCAACGAAGCACGGTATTTCGCCTGCGCAGCCACTTTGTCGGCAGCAACAGCTTTTGCGCGTTCTTCAACAACCTGTGCAATGGCAGCAGGGCCAGATGCAACGGCTGGAGCAGCTTCAGCTTGAGGTTCGGTGACCTTGAGAATGCTCTTGAGCTGTGCAGGCGGCGCAGAAGGTTGTGCAACGGGAACAGGATGCTGCTTAACGATAGGCGAGGCCACAGGTGACGACAAGTCGAGTTCTGGCAGCTGAGGCGATCTGGCAGGCGCAGAAGCAGTCTTTTGTTTCGCTTGCTTCGCAGCTCTCTTGGCTTCGCGCTTTTCAACGTGAGCGAGGTAGTCGTTGTAGGTCGCGACGAGCCATCCAACCTTGACGCCACGAAAAACTTCATCTGCATCCATGCCTGATGGCACGGTCCCACGTTCAGGCTTGTAGCTCTTTTCTGCATCCATGGATTTGGTGGTGGATGTCAACGTTGTGTGAGAGCTGACAGAAGGTCGACGAGAAGACTTGCGAGGAGGCTGTTGTTGTGGAATGGAAGAACCATCACTCTCACCACCATCATCTGTCGTCCATGCATGTCGCGAGTCTTGTTCAGACATCTTGAATGAGAGCTGCCGTTTATGATGCGCAATCACATCATTTGCCGTCGGCAGATTTTCGAGCTGATTGACACTCGGCTTGCGGTCTTTAAGGGATGCCAAGTACAACTCAATCTTGCTATTGGCAATGTTGGTCTTTGTCTGTTCATCATCTTCCTGCACAAACCCATCACTCAGCGATGCTCGTGAATCTTGGCGCAGCATTCTGACAGGTGCGATAGGTCCAGAGGGCCGACGTGGCATGTACCCCGCAAGACGTGGTTCCATACGTGTTCCTTTGGGACTGAATAGCGGAGACTGTTGTATGCGCATGCCACCAAGACGAGGCGGCGTCGTTAATGAGTGTCGAGGTACAACGATCGGAGCCGGTCGCGAAGGTGAGGCAGACTTGTCAGCCTGATTGTTAGTAAAATTCGTGAAATCCAGTTTCTTACAGTCTGTACGGGAGCCGGAGTCGTCGTCGTAGGCGCAGAAGAATAAGCTGGTGGCATGGGCTGATCCATCGGCAGCGAAATACTAGGCTGCCTCATCCCCGATGTCCAAGTCATGGGTGCCAACTCGGGCGGTGCCACAACTGGTGGTAATTCAGGGGATGGTGGCGCGGGTGCTGTCCTACTAGGCTGATAATTCGCTTGAGAAATCTTCGCAGCAGCCTGAGCAGTTGCTGCTGCCGGAGCAGCTGTCAAGATTGGTGCTGAACTCAAACCAGATGGTGTACGTTGGAGCGGTGGAGCCAGGGCGCGTTGCGAGGCAGTGAGCTGATTGCTACGCTGCGATTCTGCCGTCGATGCAGCGAGTGTCGTGGCAGGTCGAAGGGCTGGTGCTGCGCGTGGTGCAATAGCCTGTTTTGGTCGAGGTGGTGCAGAATCAACGACAGGAGCAGACAGGCCTTGTTGGCGCAATTCGAAGGATTGTCGTAGCTTGCGTGGCTGGACGAGGTGGTGTTCTGACAATTCTTCCTTTGTCAATGTCACCACTTCAGAGGCACGAGAGCGGCGAGAGACGGAAGAACGATGCGACCTGTTGGATCTACCAGACTGATAGGACGTACCAGAAGCTTCCGAAGCAGCAGAGGACATGCGTGGTGACTTTTTGGGCTGAATATTGGGAACAAGTTTGACTTGCGTAGCACCAATACTGATAGACTTTCGAGGAGCCACAGCAACATGCTCTTCTTCTTGAATATTCTCCACGGAAGGCCGGTGGTTTGCGACAGCGTCTTGTGAAGTGCGTTTGGGATCGCGTGCATGCTGCTTATGGGAGACGACCTTGCCCATAGACATCTTGCGCGGCTTGAGGGCAGCACCGGTAGGCACAAGCGGAACGACATGCTGCAAGTGACGGATGGGCGTCTTGCTCTTTCTGCGCAAATGCTGCACTCGGCCCGTTGCATGGTTGGTGGAGGTGAGGACTTTGACTTGAGCGCCGGAGGGAACGAGGTCGAGGAAAGGATTTGCTGCAGCGTTGAGGTCTGTCAGGCTTGACTGCCGAGAGTCACTGAGTTTTCGAACGCCGATGGTACCTTGAGAGATGCGCCGAGGGCCATCCATGGTCTGCGGAACTTTTGGCAGACGCCGTTCGTCCTTCTGGAGTCGCCTGATGCGGTCCGCCATAGAGGTGCGCGGCGAGTAGGCCGGTCTGTCGGAGGACGAGAGGAAGATGGAGGAGCTGAGTGAAAGGAGGTTTGAGTAAGAATGAGAAGAGATGAGCGCGAGGGGAGGTGGTAATGGCAACGAGACGTGGTGTTACACACACTGTTGCGCCCGTGCTCGTGGTTTTCGCCTGACTGCCTGCCTCTCTGGTGTTCTGTTCTTGTGCGCGTGGATTGTGCCTCTCCGCTGCTGTTCCTGCCTCCCTAGGCCCCATCCCGGCCCTCGTTACATCAGGTTACACGATGACCGCCGCTGTGCCTGGTTGTTGAAATCTGAAACTGAGACACGCCCAGATCTCGAATCCAGCAGAAGGGGCAGCACCGATTTCCGCTTTGGGAAAGGGGAAGCGCAAATAAACGCATCAGATGGCAGGACACCCAGCAGCACTCACTCTCGATTCGGGCGAGCAGAAGAGAATAGAAGCACCAGGAAGCACCATCCAGGGCCTAACCCAGCAAGGGGAAGAAGCGACGACGATATATCTCCTCCATCCACAAACTGCTCGCCACCCCGGCATCCGTGCTCCGCCAAACTTCCTCCATGTACTGCATCACATCCCGAATCCCTTCTATGCCAATCTTATCCAGCAACCCAGACATGCGCTCCCGCACAAACGCACGCTCCGCCATACTATTCACATCAGGCGACACAACAAACAGCACCCACTGGTGTGTCGTACATACAGGACTCGTTGCTTGAATTGCTTGAATCAGCCGAATGACTTGGCTTGCCATTAAACCAAGTGCTGATTCGTGTAACTGCATAGTAGCCAGCATACCAGGAACCATCCTGAATAGCAGCAGCAATGCGGTCTGACGATATGCTTCAGCCGTAAACAAGATGTCCTGTAGAGAAGCAGTCTCAAACACCCCAGTACAGTGAATCAATCGATCACCATCCACTTGCGGCCGCCAGCTCGCTAGTCTGTGGTGAAGTGTATGCGCCATAGGCAACGATTCAGGCGACGGATGGAGTCGCACATACCGCACGAATGTCTCCATCTCAATAATTACTGGAAACAGGTCAAACGCCAATCCGAGTGTTGGATCGATATAGTCGCTTGCCTCTGCATCCGCTGCAGGACCAGCCAGCAAGCCTGTCGTATACCCTTCATGCGTCGTATCAGAATGTAAACTCACCAACAAGTCCCAATAAATCAACAAGTTTGTCAGAAACCTGGGCGGCATACAACGCCCACTCTCTGCACGATGGCAAATCAGTACTTTGCTTGTTTTGAGGTGCATGACACCACTTTCACTACTGCGCATCGTATGCCAGGGTTCAGTCATGCCAATATGCACAACTGCTGCAAAAGTGGCATCCGAGTGTGCTTGGTTCGGATCACTCATGGCTCGTGTGATTTCTTGGTACGCAAGTCGTTGTAGCTCCAACCCGCGATTCATGTGTTTTTCCTTATCGCTGGATTGATTTCCAGAGATGGTGAAAGCCGCCATGGCCTGTGCTGCCAGATGCAAGGCTCGCGAATGCGGTATATACTTGCGCAGTCTCATGAAGGGATTGCAAGGTCCTGTGTAAATGGAGAAGAGGTGAGTCGTCGTTGCAAAGAAGACCTCTGTCAACATCGTTTCTTCATCTGCAGGCTCTCCTGGCGATCTACCCAGCGCAGAAATTGGACTTGCGCCTGAGGTTGCGGAGACACTTTGCGGTCGAGGCGTCGAAGCATTGGAGGTTGTCGCTGTAGCAATCGCCTGACTCGGTCCATATTCACAGGTCATGCTCTTCTTTGAACATTGCAAACATACTGGCTTTTCTGCACCTGTTAGTATCATCTTGTACACAACGAAGAGCGTACCTTCGGAGCATTTGATGCGGCGCGTCTTGCATTGTCGACAACCGTGTTTTGACTTAGGACCACGATGACCACGTTTCGGTAGCTCTATTCGTCTCGGTAGAGAATCTATCGGAACTCTATGCGGATCCATGCTTAAGGTCGTTACCGCGCTACTCTCATTGTGCGTCTCAGTGTCACGGTCTTGGTTGTGATGGTTGCAGATCGTCGTGCTGACAGTTGAGGGCGGGATACGCGGGGTTCAGGAATTAAACTTTCAACTCTGCTCCAAACACGACACTTACACTTCTTATTCAGCTGTCTTCTTTGCTTCATTCTGGTCAGGCTTCATCGACTGAAATGACTAGACGCTACCTTACTTATGCTCTCGACTATGCCGACAACTTTGTGATCGCAGCGTTGAAGCTCGCCTTCATCTCTTCTCCCTGATTCTTTGCTTCTCCCTGCAATGCAACAGGCACCCGGTTGACAAGCTCCTTCTCCAACTCCGTCTCAACATCCTTGAACTTCGACATCTCGCTCTTCACAATCGGCTTGATCGCACCGAAATCTTTGCCCATGACCGTATCAGTAATAGTCTTGACTTTAGGCTTGATCCTGTTGACGGCTTTGAGTAGCTCACCTGCTTCAGCTTCACTCATGGGTGTGGGTTCCAACTTGACATCTGAAACAGCTTTACCCATGACGTCTGCAAGACTATTGGCAGAAGTCTTGAGTTTGATGGCTGCCAAGCTTAACGGGTTGCCAGAGTATGATGAGAGATCCGTGTTGAGCGCATCGATGGACGTGCCAATGTTGTCGAGATGCTCAACGACTTTGTTGTTGTCACGCTTGATGAGTGGCGAGGCTGCTGCGCATGCAAGAAAGAAGAAGAGCTTGGAGACCATGATGCAGGCGAAGATGAATTCTAATGAGTGGATGTGGTCATGGGCATTCTTATACATGGCCGTTGCCGTACGGCAGGATCTGAGACGAAATACGTTGGATGCGTGTCTTCGCTTACACGCCAAGTCGTTATGAAACCGCAAACATGACACCAATCACCAGCCATGCTTGCAGGTGCTGCAGATATGCCTCACCTTCACGACAGCTCAGTTGCATCGTGATCCTGAGTCGTCTGAAACTGACAAACGTCTTCACAGCGTGGTATGATGAGCTCGAGGCGGAAGCCACGAGTATGTGTTGAGCAATGGCAATGGCAATGTCAAAGGCGACAAATACAAACCTCGACGGAGCAAGGGCAGCCGCCATGCGCTATCACTGTAAAGAAGTGGCACTTACTACGTGTTGTACTGCGTGAGAGCAATTTTGAAGTAATCTCGAAGCTTCTGATCTTCCTCCTTAGCAGCTGCTTGCATCGCCGGCGACGCATGTGCAACCAAAGAATCACCCAACTCCTTCTCTACATCCGACATACGCACCAAGATCTTCTGGACAATCGGCTTTGCAGCGCCAAACTTCTCAGCTTTCGCACCCAACGCCGTCATTGTGGTATTGACATTACCATTCAGTGTCTTAATGGCATCCAGCATTGTCTGTAATCCAGCATCCGGTAGCGGAATCGGTTCCTTTTTGATATCTGTGACAGCAGCTTTCATGGATGTTTCAACTGTTTCTGCGGAAGCCTTGATGGGCAACGCAGCAACGAGTCCTCCAGTGTACTGGTCCAGTAACCCATTCAAAGCCACAAGATCAGTATCAATCTTCTTGATGTGCCCAGTAATGGCATCATCTTTGGCAGTCTCACCGAGAGGAGCTGCATGAACCAGCCCAAGCAGAGCAAAGAGAAGGACTGCTTGCATTTTGTGATTCAGATAAACGACGTTTAGGGTGCGGACGACCATCTCGTTATATGGCTGTTGTGAAACGACAAACGTTGGTTGGTGACTGTGCTTTGCCAACAGCTCAAGTGATATGAGCCTTGCAAGGTTTCATCACCACCAAGGATAATTCTCAACTGCTCGAAACGCACGGCGTCGCCGAGCTGTTGGAGCTGGTCTCTGTACCCAGAGACCGACCATCATGCCAAGACATGTCTGCCGCCGCAGCATACTTCGCTGCAAAAGCTGTACTTCTTACGGCTCAAAGTCGCAATCGGAAAAGAGATCGGTCTCAGGCGCACCGGCCGCGAAGAATGAGCCAAAGCGTGACTAAATTTACTGGTGCTTGTCAAAAAGGGTTTGTTCGTCTCGATGGTGGTCTTCCTGTTCGCAAGTTGGACTGTCTTCATGGAAGAAGATGGCAGCATGATGGATGGCGGACACGAGCAGTTCTTCTTCAAGCGACGCCAACTGATTTCTGCGAGCAAGGAACACACTTAAATGCAAGGTAAACAGAACTTGAAGCTGTCAGGCACGAAGGGGATGCAAGACAAGACATCCTTGTCTCGACATCGCGTGAGACTTGTTCAGGCTTCGACCGGACAAGCTCAGATTGTGACGCAGTTTGGCGCCCCTTTCAGCATCACAGTTGTGCAGCTTACCAGGATTCGTGATAGGAACATCATTTCAGGAGGCAAGTGCTGTCGCTTCCTAGTCTATCGATTTTAGAGAATCTTGTCAAGCATCGTGCTGTCATTCTTGCTTCAGAACTATAGAGATATACATGCAGGCACATAAACGATGATTGAAAGGCAAGTCCCAAACAATTCGATCAATGGGACCATGTGACACTGCCGCAAAGTTGCTGTACAGGGTGCTGTGCGTGCCGGAACCTACTGTGTAGTCCTAGCACATGTTCGTCGAGGGTCAAACACTGTAGTGCCAGTATAGACTCTCCGCTGATCGAACGAAACGCTTTCCTTAATGTGTATAGCCATCGAAATGCCCAACAATATGGAAATAAAAGGAGAAAAGGAGAAAATGAAGCTTGGACCCTTTTTCTTGTTGTATCTGCATTCAAAGCTATGAATCACGAGTAGCTATGAGTCTGCGATTCTGAAATGAAGTGTCATTGCCATATGATCATTCTTCTACCAGGGTCGAACAGTCAACCAATGTGAAAGGCGGCAACCAGATGCAGATACCACACATCATAAACTTTAGGTACTATGGTCGTGGATAGCGTTCTAGCATTGTCAACCAGCATTCTGAACCTCCCTAAGGGTCCCGACAAACCGTCGTCCTACGCGAATATCGCGCAAACGATCTTTGGGATCTATCGCCCAGACGCATGCCTTTTGAAGGCACCCCACAATACCACAGACGAAGCGCTCATGCGAGCATTCACCACTCAGTACCCTCTTTTGAAGGAGGTATACATCTTCCAACAGGGCCCGAACAGGATCCTGCAGTTCAAGCGAGGCATGGGCTCTTCCGATGTCATTGCCAATGGCATCAACTTCGACAAGGCCAACTTCCCAGTTCGCCGTCTGCACAACACGTCCGCCGGATCAATGATCCAGTGCACAATCCTACATTTTTCTCCAGGAGGCCTCGAGGAGCTGTAGGAGACACTGAGCCCGTACGGTATCATGGTAGACCACCACCGCGAGTACTACCCTGGTCTGCTCCATCCTACAAGGAAGTTCTCCTTCCAACTTTCCTCCCTTGCTGAAGACGAGTTTGCCCCCCAAGAAGTTGGTCGCCAATTGTGGCACCGAATAGTACCTTGGGGACTGAAGATGACGTCCTCGCGATCGTCTTCAGAAAAACTCCCTGCTTGTGTTTGTATTTCTGGCTGTCAGCCTTGTGGTCAGCCATCTATCAGCCTCTCAACTCTGAGTTGGACCTTGTCGCTGCCCATTGCTGAATCTTCTTGCGAAAATCCGCTGAGCTGGTCTGATGCACCTTTGAGGATGACACCATAGCAGCACGGACGCTAGGGGCCTGGGCTCGCGCATTTGGACTTGATGGCCATTGCGAGTGCGATATATGGCGATTCACAGACAGAAAGCCTTCGTCATTCACAACAGGAGCTGTGGCAGACAAGGTCTGCGACCTGGCAATAACAGCTGCAGGTGTCACTGCGAGGATTAATACTCAAGACGGGAGCGTCAGGCAAGCTGGCTGTTCGACAGTGCTCAGTCTGCTGATTCGTGCTGACACAGCTTATTAGCCCAAGACCATACGGCGGAGTATTTTCCGCAGCTCCTCGAGGCCTCCTGGCGAAAAGTGTAGGATCGTGCACTAGATCATTGATCCAGAGGAAGTATTGTGAAGACGGCGAACCGGAAAGTTGGCCTTGTCGTGATCAATGCCACTTGCAATGACATCGGACGAGTCCACGCCGCGCTGGAACTGGAGGATCCAATTAGGGTCCTGTTGGACGATGTATACATCCTTCAAAAGCGGGTATTGGAGGTAAAGACCCGCATGACTGCTTCGTCGGAGATGGTTTGAGAGGCCCTCAGGAGGCACGCGTCAGCGCGATTGACGCCGAAGATGGTTTGCGCGATGTTCGCATAGGATGACGGTTTGTCGGGACCTTAGAATGGTTTCAAATGCTTGTAGATAATGACTGAGCGCTTTCCATGACCATAGTACCTCAAGCTTATGAGGTGTGGCTCTCGAGGTCAGCTTTCCCTATGTATTTTCGTTGATAAGTATCTAGGGTTAGGGTCAAGATTTTGAAATTCCATATATATATGATTCTGGCCGGTCGATGTTATAATGGGCTGGTAGATCAGTGGTAGTATCGCATGCTTTGCATGCATGAGGTCGCGAGTTCAATCCTCGTCCAGTCCATTTTTTGGCAGTTGCCTGTCTCGCTCCCCAGCCTTTCAGATGCACACCACAAATTTCGGTTCCTGAGCAAGACGATGATGTTTTGAGAGATCGCACCAGCAGACAAGTGGATACATCGAATGAGTGATTAGAAAAGAGCAGATGGCCTGCGATTGAGTATGTCTTCATCGGCTAATTCCGAGATGGGCAACGTTTCACGCCTTGCCTAATAGACACCGGGCAATTGAAAGTCCACCAGGGACTGTAAAACTAGCTAGCAGCTCTAGAGCGTTATCATCTAGAAACTAAGTAAACCATGCGGACTTCATCATCAGAAATGATCATAGGAGCCATGCCTTCCCCCAGCCAGGACTGCCACCCCAGCAGGCAACGCAGTTTTCGATGTACTCGTCTGCTGAGTGCCTTGTCGACCATGCGCCTTTTGCTGTTTTCGCTCAAAACACGTTGCATGCCATCGTTTGGTCCCATCAGCAACACAGGCACCTTCGACACCTGTGCCACAGACATCACACAATGACCCGTTTGCAGCATGATAGTGCTGACCACAATATGGCCGATCATCAAATACGTAGAAGTCACCTGCTGGAAAGAGACAGAAGCAAGTGGTGCAGCGGAAACAGTCTTTGTGGTATTTCCCGGTGAGCTTGCCATCTTTACTGGAGACTGACTTCTGGCCTTGCTTGATGGGTTGTTTGCATGCACGGCAAGCGACTGAAGTTGCGGTAGCTTTGGGAGTCGGTTGAGTTGTGGGCTTCGGTGCCGTTTGCTGTTGAAAAGATTCTTCAGAGGAGGTTTGACTCTTCATTGTTTCTTTCGATCGTAAACTTGCAGGTGATCCCAGCATGCGTGGTACTGGCATGGTCTCTTCTCGACGGTCATGTCCATCTTGCATGGAAGCGGGCGCTTGGGCAGACCATACAACTCTTGGCGTAGATCGCACAGCATCGACTGCAGCAGGAACAGGAGAGTAGTGACTCGAGGGTGAGCCGCCGACATCCTGTGGATCCTTCATCTCCCGTGGCGGCTGCAATTCATCAATCGAGGCGCCAATATCAGCCAGTAAACGATCAAAACTCTCAGTCGTTCCGCTGCGTGGAAGTGCTGCTGCTTGTATGTGTTTTTGGGTGCGCGCCGCCTTGTCCTTCAACAAACTTGGTGCAACATATTGTTCTTCTGCAACAGTGGGCGGTAGTACTGCAATTACAGTTTCTGGCGTAGCAGAGCTGATACTGGAGCGCACGCTCACACCAGAGCGACTCGTCATGACGGTACCAAGGGAAGAAGAGGTATCCTGACGTATGTGTCGCTGTTCTTGCGAAGCTGGTGGACGAACGCTCGCCAGGGGTGCGAGTTGTAATCGTGAAGGAGCAGGCACAGAGTCTGGCCCGTACCGCGCATAAGGATCTCGCTGTTGAGGTTGTCGAGGAGGAACTTGTCGCGTCGCTGTACGTGGACGTTCTTCTTGGTCATATTGAAAGTGCATTTGTGTGCGATCGAGCTGTAGACCATGTCCGGAATGTTGGCTTCCAGCTGTGGATGGTCGCGATGGGAGGCGTTGCTCATACGCATAGTCCTGAGAGGAAGCCGACATGTATCGTCTTGCAGGGGGATTGCGTGCGCCTTGATCTCGCCACTCGTCCTGATGGCCACGTTGACTTGGCTTCTTCGTCTGGTTGACAAACTCAGGGGCAACAAAGACCGTAGGGTCCAGACGAGAGGCCACACCAGCGATACCAAAGGGCCCTGAGTCCATGCTTGCCAGCGCATCATCCAACGGTTCAGAAATACGCAGCCGTCCCGCGCTACCACCACTGCGTTGGCTGCCCTGCGATCGATTTGAACCGCGCGAGGCCACTGAGCGCACATCGTCCTCGCGATGCTCGTAGTGAGGATGAGCACGCAGCGGCATAACAGTCATGCGTGGATCACGCATTTGGACAGGTCCAGCGCGTGCCGCTTTTGGAGGACCGGCAAATCGTTGCTGATTAAGTGGTCGCGAGAGCGTATTGAGTCGGCCAAGGACTGCGTCGGCCTCGACATGCTTTGGCAGTTGTTCTCTTGATCGTTCCTGTAGTTGCGAAGGCCATGCATGACCTTCATGATAGTGTCGACTCGATGCCGTATCTGGCCTGCCCGGAGGCCTGCTTTGCTGTGCTGGCGACATTTCGATAATCGCTGGCATGCGAGATGTGGGTAGAGTCTCGCAGATATGGTCACCCACTGCATCCAAGCGCATCGCCGCACCACACTTGGAGCACTTGAGTGTCGGCAGGACCTGAGAGATGCGCGACGCGTCCATCGTCGATGTTGCAAGCGCGGCGTATGGGAAAAAGTCAAGCCGACAGGGGTTGTTGTTGAAAAGTCAGGTAAAGGCGGGTGTTCGAAGATGCACCTGCGCTGCGTGTTGAGTAGAGAATGACAGACGGACCCAGTGAGGGTGCGCAGAGGAAAGAGAGACTGGCAGGCGGTCAGTGCGGATGTCTGCTGCTGGCTGCTTCTCTTCTGTCGCGTCTTTGTCTCCTTGCGCGCCAATTTTTTTATTTTTCGCGGTGGACCCCTGGCTCCAGAGAGGAAGAGAGCCCAAGCCTCAGCCTGCTGTCGATGACACGAAGCTGCAGCGTCTACCGGTTCAAGACTGATAGGTGACGGCCACCAAGAAGCTAGAAAAGAATGGCACAGGTCATCGCAGGGAGAGGCCGCTTTACATAGCCCAGCGATGATCAAACCGCATGTAGAACAAATATCTCATCTCCGGTCTCTCGTGGCGTGTCGCTCTAGCCGAGAGTCTCCTGCAACTGCGAGTGGATGTTTCAGCTCTACAGAGTCTACACTTTATTTACGTCTGCAAGAATCTTGTGCTTGAGTTGACAGATAGACATATATTGCTGCACAGCGACTACACTGTCAAGAATACTGCTACAAAGGCCGGCCTAGGATCGGATTTTCACTATTGAGGCGAATGGCGTGGGTGAGGCAGTGAGGCAGTGAGGCTAGGCGCACAAAAAGGCATTTGATTGTCTATGAAGGAAATTCTAGAGCTCAAGCTTGTAAGACAATCTCAGACTCACATGTGTACATGTAGTCAAGCAGGATAGACGTAAGGCGTATCTGCCTCGCCCATATAACCTGATGTACCCTGTATCCACGAAGAGCTGCTCACATCGTACTTCCAGATCGGAAAGTACTGTGATTGATCGGTTGTCCCTGAATACGCATCTATTGGTGGTGAAGGAGACCGTGGATTACTTACATCATAGTAAAGAACACAAAATATGCCCAGCTGAGGTGTTCCATCAGGACCAGTGACTTGGAAGTAATCGTTGGGACGGATCAGAGGATCGACCTTGCATCTGGGGTCCGCCTTGATGTAGCGGCATAACGTGCTACTAGTACTCCCAAGTTGTGGCGATTTTTGCAGCACAGGATACCCTTGAGGGTCGACAGGTGCGCTCTGAAGCTCGTAAGGGCACTCATCTTCCACCAATTTGGTGCCAGGCGGGTAAGACGTGAGCCAGTAGGCATTCACCGGGGCAAGGACGTTGTACTCAAGCTCGCATAGGTGATCACGATGTTTGCCAGCGTCGTGCCAGTCCACAGTTGTTCCTGGACGCTTGTTGTTCGGCAACAGGTCGGATCCTAAATCTTTGCTGAAGCTGACCAAGAACATGCAGAAAATTCCAAGGGTTGCGCCGTTGTGCTCTGGATCGATTTGGAACCAATTCTCGGCCTCCTTGTTCGCAGCCTCGCCATGCGGGCAGGCTTCATCCTTGTCGATCAGATAGCAGTTGGTGTAGCCTGCACGACTATGATTGTCTGGAAGCTTGTAGGATTGATTGCGAACAGGGAAGGTGCCATAAGTGTGCTGACCATTGTTGTTCAGCCAGGGCTTCGATGCATCAGGTGTCTCATCGTCCCATCTGCTCTTGAGCTGATATCGACAATCGGAATCGGACACTCGATGTCCAGTGAGGGGAAAAATCTTGAGCTCTAGCCAGTAGCCATTACACTTCCCAGCTTTGTGTGCGGAACAATTCAGCACCAGAGTTAAGGCACTCCACGTCAAGCACAGTAGCCACGCCAAAGGATGAAGACTTGGGGTTGATTTCTGAGCCAGCATCTAGAAGGGAGCGACTGCAGCTGGGTTGGGGGAGCTAGTGGTGCAGGCGTCTCAGTTCGGCCCCAAAGCACCCAAGCGCTGCTGATAACGTGTATTGCTTGTGCTTGCGTGCAGGAGACAAGTGGTGAAGGGAACAGGATAGAATAGGGCGCGTGGCCTCTTTCTACTATCGCCAAGCGCCAACAATCAGACCCTGACTCCTGAGTGCCATCCCTGATGACGGCCGGGCCCAGCCCGATTGATCGACTAATGATTCAAGGTCCACGCATCGGTCCCCTGATCATCATGCGCACTTGAGCTTTTCTGATCTTGGCATCGGCTCCTCAGCTATCGGTCATGTAGAACAGACCGTGTCTTCTGTCGTCCAAACCCGTTCACTGCGTCAGGTACTGATTCAGAGACGATCATGCTGCAATGACTGCACTCAGAACAACATCTGACTTTTATATCTAATCTCCCATGTCTTGTTGGGAAGCGCCGCGTGCTGCTCCCGTTGTTCACCCCCTACTTTTGTGACGCAAGCGTGTGCCTACTGCCTAGAGTCTCGGGGCAGCTTAGATCCAGAGCAGCTGCAGCTGCAGCCGCTTGTAGTCTGACATGGAAGGTACCGACAGTCACAGATCGCAGCGCAAGATACAGAAACTAGCCTCATTGTGCATCACAAGCTCGGCCGCTACTATAGTCTCTGCAGTCCATTACCTTGAGAGTAATCATGGGCCGACGTAGGGGTTCCGGATTGCATACGAGTCTGCTAGACCTACGACCTCGGACTCGGAGCCTCGGAGGCGAGAATTGGATCGTTCAGATGCCACGTTCGACTCATGCGGCTGAATGCGATGCAGAATCGCGACTCTTTGTATACCGGTCAAGGGCACCATCGTGGACACTGGACAAGGAAGAACCCTTTCTAGCGCACAGCCAGATTCCCAGACTTCACAATTTGTCATCCTTCCATCTGCTCTTGAGCTTATGTGGATCCCCGACATAGATCATACTGAGATAATTGCATGGAAGAGACCGGGTTTCAGTGGCAGCCAGTATGCATGACAGTCCTCCGTGTCGCACCTCGCAGTGCTTCTCGTTGACCACAACATCCATATACATAGGCAAACCGAGGACTTGAATAACGGGCCGACCTCTAGGACCAGCATGATGGAGGAAATGAATGAGAGCAAGATTTCGATGTAGACGTCGAGAACTGCCTTTGAATAGCAAACATTGACAAAAATGCGCCTCAAGCTTGCTGGTGCCGTAGCGTGCGAGACAATCTGCAGTCAATCCATCTTTGGCAAATTACAGGCGCGAGTCGAAGACTTGAAAGCGACATGCCATCGTTTCGTACATTTGTAAGCATTTCGTGATCTCCCAGACTCGTTCTTTGTCTGCTCACAAGCTTGCCCCTGAAATATAGCCTGCGAATCAAGTCATCATGTACTGTTATTTCGTGGCCAAACAGCTCAGGCTATAAACTAAGCACATCTCCCGCACTCAAGTACCGGCTCGTGACACTGGTTTCGATGAAGATGGATGGAATGCAGACCACTTCGCACAAGTGTTCGCGCGAGTATGAATGTTCGGTAGCAAAAGAGTCGTGCTCGAGTTCGACATTGCAAATTTTCGGACTTGTGTGAAAAGTGCGCTGGCTACTGCAGCTGCTGCTAGCCTACCACACGGTGCCTACGCCACCGCGGTCAGAAGCCTTTATGGTCATGTATGACGCGTCTTGTGACTTTCCTTCGTTGGCTCGTCTAAAACTGAAGGCAACCCTTATTCCACGCTGATTGGTATGACCAGGGGCATCGCTATATGCATAAGCGCGTGTCATCTCACGGGCAGCCACAGATCGGAAGTGCAAAGCAGGTCGAAGTGGTAGTGCCAATCACTTCGTCCGTCTTGCTGCTGCTGCTGCAGCAGCGGCGGCGGTGGCGGTGGCTGATTGTATCTCAGGCTGGCCTACCTTGACTTATCTTGAGATGGCATTGAGAGCAATCAGGGGCTGTAGACCCGCGTCGCTCTTATAAAGGGTAGTCGTTTTGATGCTTGCTAGAGCTGCTCTATTCAGACGTGTCCTTCAATTACCTTTTCAACAAACGTTATATCCCTATGCTTGGTCGCCGGCTTGACAGATATTAATCTGTTGACATCCTGATGGCTCGCAAGAAGCGATGTTCCGTCCGATACCCGGGCCGGTCCCTTCGCCATGAAATCTCGTCAATTGTTGGATCACTTGCGCAAGTGGAGGCTTGGAAGGGTTGATCATGGTATAGATGGGCTTAACTTCACAACGCTAGCAAGATGTGTTCGAGTAAACGAAATGAAAACGAAACGTTACTACGCTAGCAACAAGCTAATTGTGAAGCTTACTCGGCGACGGGCATATCACTGGCAGTGACTACTCAAACAGGGCTTGTAGCACTTTGGAGCCATGAAGTGGTGCTCACATCGTAATGCCACGTTGGACGATGCGATTCGAAACTCCCAAGCTGTGCATACGCATCCTGTGGAGGTGGACGGGCGTCACCTTTGAGGGGACAAAAGATGCCCAAGTTCCTAAGGTTTGCAGGACCAGTCACCTGAAACAAGTTGTAGGGTCTCAGATGATTTGGGCTGCATCTAGGGTCCGCAAGAATGTAACGGCAATACCATACGCTATTGGTGCCGCTCAGTGCATTCGAGCCCCGAGCAGGAACGCCTCTTGAATCAAGTCTTGCACTTTGCAGCTGATAGGGGCATAAATCTCCGCGGACAGCTTTGTGACTAGGCGGATAGAACGTCAGCCAGGCGGCGTTTGTTGGAGCGGTATATTTGTAGTTGAGCTTGCATTGATTGTGTTTGTCGTTCTGATCTTCCCAGTCCAGTGTCCATCCCGGCCACGCATTATTCGGAGCCAAGGTCGGCTTCGTCAACAAGTTTTGGATATACATACAAAACAGCCCATACTTTTGCGTGGAATCATGCCCAGGAGGTGCACTCAGCTGAAAGTAGTTATCGTTCTTGGCTTCGCCGTGGGGGCAGAGTGTGTCCCGTTCGATAAGATAGCAAGTTGTAAAAGCTGGATTGGAATCCTCCAGTGGCTTTTTGTCATCCTTGGGGGTATCGTCACGCCGAGGAAACTTCCCTGAAGTATGCGTTACAATAGAGTTTTCCTGATCAGAATCCCATCTTTCCATGAGTTTATATCGACAAGTTGATTTGAGCGGGAAGCCTGCGTTGAAAGCCTCTGGTTTGAGCTGCAGCCAGTATGCTTGACACTTTCCCAATTGGATTGTACCAGCTGCAGCTGCATTCAGTAAGGCACCACTCCACGTCAGCAGGCACATACTCCAAGCCAAGAGCTTGAGAGTCCGGATCGCACCCTGGACCAGCATGATTAGATTCGCCTGCCCTTGTAGAAGGGATTTAAAGGGATGTGATGTCGGTTATAAGTCCACGGCTACCGGGCGGTCGGCGCAGCGCTTGTCCTAGAATATACTTCCCATACATTGTTTGCCATATTTGCGACAGATTCTTTGCGAGCGAGATAGCAAATAACAGTTCCACTTTGAAGCATTGCAGCTGAAATTGACTGCATCTGCAGCAGCCGGCAGGTGATTGCCTCAGCTCGAGCCAAACAGTTTGCGCATATGAGTCAATTGCAAGCTATCTCAAGTCCTCAGCGTTGCAAACCCAAAGGGCATACAGTTGCTGAAGGGTGGTCAAGAAGGCGAGTCAAAAAGAGTTTGTTGTTGATACTTGACCACGCCATGTTTGTTCGTATTTGGATACAACACATCAAGATTAGGACAAGTCAATCAAATAATGTTGTTTGTGTTTGTGCATTCGGCCCGAGGCCTCTGCAAATACTGGTCCAAGGCAAGAGAGAAGCCGATAGAATTCGAAGGATGGAGCTCAAGGGAGCCTCTGGTTCTTGCGACTGATGATGCCATTAGCCGATAGGGGGCAATGCATTGCGTCTGCGAGCTCTCAGGCCCTTCATTGCCTCTGGTGCTCGCTCTCGAATCTCTACCAATAGACTCGGTGGCAAGCTTATGCTCAGGTCGTTGACATTGCTATCAAGCGCAGCTGGATTCAAGCATCGACAGCAGTCTTGCGCACTATGCACACTATTGTTTGCGCAGGCGTCCGTATGACTCGGCCGTCATAAGGGCAAGTGAAAACTCGTATCGCGTTGAACTGTCTTGATTGTGAAGCTTTCTTGTGCAGATTGAGCAAGTCTCACTAATCCATCCACAAAATCGGCAGGCTTGCATTTGTCGTCTTAGTGACAGCTGTTGGCAGCTGCTTACTTGCCTCAAATGCCTGGTAGTATGAGGTGGAGGTCAATGACTGTTGACTGACTTTTGCGAATGATGAGGGTATTTGCATCTGGAACCATGACCTGCGGTTAGCAGACTAAATCAACGAGACAAGCATATGGTCTAGATTGGATGTTCAACTGTGAAGAAGACGATAACTATTCTTGTACATAAGTGACTGCTACAAAACCCGCATCCCGCCTTCCGCGACGACTCATCATTGACAAGCCTGCTGACCGTGTGCGCATCAAACACAAGGCTTGCGGGGCGGCATGGCCACGATTGGAGAAGCCTGTAAAGACGGCTATAAGCAGACTGACAACTGGGCGCATCATGGTATCAAATGGCTTGAAGAAATTCAAGAATACTACCGTGAACGTGCAACGTTAGAGAAGGAGTATGGTTCGAAACTTCAACAGTTGTCCAAGAAGTATCGTAGGTTCTTCTGCATATGTTCATGATTGTTTGGCTAATGGTTAGAGGAGAAGAGGGTCAAGAAGTCTGGCTCGTTGAGTGTGGGTGATGCTCCGGCAATGACACCAGGGTCCCTTGAAAATGCATCATTAACGACCTGGTCACGGATACTCGAAGATGCGCGACAACTGGGTGATGAACGCGTGACACTCAGTTCAGAATTCACGATGCAAGTTGCTGAACCCATCAAAGCGATGCATTTCAAGTGGGAGGATTTCCAAAAACGAGTCGAGAGCTTCCATGGCAAGTTGGTGGAGGAACGCGACAAGACGTCCAGCAACGTCAAGCAAGTTCAGAAAAAGTACTACGACGGCTGTGCGGTTGTTGAAAAGGAGCGCGCCAAGCATGGTAGTGCAAAGGCCACGAAGCAGTTGACTGGGTCCATGGCCGATATGAGTAACCTGAAAAACACCTACATCATCGCCATCAACGCAGCAAATGCACATAAAGCAAAGTACTACCATGAGGATACACCAGATTTGCTCAACATGCTGCAAGATATGAATGAAGTACGCGTGCAACGTCTCAATGCGCTCTGGCAACGCGCCAGTCAAGTGGAGCAATCTTGCTTGACTCGACAAGGTGGTCATTTACAGCGGTCTGTGGATGCGATTGGTCAGAATGATCCAAAGCTTGATACCAACATGTTTGTACAGCACAATAGTGCGCCTTTTCAAGAACCTGCAGCATTTGGCTTTGAGGCGTGTCCTATTTGGCATGATACACCGGATCTCGTGACGGATGAGCCGGCCAAGATTTTCTTGCAAAATAACCTAGCACGGTCACGGGGTGAATTGACGGAGCTCAAAACAACCGTCTCGAATAAGAAGCGCGAGATTGACGGATTGACACGATTGAAGCAACAACACTTGACTGATCCAGCAAAACAAGGTGTCGAAACGGTCTTGCATAACTTGTTGCAATCTAAAATGGACGTCGCATCGCTCGATACACGCAGGAATATTCTTGAGACTGAAGTTGGGACGATTGTACAGGTGGTGGGCGATATTGATCGAGGTATGCAGCCGCATGGATTCAAAAGTGCTTCATTCACCATTCCTACGCATTGCGATTATTGCGGTTCGACCATCTGGGGTATGTCCAGGAAAGGCTATCACTGCAAGGCTTGTGCGTATAATTGCCACAAGGCCTGTCAAATGAAGGTGCCTGCGAATTGTACAGGTGTGAAGGGTGAGAAGAAGGGCGGTGATGGCTTACAACGCACCAATACGGCGGATTCAGTGTATGGCACTGGCAAGGGAACGCCTGCTGAGACGAGTGATGAGGAATCTAGCGATGGTGCTAGTTTGCGCAGTACGACACGACCTGCTGTTGCTGCAGCTCGACCGAATCGCGCACCGGTGCCGGCTGCTGGATTTGCAAATGGGAATGCACACAGCCATAGCACGCGTGTGCTGTACGCTTACGATGCTGCTGGATCTGGTGAAGTGTCCATCAAGGCTGGTGATACGGTTACTGTATTGCAAGGCGACGATGGCGCTGGATGGATACAGATCAAGAGTGGAGGAGGTTCAATTGGTTTGGTACCTGCAGCGTATGTCGAGGATGCGACACCCAAGCTAGCAGCTGTTTCAGCAGCGCAGACGGGACCGAACTTGGCGCGTGTGCCTAGTTCAGGGTCTGTTGCCTCATCCCTTACAAAACGACAAGGTCCTGCTGTTGCACCGAAACGAACGGCTGCCAAGAAATCTATGCCTGCTGGTCGTCGTGTGCGAGCGTTGTATGCGTATACAGCTGCGTCTGGTGAGGAGATTTCATTAGTGCCTGGTGAGATTGTGATTGTGACTGCTGAGGATGGTGGTGATGGGTGGGCGACGGGTGTGTCTGCGGACGGCCAGAGCGGGTTGTTCCCTGCTGCGTATGCAGAGAGTGCGTGATTGCTTGGATGTATTCTATGATGTATGTATATCAAATAGATCTATGCAGTGGCCTGTGTATGTAAGGAGTCAGGATGCACTAGTAGTGCAGTGCATGCTCAATTGTGCAGTGATGCGAGGTCATTGAGGTCAAGGTGTCGCTGGGAATAGGATGGAGCGAGTTGCTGGGGGCAGTGCAGCGTGCTCGACTGCTCGTACAGCTGGAGTGGGATCAGCAGGGAATTTGGTGTGCAGTTGTCAGGGCACAGACACCGAGTCCGCGGTAGGAGCTCGATTTTATGCGGTGAATGGCCAGAATGGGGCTCAGGCAGGCAGACACCAGACAAGCTCAGATAGAAAAAAGCAGCCTGGCCCAGCGAAAGTTGCTAAACACGCCGCCGCCTCCTTCACTGGGCCACTGCTCAGTGCTCCAGGCTCCTCTCGCTCTCACCCGGCCGCCAACTCACGCGAGGGTTCGGCCTGCAATGGGGCAACCGTGCGCTGCTCCCTTTGATATCTTGTATAGAAAGACGCGGCCATGTCCTCCTGCTTCTCTTTCTCTCATACACAGTTACAGCTGACCTGGTCGCTCTTTCTTTCTCTCTCTTTCTCTCTCTCTACTCTGCATACTGCAACCTCATCTGTCTCACCTCATTTGTGCATCCAGAGATTCAGGGGACCAGACACGACACGCTGCAACACGCGCTCCCACACTTAAGCGACAAACAGAGCTCCTCCTCTCGCGACGCACCAGGAGACACTCACAATCATCGCCCTTCTCTGACTATTTGCCAGGAAAAAAGAGATGAACAAAGCACAGACACCGCCGCCTTCTCCCTGGCGACAAGACGAAGACCCCATCAAGACACTCTACGCATCAAGAAGCAGCAGCACTAGCAGCAACAACAGCGACGCAGCCTCTATCTGCATGCAAGTCCCTTCAGAGATGCCTTCAAAGTTCAATGACAAGTCCTTCACCGATACAGTCCTGGGACATACGTCACAGCAACAGGAACAACTCACGCACTTTGATCCATTCAAGACCCATTACAAAATCAACTGGCGACACGTCCCTGTCATCTTGCTGGTCCCCGTACTTGCCTTGCTAGGTGCCTGGACAACCCCATTGACCGTCAAGACAGCCATTTGGGCAATTTGCGCCTACTTCCTGACTGGATTGGGTATCACTGCCGGTCACCATCGGCTCTGGTGTCATCGCACCTATGTCGCGTCACGCGCACTTCAAGTCTTCCTCATGTGCTGCTCAACAGCTGCTATCCAGGGTAGCGTCATCTTTTGGGTCACGGATCACCGTCTCCACCATCGTTACACCGATACCAACAAAGACCCGTACTCTGTCCACCGTGGTCTCCTTTGGAGTCATATCGGCTGGCTTCTCGTCATTGAACCCGACAAGCCAACTGGACACGTCGATATCTCTGACCTCACAAACGACCCATTGCTAGCCTGGCAAGATCAAAACTACGACTGGTTCTCTCCCATCTGTGCACTTCTCTTCCCAACACTCGTTGCTGGACTCGGCTGGGGTGATTGGCGTGGTGGATTGGTCTATGCATCCCTTGTTCGACTTGTTTTTGTGCATCATGCTACCTTCAGCGTCAATTCACTCGCTCACTACCTTGGAGATCGCCCGTATGATGATCATTCAGCACGCGATAGTGTCGTCACGGCACTTGTGTCATTGGGTGAAGGATACCACAATTTCCATCATGCCTATCCAACAGACTACCGCAATGCCGTTAAATGGTACCAATATGATCCAACGAAATGGGCGATTCGCGCATACAAAGCATTGGGTCTTGCAACGGGACTTGTGACATTCAGCGATAATGAGATTCAAAAGGGAATGATTCAAACTGCACAGAAACGTTTGGATGAGTGGAATGAAAAGATTGCTTGGGGTCCGCAAGTGGATGATTTGCCGGTGATTGAAATGGATGATTTCATTGCAAGTGCAAAAGAACGCAACTTGGTCCTCATCAGTGGCATTGTGCATGATGTGACACATTGGATCGATAAACACCCTGGTGGTCGAAAGATCCTTCAATCTGCTATTGGGAAAGATGCAACGGCCATGTTCTATGGTGGTGTCTATGCACATTCTCGCATTGCGCGCAACTTGCTCGATAACTACCGCGTGGGTATCGTGCGGGGTGGTATGCAAGTCGAGGCCTGGAAGTCGGATGCTGCGCGTTCAACTGCAATGAGTGTGGCCTCGAGTGATGTGGATCTGTGCGAGTCGTCGTGCGTTGAGCTGTAGGCTTGCCTCTTTTGCTCTTCAAATTGGCTTTGGTACCTGCTGCTTATTGAATTCCGTTTGCTATAGATCGGTAGCTATGATGACTTTTGCCTCTCTTCCATCTGTTCATCTGTGTAATGTTCATCTGTTCAGTGTCCCATCGGCAAAGTTGAATAAAAGAAGCCGACCAACGTTCGCTTGCCACTTGCGTAATCTTCCTCTCTACAACACCACCCTTCTTAGTCAGGCATGAGCGACCACCTCTTCGTTCTTGTTCACGGGCTATGGGGTAAACCAGGCCATCTCTGGTGCATCAAAGAATCGCTCCAAGAGCGACATCCAGCATGTCGCATCCTCGTCTCTGACGTCAATGAAGGGAATCGCACCTACGACGGCGTCGATACATGCGGCGAACGTATCGCTACTGAAATCATGGACTTCATCAAAGCAGCCGATGCAGAGGAAGAAGAAACGCTTGTGAGCGCAAGTAGTAGCAGTACCCTGCGGAATTCCAAAATCCGCTACATCTCCATCGTTGGCTACTCACTCGGTGGTCTTGCGGCGCGTTATGCGATTGGCGTTTTGCAAGATCGTGGAGTCTTTGAAGAAGTGACGCCTGTGTCTTTCACGACGTTTGCTACACCGCATGTTGGTTGTTCGCCGACTGAGAAGGGCTTTTTCAGCTGGATGGCGATGACGTTTGGTCCTCGCGCGCTGAGTATGACAGGCGCCCATCTCTTCCTCTCAGACGACTACTATACAGATGAAGACACCAAATTACCGTTACTACAAGTCATGGCAGATGAACGGTCCGTCTTCCACAAGGGTCTCAAACGATTCCGGCAACGCCAAGCCTATGCCAATATCCAATTCGATCGATCCGTACCCTACTGGACTGCTGCATTTTCAGAGCGCGATCCATACAGAGATTTGGGGAAAGTACAATTACAGCATGATGAAGCCTACGACAATGTCATGCTCGATCCACGGGATCCTGTACAACCACTCGGTAAAGTACAACGTCCATTCAATGAAAAAGATCAGTCTGCGGGACTCGGTCCACGAGATTATGTATTGCGCGTGACGCTCTTCACGCTGTTCCCACTCATGATTACGGTATTCATGGTGAATGCCGTGGTGTTGACATTCAAGTCACAGAACCGCATCACGTTGCATCGTCAAGGAAGCGAAGGCAGTCATACCGAAGGTCGTACACGTCTCCTTGCTGGTGTTGCACAGAATATCGTGGAGGAAGTCTTTGACAATGCTCCTGAAGAGGAACAATCTACCGTTCCTGCGAGAACTGACGAGAGCGGCATGGATTGGGTCGCGCCCCTTGCACTGACACAGACACAACGAGACATCATTGGGAATTTGTCAAAGATGGAGTGGGAAAAGTATCAAGTGCATATTCACAAGACTCAGCATACACATGCTGCGATTATTTGTCGGATGAAGGATACACCGAGAGTCGAGGAAGGCAAGGTTGTTATGCGGCATTGGCTAGATCATTTGCAGATGCCGTCAAAGTAAGGAGATCTTTGGCTTCTTTGTTCATTATTTCAGCCCGTAGCCCGTAGCGTGGTTTTAGATGTTTAGCTTGCTAGCTGATGTTTCTTTGTACAACGTCAAATCTATAGAAATCAAGAGCAAGATAGCGTCAACTGGATACTTGGCCAGAGAACAGAACATCAAGGAAGGGGTTTGATGTATGACTGGACCACGAATGGCCCATATATAACCACAAAGCTTCCTTCGCGCGTCTCAGAGGTTGCTTATGCACGTCGCCATTCAATGGTATTTGCAAGACCTCTATGATTCTCTTGCAGTGATATGACTGGTATCAGCGTCGATTCAGCGATAGTCGAAGACTCTGTATGATACAATCTCGTACCGAACCTTCATCCGAATGTACTCTGCACTGAGCCTGCAGATCTGCTGCCGTCTTGGATTCCAAAGGCTGACTATGTCGACCGTGAGAAATGAGGCGACTGCCAATTTGGACTTCCACTTCTCGCCCGTCTGTCCCTTTGTGGCAACCGGATTACCAGATTGAGATCTGCGGCGAAGATCTAAATTTAGAGAGGAATGCGACACAACAAGGACGAACACTGCCACGGACCACGGTCCACGGTAGAAGAACTCACCTCAAGGCTTCTTGACGAAGCTATCAACTCGACTTACACGTTCAAAATACTGGGCACAGCCAGGGTATCAGAAGTTTCAGAATTAGTGCCGCCAGGATGACGCCGGAAGCTTGGCATCGCCGTCATCCGTTCCATGCCAAAAAAGATCAGGCCATTGGCCACCGCGGTGGTCATTGAAGCGGAGTCTTAAGACTTGGCGAATGGTCTGCTTGCAATGTTTAAGGCTCGAACTTTTTTCTTCTGTTGAAAATTCCCGTAGCTTTGGGCCAGACGCGCGTGTTTGGGTCAATGCATGAACGTTGGACGCGATCTGAAACATGGACGCGACTTGTATGAACGGCCAATCCGTACCACATTCATGTCGCTACTCAGTACTCTCCGACGTATCTGCAGACTGGGGAACTTGTGGAAGTAGCTATAGGCTATAGTACAACAGCTTTGTCTTGCTGGGACTGGCTTTGCAACGACGGACCATCGAGTGCAGCTTACCTGCGTCTAATGCAGATGAGACAAGTGCACTGACCCTGTCCATACATGAAACATCCGTCGTCGCATAAGGAGCAAACGAGCTCGCAGATTGACTAGCAGACTACTAGCAGTGCGGAGAGAGGTCTTCTCAAGCTGAGGTCTCATCTATTTTGGCCTCCACATGCATGTGCAGCAAAGACCAGCGACGTGGCACGAACGTTCAAGTCAAAACGATATAGAGTCATAGACACGCTTGAGCGGATCATGATTAGCTCGTCCACGACACGGGACCATGGCACTGGATGCTTGAAGTATGGGGAGCAACGGTACAAGTAATGAAACATATCTGCGGAAGTATCAGCATGGGCCCTGTGTCTCGCTTCACGGTAGCTTATCTATACAGCGTGTCACCAGTCTCAATTTGTATGGGCCGCGCTTGGAGACATGATACACTTGGCAGTGGGAAGCTCAAGGATGGTAGAGTCAATGTGCATTGCTTTCAGCGACTCATCAAGGCGTGATTTACCAAGCACGCCTGTTGGATTGACATGATGGTAACGATGCTCGTACTTGGGGAACTTGCGATACTGAAGTCTGAAGGCTCAGCATCAGTCATTGACGTCTGATATGGTCTGATCTCTTCTCTCTTGTTCTTAATTAATGTAGAGAAACGTTTGAGGGTGAACATTGGCGTTAAGGTTGTGGATTTGAGCATGCACGGAGTCCTGCATTGCATTCATCTATGCATGCAGGTGCAGAGGCGAGCGCGCGATCTCAATTTTCGCGTTTTGGTTGTAAGCACGCAGCCAAGTCGATGAAGTCGTCCCATACTGTCATCGGAAATGCCGTTGCGCTCCGTTAACCTTGAAATAGATTCACTTCTTGGTCATGACTCATGGCAAGTCCGTCGTAGAGAGAGCATGAGTGTAGGAGACACGTAGGCCGTGATCATTGAGCTTGTGAATATCTTGGGACAATAATCATCATAGCGTCTCAAATTGACCGCCATGCAATGTCCGCTTTCAACTCCTTGGCCATAAATTTTTTGACAGGATACGAGGCGGGCCGTCATGACTTATGACTCATGACTCATAGGCCATGGCAGGCTGATGATAGACAAGATTCACAGCAGTTGCAGGCTTGCAGCAGTTCGCGATGATACGACTGGATGTGACATCGTGTGCGGTGATCGATGCGACGATGCGAACGATGTTCTCTCATATGCTTCTTGGCTACGTTCTCCCTAGTCTTGCCTGCTCTTTTCCGACAGCTCGGATGTTTGCTTGCATTTTGTCTCCGAACTGATGATTGCCCTGTGACTGTGGGCCTTGAGCAGACAGGCATCAGACTAGCTATAGATGAGTACTACACATATACTATAGAGATCTCATCTTATGGTCCCTGTGTCAGATGCTGATCAGAGTCTGGCCAATCAAGCGCTCCAATCCAGCTCGTCCCTGTGCCCGTTGCGGCTGCTGAATTTCGAAAATCGCCAATTTCTCGTTTCCCAAAGAGGAAGCGGAGGAGGAGGCCGTTCTGCGCTCCCTGAAGTGCCTGCTGTCGAGTTGTATTCGCTGGCACTCGCAGACAAAAGGAAGGCGACACCCATCCACTCCCCTACCCTCCCTCTCTCGTCCTCTTTCCTCACTCTCCCTCCCCCCCTCCAGAGGCATCCATCCTCAAGGGCCCAGGTCCGACTCAAGGGCCGCCAGCACTCACACTCTTTTCCGCCCTTCAGGCCAGTGCGACCGCCTCCTTGCAGGCCTCTCACTTGCGCAACAGCTTGACCTCCCTACAGCTTGGCGCTTTAAAGGACACGTCGCTCCTCCTCCAATTGACGCTCACCGACCCGTCATCCGCTCTCTTTCACCATCTAGCGACCGCAAACGACCTCATCGACAATGATGGTCATGCACGCCAAGAGCGAATCACTCTCTGTCCCTTCCCCAGTCAAAGGCCACCGTCACAGGCGCTCTGCAGCCATCTCTCTTGACTGGCGCAACGTGCAGCTGCCGCCTATCCTGGACACAGCTATGCTCAGCAGCAGCGCACCGGTCAACATTCCCTCCCCTGCGCAGGCCTCTCAACCGGCCATGACATTCGCTAGTACACCCGCAGATGCATCGCCTTCCTCTGCGCGGACACCATGCTCTTCTTCATCTGTTTCCGAGTGCAGTCTCGGCGACCATGCGTCAGAAGCACGGCCGGCCCTGTCGACGCAAGTCAGCAGTGCAGCCAGTCCACGCAAACGTGTCAGTTTTCTCGATGATGTACAGGAAATCCCTGGCGCGGTAGAGGAAGGCGATACGTGGCTGAGACCAGAAGATTATACCTGGCCTCTAATGCCCGCTGGTCCGTCCACCCTCAACAATGACCCGCTCGCGCCTTCCATTGACTTGGCGCCCGCTGCACCAACCCAAATTCCGGGATCACCCGTCTTGCTGCATCGCAAGAAACGCAGCTCCTTCTTACAAACCACAAAGAACGTCCTCTCACGTCGCCCTTCGAAGAGTGTTTCCAAGAAACAGCGCGTTCATTTGGAGCGCGATAATGAAGTGGCACCTCAAGCTCCCCTCATTGATCTCGACGCCGCACTCGGGCCGGCCCCATCACTGCGTCACAAACGATCAGGCTCGCTGGGTCATCTACCACCCTCGCCCGTGAAGCTTCCTGGCAAAGGACTCGGCATTCAATTCACAAGCGGTGGCATGTCGCATAAACGAGCAGATTCCGCACCAGCAGACTTGTTCTTCTCTTTCACACCCAGGCCATCGACGCCGGACTCAAGAAAACGCAAAATGTCTGCCATTGTTGAACATCCAGGTTCAAGCGGGTCGGCCGTCTCGACGCCCATTGCTGCTGCAGGTGTAGTGGAGGTGCGCATGGACTATCAGTTCCCCAGTAAACCTGTTGAGGCGAGTCTTGTCATGATGGGTGAGCCAGGTGATATGGTTGACTCTCGTACCTCTGTTCAAAAAACACGCCCAGTCTCGGCACTCTCACAAGTCATGGCCCTTCCTGCCTCACCACCCATTTCACCACCTGCAAAGAGGAAGGGTTGGAAGGGTTACTTGCATCGTCTTTTGCATTGACCATGACGACCTCTGCCAACACTGGACTGCTGCGCCGACTTGCTTTCTCTGTTTTGAATTATTCTACTGCATGGCGCTGCAAGCATCTTTATTGTCAACACTTCACACACATTATGGCTTGAATACATTGTGTTCTTGCTCTTCAATCCCCGACAACTTGCCTAGCTGGCGCTAGTCGAGATGTCTTACATTCTTTACACCAACACTCTCTTTCATTGTCTGCTTGTCGAATCACATCGACATGCATGCAAGCTCCTTCGTGGTGACTGCTGCTGCTAAAAACAGAAAGGTTCCAATGAAGCCACTTCTGCATCTATATTGAGAAAGACCCCTGCCTCTTTTGGCCATCTGGTAGCGACTCAAAAAAAAAGCCTCATACCCACATTCTAAATCATCTTTCAATTCTTGCTTGCCGTCTTGGTGTCGATCGTGCTTGCAACTCTTGACCCACTTGACCCGTTTTCACTCACATGCGCCCCTACGCTGATGATTGGCAATGCTGCCAGCATTCGCTCAGGCTAGCCAGATCGCGATTGGGCAAGGTCAGCTTGATCTCGTAAATTGCACCTTTGATCCATGAAGAGCTCTTTCAGACCTTCAAACATGTTGCGAGACAATCCCAATGAGAGAGCTTCTCGCTCAGATGAAGCTCTGAACAAGGAAGACGTACACTTGACTGCCGACTCTGAGGAAACATGTCCGTATGCATTGCAAGGCTTCGGCATATGTTGAGGAGGAACGCAAGTTGTAAGCTGCAGAGTCCTTGTCGCTACACCACACTCTCTATGTTGCATCTCGATACGCCACACCGTAGCTGTACATGTACATGAAGAATGTAAAATGAATGATTTTCTAGACTTGCTACAGAACTGCCAGAGGAGCGATAATGAAAATGGAAAACTTTCAAGAATGGTCGTCCCTGCTTCACAGAAGCGTATCAGGTTGACCAAATTTCGGTAGAAGGAATCTCTACTGCTGTATGGCTGTGAACGCCTGCCAATACGCCTGAGCCACATGCATGCATTGGTTCTCCGCATGTATGATTCCGTACTTTTCCGAGCATTTCGTCTTCATGGTTTTCATCCACACCGAAGCCGCCATTCCCCCGCGTGGATTGTCCGGCTTTCCGGCCTGCATTTCAAGAACATCAACTTCTTCCTTGAATGTAATGCATGCTGTTGTGCAAGTGTCTGCTTCTTCCTTGCCGCATTTCCCCTTGCAACACTGTACGCACGAGCCTGTATCACGACCGCAGTTTGGAGCGCAGTCGCCTCCGGCAATCATGATTCCGTGTGGTAGTGACGAGACCGTAGCCGATGACCCAGCCACAGGATTGGATGAGACCTTGCTGAGAATGAAGAGAACTAACCAAGCTTGTGGATTCATGTTGGCAGCTTGCCAATGTTAGCGTCATCTGTTCTCACATATGCGCGAATGTTGAGCTTACTTCTTTGGTATTTCTGATGTTGAGTCTTAGTTGGGTGGATGGGAATGAAGATGAGGAGAAGACGCCCTTTTATGCACCAGACGGGCTTGTTCTAGACCTTCAGAAACAAGGCGACGTTTGCAATACGAATGTGAGCAGGATCAGGAAAAGCTTCGTATAGCGACAATCATGGTCACCCCTGCAAGCACATTTGTGATGGCCCAATGAACTCAGCTGAACAGTCTGGAGCAGTCGAAAAGCGTGATATTTCTGATGAGGCCCTGACAAAAACAGCTGCGGTCTGCGAATCGGCCACATGTTAGTCCACAAACATCTCGGAAATTTCACTCGAAGGGTGCGTGACAACGCACCGCGTGGTTCATAGCCGATCGCGAGTTCACGGTCGGCGATGAAGACCATGCAGAAGAGCATGTCGAGCTCTTGGCAGAGCTTAGCAAGCTGGCGATTTGACAAGATGGCAAGGCGACCATGAAAGGCCAAGAGATTGGGTCCTCTCAGTGCGCACTGCAGCTTGCAATGTGACGACTTTTTCAGGGGTAACCATAATGTTTTGTAATTGACTCGCAAATTACCTGACAAGCTGCAGCACAGGCCTGGCGTCGTCTCATATCGGGATCATCGCTGTTTGGCGATGAGTCAGATCTCAAGAAGCCCGGACAGCCAAATAGAGCGCGAAGGCCAAGAATGAAGCGTATTGCTCGCAGAGATCAGATGTATGGGCCAACAAACATCTCGGAAATTTCAGGTCTGGGTGACGAATCACAGCAGGGTCCGTGACTCGGACCACTGTCCACCGATAATGAGATGAGTCAGATGACTGTCTTGCTCTTGGAGAAGATTGCCATCGTGATAAGGAAACCAACCATGTGTGTCTAGGGGTTCGTGTCGTCTCGGCATTCGACTTGGTAGCCTCAGGGGTAATCCTGGAGCCTTTGAGTCTTGCGGACCGTTCAGATGGTTCATCCAGGTGACGGACAGCGTCAAGCCAGGGGAATGCAACCTCCAACAGAATCATTAGTATCAGGACGCCTCATCAAGATCATCAATAGATTCATGCAGCCGCTATACCCCTATCTAACATGCACCTTGTAGCCATTTACGTTTTGACCCAGAGCTTATACTTGTACTCACGACCCAGGACTCTCTCCTGTTTAGCGAATTTTGCGGGGAGCAGCAGGAAGGCAGCAATCGCGTAGCATGCTCCAGCATAAAGAATAAGTCGTTTGTAGTCACCTGAGGACCCGACGATCTCCAAAGCGATCGTTGTAGCAAAAATGGTCGGCACAGACATGAGGAGCCAGACGCCCGTGGACGCAACACCCAGATTCTTGATGCCGACAATCTCAACCGAGACTGGAATCACAGATGACCAAAATGTCCCTGCGATACAGCCATTTAGCAGCGCGAAAAAGACCATAACGCCATAGCTCTCTGCAAACATCCAAATAAAAAATATCGAGAACGAACAGCACAAAGTGAAGACGGCAGCCATATTGAGGCGCCCACCTAGGTCGGCAATCCATCCAACGATGGGTCGACCAATAGCCATGCCAGCAGATAGTAAGGCGGCAATCTGAGACCCGCGTGCTTGGGATTGACCTAGACCAGAGACAACAAACTTTGCAATGGTGAATTGAATCGTCACATAACCTAGGAGCGAAAAGACACCCCACGCGAGCATCCAAGCGTAGCCGCGAATTTTGAAAACTTTGGTGTCCCATACCTGACTCATGACATGCTCTTTTCGTTGAGCAAAAGTCATGTTTGCTGAAGCGCGTGGATTGAGTTCACGCAGCAAGCAGACGGCGACCGTGTTACAAACGAACGTGATGAGTGCAGTTAAGCGAAATGTCCACGCCAAGCCAAGACTTGAAATGGAAGCGTTTGTTGAGAGCAAGAAGATCACGCCACCGAGACCAGAGCCACCGGCACAAATCCCGCTTGCAAGTGCACGCTTCTTGGAGAACCACAATGCAGGTAGCTGGACAGAAGGAGAGAAGAGCAAGCCCATACCTGCGCCGAAAAGAATGCCTTGTGCGAGAAACAAGTGCCAGAACTCGGAAGCAAAGCTAGCACAGAGGTACCCTAGAGACTCCATCACAAGACCGATAGCCATGGGTATCTTGATGTTACCGGTGAGTTCACAAATGACGGTAGCAAGCGGACTGACAATCAGTGCCATGCCCACTGAAACGCCTCCCACGAATGTGTACTGAAGCGTGGTAATATTCTTGAAGTATGTCGCGCCTGGAGCAGTATAATGGGCCAGATAGACTGCATATGATGCGTTGACGCCCCAAGTCATCATACAGATGAGGGTACAGGCGCCACAAATCCACCATCCATATCCGCCGTCGGGCGGGTCGAGCTTTGAAGTTCTGGACGGATGGCTGCCTTTTTCATCTTGATGGACTTCGCTCGACGCGGATCTGTGATGCGCAAGGACATGTTCTTTGTTACACGACATACCATGAAAGACAGGTTCCATGTCGCGATTCGCAGTGATACCATCGGTTTCGGGGGAATATGGTACGGTTGCCGCATCGGGTATTGATGAATGTCGATGACTCTTACTATCTTCTGACACTGTTGAGCTCATAAAGCAAGAACAGCGTGGTGGTAGTATGCTCCAGTTCCTGAGTGGATTTTCAATTGAATTGTGGAGGGAGCGCGGCTGTTGCCGACCACGGAAATTGAAAGTTCGCACGCAGGACGACCTCAACACATCGCTGTTACGACGCTGGTCAGTTACTTTGTATAGTTACCGGCACGGGATGATTGACGTGGTGCAGGTAGTCCTAGAATGGTCCGCAAACTGTTGTGTGTCCAAAGTGGTCAAAATGTGACAAGTCATGCGAAGTTGTTCACTAGTCGCTAGCTTCTTCTCCCAGCCATTTTGCTGAGGTTGACTTCGTGGAAGGTGCAAAAGACACTATTTGACAACTTCCGATCAGCCGGCGGGGAGAACGAACGATGAACAATTTGCTATAGCTAAGAAAGAAGTGGCGTAACCTCGCTCATTTGCAGCTTCCTGCGTTGCCGTCTTGTCTGATATGCTGCTTTACTCCTTCGCCACAGTAACTGCGAGAGGAGCATAATGCCAATGAGTACAAGCGAAAGTACAACGTTGAGGATACCAACAAAGCCAAGAAGGAAGTAGACAAAAGCGACAATCGGCAGAATGCCAGGCTTATGCCCATTCGGGTCTTCAGGCACATAACGGCCTGGTGGATCGTAGACATCGAATGTATACCAGGTGTAATGCACTATCGGTCCTCTTGGTGCAAGCTTGGCACTCGAGACAAACTGCGTCAGCCGGCCAGCGTGATAGATGATTTGCAGAAAGTCGAAAAAGAACCGACGCCACGGTACACCCACGGGAGGCTCATCTACCTGACTTTGATCAAAGGCCGGGCCCCAATGTCCCTGCCAAAGGGCCCACTCTGGCCCTACTTTTTCATGCGTATCTGATATGTCGTAGATCTCGTAGTCCGACCAGCGGATCCATTCTGACTTTGGGTAGTTGGCAAATCCAATATCGCCGACCTCAATGTGCTGAATAGCGCCAAAAGTGATGAAACGAATGGCAGAGTTCACGAAACCATCCATGGCCGGGTCAATATTGTGTGCGTCCTTGGGCGACTTGTAGCAAGCATGTGAATTGTTGTGCGAAAAGACGAGGGGGTGCGTAACATTTTCAACAGAGTATTTGTGCTCTGGTTCGTTGATGTCGGCGTGGACGGTATAGTAAACGCTCTCGATTTCTGCTGGCTCCTGAGAGCCATCACTCGTCAAAATGATCGTTGTATGTTCCCAATCGGCATAGTGCACCGCGAGTGGATACCAAGGGAAGCGCGACACTGTGCCATCTGAAGTGACAGTCTTGAAGCCTTGCGGCCCGTTGAAGTGATGATAGTACCAATACTGTAAGGCGACCCTGCCGTCTTCGAGTAGCCGCGCCTGAGTCGTGACGGGCGCATCGACCAAGCGCCCGTCCTTGAGCGGGTTGCCGCCTAGTTCCCGTTTTGGCACATGTAGCTCGTTTGCGCTGGCGTTGAGAAAACGCTTGTATGCCTCTACAGGATCTGCTGGTAGATAAGCTTCTTCTGGGTGAAGATAGATGACGGGCGCAAATTGCTGAAGGAGCTGGAGGCGCACAGAGGGGTTGAGCGAGTGAGAAATGGGTCGTGTCCAGTTGCTAATGTTGTCCTGCGTATGGAAGCCCAGATGGACAGCGTCAATTGCCAACGAAAGCGCCAGCACCGACGCAGGTAGCCGCATAGGAGCGCCGATGAAAGAAGAGGTACAAGGCTGCTGAAGCGTTGAGGTGTGTGTGGTCTGATTCGGTGCGTCTGCTGCGTTTATGTCATCTTGCGCGGGGGCAACTGCAGCCGAGCCAGATCCAGATCGACTGCTTGAAACTCACAGACCAAATATATACACGGACTTCATGCTTTGACCAATTTATAAAACAGGCTATAAGTTCTAGTACTATACGCCCGCGGCGATACGGCAGCCAGAGACCTCAGAAACCCACGTCTGATGTCTAGAGCCTCGACCACCGACGATCAGACCACTCTCGGAGGCAGCACTAAACAAACCAGGCATAACTTCCTGTTTCGCATTCACAGGGTCCGCCTGTGCGTCAGCATATGTTTCACGACCATCCACAGGTAGCTTTTCAAACAAAAGTCTGGCTCCCTCGGGTTGACCAGGTAATGCTTCTTCCTTGCCAGCGTAGAAAAGCTGCAGTGAGTCGCCTTCCGAAACGTGATAGCCGCCGTTGAGGGCCATGCTGCCTTTGCCTGGATCGCCCGAGATGATTTTGATCATGGGCGTTGTGCTGCTCACGATTTGGCCGTGCTGAACTTGCCCAAACAAGAGGAGATCTTTGGATGCTGCATTCGTGCTTGTGAGAGACTTCATTCGCTCAAGCAAGCAGTACGTGGCAGGCTGTTCGTTCAAAGTGATGAGAATATTGCCCTGGCATCTGATGCGTTAGCAGTCTTCTTATTCGGCACCAACATACTTGGTCACGAGCAACGGCTCTCCTAATTTGTGTAGCGTCGGGTAAGCCACTTGTAGTGCTTCTCTTGCTTGTGGGAATGCTAGAGCCCATCCTCCACGAGAAATCATGCGGTCTTGAAAGGTCATTGTCACCGGCAGTCCCGTCAGAAACGGTGTCGTACTAGCAAGAAGCCCAACTTTCCGTGCATTGGGTAAGAGCTGAGCAGGCCAATCAAGCTCAGCAAAGCCATTGCCAGAAACGACAATTGCAGACTGCATAGTGGGCGAAGCAGTCAGCTTTGTCTCTGAGCTCGCACGCTGAAAGGCACTACCGTCACTGAGGATAGACTTCCAACTTGCGTCCGCTGGCAACTCCCAGTCTTCCGAGGCGTCCTTGGTGCCTTGTGCTTTCCAAGCCCGTCCGAGACTGATTTGTCGGTCAACTCGATCATTGAATGGCAAGAGTTGCGCAGCTTCGTCTTCGGAAGCAACCAGCATGGAGACACCCGCCGTTGAGCCAACTGCATCAACGACAGCAGAAGCGACTTGACAATGCTCACCTACAGCTGCAGTGACTGTCTTTCGTAGTAGTTGGGCAAGTGTTCCATCGAGCGATTGTGGAAAGTATGCACGGGAAATGAGAAAGACTGCTTGTGCTGGCATGTCATTGCTTGTAAAGCCATGATGCAGTGCCGTTGTTTCGCTTATAGCTGCTTGTAGTGCTTGCTTGAGAGATGGAGCATGAGCTGTAGCAGCAGTGACAATGGACCGTCTGCCCAATGGCAGGCATCTTTGACACCGTGAAAGCATGTATACGTAAGCAGGTCGTCGTCGTCGTCGTCGTTGTCGTTGGAAAAGCGAAACAAATAGATTCTATCAACTAATCACTACTAGCGAGACTATATACTAGACACTCGTCTATGAGGGATCCCTGTGGTCGCCAGACTGCAAGTTCTGGAATGCACGACGCAGAGGAGACCTCAAAGGCTTGACGTCCTTCCAAAAGTCAACCGTCAACTTGGCACGCTTAGCAACACCCTCAGCGGTAAACTCAAACTTCTTGTAGAGATCCTTTGCGGGCGCAGACGCACCGAATCGGTTGAGACCGAATTGCTCGTGCGTGTACTTCTCCCAGCCCATGGTTGAGTAGACCTCCACAGACATGCTTGGAATCCCGTCTGGCAAGACGGACAAACGGTACTCGAGCGGCTGCTCGTCAAAGATTTCATTACACATGAATGAAACAACACGTGCCTTGATACCTTCCTTCTCAAGCACCTTGGCGGCCTCAACACAGATTGAGACTTCTGAGCCAGTACCGAGGAGTGTGACATCTGCTTGCTCATTTTCAATCAAGACATATCCACCTTTGCTTGCCTTTTCAATGGATGAACCATCCAACTGTGGCAAGTTCATACGCGTCAGAGCCAGCACCGAGGGACGCTTACTGTTGGTCAAAGCGAGGTAGTACGCAGCAGACACCTCGTTACCGTCAGCAGGCCTAAAGTTGAGCAAATTGGGTGTTGCACGGAAGTGAGCCATCGTCTCAATCGGCTGATGAGTGGGTCCATCCTCACCCAAATCAATTGCACAGTGCGTAGCGACCCAAATGACTCGGAAGTGCGAGAGCGCAGACAAACGCAAAGCACCGGCGGCGTAAGAGACAAAGTTGAGAAAAGTACCGCCGTAAGGGATAATGGTGCCGTATGCGGCAAGACCGTTCATGATGGCGCCCATGGCGTGTTCACGGACACCGTAACGAACATAACGACCGGCGTAGGTACCAAGTTTGGTCGAGGGTGGCTGGAAGTCTACGGCTTCCTTCCATCTCGTCAAGTTGGAGCCAGTCAAATCGGCCGAACCACCAAAGAGTTCTGGCAGAGCGCCTTGAATGGCAGACAAGCAAGTCTCGGAGAGCTTGCGCGTAGCAACGGCATCGTCGCCAACCTTGTAGACTGGCAGATTCTTCTCCCAACCACTTGGCAGCTTGCCGTCTAAACGACGCTTGAAGTCTGCTGCCTCATCTGGGTACTTTTCAGTATACTGCTGCATGAGCTTGTTCCAAGCTTGCTCTTTTTCTTGATTCTTGGCGGCGATCTTGTTGCATTCGTCGTACACTTCTTGTGGCACGACAAAGGTCTCCTTTGCATTGAAACCAAACTTCTCCTTGAGCTGTGCAACGTCATCTGCCTTGAGTGGATTTCCGTGGACGCCGTGCGTACCCTGCAGCTTAGAGCCAAATCCGATGGTAGTGGTGAGGCAAATGAGAGAAGGCTTGTCTGTGACGGCCTTGCAAGACTCGATAGCCTTGTTCATGCCCTCGAGGTCAGAGTCGCCATCGACCACATCCACAACATGCCAGCCATACGATTTGTATCGTGCGCGAACATCTTCGGTAAATGCACAGTTGGTATCGCCGTCAATGGAGATGTGGTTATCATCCCAGACTGCAATCAGCTTGCCGAGTTGCAAGTGACCAGCAAGGGAGCAGGCTTCGCTGGAGACACCTTCCATGAGACATCCATCACCAAGGAAGCAGAAAGTATAGTTGTCGATAAGCTTGATGTCGTCCTTGTTGAAGGTGGCGGCGGTATGTGCCTCAGCCATGGCAATACCCACAGCATTGGCAATACCTTGACCAAGCGGACCAGTCGTCACTTCGATACCGTCCGTGTCGGCACATTCAGGGTGTCCAGGTGTGTGCGAATCGAGCTGACGGAAGTTCTTGAGGTCATCCATCGACAAGTCGTAGCCAAAGAGGTGCAAGAGCATGTACTGGAGCACACAGCCGTGACCGTTGGACAAGACGAATCGATCTCGGTTGATCCAGCTGCTGTTTTTGGGGTTGAAGGTCATGTGCTTCGAGAAGAGTGTCCAAGCAACGGGGGACATGCCCATAGGCGCTCCGGGGTGGCCGGAGTTTGACTTACTCACAATGTCTGCTGCAAGTGTACGCATGGTGGCGATGGCCTTGGTGTCAATCTCTGAGAAGGCCATAGCTGTTTGTTAGTGGGCTGTTGCGAGGTATACAGAGAGGGCCGTACTGTATGTCCTTGTCTGTGCTTGACGGTGTGTTGAGGTTGAGGCGAGAGATAGCGAGTGAATTACTGACTGACGCCCGCCGCTGGACATGACGCGGAGCACCCCAACCCTAGCTTCATCCCACGACCCACTGGCAGCTCTATTGCAGGAGTATTGTAGACTACTACTAGTATACTACTCATGCTGCAGCTATAGACATTATCTCAAGGGCTTATCAATCACACTAGCTACTTGGCAATTGGACTCAGTGGCCAGTCCGACGACACCCATTGCTACTTTCCCCAATGCTCCTGAGGGGTCCATCCGCCTCCATATTCTAGCAAACTGCACGCCGGTAGGATGTCCCCCAAGTAGTGGCTCAAGCAAGTTGATATAAGATCGAAGACACTTATACCAATAGAGACCTCCAGTGAACGTGTCGCTTCCTGGTTAGACACAAAGCTCGTCAAGCACCACTGCTGCAGTCAATCAACCCTTTCGCGCCTTTTTGCGTGATATGCATATGTGGTTGCAGATGTGGGCAATTCGGAGGCGACAAACTCACAGTCTAGGCTACAAATAAAGATGCACCATTTGCTCGATGAGGCGAATTCATTGCTGTCCTCCTTGCCTGCGACGAACTCATGGTCTAAGCCACAAATAAAGATGCATCATTCGCTTGTTGAAGCGAGTTCATTGCTGTCCTCCTAGGCTGCGACTATAAAGTCGTCCTGCTGTCCTTTCGTCTTTCACCTCAACACTTTCATCACCTCTTTTGAGCCAGCCCGGCTTGATCTCCACACGTAAGTTTCGGCACACCATTGACTCATCAGCTGCGATCACACAAAAGCTGACACTTCCTGATAGTATGATTTGTACGCCTACTTCATGGGTGGGTCTCATGTTGTTCTTGGGAACGACAGTAGCTGGTCAACCTACTGGTAAGTTGAATGTCTCAGACTGCTTCAAAGCTGGATCTGTGGTCAATGGTCGTGGCCATTGTTTGGGCATGAAGGTAAAAAAAGAGTGTTTGCAATTTTATACGGCTCCCGGCAAGAATTCTTGGAATACTTGCTGCGAACGGGTGTGCAAAAAAGACGTCAATCCACCTCTTGATGTATCGATGGCAGCAGGCTGCATAGCGGCTTGCGAATCGTCAGGAAGCACCATGAGCCCTCAATTTGCAGACTAGCATTGTCAAACGAAGCGACTGCAGTTGCAAGGGGGTCATGCGCAGCAAACAGTATGATTTCTTCGACTAGCTAGCTATAGTCACGTACGCTATCATCAAGACCCTGCCTTCACAACTTGTTGAATTACATATTGGTTATATCTCATGATAAAATGGATATCCTGATGGTCCGCAGTCACGAAGCAAATATAGAAAGGTCATAAATTCTTTGCCCGCCCACATTAATACCACAAGCACGAAACATGTCGAGTCTCACATGTACAAAATTGCAGCAACCGAAGTTAAATTTTACTGAAGATATTTCATTGCTTGCCTCAATTCGGGACTGCTATGACCATAACTAAGTAGCCAATCTTATATCAAAACCACACTTCGCTTCAAGCAACATCCTTGCCAAACCACCAAAGTCATCTTAAGGAGCTTGTATGCAGCTGATCTATGGGTTATCAATTCCGGGATAGCGTCCAATGTGATCGGTGGGCTTAGTGGTCTTGGGGCTAATATGCTATAAGAGTTGTCAGAAGCAAAGAAACTTATGAGTCAAGCAGAACATTGAAGTGGGCCAGTAGAGCACAGTCCTACAGCCGCAGATGTAGTCTGCACATGGAGCCGATCAGTATTAATCAATCCATCTTGAATGTTCAGGAGCCTGTCGACAGTCTGAACGCCAATTGGGCCGAGACATCGTTCGTTCTATAACCCAGGCAGGAAACCATTGTGATTTGGAAAAGTCGGTCTCGATGCATTTCCTCTCTTTACATTGACGATTCTCGGTCTCTATCGTGGGAATTTTCATCTTCTTGCTTAATGAGCTTATGAGCTTAAGTGTTGTGCTTGTGTTGGCATACATCTCGTGATCTGGTCTGCGACTGCGACTCGGCGGTGACTACTACCAGCACATTAGAGATCAGTAAACAGGAGAGCCGGGTGTTGAGAAGTATATGAGAGAGCAAAGGGACGGTCTACTTGAGTCTTTGAGGAAGTATAACACTACTATCTAATAATTGAACTTCTGAGCAGGTGTAATGACTGGGCGGAGAGGTGACTAGGCAGGGTAGGGCGAGTCCACGTCGAAGACACTAGACAACAGAAGAGGTAGATGGAGATGAAACTACCAAAGTACAAAGTTGGTGAATGACGCACAAGGCAGCAGAAGGCTGTCCTTTTATCTTCATCCAGGCGAAGCTAGAAGCAAGAAAGACAAGAGGCAAGATCCAAGCCCCAAAGACTGCGAGTAGCGTCTAGCCAGACGACTCAAACGCAAAGAGCTGTCGTGAGGTGAGTATTAGGAACAAGGGGCTGTAGCCATAAGAGAGCAAGCAACTTGTTGAAGATGCTGAACAGGTAATTCCATGATAGCGAGCAGAGAAGACTGGCTCGGTTGTTGTGGTTGTGCACAAGGGAATAGCGCAAGATGTAACAAGGGGCTGGTTGGACATCTGAAAACGGTATCAGAGTGCAGTCCGTGCCATAGCAGGACACATGCGATCGCCGGTAAAAAGCCAATAAACATAAACGCGTTGGACGTGATTGGGAGGGAGTTTTCCAGGTTGATTTCTGAGGCGTGGAGGTGAGCAAAAAATTCCGACGGTTCCTAGTCCACCTGAACGATGCTCTCTGAACCAATTTTCTTTGTCATGTTCTTTTCCACTGGGACAACTCTGGTCCGAAGCAACATAGTAGCAGAGATCCTCTACATTGTCTTTGTTTTGCGGAACCTCTGTTCCTTTTCCTGATTTGAGCACATACTGGCATTGGCTTTTGTCATTGGAGTCATAGCCATTGATTGTGTCTTTGAGAGTGAGCCAATATGCCGTGCAACCTTTTGCCGAAACAGACAGAATGCCATGATTGTCGAAGAGGCCAGCCAAAAAGACAGACTGTAGAAGCAAATTGAAGAGCTGAGCAGTTGCCACCATAGTGCTGATTGGACGCACTTTGAACATCTTGGGGATCATGTTGAAGACGGTGACTGTAGAGAGGTTAGACAAGAGATGGTAGTAGGGCTACTTGCAGGTGAACGTTCTCGCAGTTGCACGATTGCAAGGATGCGACGCTTGGAGATACGAATAGACCACTGCTGTTTGAATGCCTGGAGGTCAAGATGAGCTTAAGAGGGTACGCTAAGTGGGGAATTTGAATCATTTTATAGAAGAAAATCATGGAATTTCAGGGGCTAATCTGTAACGAACCCGCAGCCTTAAACCTCGCATCCGACTTTCCCGCACCACATGCTCTAGCAACTCATCGCGGCTCTTCTACCTTCCGCCCTTCAACGACGCTTATCACCTCAGCACGTTGCCTATCGTCCCGCGCCTAGCTTCCTCGCTTCCGGCAACGCTCTGTCACGTGTCCTTACTCGCTCTCTTACTCGTCGACGACGTCTACCACGTCGTCCCTTGTTCTGTCTCTTCCTTATCTTGCAGCTCGGACATCTCCACAGGGCTCATGCAATCTCGCTTCCCCTCTTCTTTCATTGTTCTCCTGCTGAGAGTCGGCTCCCGTGGGCTCCATCCACATCATCGCCATCCGCTCTCATGCTGGTACCTGGTAGACATAAGTAGGCAGCCTTCCGCTGTCTTGTTCCTTAGTTTACAATTTCTATTCTTGTCCCCTACATCTCGCCCAAGTCCTGTCTTCAGCACAAGCATTCGTCCTGTCCTGTTCGCCCTTCGTCACACTTTGTAAACTCAACAAAGCTTGTACAGGCACTCCAGTATGTCGTCAGTCCCCGACGTACCTTCCGCCCAGTCTGATGTGCCTTCGCCTCAGGCCGACGGGCTTCCCTCTCGCCAAGCTCTTCTTGCTATGCAAGAGACCATGATGCAGCGCATTGCACAGCTCGAGGCCTTCGCCGCAGCTGCTACCGCCTCAGCAGCCGCCTCACCACCCGTCCCTGCACCCACACCAGCAGCCAACTGGGCCAAGACTGCCGTCAAGATCGCGGACCCTAAACCCTTCGACGCCGATCTTCTTGGTCAAGACGTGCGCAACTTCGCCGCATCCTGTCGCCTCAAGATGCAGGCCTGCCCTTACCTCTTCCCAAATGAGGGCATAGCCATCGCCTGGATTCTCCAACTCCTCCAAGGCGATGCGGCGAAGTGGCGCGACGCGCGTGCAGTGGCGGACCCCACAACTGGCCTCATCTCGTTTCCTGGACTGCCAGATGCCAATGCAGTTCTCGACGCCCTCATCCAGTCCTTTGCAGTCCGCGATCCCGTATCAGATTCAAAGAAGCAGCTCGCCACCCTCAAGCAAGGAAAGGAGACCTCCGTCAGCGTCCACCTGGCCGAGTTCGAGCGTCTCACTCTGGTCTTGAATATCACTGAGGAGACCAAGTGCGACATGCTTCTCGGCACACTCAACGAGAAGTTCACCGAGGCCCTCTTCAAGCTCGACGAGGTGGTCGACAACAACTACGCGGCCTTAGCGCAGCAGGTTGTCAAGGTGGAGTCGCGTATCCAGAAGCGCGAGAATCTCGCAAGGCGCTTGAACAATTCCACTGCGGACCTCGCCAGAGTCGCAAAACGCGACCACCCCTATCAACCTCTGCAGCAGCGCCTTCGCCCTGTTGCCTCGACGTCGCAGGCGCCTCAGCCGATGGAAATCGACTCCGCCACATTCCGGCCCTTGACTCCCGCTCAGAGGCGAGCGCGAAAAGAACAACGCATCCGGGACGACCTTTGCGTTTACTGTGGTGGAGCAGGTCACTGGCAAGACAAGTGTCCAAAAAAGCCTCGGCAGTCCCCAAATGGACCCGGCAGGAACCAGTAGGGCACTCCTGGGACCGGGCCATTCAGGACCCTCACGCGCCTTCGCTTTTGTCTGTTGTAGACGATAGCGCAAATCTCTGTCTTTTCTCCATCTCTCTGCCTCCTCTCTCGTCTCATCCGCAAAGTGTCTTGCCTGTTACCGTCTCCCATGGTGATAGGTCCCTCGACACGTTTGCCCTCCTAGATTCCGGTGCAACAAGTTGCTTCATCAGCGCAGCTTGTGTGGCCCGAGGCCGATTCCCGACCGTGACCCTTGACAGCGCAATCCCGCTGAAAGGCTTTACGGGCAAGGAACTCGAGTCTGCCTCCCAATTCACGTCTCCCCTTCGCATGACCATTGGTAACCACCAAGAATGCCACCACTTCGTCGTTGCCGAGCTCTCCGGCTACGATCTCATTCTTGGCACCACTTGGCTTGCGAAGCACAATCCTGTTATCGACTGGTCTGCGTCCACAGTCCAGTTCCCGGCCTCGTGCAAGGCGCACATCAATCAATCGCCTGTCCAACACGATGCCGCTCCTCCAGTCAATGCCAACGTCATGCAGATCCACATGGTGTCGCTCAAGTCTTTCGCCCGGCTAGCAAAAACTCACGATGTTCTCCACATCGATCTCGCCGACATCTACTCCGACGTCGAGCCAGACCTGCTACGCGCGATACCGGACAAATATCACGTCCTTCTCCGCATCTTCTCGAAGATTCAGGCTGCCCGCCTTCCCGATAATGCTGCTTACGATCACAAGATTCCTTTGTTCCCGAGCACCTCGCCTCCTTCGACGGCGCTTTATCCCATGAGTGCAGAGGAACTGAAAATCCTCAAGGAATACTTGGACGAACAGCTCAAGCTCGGCAATATCTCTGTTTCCGAAAGTCCAGCTGGCGCATCTGCCCTTTTTGTCAAAAAGAAGGACGGGTCTCTGCGTCTCTGTATCGACTATCGCGGCCTCAATGCCATCACCGTCAAGAATCGGGCTCCTCTTCCTCTCATCTCTGAAACCTTGGATCAATTGCATCATGCAAAGATTTTCACCAAGCTTGACCTCCGCGGCGCATACAACTTACTGCGTATTGCGCCGGGAGATGAATGGAAGACCGCATTCAAGACTCGTTACGGGCACTACGAGTACAACGTTATGCCTTTTGGACTTACCAACGCTCCCGCTTCTTTCCAGACGTTGATGAACACTGTGCTTCAACCTTTCCTCGACAAATTCGCCGTCTGCTATCTTGATGACATCCTCATCTACTCCCAAACGCAGGACGAGCACACTGAACATGTTCTATCAGTTCTCAAGGTTCTCGACGAGCACAATCTCTTCGTCAAAGCGGAAAAATGCGTCTTCGACGTCGACACGGTCGAATTTCTTGGTTATGTCGTGTCTCCCACCGGCATTGCAATGGACCCCGTCAAGGTCAACGCCATCATCAATTGGCCTCAACCAAAGTCAGTCCACGACGTCCAAGTGTTTTGTGGTTTCGCCAACTACTACCGTCGCTTCATCTCCAACTACAGCAAGATTGTCAAGCCGCTCTACGCTCTCACAAGCAAGGCGACCAAAGTGTTCCTCTGGAACGATCAAGCTACCGCGGCATTCACTCAGCTCAAATCATTGTTTTCTTCTGCCCCTATCCTCGTTCATTTCGACGCAGACAAGCCAGTGGTCATTGAGACTGACGCCAGCGACTTTGCACTTGGCTGTGTCATGTCCCAAGCCGATACAAACGGGATCCTTCGACCCGTGGCTTTCCACAGCCGCACCTTCTCGCCTCCAGAAAGCAACTACCCAATCTACGACAAGGAGTTGTTGGCAATTCTTGATTGCTTCAAAGCATGGCGCCACTATCTGGAGGGCTCTGCACATGCCATCACTGTCTTCACCGACCACAAGAATTTGGAGTACTTCAACACGAACCGACTTCTCAGTTCACGTCAAGTACGCTGGTCCCTCTTCATGTCCAGGTTCAACTACAACATCGTCTATCGACCTGGTGCTCAACAAGGCAAACCTGATGCACTAAGC